GGCTTTGCTCTAATAACTGGTTAGAGCGGTGAAAGCCATTAATAGAAAATTATGAATGTATAAATACATGCCTCATTAATGTTTCTATGAGTGCTTATTAATAATTAACCTAGAATTGTAACAAGAACCCAGCTCTCCTTTTTAAAAATTATGATAATATTACACAAAACAATAACTGTCCTCAAACTGTCCCCAACCCGTGAAAAAGCACAAATCTAGCAAAGCCTCTTCAAAGCTCACATCATGTCTCAAAAGCCAAACGTCTGATCCTGAGTCATGGAACTCCTCTATTCAGACTGCACGAAGCAGCTGAACTGCATAGTGACGTGGTTCATAACTTATATATCTAGTGGTATAAACGTAATGACGTGAGAAGCGCAGAAAAACGAGAACAACACGAGGCATTTTGTGTTTGAGGCACAAAGGTGAAATCCACAAATCGTACAGCAGTGATAACATTTAGCACCGAGAAGATGACCACCGTGGTGCCCAAAACTTTGTGATGAGTCTGTTGTCCTCCACATACAACTCTGCAGCCGGCAGACACCAGGGGTTAGTAAACAAACAAGAGATTTAAGGAAGGGAATTCAGCACTTCGTTTGCATAATGTGAAAAATAGCCCGAGCGTTCAGTGTGCCACTGGTAAACAAAAGTAACAGAATACATCATCACAAACTCCATTTCAGTTTACACATGCTTATTTCCAGCTGGATAAACAGACACAAATCACTTGTATTAAATTAGCAAATCAGCAGTAGCATTAAAGCGGGGGGGATTTTTCAGACTTAATGGTCCCATAGTCCCATCATACAACTTCTGTGTGGCCTTTGATTAGCCTCATTTCCACACGCAGTAAAGATTTACGTCTCCTTTTTTTTTTTTTTTAAACGGAAAAATGGACTGCATTCTATAAATGTAGTCCATCTATAAAAATCTGAACCCCCAAAATGACAATTTCTATGTAAAATCTATTTAATATAAAGATTTGAAATGTATTTCTGGGGAGGTCCCTCTGTTTTATATTGATCAGTAGCACTAACCAGTTGGTGGTTTGTGGACTAGTTTATAGCAGGGTTAATGTCAAAATTGTTCATTTGTGGTTTCGGTTTGTTGTGCTTGAAACTTGAAAAACTGTTTTAAAGGGTAAGAATGCCTGAAATCGGCCTCACGTAGTTGACATGTTAGTACTGACAGAGGTCCATTGAAGGCTCAGGCCCATTAATCAATACTGACATAAAGCATTCTTTAAATGAGCCAAAACCCCATTATGAATTGCTCTCACTTCTCTGCCTGTAATTGTAAACCATGAAGGATGCTGAACAGCTTGATAATTAGCTATGAATGGCTTGACACGGCAGCGTTGGAGCAGACATTTTACGCTCACGTGTCAACAGAAAACAAACATTAAAATGAAAGATTAAATCTGTGCTTTCAAAGTAGACAGCCATGGGGGCACAAATAGCCTCATGTGGCATAAGGGCATGCATGTGATTTACCACTCATGTCAGAGGTAAACATCTCCTGTGGCCTCCGAAGAAATATTTTGTGGTTACCGGTACACTGAACTAAGCATCAGCTCGTGACATGAGCGTTTAAGAGGCTTCTGACAGTTAATGACTAAAATCTAACCTTTGACACAGACGCTGGTGTGAGATGGCATGACTTAAGGAGATGACTCCCACCCCATTCATCTTAATCTGTGAGAAACATTCCTGAAGGATTAAACTACAAACATGGAGGCAGAACTGAGGATTCATGTGATCCCTGTGACAAAAGAGTTTCAGGAATGTGACCTGTGCTTGCAAGAATCCTCGGAAAAAATCCCCCTGTGATGTGAGATATTCATGTGCACCACATTATGACTGGAAGCAGCCCTAAATCTAACACTCCGTTAGGTTATGGCTGCTCTAAGGCTGTCCTTGTTCAGGCTTTATACGCCATGGACTTTGTGTACATCAAAAGCTGGTAATGCAGCCGATTGCTTTGTCCTCAGCAAATTAATTGTGAACGTGGCGGGGGCGGAAAAAACGTTGCACCAAACTTGCCGTGTCATCAAGATGAACAGCATCAGTCTTCATAATGAGCTTGGTGGCACACATGGCATTTTTTTTAGGTCAATATTTAGAGCTTGAGAGGGATGAGTCACTGCATCTGTGAGAACGTTCTCTGTGAGAGGAAGACACCACCTTACCTCCCTTTGACCCGATTAGCTAGAACCGACATTCACTTTAGAGGCAACCACAGTCAACCTAAACATATCATATTCACAGACCCACAACGGAAGCATTCAGGTCTGGTTCTCCTAAAACAGTCGATGCAGAGCTTTCAGGTGGTCCAACCTCAGCTTTCTGACCATTCGGCACAAATCTTCCACGACTTTAGTCTTGATGGCTACTTTAGATTGTGATATTTTGCTGTAGCACCATTGCAAAAATATGAAAAGGTAACAAGCTTAAAAAAGTTCATTTTTGTGGATGAAGACATACACAGCCCTCTACAAACCATGCTGGATTCCAAGGTTTTTCAACTGAATAAATGAGGGGGTAAAACACATTGTTGCTGCAGTATTTTCTTTGGTGTCTTCCTTCTCCTCTAACAAACACAGTGATGATGGCAAAGATGGTGTCCTCAAGGAGAAGTGATCAAGTTTTACGGTTTTACTCTGTTTTGATTAGCCAACTCTGTTCTATTAGCCAATTAGGCTCTGATTTTCCACCTATAGTCATAAAAATGATCAGAATGGCAACAGGGCCTGAAAATTTTCAGGCGAGTCTATGCGCTCCACTTCTCATTTTTCCAAGTTCTGTTTCTGATAATGAGCGGTTTGAGCCGTATATACACATGCCACCACACAGAAAACTGCTTCACCCTATTCGGAAGGGGAAATATGCCAGGGAGCCTTCCAAAACACCAAGGATTAATAGCTGAAAATCAACACAATCTTTTTCGGTATCCATGGAAACAAGGGTAAAACATCAAAAGGCAGATGCTTTTTTTAATATCAGCAAGTCATTCGTGATCATAACCAAATGAGCATGCTCCTAAGGGTCTGGGCTCATTCCGAAAGCCTCCTTTCACAGCATTAAGAAGCGCCCCTCCTGGGACCAGCCCAGTTCCACCTCTGTCCTGTGTGACCCACTTAACTGACAGAAGCTCGGTGTAAAATTTCAATGCACATGGAAGAGATGCAGAAATGCTCGGCATAATCAGGTTTGGCTTTACTGGCACCTTCTAAATCGAGCAAGCTGCCTTTGATTTTTAATTTGAGTCACTACAGCCATAAAATCCACAAAACACAGCTTTAAACGATAAGTAATCCATCATAGCAAACATTTATCAGCCTTATTGTTTCAATAAATTATAGAAATGCCTTTGGTTGCATTATTGGGACTCGGGGAGAATTTGGGGCCATGAAACCGCTGTTAGAGACAGTTTGAAATAAAATGAGCCTTGTCTGCTAACTCAGTAGGTCGTTCAGTTGGAGATTTTTTAATATAGAGGCACAGCAAAGTTAAACTGCAAAAAAGTTTTATTTCTGATCAAACTGCTGTCATTTTTTTTGTTTACTACAGAGATGGACGGCATGTATAATTCAGCACACACCAAAAGTTATTAGAGAATTGTGCACAAAAGAAACAATCGATGTAGCTAATAGGGATTTTTTTCTTGTTTTTTGCCAACATTTCAAAAAGAAACAAGCTACCTCACAAAGCGGCAGAGATAGTTTAAACCTCTGCACGCTGCATGACTAACAATCAGAGAACAGAATGTTCTCAAATTTATGGGGAGCTAATCAAACCCTAATCAAACCCGATGGTTGTTACATTATTATTATCAAGGACATTGTTTTTCTTTGAAAGCTTATCAGCTCAGTGTCTTTCCAGACTTCTCACAGTACAATGAAAGTAATCCTCTGTAGGGCCTTTGCAGCTGATGTTTAAGGTTCTTCTGAAGACTTGGGACATGGACCTATGGCCTCATCAGTGAACCAGCTGCAGCCTGCCTGGTATAAAGAACTTCTTTCTTATTTCAAGAAAGACAGAAACATGTACTCTTTCAGAAGATAAGTGGGAGAGCAGATCTCTATTAAGCTACCACTACACAATGAACTGGCTAATCAACTATAAAGTCGGTTTGGTGAGGGAAAATGTACATTAGAAAAACATTTGAGTAGCAGGAACAGCTGAGAAATGAGAAGAACCGTCAGTGCAAAGCTGGACGCACTGAGGACTGACTAAATTAGGCTTTGTTAGAAAGTCTCGAAGAATATGAATAGGTGAATAAATGAGCTCCTTGACAGCAACATCTTGCTATGACTGTCATTATAAGATGATGTGTTCTCTGAATAGGATATTAAAATGTTACTTCTTTGCCCAGAGGGAGCAGAATCAGTCAGAATTGTTGCTGATCAAACTTTTAAAGAAGGCTGGCACTATACTCAGGGCTGTTCTGAAGTCTCCTGAGCTTATTGTGCAAAGAATGCTGTGCAAGTTGCCAAATGAACAACATGGCACGCCCTCAGCACAACAAAGTGTCCTTCATTCAGACTTCAACAGGTGAGCAGCAAAACGACCAGTGCACCATGTCATTCCTGTGCTCACAATAGTTGTGCAAGATGGCTTTATCATTGATTATCATTTACACTGAAACTTCCCTTTGGGGATCAATGAATATTGAACTGGCTCCCACAGTCTTTGCCACAGAACAATATAAATTGCCTTTTCCAGATCCCCTTACAGTCCGTGACCTTTGCTGCTGTGCTTCCTGTCCGTAAATAACACCGTCAAAATTCAATAGGCACAAACGCAGCAAGATCTCCACAACTTGTACAGTTAAGGTTTCGTTTCATCAGTCTGAATGTTGGGCCAGAGGAGCAGTAAATCAGAAAGTAAAGTGATTTTTCTTTGCTGCTGTTCAACCAATGCTTTTGTAGATAGCCCACCAGACAGCCAGAGGTTTAAAAAAAAAAAAAATGTAGCAAGATGACACTTTCTCCCAGATTAGATGTGAGGCGTTGTGAACCAGACGCTACGATGTGACGGCGTGTTTCTCACCTCAGCACCATGGGACAGACTCCTTTTCCTGAGGGCTGGGGAGGGCTCGGCTGACCGCAGAGGAGTCAGACCTCCGTTCTTCAGCTGCTCCCCTGAGGGCGACTTTGGTACAGTCCACACAGGAGCACCATCTAAAGAAACGACAGAGCAGCGTCAGAGCCAATCCGGCGGCTTTTCACTCACGGGAGGAGGCTAAGATTTAGAGATTAGCCCTTTTTTAAATAAAAAAAAAGCTATAGTGTGATCCGGTACAAAAACTCAATAAGGCAATTCTTATATAGAATTAAAAGGTGTGCGTGCGACTGACAGAGACTAGACACCAGGAAATTGTGTGAGTGATAAAAGATTTCATATTTGCTCAATGTTATAAATCCCGACTTGTTTTATTGACCTGACTGAGGCAGAGAGTAGAATGACTTATATTGATTTGCACCATCAGCGGTAAAATGTTCACCACAAATAGAAGAAATCTGCTTCCTGTAAAACTAAACAATTACATTATCGTCACTGGTGTTTGTGGCTACGGTGCTGCTATGAAAGCTGAATTATTTGGAATTTCTTCACCCCATACTGCAGTGAAATCTGATCTAAAACAGCTTAAAGTTTTCACACAACCCTCCCAAAAAGCAAATGAACTGTAGAAGTGTTCAATTAAAACTGGAACCTAAAACGAATACAAGTTCTTGATTTTTATGACAATCCAAGAGTGAAGAGCAGAAGTCAAGAACAAATAGGTTAACGCGTGAGCAGAAAGCCTCGGCCTGGACCATCTGCACGAGTAAACAGCTTATCTGAGTGACAGACCGTAGACAGGAACAGAGAATGTTTGCTCATAAGCAGTGACTGAGAAAAGGTCCAGGAGTCGTTGAACCATTAATCCAGAGAAATTGTGCTCATCCAGAAGCGGCTAAAGAAAACCACACCATGATGTAACCACCACTGTTTTTAAAGGGCAGACGGGAAGAAAGTCTCTTATTGAATGAGGTGAATTTCATCTCTTTTCAACGCACATCATTGTTTTCCTGACGGTGGATGCATGATTATCAAAGTACCTCAAGCTTCTTAAAACATGTTAAATTTCCTTTAGATATTCTGTACTATTGTATTATTTTCTTTTAGAGTGATCCTGGTTACTTAAACTCTCCAGGGGAGGGTAAAAACCATCTTTAAGGTTCCTCCATTTTTACAGTTAGATTTGAGACAGATATTTTTCCGTTGTTCAGGACTATTAACTGAATAATTTATGAAGAACAGATGGATCTTTTTAAGAATCAAATCAAGCACCTGTTCTGCACACAAAACACAAATCTTCCTTAACCACAAACAGAAGTCTCATAAGTTCACGTAAAAACTGTGGAAATTTTTCCAAAACAATGTTTTATTATACGTTTTTGTTGTCGTGAGATTGTCTGTTTCCTATTTTGTAGAGTGAGTTTGATCCTCAGGTACAGAGTTTGAATCTTTATTCTTTTAGAATTATGTTTTTTTTTTGTTTTTTTTACTCGTTCTTGTTTCTACATCAGAAAGGTTGTAGCGCTTTAGATTTAATTTTTTTGTGCTCTCTTTTTGTTCCTGAATGACTAAGTGCATTTTGGGTAATTAAGGCATAAGTAAAGGGCCTGAAACATTTTGACTCCCTTAAACAGGGACACTGCAATTCATAAGTCATAAACCATCCACTGTGGTTATCTCTACCCTCACTTCTGATACTGAATGACTTATTTTAATAGTTAATCGGGATTTTCATCATGGAAGGACTGACTCTCCACAATTTGCATCCATCAAAGACATTGTGAAGTTTCCCCGTTTAAAAGCCTCCGTCTCACCTCATAGCAGTAGATCTTATTTCAAAGTGCTGTTGATGGAGCTCTTAAAGAGGCGATTCTCATCTCCCCTCGCATTCTAACCGGGTTAAAAGTCTAACGCACAACGAGGCTATACTTTAAAATCCATTACGGTGAAGCAAACTGTCCTGACACAGGTCAGTGCTCTGGTGGGGTTGATGAGAGGGTCTCATGAGCTAAACAAAGCCCCCAGGATGCATCTGTGCAGCAGTCAGCTGATGGTTTGACTAGAAGGAACCTGAGAGAACGCGAGAGTGTGATACGTCACTCCTGACAAACGACAACTCGAGCAGAAGCATAGGGATTAGCAAGTTAAAGATGTGATCAAAAGGGAATTTCTGAGGACGTATTGAAACATCATCACCACATTTGGGGGGTTAATGGCTCCCAGAGAGATCATTAGGCTAAAAATATCTTAAAAATGGGTTGCAAACCTGTAACTTAGACATTTTTTCAGATTAGTCTGCACTGATGTTTAAAGATGTCACAACAAAGCACCAGAAGCAGAGATGCTCAGAGAGCAGGGTCATTTTAGGCCATTGGGTGGAGGCATGCAGGTGGATCAAAAGGCTTTTGCAGATCAAACAGTGGACAAACATTCATGCATTAAATCAATTCCAATGGCTTTAGCTTCCATTTCTGGGCTGTGACATCCAATTAGATTAATGATGCTACTATGGTCTCATTATAAAAAACAAAAATAATAAGATGTCACTGGACAAGCCTATCACTTCACTATTGGCTCATACGAGTAGGTTTACTTGTTATTATTTCAAAGGAAGGAGGGGGGGGGACTAGTTTGAGAAGTAAATTTCCTTTACGGATCTTTAACTTCCTTAAAGGAAAACGCTCTTTGTGAGATAATGAAAGAGAGAAAGTGGGGCTTCAAGCTTTTTATAGCGGTGGCGGAGGGAAGTGGGGGCGGGGTCCAAATAGAGCTAGAGCGAGCAGCAAAGATCCTCTGTGACAGCTGGTAGTCGGCTATCTGGCTTGTGGCTGGCAAGTTTTTGTTGGAGTGAAAGCTCGACCGAGTTCTCTGCTCTTTTGAAACTAGAGCCGACTCCAACAGGTTCCCCTTGGATTTTCCATCATCGACGGGAGACCTGAGGGACCAACGTGCCAGCCAAACTCAGTGCAACCTCATGCTCGGCCCCTCTACCAAAGAGTTTGCTTGCCCATGCAATGGAAATGCTTTTCTTGCGTGGGCATTAAGTCCATTCAATCAGCTAGCCCCCTCCCGTCATCAGCTGCATCGAATCGGGATGCAGCCCATGCTGGCCAGCCACACCGCCAACGACTCTGCAACACCGAGGATCCCAACGTTAAGTTCCTCACTGAGATGTGGAGGGTACATGCCGGAAGCGAGGAGCAGCTGGGCCCCCACAGGACTCATCAGCAAGGCAGCGGAAGGAAAGAGGTTTGTACTTGCGGCCCCGTGGTCCCACTCCACACCACCCCCTGTGTGATGAACAGGTACAGGGCGGGGTGACTGCTGGCGCAAAAAGAAGACCAATAAACAGTGAGGAGCCTGCACCCACCCAAACACAGATGCCACACAAACTTTCCAAAGTTACTGCAGCGACTCCCCGAACCTTTTTAAGGCTGAAAACACACTCAGTCAAATGCCTTTCAAAGTGTCACAGATGGCTCTGAGAATGTTCCTGGCTCACACTTTGCACTGGCTATGTTGGTTTGAATTCACAGCAGTTGAAGTGGATTACAACGTGGCGCAAAACTAACTAACATGCGTTAAAACCATCCACTAGTTTGAAATTGTGTAGCATTCTTAACTATAAATAGGCAGAATCTGAAAAAAGTTCAACAAAGCAACTGAACTTTTAAAATTGTAAAGGTTTTGGCCTAGCAAAAAGTTTTAAAAATGGAAAATGCCATATGGAAAAGGAAACCTGGCCTTGCTTTCTATCCAGCTGACCCATAAATCCTTCCTAACAGAGGAATCTGTGACGTTTGTGAAATTTACTAAACAATCTCAGAGGTCTTGTGTTTAGGAAGTAAGTCAGAGTAATTTAGAGACAACACAAATGTAAACAACCTCGGACAAGAAAAATGAGTAGGAAAACCAAAAACTTCCAATCTAATCCTTTAGTTTTCTTGTGCCTTAAAGTAACTAAAGATAACACAGAAGGGATTTAGAGCAGGAAAAGGAGTCTTTTGCACTATTCTTGCACTAAGAATAGTTTGAGATGAGTTACCCTACACAGTGACCTAATTTCCAGGATTTTACAGCCAACATGCTACATTTCTAAATAGGTTCAACAGTCAAATTCATTTTCTTACAACACCGATCTGATTGTGGAGGCCAGCCAAATCTAAACAAAAAAGTTTCTAAAACTTGTTCTGAACCAGAGCACCAACAGCCATCCCAAATCTTCTCCGCAGAAGTACAGTGCTTAGGGTTTCCATTGCAATCAAGTACCATCTTTTGCAGAAGTTTTAACCCTTGTTGAGAAGAACATACTGCAGCAGAAGTAAAAAAGAGCTGTACTCTGAGCCGCTGTAACTGCTGTGATTTCAAACAAACTGCATCTGGCATCTTTCACAAGTAGAACAGGCTTCAAGTTTCAGAGCCAGGAGCCAGACTGATTAGGACTCAATAGTTTTCAGAGGAGTATAGTGTTAAATCGGATCCAATCCTCTTTTCTGGATGGAGTCACTCATTTTATGTTCTTCTACAGCAACCTGGATACTGTAAATGGATTATAAATATTCATTTTTACTCATGAACAAAGAAATCAAACCACAACAGTTGAGGGATTTCAATTCAGCTCATAGTCTGCTTTTGTCCCGTACAATAGAGCCGATTGCATTGTCCTCTTTGTCATGCCAATACAACCACCCCCAGGCTGCAAATGGTTTAAATCAAGACAACTTTATTGGACGTGGCACAGAGAGGATTAAACATGGCAGAGGTCTGACATTTGAGGCACCAGTGTGGATTCCTTTGGCAAACGCTTAATCCTTCAAGGAGATTCAGAAATGCATAGTATTATATTTAGGTTTGCCCATTCACATATAGGTTTTTTTTTCTGACATGCATGTAGTGAGACAGTCTTACATGCTTTCAGGAGCTCCTTCAACAACATCTTCATACACGCTTCACATTCATGCTTGTACCTGGTACCACATGTACCACTTTGAGGGAGCGTTTGGCGTTTCAATGCACAAGACATTGAAAAGACAAAAATGAATGATAGTAGCACAGTACAACCATAATGACAAGAAACAATGACAAAAAAAATAAACTAAATAAATGGCACGGACAATTGAACACACCGATGCGACATTCAACAACATTTACTACAAACACTGAAGTTCACAGGGCCCATCAGGCATGGGCACGAGCCACAGTCTAACTGCACCAGCTGGGCCTTGCCAGTGGGCTCTGGAGGAGGGGACTGAAAAGACAAGGGGCATGTGGGAGTTGGAGGAGTTGGGGGCTCCAGTAACAGCACTGGAACGGGGCCCAGGACGGACTCACCGGAGGAGGCTCCGTGGCCGGTGTGGTAGCGCTGGGAGGCCTGGGACTGAGGCGGCGCCTGGCTGTGACTCTGAGTCTGTTGCAGGATGTTCAGGCATTCTCCCAGGCAGCTGAGCGTGGCGGCGGAGGTGGCTTTGAGCAGCAGCAGGTCCTGGTCCAGACACGAAAGCGGCCCTTTGGTGGGTAGGGAGTCAATGGACTGGACGAGGTTCTTCTGTTGGCCCTCAGCTTGAGACATCACCTGTATGGGTAAAGGGATGCAAGACATGAGAATCCCATTTCCAGACTTCTCTTAATTAAAACGGTCCCATGAAAGGACCATTTTAGTACGAGTTGCATATGACACAATAAGTAAAGCCTGCAGCCAAACCCAGTCCCTTCCTATGAGAGAAAGGTTGCCTTGAAATGTCTCATTGACCCGAAAGGTGCGGTAAGGATCTAAAAAATAAATAAGCTGTAAAATAAAATTTTAAAAAAAGTCAGTTGAGCCATCAAAGGATGGTGTAGAAGCACACAAAAGGAAGGATCTAAACAAGATCATAAAAAGTGACAACATTGCATTTAATTCTCAAATTACAGTTTGGAACAACTGACTTCTTAAAACGTGCCAGTCAATCGAATCATAAACGAAGCACCTAAGCTTCACAAGTAACAACGTACTGAATTTACCATGAAGTGCATCTAAGCCTCTGTGGAGATGTGAGAATCTTACAGAAAAACAGCTGTCAGCTGCAGCTTCACAAATCAGCAATTTGTGTAACCAGAGAAATCAGCTCATTCACTACATCGCACCCATTCATGACCAATTACACCAAAAGTTAAACCCTTTTATGTCCTGTATCCTATTTCATAGAGCGCACTTTTCAGAGGTTATACCGTCAATCAAGCATTTGTGTTTGGAGCGTTTGGAGTGTTACAGATTGTGTGGAGACGTTTTGCAGTGCTTTGAGGCACATTTTGGTCATTAAGGGCATTTGCTGACAATAAGGAAAAAAAGACTCATTAACTCTTGCTTTAGTGCACACTCTTACTCCTGACTCATGAATTACTGATGTAATTAGTTGCTAATCTGGTGTTCCACAATGATCATAAGTCATGAAATCTTTAGAACATACATACATATATATATATATATATTTGCTCATTAAAAAAGGAGAAAATTAAAGATGATTTTATTAATTGAATGAATTAATATGAATCAATCAATGAATGAATCAATAGCATCCCAATATAAATTGACTCATATCATCCTAAGAAAACTGTGTGTGGGCGTGTGTGTGGGCGTGTGTGTGTGTGTGTGTGTGTCGTCCCATAACAGATTAGCTAGATGAGCAGTTTATAGTTTAAAATCATTTATGCTCCCACATCAGTTGACGGTACAGTGGATCAATAAGCAGATGCTTTAATCTGATTGGCTGTTGGGTTTCCTATGAGTCTGAGCTCTTCTCCATGAATGTATCCTGCCAATCTCAACGCATATTAGATGTGCAATTCGGGAGGTTTTTGTTGCTTCAAGTAACACAACTATATCCAAGTCATGTTAGATGTAGTGTGAGTAGAATACTAAAATATTCACAGTTTGTTGACAAGCTCTCCGATCGCTGACAGTATTGTCAACTAAGGTATGCTGACATGGACCATCACACATTAATCACATCTGGGTTGCTATTTTTAGAATATGCACTTCTCTTCTAAAAAAAAAAGCTTCCGAGGTGTTTTGCAGGCTGGATACGTAGGACAAATGACAATGTACGCAGCACTAAATCTGAGCTCCTTGCAGAAAACCCGTCCGAAAGATCACATGAGACGATGTGCAAAGATGACACTTTACCTACAAGAATTCCAACAAGTGAGCTCACTAATGCGATGTGCTTCTCCTCCTGCTGCCCTGGATGTTGCTTTCTACTCAATGCTTTAAGGTGATACAGTGAGACAAGAATAGACTGACACATGCCAAGAGGCTCAAATCTATTCCCAATCCGATTTTCAGTGGACTCTCTGAATAAAAGTCTTTCCTTCTATGATTTCCTCCCGTGGCAGCAAAAATATGTCACTGTGCAGGACATTTCCAAACAGAAATTGTAGAGGGAGAAGTTCAAACTAGAAAAGATATTTTTAAATATCTGCATACACGAGGGTGAAGCCTAAGGCAATTATAAACAAATCCAAGAAATGAGGATCCGTGCATGCTGGAAACAAATGTGACAGCTCCTACTTCCAGCCTCCCATACAGCCATACTGTTACAGGGTTTGTGCGAAGGAGGTGTCACCAGTGAGCATTATGATCCACACAACCATCTGCTCTGAGACAACGGTGCTAAAACAAAGAAAGAAAGACAAAGAGAAACAGAAACTTTCCAAAACAGAAAAGTTCTTCCGATACTCCTCAGAGTGAGAAATGTTCCTTCTGTCTCACTTGTCAGAGTCTAAAGGTATCACAGAGAGAAGCTGCTTCTCTGGCAGATGATGCGCATCTCTCAGACTAATAAATCTGGGTTGTTTATCAGCCAGGAAGATTGTCTTCATTAATATTAAATGGTGTCACAAACACTTGCCGTCCACACCTCAGCAGCACATCTGTCCGCCTGCGCTGATGCAGAGAGCTACTCACGAGTTCCTAAAAAATCTGATTCTGCTGGCTTAGAGAAGATAGCACAGACACTGATGTTAAAGCAAAGAAACTGTCCAATTATTCAGCTATCTAAATCAGGCAGATTGATTCTGGATTCTGTTTGAAGCCTTACTGATCTCATGATTTAACACTTGGTAATGATCCGAGGTGGCCAAACTTTGCAGTCTGACTTCATTTTTCAAATGGATGCTTTAAAATATGCTATGCCATATCAAACTGCATTATTCCAGTAGCTGCTCATGACAGGATATTATGCACTATGTTACAAAATATTCAGTCACCACAGAGTTATGGATATATTTGAGGATTACGATGAGCATACAGAGGAAAGTCTTTTTCTCCTGAACAAACAAGCTCCCTCAGAAACTGCTGCTGGAAGCTTTATTCCCTTTATAACAGGATTTTACATCTGTAAGTACATCTTGTGAATATTCTAGCCTGGATTCTCTATCAAATCAGCTCTCCGCAGCATGTTAACATCACCGTTTGGAATCACTTCAGCTGCTTTGTTACTTCGTCAGAGGCCGGAGCAAAACAACCTACCAGTGATCTGGAACTCCCTCTAAAGTGGACAGCCAAAAGCTCCACTGTTCTGTATGCAGGGACTGCTCTCTGCTTAAAGCAATACACCTTTAACTTTCCTGCATTGCAGTTTCTTGCTACTCAATGACAAACTACACAAGTATTGATAATCTATGCTATCCCGATGAGCTGATGGATAACATATTTTTTTATCATCTCCAATTCCAATCTGTCCACAGGGCTTTGGGAACTACTTTTTAAAACTACTAATATAAGTATTCCTTTTGTTTTTCAATTAAATCTTTGAGTACTTCTGAAGATAATTCATCATGAAACATGAAACTACAGGCAGATGTAGAAGGTTAATTGCATCTTCGTTGCACAAATAAGGCTGGAAATCAGAACCTGCCCGAGGGTCCATTTTTCACTGAAAGGGCCATTTGCGGATGGTGGTGGAAATTGGAGAGCAAATGTGTTGCTATGCAACCATAAGTAACTCCCAAAAAAAAAGCCACACTATAAGCTCAAAATAACACAGCTCACCGAGTTTTATGACACGGCAAAATGCAGCAATTTTTCCAGATGGAAGCAAAGCAATGGAAGTATTATTGTTACACTTTGTCCCAAAGACATGAAACTCAAATAAAATCACACGGTGAAAGAAGAAAAATGACATTAAAGGATCGTTCACATAAAAATAAAGGGACATTTCTCATAGCAAACATCAAGTGATTCGCATTGAGAATAACAACAAGTAGCTCATAAATATAAATGTTTAAAACACTTTTAACTAGGATTACGTATGGGGATTATTACTTCCGCAAAGAAGCAAAAACACAATGTTGGCATTTCTTCCCTTTGTTAAAAGAAGCAGAAATTGCAGAATATTACTACAAAGTGGGCTACGGAAAGGGAAGCTCCCCCACCACAAACACACACCTCCCTCTCCGGAGCCAACAGGACCAGTGATGTATCCCGAAATAGCCCCACGCCAACGATCCAGCTCTGCTGTCGCTCTGCGAGCGCCCAGCGGTGCTCCTGCTGCCAGAATCGAAGCATTTGACGAGTTCACATCACCCAGCTGTGACAAGCTGACTGAAGAGTACATGGTCATGTGACCCGACTCCCACCAGCTCACAATCAGCGCGGAGGCAGATTCATGCATGGACAGATTTACGGATGGGAGGTGACAGCGTGACAGTAGCCTCAACACTCACCACCAAACCTCCCTGATGCTTCGTGCTCTGCTGCTTTCAGGGGTATCGCCGCCGTAAACCAAACCCAGGCCCTTCAAGTCCACAATGGGCCTTTATTTTGCATCTAAATGCACATGATTTTAGAGTGATCGTATGCAAACCCGTCATGAATTATTCAGGTTCAAAGGTGGGCCAACTGAGTAAGATATGCTGGTCTTGAACAGACAGAAGTACAGAATGGGTGACCATGCAATGCTGTTATTTATCTTTTTTCATTTGAATGTTTTGTTGTATCTAAGGATTAATGTATTAATGTATTTCCCATACTTTACTTCAAAACTGCTTGGTAGACATTTTATTTATGAATTTTTTGCTTTTCCATCTAGGTCCATCTTCCCCAGTTTGTTCAAAGTTGTGACATGCAATTTATCTAACTTTGTATGTTATGTGTATAATCTTGTACACACAAAAAATAATTGTGAGTGGCAGTAGTATCAATGTACGTCCCCTGATAGTAACTACCACTGTATTGTAATGCTCTCACAAAATAAAAATGAATAATGTAAAAAAGAATTATTCAGGTGGGCCACACACAATAACTGACAGTTTAACATTTCATGTGTGTTTGTTGAACAAGAAAAAATAAACATGTGGTCGTCCAAAATGCTCAAACATGAAAACCAGCAGTCGCTTCAGACAGTTTTATCTTTGGACAGCAGGAGATCGCTATAAAGGAATCACTCCATAACCAGAATCTGATGAGTTTCCACATCAGCCTCCATGTTGCAACCGCTGATGAGATCACTACACTTCAACAGAAGTCCTGGAAACCAAGCAAACATCTGTCATTTTATGGATTTAGTGAGACACTCAGTCCTCAGATAGGTCTACGAAGCCGACGCTGCTGCCATACAACCCCGGAGCTGTCAGACGCTCATAAGTCCTGATCAAAGGCATCTCCACCCACAACATACACCGCATTACATTATGCAAGGGGGGGGGAACAAGGCAAGCTGAGGAAATAAACCACTCCAGTATCAGGGACAAGATTAAAAATCTGTTTCCACAATTTTCAATAAAGGCAGAATACTGTCCAATGACTTTGATAAAAATTTGTAGTGATATAGTAATTGAATTCAGTAAGTGGTAAGATATCCAAAATGCACAAAAACCTGAAAAGGAAAAAAAACAAAGGTTACAGTAAAATTCTGTCAACCTAAAAAGATCCTCAGCCTTTTTTCACCCAGGTAGGTGTCTCTTCCTTTAGTGGTGCAGTTAATACAGATGACCAAGAATACCTGGAAAAAAAAAACAAACTAAGACTGGACCTAAATCTGCCAACAATTGCCAGAAGTGAACATCGCACTTCAATTCGCTGCATCGATTGACTTTCAGACTGCTTCACAGGTTTGTAGTCACTGAAGAAAATGAGTGCAACAAATCTAGCAACCTAAGGGATAAACAGCTTATAGTACCTCTCAGCAAAAAAAGCGTATTGTTTTTTTTTTAAACAATCAGATTGCAGAGACCATTATCGAGAGTGAACATCACACTGCTAACAGAGGTGGTTAAATAATTTCCCCTCGAAAATATGAAAAACACAACATATAAAAGTGTTGCTTCAAGCTGTCTTAATCATTTTTCATGTACAACATTAAAAAAAGTTAATTCAGCCAAGGAAAGAGTCAGTGCAGGTTGTGCGATTGTTTGAAAGGCATGCATCAACCGTAAAGGACAGTTGAGACATCCAGGACTCTGCTGTTTCCCTTTGGGTCTGTCTATAGATCAGGCTGGAGCCCGATTTGGCTCAGAACGGCTCACATTTGCGCCTCCGGCTGGCTGTGAGGGGAGTCCAGCCAGCGTTGTTGGGAGAATGGATTGAGGACACAAAACATGTGAGGATGAGCTACGGTAAAAAAAAGAAGGCCTTACTGGAAGCAGCAGAGGGATGTTTATGAATATCATTGGCGACGGAAACCGGAAAATAAATGCGACGTGGAACTCCAGCATCTCTGATGCTGCTGTTGGACCATAAATCCTGCGTGTAATCAGCGTACGGCAGCTTTCCGGTCATACATCAGAGCGAGCAGACTCCTTTACTGTTGACTCCCGCATACTTTGGCCTTTATCTGTGCCAAATCCGTCAGCAAAGTTTATTGGTCTGTTATTAATGAAGGATGGAAAACTACAAACGACTAAAGGAAGGAGGTAGGCCAGGAGTAAGCAGAGGGGTGAAGAGATGGGCTGGCAGACACAGAGGGAGGAGCTTAATGACAGCGGATTAGAGCCAGGTCGGAGGAAGAAGAAGCCCAGCTCTTCTGAGAGCTTCATTTTCCCAGTTTGTACAGAAACCCCAAGAACCAGAGGAGAGTTTGTTTGGCTTAATGATCGCACCATCTGCTTGTTATTTACTCCATCTTTGAATGTTTGTGGCTTCACAAAAGGAGGCATCCTAGGGCTCCCGAGGAGTGAAAAATACTCTCCACTCACACTGATTACGAGTTGCTCCTTTTTTTGTCAGGGAGAAAATCATATAACAAGATATTCTTAGCACAACGAGCAGTGTGGCTCATCTGAAGGGGAAATTTAACAACTTCAAGTCAGCCAGGCCCCTTGGTGAGCAAGACGCATGAAAGATCTGCATGAAATATTAATGCTCCTCCAAGAGTGTCATCAGACTGACAAGCAGAGGAACAACTAGGGTGAATGGCAAGTTTTTTTAATACAGCATATAACAAATGGTATTTTGTTCTGTGGCTGGTTCTGAGATTTGAGCTACCAGGAATCTTACCAAAGACGCCGTGTTGTTTTCCTTCTGAAAGAAGAATGATTTTTGTAGGCAGCACTTAAAGTTGCTTTGTAGTAGTTGATGAAAAAAATGGTTGATGAAATTATACTTGTACAGGTGAAAAACTGGGGGTTGAACTCCTCTGGGGCTGCAGGAATAGCAGGGAGAGCAGAAAGGGTTGCTTGAGGATCTCAGGGCTGCGTGTCTGCTTTTTGAAGATGTTCTTTTGATGGCTGCTTCTTGCGTGTCATGCTTAAATGCATGGACAGTATTAATTATGAGTGCTCTCATAAAATAAATATTTGACATGATGCCCAGAATTTTGTATTCCTTATAACTGTATTTGTAGTATCATTTGAACGTTTTGCCAATCAACTTGTTCTATAATTCATTTTTAGGCAACTTTTCATCTTCTTACTGTTGGAGACGCAAATCAGTGAAATAATAGATGCTAAAAAGAAGAACTAAATGATCCTAAAAGCAAAATAACCAGACACCAAAAAGCTTATAAGGCCAGCCACATTTCATGGCTATGACATTCCTTTTACACACACGCACGCACAAAATTTTATATTTGGTGGTAACGTGTCTTTCAGTATATCAGTATATACTTGTATATTAGCCAATTTCTATAATGCCCATTTAGAACTCCTCTCTATCAAGCACTTTTCTTACACTTTACTCCACTAGTAGACGGTTCCTCTTACTGACTATTTTGTCACAATAACTTCATAATTTAGCAGCAAGGCATGCAGCCACTTGAGCCTCTTTAAAGAAAAAAAACTGCATCTACCTGCCCATTTTATTAACCTGACATACAACCACGTCTTCTTCATTTTCAACATCATGAAGGACAACTTCTACTCTAATCTCTAGAAGTTAATCACTTCAAACCAACTGCATACAAGTCATTAAGAAGTGACATTGAATAACAATCTTCTCCTGAAAGATAAGAGAAGAAGAGTGAACAACTGCTGTGTGCAAATGGACTTGAGGAAGAAGCCCTAACTAGAACTGACATGTCTTGTTACCCTGGCGAAGAAAATTGATGAGGATTTGAACGAACAGCTAGAACTTGGGACTGATAGAAATTTTCAAGCTGAAAATTTTTTTAATTAACTTTCAACATGCCAGCAGGTCGGTACATACAAATCCCGAAATGGTTGAAGGGTTCAAGGGATGAAGCTTTGCGCCATGTCATCAAGGATTAACTAGAGAACGTCTTCTCGGATATTCAGAGCATGAGCTCTGTCCCTCATCCATCACTTCCTCGCGTCTCTTTACACACGAACCGGCATTTAAATAAAAATCCACCACAACGATCCGATCGATAGATCCCCCTTTATCTGCAGCCGTGTTAATCATTATTTATAAGTGCAAAAAATATGCCAACAAGGCTGAGCCGATGCATTCCTGTCAGCATGCCAGCAATATCTGCTGAACTCACTGCACCAGTGTCCCCCCCGAGATCACAACAAAGACTCTGAAGACAAAGGCAGAGCCGATCGAAGTACAGCTCGGGGACTACATTATCAGAGAGATAACCTCGCCTTATGACTACGTCAAAGGGAAATAAAAGAAAGGAAAAAAAAGCTGATGCCTTGTCAGAATGATATTAAAACTCCTCCCATCCATCTATAATCTGCAGCAGCAAATCAACACTCTGAAAAGTTCATTATACAGCCTTTAACAGCCACTGGATGTTGCACTGGAGCACAGACCACAGACAAAGAGAAAGCCGAGCCACTACTGTGTTTTCAGGCCTACTAATAAATTGATGCAGATGTTACTGGAGAGCACGGCAATTGTGAGAGGTGACACAGCGCTCATATTCATGATGGAAATTGTTTTGAATTACCCATCTTGATGAATTGAACAATGTTTCCACTAATTTCGTTTTAATCACTGCATGAAAGAACACAGAGCACATGATCAAGTCTTTTTTTTACAGTCTCACCACAGACAAAGCTGTTCTCCTGAATAGGGAAAACCGGTGTAAACCACTCCTTAACTCAGATCAATCAGATTCCATTTTTCCGGAAAAAGAGTTCATAAATAGATTTCTTTCTTTATTATTCAACTGTGCCTTTGGGTGTGTGACTATCTTCCCATGGAGTGTAAAGCAAAGAGAAAAGATTAAATAAAAACAAGGGACTGTATAATAGCTGGCAGCAGGCTGTGGGGTCAGAGACTGCAGCTGGTGGGACGCCAACTCCAGTACAAGGAAAGTCAGTTTCATGGGTCAAAGTTTTCAACCTCTGCACTTGTCACAGCCACAGGTTTACTGTTTCTGCTTTTCCTTTTAAAGAAATAAAATAAAAGGACCCAACGAAGGCCTTCAAGTCTGCTCTGATTTCAAATCTGAAAGCCCAGGGCTGTGTTCACCACCCACCTCTTTAACCTCTAGCAGGCGTCCTGGATACTGGCTCTTGGCCCGCCGCGCTGCAGCTGGAGATTTGTGGTGGGTGATGGTGACGATGTTGCTGGGAGCGGCCGTGTGGCCTGGGTGCCTCTGGGAGCTCGGGGATGAGGATGGAGTAAGGTGGGGGAGGAGGGAGAAACTACGGGTCCGACCTGAGGATGAGGAGCCCTGAGGGGAGGGACGGGAAGGTGGGAGATGACACAGAGAGGGAAAGAGTGAGTCATGTCGGGATTTCAACACGATAGGCTCATAATAAAATGCTCAAAAAAAGGAACCTTAGGAACCCTGTAATCGGAAAGCAAACATTTTTCGTTCATGTTAATTTGACTCCGGACGTGAAGTATGTTACGGCTCATTTCCATTCCAGATGTTTTCTCTTTTGTTTTCCTGTTTTCATGATCAAAACAAACTTAAAATAGAGCTGTTAAATGTCTGAAACATTCTGGACTTTATTTAAACAAAATGAGGCGGTCTTGGGTCAGAAGTCAAATGAACTAGGAGGGTACAGACCTACAAATGACTTATAGGAAGTTACAGGACACTACTGTCACAAAGAAGGGGAACAGATGAGCAAAGAGGTACCAAGGAGGAAAGAAGACCAATGGCGCTGAACCCTAATATGGTCAGAATGTATATTACAGATACCAGCACTTTCTAAAAGGTGGTAAAACGTTATGTGGTGAAGGAAGAAAATAAGTTATTTACATTTTTTATGCTACATGTTGATTTATCTTCATTTAGTAAGTAGCAAAGTTTTTTTTTTTTTAAGTCATATTGATATTGTACAGTTAAAAAGAAGTTTCCAGAAAATGAACTAGTCTGCAAACTTTTTTTTGCTATCGCAATAATGTGCAAGCACAAAACTGGCTTCAAATTCCAGCTTTTGACTTGAACTAAAAAACAAACATCGTCTATAAAGATATTTGAAAAGAACAAACGCGGTAGGCTCAGAATCACCACAATAACATCACTAATCCATGGTGTGCTTCAACATAAAATCTCTAAAAATGGCTACAATGAGTTTTGTTGTTTTGTTTTTCTTTGTTGGACTGAAGCTCCAAAAGTTGCATCAGATCCTTTCCTCTGTTTCCCCCGTCTCTTCCATTCAGCGACTTCTGTCTCCTCAGTTGGCTGACCTCAGCCGTCACACAGCCAGCGATGTTAAGTCAGTATCCATCTCCTCCGTCTTCATTCTTGGTTAGTTTGCAGCGGCACACAATGAGCAGGCTTCAGAGCGCTATCCCTCAGCAGAGGACTGGTCACTGCAGCAGCCAAAGCAGTTGAAATAAACAACTTCCACCCCAGAGCACCGCTCCCTGAGAGGAAAACCAGCAGCTTTGGTTTTGGAGTGATGCTGCTCACTCTGCAGCAAACCATGAAAGCAAACCAACAAATGACCCGTCAGAACATATCAGCCATGTGATCTGTGGAGAAATGTTTGGCTTTATTCCCTTTAGGTCATAAAAGTGCATAGAAATATTGAGAAACTAAGGGTAAAGAAGGTAGCGAATTGTGTAATCATTTTAATACAAACTAAGTGGCTTACAAGAGGGAACACTATTGCCCTGTGCAACATTAAACCACCAGCCCTAAGTGAGAAAAAAACAGTCTCTCAAGAGTGCAAACAAACACGCCGAGATCTCAAACTGGCACAGAGCCACCAGGTATTTAAACAGTGGATGAGAGATGAGAAATCCAGTTCAGCGCAGGGAGGGAGGGAGGGATTTAAGATATCAGATTCAATTTAGAAAAGAAAACAAGCAAATGAACTCAGGTTAAACATGTTTCAGAGGTTGGGCGAATGGACGTTCTAGCTCTCTACAAAAATGTCCAACTTGGAGTTTCTTTCGGCAGGACTAAGGAATAAATGCATATAAATAAACACCCCACAGGTGATGACCGTGGGTGGACATTTCCCTTCCATCCGAGCGCGGCACAGTAGGTGGACAAGAAGAAAATCAACTGCTGACTTGTCATTTTCTGCTCCACAGGTGACAACACATAATGTGCAATTACACGTTCAGTTATAGCTTCTGTTGGAGAGACTGACAGCAGTTAAATAGTCTAATGTTAAAATAATTAAGATGTCATTAAAAAAAAGTCCATTATTTCTGCATTTTGGCTTCAGGAATCCACAGGCTGATGAAAACAGACCTGCCTGAATGGCTGAGTTATTCTACTCAAGAAGGATAACATTACAAACCAGGATTAATTTAACCTAATTAAAAAGGGAATGACATCCATTTTGCTCCATGCCTTCACATTACCTGCAGAGGATTCCTATTCTTAAGAGACAATGAGCAAAACCAACTAAACAAGGGGAAGAGAAACAGTGAGAGCCAACTCAATAAAAAAAAAAAGGATCTACTAAGTTTATAATAAAAAACAAATCTACTGATGGGCTTTTTGCACCGTCACCATAAAAATTAGGTCTGCCGTCAGCAGTAGCACCAGTATACGGAAATGTCCAAAAAACTGCTGAATTTGACAATTTATAGGTCAAAGAAAAGTTAGCCCATTTCACAGATGAATGTGTGCAACAACAATGCCACGAAAACCATTTTGGTCGGCACAGAATTCTTTAAAAGAAAATCTTTGAAAACAAATAACACCTCTGTCCCCTCAGGCTGTTTGGTCATCATAATCCATTATAGAGCACTGTGATGTTCTACTACAGATCATCAACACCTGATGAGGATTTACAGCTACAATAAATATCTTTTACATATTGTAATGGTCCTTTCCCAGCCTCGTTTATCTTCGGTATACATCTAGAGTCAGTTATCTGTGGTTTGTTCAAGTGTCCAATCCAAATCGGATATATTTAAAGATGAAATAAAACTGAACAATTCCCCTTGGGTCAGTTGTTAAATAGATATAAAGTAAAATTACTGCTTTTATCACCAGCAAAATCCTTCAAAATTTATGGACAGCAGTAAAAATTTGTGACACATTAAGTACAGTAGAAGTTCTGGTGTGTGCTGACCTCAACCCTCTAATGGTTATATACCGACTTAAAAAAGCAACATAGGCTAAATGGCACATAAAGAGCCACATATGTACAAAAGACCAAAAAATGACTTTGCCTGTCCAAACTTTGACCCGTTGTGCAGTTCGTGCGGTTTCAGCGTCACAGAGCAGTGGTCCCAGAGTCCCCTGAAAATTCATTGTGCAGCTAATCAGCTTCAGATGTGCAGCTGTGCTTCCAGCCGGCAACAACAGAAAGCTCAAAAGTCACCTCCCACAGACACCCGCTGGGCTCCAATGCAACAGCTAAGGAATAAATCCCAGTCACAGAAAGCATCCAGCTTATTGATGACTGAGCTGGATCCATCTGACTTTATGTTCTAAACAGACCCGAATGCTTTAGAGTGCTGCATCCTGAATAAAGGTTGTTCATATAAAAGGAAAAGAATTATATGAAGAATATCACCTGGCCAATTGGAGCACTTCAGTGTGAGAGTGGTTCAGTTTAACAGCTTCCATTAACTTCTCCTTTTTCTTATGCAGTCACCTCAGGAATACAAAAGAAGACTTCCATCGATATAGTGTGAAATCTAATATCCGATGTTTCCACAGACTGCACAGAGGCAACAAGCACATATCTGACCCAATAGCTCCGATTTTGTGTCGCTTCACTGAGAATGACTGAAACCAGGAATCATATTTCAGGGGTTACAGCAACAACTACTGTCACAAGCCACTCCATGAGCTCGACTGAGGCTGGAAAAAAGAAGCAAATTTGCTGACTCAACAAACTGCAACAGCATCAGACTCCACTTGAACCTGAAGTGAGTCCACAGGAAGCCCTGACGCAGAGATAAGAAGCGTTTTTGCTCATCCAGCGGAGAGTTATCACTTTATCACGCATGTTGTGGTCTCGCTTTGTCTTTGGCTCTATAACGTAATGAACAGCAAATGTGGCTCCACAAAGGTTTGGGGAGACAATATGTCTAACCTGCATGGATCAAAGCTATGAAAGCTAATTCAGCATATTCTGCTGAATGAATTAGTATTAATTAGTGAGCTTTTTCGTTCAAATACGAATGACAGAAAATTACATGGATATTAGAATTCTCATTGATCTTGAGGTGCAAACAAGTTTGAACACAGCATCGGAAAGTAAGCCATCAGTGACCTAAACTTTATTGAGAGGCACGGTCTGTCCGTTGTCCTGGTGAACATTGTCAATTCTTTAATTCCTTACGAAACACTCTGCCATTGAATGAAAGCAGCAGAGCGCCGTAACCATGCCTGCAATGCCATTCAGCTCACTTTAACATTTACCAGCTGTAATGTCTCACATCGTGGCCCCAAAACAGGCTAGTGAAGAACAAAAGGAGGCGAGACTCATCGATTTTTCCTGACTCCAGCAAGCAGGCGACATGTTTTCAGTCCCACTGTGTGGGCTGATGTCCACCGCCTCATCAAAAATAACAAACTGGCCTTATTATCTGAGAAAGTAGTGATTATCAGCAACCGTTATCCTAAACCTTCATCTTTCATGTTGTCATAGCTACAGGCCTGAGGATGCTGGGTTTAGCCTGTAATCACTGGAGCTTTTCTTATAGCCCAGCAGAGTTAAGAGTTCTCCAGGGTAACTTGATACAAGTTAACCAATTATTTTCAGAGTTGAAAATGACTTTTTTCTTCAATAAAAAAAAAAAAATGGAAATCATGTATGCTTTTAAATCCAGCTCAAATTTGATCTCTAGTCTTATCAACAGTAAAAAAAAAAAACATACATACATATATATCTTTTTAAAATGCCTTTCAAAGGCATTTTCCTCTGAAGAATAAAAACATCCACACCTCCTAAGACAGGTCTGCTATCATCAATGTAACAGAGCCTCCGCCGTTGGCCTCCCCATCATCGCGGCGGCTTCGATAACAATCTTAGTGGCAGACGGCGAGGCTCATGGAAGGATTACGCCACAGCAGAGGCAACAGTAATGACGGCTGCAGCTGCGGAGGGGCTCCACAGCCCCCCAGCAGGAACAAAACAGCCACCCATCTCCACTGGCCACAGGGAGAAAGACAGAAACAATTTTCCCTCTTTCTACTTTTCCTTACTTATCCAGTTTTCTCTCATCTTTTCATTGCTGTTCTCAACACGGCTGAGTGGAATAATTGGACGGCCCGCCTCACTCCAGCTGTGCAGCAGTTTGAAGTGCTGAGCAGCTACATGCACAATGAGAGGGCGAAGAGGGATTGTTTAAAGAGGCACGTGGAATAATGTCTTTGTCAAGAGCCATCCAAAGAGGATGAGTGTGTGCTGTTCACTCACCAGCATCTCCTGCCCTCCTCCTGCTCTCTCCACACTCAGGTGTTCATCTGAGCCCTTTAGCTTCCTCACCTGGAACCAAACAAACAAAAATCCAGAACATGAACGCTGCTGTTCCCACACTGTAAAAGAAGGGCTCACCAAAACTCTTTATGAGATCATCCACTGCTGTCCTGTGTATCTCAGAAATCTCATTGAAACTAATTAATGGTCGCTTCATTAGAACTTTGATGGGGCATTTTTATGCAAATTACATTTGCATTTCATAGCAATGGGAATCAAACTCAGTCATTTTCTATATCTAGTTTACATGGGGGGGAAAAAAGCCAAACTTTAATACCAAAAGTTAGCTGAATAAAAACTTTGCTTTATTTCTCGCATTCATGCACTGCTGCCTTCACCACTGGTGGTGGAGCTCCTGGATGAGCTGTGTAAAAGCCTCATTCTTTCCTGGATCAGGCAGATAAAGTATACAGCCCCCAGAGATACAGAACCACAGGCACATATGCCAAATAATCCCTTGAAGTCCAAAATAAACCCCCCAAAAACTTCACAGGTCCAACTACTAATCCATGAAGCCCATATTGAAAAAGGCTGAGAATAAACATTGTGGAATGGTTGCAGTAATCTGTCAAAAAGGTAATACTTTTAATACTAATAATACTTTTAATACTTTTAAGGTAGCATGCTGAGAGTGAGCACTGAGAGGCCTTCATTATACATAGAAAAATTTAAATATGCACGTATAATTTTTCTGGCAATTTTACTTTATGAACACAGTCAATTTCCTTTTGTGTTATTTCTCTTTCTCATTTCCCCTTGTTCATTCAAAATCATTGTGCTTTGAGTAGGATGATGATAATGACAAAGTCAGAGGCACGCAAATAATTTGGAGGTATTATATTACTTATTGTCTGCAGAGACATGGCATTTTCTTCAAATGACCTTTAATAAGGTCTGTGATGGCAAACTTGTCCGCTCTGATGTGCATTCATGAGGATAAAAGAGAAAATAAAAAGGGACCTTTAAAGAACACCTGAAATAAAGTCTGTTAAAAGAACTAATCATCCTCCGGGGCTAGCATACAATAATTGTTTATTAAACTAAAGAGTACATTTCATCTAGCTATCCTAATATACAATATGATTAGTAGCACAAAGACAAAAATATAATAGCTTTAAAAACCTCAAATAGTTCATAAGATTTGGAAAGAGGAACTTTAACAGGTAGGGAGTCTGAGAAAAATTATTTATTTATTCAATTTTAAACCTGCAAAAAGCTGCTCATGACTAAACAGTTCATGCTATAAAGACAGAAAAAATGTGTCACCTTTAATACATTAAAGTTACTGAACTCAAAGGCAGAAAATCTTATCTTTTATAAAGCCCTTTCCTTACAAATAAATCGCTGCATCTCAAAAACTGGCAAAGTGAACTGAAAGTTATGCAGGGACAAAAGAAGATGAACTGGAAAACCATCACCTTTGAGAATCTCCCACGGAAGGTCTAGCATTTATCTTTGGCTCTCTTCCTGACTGATGTATCACAGGAGTTTGGACATGTTTCACACACTGTGTATAAAGTATGCAAGTGATGTTTTTTTCTTACCTTGGCACTGCTGTCAGAGTGGCGTCTGGCACAGGCTTGAAGCTGACTGATCCAAAACTGCTGCTCCTTGGCATCGGCAGCTTCAATAACAGAGAAAATGCATCAAAATGTTGTACACCAAAGACTATTAGGACTCATGTTAGGACTTCCATTCACACTGAAAGATCAGGAATTTCATTCAGAAACTTGCATTTTGAACATGTCTGATTCTTGTTCTTTTTTTTTTACAAATAAATGTAGATAATTGTATTCATCAAGATAAACTGCAGACAAAACATGAAAGAACACGTTTTAAAAAATCATGTTAAAACTAATATTACTAAGAAAATCTTGTTCAGTAGATAAAAACACAGATCGATCTACAAAATGATGGCAAACATACTGTAGGTATCATGATGCAATCCATATAAACAAGTTTCCTCACACAAAAGTATAAAAAAATACACCTCTGCCTCATGTGATGGATTAGAAAAAGAAAATATTATCAGAAAATAATACACAGCTAGATTTGCTCTATACAAAAGACAAGTCTTTTACCTATCAGCACTTATTTAAACTGTTATTTGTGGCTTATTTGTGGCCATCACTGTACCAGCATTCCTATCACAATATTTCTTAGGAAGAAGTCTTTCTCTTGTTTCCATCTTAACGTCTGAGGAAGAAAATTGCTATCATTTGCACCTAAAGACTGTTGTCCTAAATATTTGGATCCTCTTACTTTCTCAGTAATGTCTGGAGGGCTGGTAACACATCGGAATCCAATTCTTCTTCTCCTTCTATGCGTAGCGCAACACTCGGTATTAGAGCAGCACTAGCAAGTCGTTTGGCCAATTTGCGAGCAGCACAGGAAGCAGCTTGATACCCAATGCAAGCATGCGGTTTCCCTCTTGGCATACAGACATTCCTGTCTGCTATCAAACAGCTAACTAAAGCTCAGAGTTGCTGACTGACAGAGCTAGATGTAGCCCTCCGGGTGAAGAAGATGCTGACTGTCTGCTTGTGCTGCCCCCCTGCAGGTCAGACTGGAGAATAATATCCTTCTGATCTCATTTCACTGACTAATATAAAGCAATTTAAGATAGAAGCGATGATTTAAGTAAACCTCAAGCTGAAGGTCAGGTGGAGCTGGAGGACTAATTCAGTTTTAAAACTGCAGTATATGATCATCCACTCTATTTCTAAATGGACATGTTTAAACTATTGATAACTTTTATGTGAAATTGTTTTGGGAACTTTGAATTTCCAATGTTTTTCCATGGAAAATGTATTCTTGAATGGAAGGAAACAAAACCAATAGTCTACTTTTCATTGTGCTGGACATAAAACCTTTTTATCTTTTATTCCAGATGTTATTAACGAGATTAGCCAATTGGGCTTCAGGACTTGCTTTAGAAATAAACTAACAAGGAAAGGTCTCAGCTTCCCACTGGAAGAAGTTTTTTTATTTTTTTTTATTTTACCACAGAACCAGCATCTGGAGAGCGGTGAACGAATGTGAAAAAAATTTAACACACAAACCAGGACACCCCTCGAAACAGAAACAGTTTCTATGACACATCTGTTTGAGGAGTTTACTTTGACCAGAGTTGCTTTTCTTCAAATTCAGTTTCTCCCCATACACGTTCACTAAATGGAGTTTGGAATGAATGAATCCATCAGAGGCTCACTGGAACACCCCAAGCTCTTACAGACCCTCGCATGACTGAGCCCATTAGACCCTAAAGACTTATTTACAGATCATGACTTAAACGCCGCTTCAGGTCTGCCAGAAGCATTGGGCTTAATTTTCCATCCAAAGCACTGTTGACGTTTTGTGTTCAATGAGCCTGAACGGGGAGAGAAACCAACCAGGGAGTCACAACTGAGCATGCATCACGGCTTCAAACGCTGTGCTCAAAGGCTTGTCAGTCAGATACAACTTAAATTAAACAGAGAAGCACGGGAGCTAAATCTGTGTAGCGTGCAGCATGACGAAGAGTTGTCACAAAGAAAAACCCCACTGCTTTGAGCGTGTGCATGGAGCAGTGGCTGGAATGTCTAACATTTTGTGGTCAAAGAGGAGGCCCCAAAGCAGCTTAAAGACCTCACACAGTACCAAAGATCACAGAATTTTCTCAGATTAAAAAAAAATCCATCTTTAGTGGCCCTGGTGGAGAGCAGGCTTTAAAACTGTTTTTAACTTTGAGATACAACATTAATCCAATCTTTATGAAGAACCTTAAAATAATGTTATTATCCATTCTGTCTGTCTTTGATTCTAATTCACAGAGAAGCTCCAAATGAGAAAATAAATGGAGGCTGGAGTCCATGAATTAGATTTAGTGCAGAGCCCATTTAAAGGCTCTGTTTCATGCATAATGAATCCGAGGAGCAGAGCTAAACACAAACCCTCTGTGTTTGGAAAAAGAGTAGAAATATGAGCAGCTGCTGAACTGAATAATGAGAGGACCAGGACGGGGGCTCTTTCAAGTGACACCGATCTCAGAGTCAGTCTGCATGTGGCAGTTTTTGTGGCCCCTAAAAGTAAAAAAAATAAATAAATAAATAAATCTGCGTAAGAAAAGGAAACGTGTCGTCCTGATCTGATGCCCCCCATTCTGATCACTTCCCATCTACTGAGAGCATTTAGAACTTTAGACCAAGTTCAAAGGGAATAAGAACCAAAGTCGAAATGAGTAGAATCTGGACCAAATTTCTAAAACATTTCACGTGATTACAGGTTTTTCGTTTTAATTTTCAAAGCGCAGAGGCTCTATAATCCACAAACCAGTGAATGGCCCTTTGTTGCATTGACACACATTCCCAAGTGTGTTTAAAGAGTTTAGTCTTAGCAGGATAAGCTAGTCCAGAACTCCACAATTACTGCTTTTTTAGTTTTTCAATGGATCTGGTTTAAGCTGGTTATTAAGTACAATAAATCTCACAATAGGAGGAAGAAAGGGAGGAGAAATACCCATTTTTCTCTAAGGCAATCTTTTGACATGATGATGGAAGTTATTTCACTTTAACAGGGGTTCAATTTGCTCCTGTCAATCACTGGCAACACAAATATCTTCCACCATCTTTATGGTGTCTACACAGCGCTCTTCAAGTGAAGCGGCACCTCACTGGAGAGCACCACCTGAGACGAGCTCGCCTCCGTAGCAGAAAGCAGCATTCATACAGAGACACCTGCTCTGAACTGCGCCTCTGCTAAAATATCCACGCACAAACTTTCCTATTTTGTCCCTGCTGCCATCATCCACAGACTTTCCCCCGTTCTAAAGGCATACTCACAGAGCGAGCGACTGTGATGTGCACAGACTCAGCGGTGATTAAATATAACTATCTGTCTGTACTGATGCGAGTGCCTGTGCTAATGAGCACCCAGATATCTGCAGTACGTTTAGGTAAATGCAGGACGTGATGCTTTTCCTTCCGGGAGGAAAATAGATCAATAAAAATAAAAAAAATCCCAAAAGAAAAGTGAAACTTATTTAGCGTCGGCTTGGAGGTGACATCCAAACAGAGTTATTTAATGAATGCAGCTTTGTGCTAAGAGGTAAAAAAAAAAAAAGAAGGGAGGTGTTGTGCTCAAAATTTTCAACTACAGACGTGCACCCCTGGTTCATTTGTCTAAGTTAAAAGTCAAACCCATCCCCGAGAGATCAGCAATATTCAAGCACTGCTGGAAAAGCAGGAGCTTCTCTTGATCTCAGCCTTTCTAATGACTGATGTGAAAGGCGTTATTGGTTATGATAGTGATGAGTCTGAGGACTAATGATTGGACCGGCAGTTGCATCTAATTAAAGTGCTGGCCCATTTTGTGAACGGGGTACTTTAAACACATATTCAACACGGACTTACAAGCTGACGGGGACAAGAACGGATTGATGGGCAGCCTGTTGGTTACCATAGTCACCTAATCAAAACAGCACAGTGACACAGAGTAACACCTGTGATTATTCTTACAAAAGAGGTGCCACTATATTACATGCCAAAATAAAATCTGTAGGAAAATCAGATTTAACTGAGGCCTAATTGCCATTTAAAATCTCTTTTTCTTATCTCCCTGACAACTCATTCTTGGTGAAAATCAGTTCGTTTTAATCTTATACGTGAAACAGGAGGGGGGCCTTCAATGTCATATTAAAGCAGAATAATGAGACTTTGTGCAATCAAAAGGAACACACACCCAGATGCTGAACTGTTTGTGTGGAAGAGAGCTGTGGCTTTTAATGAAGAAAGGCAGGAACAGAAGCCTTCAATTAACTCTGAATTGAATTAATTTTTCAACTAATGCAGTGTAGTAAAGAGGGTTGGGTTTTGTTATCCACCGATTTATAACATAATCATATATAATTCTGTCAAATACCCTGTCCCTCATTCCCCATGAAGGCCCCAATGAATTAAATATATGTAAATGAGTATCAGTATCTTGTTTAACAATGAAACTGAAGGCTGTGAGGGAGTAAAACAAAATGCAACCGACTTAAACCAGCAAAACTATACTTGATGTGTTTTATTCACTTTACCTTGCTAACAAAAAAAAAGTTAATGCCACTCTAATGTTGCCTATTAACTCATTACTAACAGAATACTAACTTAAAATAAAGGAAACAAGGCATTTTTTAGCTTGAATAATTCAGGGTTTCCCACATTAATCTTTATATTTTTCTGAACAAAGGAGAATTAATCTGAGACGATTTATCAAGTTACAGCCACATTTACAAAGGAATTTAAATGTTTTAATATCTTTTTTAGATCATCTTAGAAAGGAGTTCAACAAAAAGCTAGTCGTAAATGTTGTATACTCATGTTATATACTCATCATAAAATATTAAGTCTACATGTACCAGTCTAATTTTCTTACTACTTACTTACTACAAATAATATCCAGGTCTTTTTTTTTTAACCTCACAGTCAGTCAGCGGAGCCTAACCTGACCCATCAAGATGTCTCAAGTAAGAACATTTTTCAATAATGAGTTAAAAAATAATTAAATGCAGACAATTGGTGACAAATGTTATCGGTTTCTGTAACCGAAGCAATCAAATTGCAAACTAAATACATGTTTTCAATAGTTTGGATTTTGTGGCTAGAGCTGCTTAATGGCTACATTTCACATAAAAGTAAGAAGCCGTTTTCAGTCTCAATGCAGCACATGCATGAAACAAAGTCCAACGCTAATTTCTTAATCCTTTGATGCATTTAACTTGATACATTTGAAGAGCAAGGTTCACTTCTTTTTCTCAACCTATTCATTGTTTGTTTTTGTGCATTTAAAATCATGCTGTTTTTTATGTGTGCTATAGAAAATAATATATGCTAAGGGAGCAACATCCAATTAGATAAAGCTTTAGATAATTTTTTTACAGTTCTAAATACTTATTTATAGTATAAAATGTCAAACTGTTCCAATTGGCTACTATGAATGAATGTTTTGATGTTAGGGAAAACCTTATTTCTCAGTTGGTTGAAATACTAATGTGTACCTGCTCACTCACTCACACATCAATATACGTCAAATAACCATCCAGGGGAAAACAGATAAATGATCGGTCCAAAAAATGTCCAAAAACTCCCAAATTAACGGTGTCTGTCACACAAAGCACTTCATAGATTTAAAATATTGCACTTTAATCACTTGGGTGCTCATTTGGAAATGTGCCAAGCATCCTAATGAGCTAGTTTGCATCCAGATAGAGAAAATAAAAATCATTGGCTCAATGTCTAACAAAGGCTTCGTATGATAAACAGCTTAATTTTCCATCTGAACACTCTGTCATGATTACATTTGAGTTGCTCTTCAGCTTTGCTCAGCAACAAGACAAAAGGCTCTACAGTCTCCCTTCATATGATTAACAAAAGCTCTGCACTCCTTTGGTTTAGATCCAGGAAACCACCAGGCTGTGCTGCATCAGGTGCTCCCTTACACCGGCTAGTGCGAGCAAAACTTTGTCAAAGCTCCCTTTGTGAAAAGATATCAGCTTGAGAACAAAGGTTCCATTTAAAGCTTGGGGACGCACAGGGTCATGAGATTACACAGCTAAACGCAAGAAGCTGAGAAACTGACTCTGCAGTGAACCTTAAAAAGATACTTTTTAGACCCTTAAGCTATGCTTTTAGGGGTTCCCATGGTAACTAGTACCAGATCAAAGTAACAGCCAGTCTTAATCGCATGATGCTGCCACTTTGTCCGCTGCTGTTTGTGCTAATTGAGTTTTTGGTCATACTATTTGTTTCTATTCTGCATTCATCCGAGAAAAGGAAATATTTAAAATGTTTTTTCTTTGTGACTAGAGCATTTTGAGGCGTCTCCCGTTTTCTCAGTCCGGGAAGTGTTTTGGCCAAAAAGACACCAGATCAATCATCTCGGTAACCTTCTGGATGAATATCACATCTCTGGACTGGAAATGGCAATACCTCTTCCTGCGAGCGTAAAGTTCTACTTCTCTGTGGGGGCATTGTTTCCTCTTGGCTCAATTCACCGGATCACTGAGCTATTCAGGGAATATAGGCCAAGTTATTCTGATATCCTCCCCCTCGGGTCTGAAAGGGGGCATTCCAGCAGCTCAAGGGGAGCAACAGCAAAAAAAAAAAAAAAAGAATCAAAATTAAAAATGCCCCTCTTGTTTCAATGGATACAGGTCAACGAAAGCAAAGGCCTTTGGCTCATTTGCCAGCTGCATAGTCCTGGTCAAGCATGACACCTTAAAGAGATATTTCCCTTTTGTGCACATCTCTTACCTTGATTTATACTAAACTGTGTTTCGGTTGATTAACATATTAGAAGATCAAACTGTTTCAATAGCTAAATCCTTAAAAAATAATAATGTAATAATAATGAGTAATGAATATAATGCATATTACGACAATTTCTCGACCACTGCAAAACTTTTTGTGTGTGTAATTGTTCATCCACCCAGTTTCCATCCTGATTGCCCCATTTAGGATCAGTGGAGTGGCTGAAGTCTATCCCAGTCTTCATTAGATAGAGAGGCCAGGTACCCCCCCCCCACACACATACAGGTCACCAGTCCATTCCAGGGCCACACAGACAAACAGACCTGCATGCTCACACTCACTGATGGGGACATTTCAGGCCATCCATCAAGTGGATAATTTTGGACTTTTGGCGGAGGCTGAGCTACCTGGAAAGAATCCACAAATACATGGGGGGGACATGCATGCAAACTCCACACAGCTGGGATTTGAACCCGGTGTGAGAGTCTGATCTGAGTGGGTTTATTCCACTGTGAAAATACCCACACTTAGTCCCAAAGCCCAGCTTTGGCCACAACATGCTCAATGAACATCTCAGCCTATAGATTTGAAGCTCATCAGGTACCCCATAGAAACATCTTACAAAAGGTTTTGACACAGAAAAAAAAGTTCATAGATGTAAAACTTTTAGTTGTATAAATGCAGGAAAGTCTAAATCAACAAGACGGAAGGTATTTTCCTTCATTTTTTCTTTTCGCCACCCCAACTTGCATCACACACACGGATTCCCCTCAGTGTTTGTTCATTTCCATATACAGTTAGCTGAAGTCACACTGAGGTCATACCTCTGAGTTTGTACAGCTCCCCATTGACAGAGTTTACAACGAACATGTGTGGAGCCTCATCACTGGTGGATACTGAGGCGCCGATCAAGGGCAGGGACCCACGGGGCTTCTGGCTCTTTCCCTGCTCATTAACGAAGTACTGCAGCTGGCCCAGCTCGGGATCTAACACAAAGTACCTGCATGGGAGGGAAGACAGACAGAGGCACAAGGACGTTAAGGAAGTAAAGAAGCAGGAAAAAAGAATACAGCAGAGAGAGAAACAGAGAGCACACAGTCAGTGTTGTTTTGTTTTATGCTCATTACATCGTCTACCTGGGAAACTTTTTTAAATCTTACTGGTACACAAACCTTTCCAGATCTGGGGGAGCGTCGACATGAATAAGGGTGAGATGAGAGGAAAAGCACACACACAAACCCACCACATTTTCTCATCTCCCATGCCGCTGGAGACACCTCTTCATCTAATATCCACTCAAAACGCCCAACAGTTCACATTAAGGGCTGCAACATCAGGCCGGAAAGCCTCGTTCCAAATTACTCAAGTCGTACGACTGGTGTGGTCGCCATGAGAACAACCCAGCTCCAGTTGTGGAAATCTCACCCCGTATGCTCCCACTGGAAACCAACAAATCACATTCAACCACTGTGTAACTGTGTCGCCGCCTGTACCATCGCTCACTGGAACATTTCAGATGTGAGCCATAAGACCCGCAGAGCTGGCAGACGCATTCCATCGACTATGGCCAGAGGGGATACTGTATGACATTCAACAAACTGGCCTGTCTGCTCTGCTTAACGATTGGCTCTTCTTCTGCGGTTCAGCGCTGACCAGAGAAGAGACGCGGCTTGAGGTAGCGACACTTATCTCCGCTCAGCCCGGCATCACGATATTTCCTCTGAATTCAGGTGGTTAAACTCGTCATCCATGATTGCACAGGCTGCTGTTATTGATCAGATCCCAGCTGTGGTTCGCTCCTATCATGATGGGATGACTGAAAAGACATCAATGTGGCACCTGGTCTCTCCATTTCACAGGTGTAGCTTTTAATAGGTCTCCCGTGGGTTTCACATTCAAGTACTTTTTCGATCTTTGGCCACACAGGTTTTCTTTACAAATTCACCTTGCAGGCAGCTTTGGATAAAAGTGGTTGATAATGTATAAAATTACAAGTGAAACTTCAAATAATGGAAGAAATCTGACTGAGATTCTGTTTATTATACAGGCTAGATGTGGGGGACGTTTAGCTTCACAGCAAATTAATTACTTCACAAAGCAACTAAAGATTCATTTTATTTATTTCGAGTTTAGGTCAGGCAAACACAAAGTTTGCAATTAAAAACTACTTACTTTTTTGACGTTTCATTGAATCTGTCAATGAAAGCCACAGGTGAGAAAAATGTGTCGCTATGTTCTGAATTTTTGGCTTTGCAGCAGTAACGTTATTCATAGGTGGTATGTTGACGTAAAATCTTATTAAAATAGGATTATTAACGGCGGATTTGACCCATTTCCCTAATTGATCATTTCCTTCATGATGAAAATTGTTTATAAATGACTTGAGACATCTCTTACCATTACCAACTATTACTTCAGTCCCTCACATGAGGCATTCTCTCCCTTTTGCGCCTCTAGAGGAGATCCGGTGAACACTGCCTTCTGAAAATTGATCCCCTTTCACGGCTTTGCCCCCTTCCATCGGCACAGCAGCTGATTTATGTCGACCACAGACAGCGAGGGAACAATCTGCCTGCATCGGTTTTCATTTGTCCCTCTTTTCCCCCCTCCCGCACACACCACTGCTGCATCTATGCCACACATACAGAACATGAAGTCCAGTTTCCCCGTTGTTCAGTCAGCAGAATGAAGGCTTTTACCGCTGACCCTCCAGGCAGTCCTGGCTTTGCAGCTAAAGCACATTGCAGACCTTTAACATGATGGATGGTGTTGGAAGAAAAAACCTTGGGGTTGATATTTAGTCTCATGTCAGAGGATTGCTGATAGTGCCTGACCTACGGGTCCACAGACTCTGTTAACAGTTTTGGAAGTATAAAGCTCCAACTTCACATCGTCAAGCTGCACAAAAGCTTCAGTCCTGCACAAAGATGACCGATATCTTAATAATAGCTCCCCTCATTGATATCGAATGATGGGTGCAATGGCAATGCAACTTGAAATGTTGAAAACGCAGGGTCACCGGTACTAAAGATGCTCATGGGTGATAAGATTTTACAACGCAATGAAGTGAGTACCGGCACATACAAGCTGGATATGATGTATTGTCAAGACAAACAGGCTCATATTCATTATGCAGACTAAAATGTCATGATTAGTGGCCTAAGGATCCAGCAGGATCTGGCTGAAAGTACAAAGACAAATACACACAAATGCACGTAACGGTAAGGATTCAGTATGTGCTGAAAAACGCACTTAAGGCAAGAATAAAGGATTTGGTAAGACGGGTCTGTCCTCGTTACTAAGAAATCATTTTTCAAGCCACTTCACAATGCAGGCCCGTAGATGCTGCAGGGAAAAAAGCTTTCAGCTCAACTAGTTAGCTCTCAGACATGCTCATGAAGGGCTTAGCGCAGGGAGTGGAGAATCATTCAGGTTACTGGCAGGAATCAGACAGTGTAATAAAACCATTTCAGAGGGTTAATGTTCAGCTGACATTTCCCCGTTTCATGGTGCCATGAGAAGGTTGTAAACCTTTATTATCGAATGTTCAATCACGTCACAGGCCAGGAGCTCACAAACACACACAAGCAGCAGAAAAAACAGCACGAACATCCCACCGCACGAATCAGTCTAACAGATCGCTGACTTTTAATTCAAGTTGAGCCTAGACTTGGAGATGCTCTACTCTCGTCAACATCCACTCATTCACTTTATTTCTCTGCCTTTCCAGGTAAAGACCTCATCAATTCTCTAAAAACTCATTTTCCAGACACGTACGCCAGTAAGACTTCACTCTCTTTACCCACTGTCTGAGGACAATTTCATTTGCTGGTCTCGTGTTTGTAGATAAATAAAACTACATGGATAGACAGACTGATGGATGCACAACAAAGCAATGAAACACACCCGAGTCTCAACCCCTTAGGAAGCTAGTTGTGCTTTGAAATAAGGACTACGTATGAAAAGTGTTGTAATTTCTGCTTGTATGAGAGTCTGGAATGTGCAGTTTAACCACATTCATATCTCCACATGAAACAAAGCCAGCATCTTAAATTTTACTCTTCTTTGTTATAGAGACATCCCAGAGCTGCATAGCTTTAATCAAGGAAAAATATAATAAAAGAAAAAAGAAAATACTGAGTTGCATTTGCAGAGGAATGATTCATCCTTTACCCCCACTCCTTAGACGTAGATTTGAGAGCCATACTTCCTACATGATCAAAGCCTCATTTCATATGATAAGATGTGTGAAAAGGAGATTGAGAGGGCTCCAAATATTTCATATCCTTTGATATGCATTCAAAAGTTCGAATGCGGCGCAAACAGTACCAGACAACCGGACTGTAAATTGTCAAACGAAGAAACTCCATTGCATGAAAAGTCCTAATTTACCACAGCGTTTTTCCCAATTCTATCAAAATTTTCTTTCCTGCCTTTTATAACCGAGTGTACCACTGTCACCCTGGAAACCCGCTTTGAGCTACCACACAAAGCCAAAGTCCTGGAAACAGCAATAAGTACAATCCATCCATTTTCTCCTGCTGATTAATCTAATTCAGGCTATCCCAGCTGCCATTTAGCAGAGAGACAGCATTCACCCCGAACAGGTCACCAGTCCAATTTAATTTAATTTGTTCAACTCTCTTTTTGTTACTAAAAGCACCAAATCAAAACAAATAGCATCTGAAGGCACTTGAAGTATATATAGTCCAAGTCAAGACAATTATAATCAAATCTCTTGTAATACAGCCATAATCCATTCATCACAAATTAATTAAAATCTAAATTAAATTTGTTCTGTGCCAACTGAACAGTAGCCTTCCTACTGTGAGGCAAGCCTTTCCAATTTCAGATCATGGCATGAAGCATGTAGTGATGATACCAGCTTTGCAGCACAGCCACAAACCTTGGGTTCACCACAGGTGAGTCTCACCTGGCAACCGACCATTTAAGAAAATGGTTGGTGTGTAGGGGTGCTCCCCTCTGCCTGTGAGCATGGCAGACGTGAGATGTTGCGTTTTATTTGGAACAGCTGTTGCCCAGCAGGGGGAGAATCTGCCTGCCAACCTGCTGGTCAGAGATTACGCACAGCGTTCTCTGACCACATGTTGAGACGTCTGGGGCAAGAAAGTGAGCCCCATGTTGCACAGAATGCATCCATTTCCAGAATATTCCTTCCAGACGGCCCGGCAGGGTGAGCAGTCGTCTATATACTGGTAGGCCGGTTGGTTGATTCCTGATTTCCCTGGACCACTTGCCGAAGTGTCTTTGGATTCCAAATTGCCTCTGATGCATTCGTCAGTGTGTGAACGTTACGGGACGGAGAAGCAAGCAATAAAAAAGAAAAACGAACAGAAGTGGGTTTAGCATATTTCAAAACATTTCAGCATCCCACCGAAAGTAAAATATTTTTTGGGCCGTTTTCATTCTTAAAAATTGCATTTCACCTTCAAATAGTTTGGTTTTACAACCAAAGTGGGATTTTTTTTATTTTTATTATTTTTAAACCACTTATCTGATACAACAAATACAGCACAAGCCCGGCGTATCTAACTAATCTATTTCTTGGCACGCATTTTCCCTAAAGATGCCAGTGCAGATTTCCGTCTGCTGAGGTTCCCCACCAGAGCTGCTGGTTCTGGCTGACTGGGTCAAGAAGAAGCAGAGCAGTGTTTTCCCCGTATGAGTAAGCTTTCACACACGCAGTGACTCATCTTTCTCCTGCTCTCAGATTTGACCCAAAAACAGACGGGTTTTACACTACATGAGCTGGTCCTCACCTCTTCACAGGACTAAATTATGCATGAAAAATCAATACAAGTGCTTTTTGTATATCTATTAAAGGCGGTATTTTTAATGTTATCCTGAAGCAAATAATAATAATGGATTTTTAAAATACCGATGACCCATCCTTCATCAGCATTCCATGTTGGCAGTGCTAGCTGAAGTCTGTCCAGTAACCAATCAGAGCAACCGGGCCTTCGTTTGGATTAAAGTTATTTCTTTATTTTCCGCTTCCACTGTCTTGCTTCTACACTTTTCACTGTGATTGAGAAGTTGTAAACTCAAAGTAAAAGGAGTAAAGGTCACCATTGTTATAACTTGTCTGACACTTACAACAAGCATCTACACTTAAAATGCTTTTTTCATGGCTGCTCATGTCTCAGTCCCAATAAACCGAGAGATGCCGCATTGGCTAACCTTTGTTTGGCCCGAGGCCTCGTTCATGTGGTGCATGTCTGAACCACCTCCCCTGCAGGATGTCAGCAAGGCATGCTGATGCTTAAACTAATTCAGCTAGCTCCAGTGGATGGAAAGGAGCTACAACTTTAATCCAACCTCCCTCTCAGACGGCCAAGCTAATCGCCCCTTCCCGAAGGATGAGCCAAGTCACCCTTCAAAAAGGAGCCTCATTCCTCATTCCTTCTGACACTCATGAACAAGAACCTGAAACACTTCAGCTCCTTCACTTGGGGCAGTGACTCACTCCCATCCTGAAGTGGGCAATCCAGCTTGTTCCAGCTGAGAAATGCAGCCTCAGAGGGGGTTGTTCTCATCCAGGCTGAATAAACACTGTGCCTGCTGGAAGTCTCTGCTCAGAAAAAGCCAACAGGACCACAATATCCACAAAAAGAAATGGACTATGCAATCCTTAGTCGACCAAACTGGAAACCCTTAAACCTGTGGCCATGCTGGAGGCTAAAAATCCGAGTCTGGATTAATGCCAGTAATCCAAACCCTCTAGTTTTACTTGCACAACTTTGGTCCACAAAGGGTTCTGATATTATGCACTGCTGAAACAAGGTCCACAGGGACTTTGTTCTAAGTTGTGTGTAAGTCAATAGAAATATGAGTTCCAACTGGTCTCAGTCTCCTTGTAGTATCTTTCCTGGGGTACAGAGTTTTATAGAGGGCCTTTGCATGTTATTTATCCCCAGTGTTCCAGTATCCAGATAAAGTCTCCCAAACACTGGCATCTCCACATTGCAAAATACATTCAGTCACCCAAATTATTCCAAATATTTTGAAAATGATACTGTCTTACACACACCAATTTAGAAAAGAATACTATAGAATCATTTCTGCTTGGTCTAACTCAAATACAAAAATACAAACAGGTAACCTACATATCGCAGATGAAAATCGAGGCCATTCTGAGCCCAGCGCTGTATTACTCTAGGTTTCCCACAAAAGAATCAGGCTAACAAACTAACACCATCATTGGTCATAAACAAAATGTAGGTCAAATTTAAAAAGAACTTAAGCGATGATACTGGAGGGACGAAAACACATTTCAACCCCAATGGGATTCGTTTCTGCTCTACTGAACTGATCAAATGATCTAATGACTGTGTCAGTTACTTGCAAAATTGAGGAACTTGAATGCGGACTATATAAACAACAGTTATCCGGACAATACAGCAGCAACTCCCTGAGCTTAGCCTGGTATCCACAGTGACACATTTGGGTCACAAGTGTAGCACGCAGCGCATATATTTACTCAAAAGCACGGAACAGAAGCGTCGTAGATTTTCAGCTCACAAACACTCGGAGCACCTCCGCCACACAACAGCACTTCACACAAACACACGTCTGCCCACGCGGAGGCAGAATTAGATCCACTCAGGTCTGCTGCCCACCAGGACACACAGCCGCACGCCCAGAAACACACAGCGCGCTCCACTAAAGGATGGAGACCAGAACGTGACAGACAACCGTAATCACTCCAACACAGTCGTCCGCCAGAGCGCGGCCTCTGCTCCTTCAAATGCTTCTAGAATTAAACGCTGCAGGCACTTCCAGATATTAGCTGATAATAACGGTAAACACCGAGCACCTGCGGGACGACGGATGGCACAAACTCTTCTCTTCCTGCTTCAATGGGTTTAGGAGAAGATGATTTAAAATGACAAAAAATAAATAAATAAAGTTCAAGCTGGTTGACATTTAGAGTGAAGAAAAAAAATTAATGAAGAACTGCATTAGAGCATATTAAGTTTTGATAAAAATAATAAACTGCAGAAAATCAATCAATCAATTAGTGGTCTTTCTCCAGCTCCAAGAAAACCTACAAGCAGTTTATCTGAATGTGTGGCATCAGCCTTGATAATGACAGAATATGTACACCATAATACGACTCCAGGAAGTACCTTAATCCACTTACACAAGTTGAACACGATTTCAGGTGCAGATAAACCTCACTGCTTTGACTAGCTGCATCCTATCATGATGCTGTATGTGTAGAAAACAGCTCAGAACAGCTCATGAGTTAAGTCTTTGCTCTCTGTTAAAGGGTGGCAGGGGGAAGTTTCTTTAGGTACACTGAGCTGTTAAAATCTGAGCTGTTTTTCAGTTGTGAATGCACAGGTCCCTCCATCAAAGGGAATCTCTCCTTGAAAGCCAGATCGTTCCAAAGGGGCTCTTTGAAACTGAGAAAGGACGGGGAACGGCAGCCACAAAGAACGAGCTGATCTTTCAAACCACTTTGTAGTAACAGCTCCGTTTTACCGTGCATGGATATGTTTGTATGTGACTTTATTTCTGAAGACACATAAAAACACTAATTATATGTGTTGTAATAAATATACCCCTTCTCTTTGGAAGATGGAAATCCATTCATCACCTGCCTGTCAGTTTAGAAATTGGGAGCAGCAGTTCTCTCTCTCCTCTCCATTCCCTTCCGCTCTCACATGGACTGGCATCAAGCCCAGATCATACATACTTCCATAGCTGCCTGAGCTTCCCTCTTCTCTGCAGCAGCACCACTACATCACAACTACAGCGGAACATACATACATGCACACGTGTGGGTAGGAAATTAATTTCACGGCATAAAATGTCACTCTAAACCTGGAAATCCTGCATAATTTATGTTAATTATACTGCAGAACATTCGGCAGAAAAAGCTTTCTGTACTTCCTCGAAATGAGATGAAGAAAACGCAGCAGATGTTTTATGTGTGGCCACAGTATTAATTCTAAATTAGAAACTCATTGCCTCTCATGCTGATGGCTCTCGTCTGTGTCAGAGCGGACTAAATCTGGGAGTGAGCCCATAAAGGCTGCATGAGGTGCAGACGCACTATAATGCACTGCTGTGATCTCAACAGCTGTTGCTGTGATGTACTCCGCTTCATTCCAACAGCAGCCGCAGTGCTTATGGAGAAACTGACTCCCAGGTAATCACAGGGAGTAATATCAGTCTGATCAAAGCGCTGGACGAAAGTAGTATGATTACCTGCACTTTTCAATAGACAGTATTTTTTTTAAACAAACAGTTTTTTGGGCCAACAATCTGCCACTTTCAGATGGAGCATATAGGCCTTTTCTCATATTAGACCCAAACCACTGATAAACAAAGAGTGCACCATGTTGACGGGTGAAATGGACACAATGGTCAGCTCTGTACATTTTACAGCTGCTCCACATAACCCTTTTTGTTCAATATTGAATTTAGTCAGTTTCATCTTAGTCAAACTGCCCCATAAGCTTTCATTGGGATCACCGTTGAAATTAAAGCAGCGAGCCCAGAAGACCTCATGCAGTCCTGCCTGTGCAACTGCATGTACAAAAATCCAGTTTGCAACCTAAACCAAACCAGAACCCTAAAAAAAAGCATCAGAATTTTCCAGCAAATCAAACTGAAAGTTCAAACCCTGACCACTGCATATAAGCAAGGGGAAACTGAGCATACAAGTAGGTAAAAGACCCCCTAAAAAAAGTACACCACAAAAATACATTTAAGGCAGGAGGTTATCTTTGGTCAACAATTTAGAGGACCCCAAAAATTTAAGCATATATGTGTTTGACACTTGCTGGAGTTGCTTTTGATATTCTTTCAGTTTTCAGCAATGAAAACTCCACATAAAGAGATGATCTGAATGTTGCTGAACATCAACCCCCCCCCACCCCCACCCCCCTTCCTTGCAGTGACGTGGTGGTAAAAAGTGCAACGTGGACGGGGCAAATAACAACACGAAGCGTGGACTGAGTGGTCCGAAAGTGACTCATATCAGGCGTCTCCTCTCCCTCCTCTCCCTCTTCTCCCCCTCCAGCCCCCCCTCCCCCCCCATCCGTGCTTCTTACCTGTTCTGCCAGCCCTGGATCAGGTTGGTGTATTTGCTGAGCACTCCTTCCAGCTGCCGCCTGCGCGCCGGCTGCTGCGGAGCGCCGGGGCTGTTGCCCTGCACGCCTCCCCGGCCGTGTCCGGCCCCCGCCGACACGGACCCGGGGCTGTGCGACCCGCTCCTGGCACCGGCTTTCCTGGACGAGGATGAGCTCCCGCGGTGGTCCGACGACGGGGAGCTGGCTTTGGGGGTCCCGAGGTGCGGACTGCAGAGCGTCTTTTCCATCCTGGCGACGGGACGGTAAAGAGCAGCGGGCAGGAGGAGGAGGAGGAGGAGGAGGAGGAGGAAGAGGAGTGTGGGGAGGAGGGGGTAGGAGGAAGAGAGGGGAGGGAGGGATGTGGATGGACCTGGACCAGAGGCAAGCTGCAAGCTTAGTGGGGACGAATTCGGAAAAGCGTGCACCGAGCAGTGAGAGCGGGGCTAACGCGGAGGCATCGGGCGGGCTCCGGCCGCACTGCGCCGGGCTTCCGGGCGTCCCTCCGCCCGCAGGAGAGCTGGCATAGTCCCCGGTGTGTTTCAGCCTCCGCTCGCCCCTCTGCAGTGTGTGCTCACCGCGGCTGGATCAGAGCGGGTCTGCTCCAGCGTTTTCCTGCTAGGAAGGGAGAGAAGGGACACAGAGACACTCCCACTCCACGCTGGGCCTGCCCCCCGGATATTACAATGCAAAGCCACCACACACAGCACAGAGAAAAGAAACACAAGTATGCTTGCCTTGTATCTAAACAGCGTAACTTTCAGCAAAACAATTGACGCAAGTTCATAAACAATAAGATCACAACGATGCATGTAAACAAACACACATGTTCTAAGTACTAATGACAGGGAAATTATCCCTCAGGTCATCACTGTGATCGGTTTGGTTAACAATTAAAGGCTTATTGTACAATTTCTTCCTATGTTGTTGATTTTAAATAAAGCTTTGGGAACTTTAAAAAAATATTTTCTTTTTATGAAAACGGAAACTTTGTTTATTTACATGGAATCCACAGTGTTTCACAACATCTGCTGGATCAAGTCCCATCGTATTCCTCTGTTGTCCAACGATTGTATCAGTATCAGTGTTCCAACTTGGCCATTTTCTGAAATTGATTTGTTCCCATAGAAAGAAACTCGGAGTATTGGTTTGTTTCTCTGCGTTTTAACCATGCATTTTTGTTTTTACCTCTACCCTGTGTGCATGTCAAGTTTAAGACCCAAGTAAGTTTTAAAAAAATTAAAATAATGGTGATATATGTATTTATATAAGATATTGTTCCCAAAATTTGACCCAACTTAGTAATCGATCTTTAATATTCAGTCTCCAGCTTTTGTAAAATGCCACAAAACAAATGTAATGAAAAACATACATACCAGAGGGATGCTCATTGTTCATGTTCAAACAAACACAAAATGTACATAAAACTCATTTCTCATTGGAGAAGATGATGGACAAAATGGGACATAAACTTCTTGGCATCTTCCGAGAAATATATTCATGGGTACAAGTTCAATGAAAAAACTCAGTCCGCCCATGTTTGCACTCACTCAACCATGACCATGACAACCAGGCTGAAAGGGAAGCGCTGATGGAGGAGTAGCGGGGAAGAGCGCTGCAGGTTGTTAGGAAGAGGCCGACTCTGTGCTGAGAAATCAAGGCATACCCAATGAATCTCTACAGGACACTTTGCCGAGCGCAGATAGATTGTGCCGCACGTCAGCAGAGGCAGGCACAAAGTGAAGATCAATACGGGAGAGTAAAAGAGAAAAACACAGAGGGTCAGTGCTTTGTTAAAAGCTTTATCTCCCAGTCAGGCTCAGGTCAACCACTTTTCATCAAAAGCTGCTTGTCTGATCATATCGTTTATAACTTCCCAATTTGTACATGACAGGGATATAGTTTGAAGGCAAGCCATGTTTAACTTTTTGAACAGGATTATTATCTCTGAAGGGTCCCTAAGGGATTCAGACATCAGTCCCCCTTTCTGACCCCTTTGGTTCAGGCAGTGCCATCAGATATAATAACCAATCAAACCTCAGAAATTCTCAAGAGAGAACACCACGGAACAGAGACACCGCTAAACAGCAAAAATCATACCCACTGCTGGTACTACTGCTGGTTACGGAGCAAAACACCCGAGGAACTAACACTTGGGTTTCATGGTCATAGCTTTGTAGATTTGCTGGGATTATGATCAAAAAGCTCCTCCACATTTACAAACATCAGCACTCCAGGCAGTACAGATCCATATGAGTGGGGCTGGAGCTTCAGCACTGCTGGGTGCATTGATCAGCTCAAACATCCACCATTTGAGGGGGGAACTAACATGGAAATGTTTAGAAGTAGATTCCACGTACAGCGTTACATTTGGCCATATGAAAATGATAAAAATGAGGGTTGGACTGGGTCAAAATATTTTTCAAAATATAGTTGCAGACTTTCATTCCCATAAACCAAGCATGCGCTGAGCTAACCAGATCTGACATTATTTGTTTTTTCTACATGGAGGTTTTGCTTTTTGGATGATGATCGCTGTGAATTATTAATAGTGAATATCGTCACATATTATAAAAGTTCCAACCATACAGGGGAATAAGCAACTGCCCCTCTCAATGCCCTTTACTGCACAAAGAAAAAAAAGTAGCAAACTTATTCATCTTATGTTTCACATACTTCCTCTTGTCTATCCTATGTGAAATGTATTATTTCCCACTGTGTTCCACATCATCGCCCTGCAAAGAAGCACAACTGAACCAAAGAAACAACTCTCACCTCGGCTCTGTGAAACATGAATGAACTCATTCTCCTGCTGTGATTCAGCGTGTCCCTGACAACACTGACACCGCACCAATCTCCATCTCTGCAGTCCCCACGTCCGGCCGCTCAGATGGATGGCCGCTGTGGCTGCCGGAGGCTGGCCCTCATCGTCCACCACAGCTCAGACAGCCTACAAAGAGATACTTAAAAACCTAACCGCTCTTGAATGGCACCTTTTTGGCATCCCAGTGTGCCCGTTGTCTCCTGATTCTATGACACTTTTTAGATCCTCTACATATCTGTACACAGATATTCATGCAGAGAACTTTAAGTTTTCTTTACTTTATTTCAGGCCATCCGATTTGTTCTGTTTATCTGTGGTCAGTTCTCAAATGAAACATTTCCAGGAGGGGAACCACACACATGCATGCACCTGACTGCACATTTGAATAATCCATTTAGGCCGTGGGCCAGAATCTGTACGATGACTTTTCGTTTGAACTTTTTTGGGGCAACTTTCTTCCAGTTTAATAGGATACTTTGGACTTCAGTGTTCTCAAAAAGCCAATGTTCCCGCGTTTTCACTTGCACATTAATTAATTACGGCCAATTAAAATTTCGGTAGTTCCACATCTGGCCTATAGGTGGCTAAAACTAAGAAAATCTCCATATTTTTTTGTTTTAACCAAGTGATCTTTACCAAAAATACTTTAAAATCATTAAGGTTGATCATTAGAAAAGTTTATTTTATGCAAATACTGATGGAATCAACATGGAAATGCAATTTAGACCTTTAGTTTTGATTTTCGCTGCCAGAGGGCCACTGAACCTGAACTACTACATATTTTCCACTTTATACAGCCATAGCAAGACAAAAGACAATAATTTAATATGCAAAAACCTTGTTTTTTTGTCCAAATAATTTCTTACTAATTTAATTGTTGAAAAACTGACACTTCACTTTCCATCATATTGCATTGATTAACTTAATGAGAGAAAAACAATTACTATCAAAAGTAAACCTTGCTATAAAAAATGGAATAGATCCATATTTATGTCCAATATAAAAATCTGAACCTCTCATATTTACAGTTATATTATTTCTATCTTAACCTTTCCTCACGACATCATACTGTTTAAATCCAAAAATATCATATTTACATCATATTATTTAAATCCAGACCTCTCATATTTATATTTTTTATATTTTCATCAAAAACTTACAACATATATGAAAAACATTACAACTCATCTTCTGAGTCATCCAAGTCCTCATTATCATTTGAATATATCCCTTCCACATCATTCTCATTTTCAATCATAGCAGGACAGTTTGCACAGTGAACACATTGGCAGAGGTCACTACACGGCAAATGACCCCTTTTGCATGGATTTACCATCCAACAATAGGAGAGCACTACCATCTTCAAAGGACCAGCCATGGCCTTCTGGGTTAGGGGCGTAAATAAACTGGTCAAAACACCTTCTATAAATTGCTAGCTGGTATGCAGCTCGCTTAGAATGTTGTCAAAGACAATCCTCATTTGGTGGAAAAGATTTATCTGATTTACAGAGAAGAGAACATTTTAAACCTGGCATCATTAACCCAGTTTTTCTGTCCATACAAGTGACAGACAAATTCTTCAAGCTGAATGAACAATTTATCATCAACATCCCAACTTTTCCCAAGAAATTTGAAAGCAATTAACAGCTGGCTCTGATTCAAGCATTAGCCTTAAGGCTTTAACTTTTCCTTTCCCTTTAAAAGGTACTTAACGTGTCACATCCAGTAAAAACATGAAGACCAACAAAAGCTCGTCCTTTCCTTGGACCATGAAGACTTGCTAGATGAGAAATATTAACAGTACGAGTTTTGTTGCCAGTCCCTGTCTTAAAATGGATAGTACTCTCAAAACAATGCACACAACGCCACACAATGCCGCCAACTGGCACCAGAAAATGAAATAATTGGACGTTCTTCGTCTTGAAACAAGTTAAAAAAAACATTTCACGGGCGCTGCCATATTTAAATAACCGAGTTCTCGCGCAGAGATTCAGCCATCTTATTGGCTGATAAGCAAAACTCGAATCTCGCGATTTCTTAGATGACGGCGGAACAAATTATATTTTTAATCGACTATAACTTATTAATGTGCTAGTGAAAGGGTGGAAACATTGGCGTTTTAAGATCCATGTAGTCTCTAGCAACTTATCCAAGCGAAAGAAAGTTGCCCCCTAAAAGTGCAAACGGAATTGCTTAAGGAGACGTCGTACAGATTCTGGCCCACGGACTAATCAGAGTCTCATGGAGCTCTGCAGTTGATACATGCCTTTTGGTGGCTTATCGGGCCACGACATACAACGGGGATCAAACATGAATGGGTGAAACCCATAAGTGAAGTCAACAGCAGACATCATGCACAGCTTCACATGTGTGGCCAATGAGGCCAGTTACCACAGCCTGTCAGAGAGGATAGCGGAGTGTCACAGTTTTCAAAACACCTTTCGGAATCATTCAGAACGAGCACCTTAAACATTAATGTGTATGACAGCCTTCAAGAAAATAACTACTCAGTAGAAAAGTAGCCTGTACCTCGTCTTTAAAGATGAAGTGGTGTAAAGGGGTTTCCAGCAGCACAAGTTCTCATCACCTGCCTCCGATATGCAAATTTTTCACCAGTTTTAAAGCACACTGTTGTCTCAAAGTTTGCAATGGAGAGTGGCAGGAAAGGGATGTATGTTCATAGATAGAGTATGTGAGAACAAGCCTCCATTGTGTGGCCTGCATGTCTCAAAAGGTTATTGGGATAACTTCAGCGTAGCAAGGCTTGTTTTGAAGCAGACCGGCTGAATTAGAAAAAGGAAGTTTGTTATGTCATCAGCAGGCTTATCAGTTTTTGGTTGTGTGAGTTTGTCTGTCCTTGTCCAATAGATAACCGCATGCAGCTGCACTGCCAATCGCCTCCTGCTCTGCACACACACACTTGTGATCCGCATATCAGAAAGTGTCCAAATTAAAATCTGATGATAACGCAACTCCGAGAGACACTGAGCAGTCGTTTTGTGTAGCTATTCTGCTGACACTACCGCTACAGAGACCAGCTCCAGTCATTACCATTTTACCTGCCTACAGCCATGAAAACTGAGATTACCACCACTGTTTGTTTTGAGAACATTTAATCTGCTCATCGTAAACTTTCCTGCCCACCCAAATGACTCCGTAATATGTTTTTTGTGGAGTGCATATCTGATTAGTTAAATAAGCTCAGTGTTTAGCTTTTGGTTCCACTGTAATCCTAAAAACTGGGATGTTTTGGTTCCTGTGCATGGGAATATTTCTGTTTATTCTATCTCTGAGCAAGTGAGTGCCGCCTGTTTGAATAGTCATGCTTCACTTGCCAAAAGCATGATGTTTGCACAGGAGCTTACACAAAACACTAGCAGTATCACCGGTAAAGACTCAATGGTCTCAAGGTTAGCCACTGACCCCCACACTGACAAGGCCGGCTGAATGTGTGCGTTTACTGACAGGAAGAGGACGCCGAGAGCAGAGGGCTTTTCCCTGTGAGTTAATATTCCATGCAGAAGTGAAAGATGAAGTTCTGCATATTCATGAGGGCAGTTTGAGAATAAGGTTGGACCACAGTGAGGATGAATGTGGAGCACAGGCTGTTCAGAATAGTGTGGCACTGGCCACAGTGAAGGTCAGATAGACCCCTCCCTTTGGCATGGATCAAGTCCATACAAATATTCTTCCATGAAAAGAAAAAATCATGCACGTCCTTGTATTTTTTCATGCACAGTAACTCAACACCTTGGCTAGATTTAATTTGAGCAGATATAAAAAGTTCCCCCCTCTTGACCTCTTCTGCTTGCCTGATAGGAATTGGTCCCACTCAGCAATGCTCAAATACTAAACATGTTTGTTTTTTTCCTGGGTCATGGAAAAGGTGTCTGTATTTTGCTATTGTTGGGTAACCTTGTTCCTGATCACAGCCTGTGTCAAGTACCACCATACAGGACGGTCAATTTACTTTTAAAACAAATTCCAGACACCTCAAAAAAATAAAGCACAATGTGTGCATGGCAACAAAATTAAAAACTTCTATGTAATTTGTATGTTGTTTGTGGTTTCTTTAGTTTTAGGGTATTCAGGGTATAAGCAAACCAAATTTTTCATTGTTTTATTTATTGTGGATGTATACATAAAAATCTATTCTATTCTTCCTTCATCGGTACATCAGTGCTTACAATGATTATCTATGTCAGAAGCTGAATTTTGCTGTTCAAAACATGACTTGTAGATTTAGCATGGTTGGTAAAATCGTGTCTTGATTTGAAAGAAGCAAAGCAAAATAAGTACTTTGTACGTTTAGAAAGACAACAGAAAAGAGCATCCCAAGGAAACATCATGTACAGACTTTGATCAAGACAGTCGTAATGCAATTCAAATCCAACCAAATTTATGCCAAGTTGTGATGGGGGGCTTGTGACAGCTGTTCACAAAAACATTCAACAAAAAGCACATTACGTACTTTGCCTAAGTAGTCTTGGAGCACAGTCAAATGGTCCTTACTAAGCAAAAAGCCTTTAGAGGAAAGTTTCTAACTGAGTTAAATGACCCAGGGTTATCTAAGTGGCCATGATAAGAGCTGTCCAGATTCTCTAAATGCAAAGGAAATTTGCTCCAGTGGCTTCTTTATTACCTCCTTTAGCTTAGGAAACACTAAACCATCCTTCATGAAAGGAAAGAATGATCCATTATTCAAACTGAGGATCGGCTACTTTCATGTAGTTGTACTGACTGAGAGAGCGAACCAAAAAGCAAAAAAAACATTGAGGGAAATACCAACTGTTCTAGGGTTTTAAACAGCCCAAATTTTAACTGCTTTTTATGGGGAAAAAAGGGGAAACAAGTTAATAAAAGGTAAAAATAAAATAGTTATTTCTGTGTGTTATATTATAAATTCAAATAGTCAGCCATAATTTGCGTGTAACCACAAGACCGGTGGAGATGCAGAGGGCTTGGGAACTGACAGACCTAAAGGTCACAAAAGCCATTAGACTAATAATGAGGATGGACTTTTTTGTCGATCAGCTTGGGGGAACCTGAAACAAAAAAAGGGAGACGAAGATACAAGCGGGAAGAGGCAGACCTTAACATGAAGTGTCATTATTGCTCTCCAAGGGCTCAATTACCACTCAATTGAGCAGGAGCAGGATTCCAATTAATGCTCTGACTTGACACTTGTGTTTGTCAGAGGAGCCTGGGGCTAGAAACTCAGGGCATGGCGATAACTGCTGAGGGCTCCACTTGATTTAACAGTTTTCCTGCCAAGTACACTCTAGGCAGATTACTGACACTTTGACCCCACCACCCCCTAAAGTTTGTTTCAGCCAGATCAGAGGAGAGGCTGATCTACTTCTCTGGAGGGCCATTGATCATCACTATAATATCCTCTTTCACTGACACTGGGAAGACACACACCTTATTACAGGATGACACACAAACGCCCAACCCTCGGTTCTTCTTTTTTTAATCTGTGGGTTGATTACATTTAATGTTTTTGTGTCTTTAACTTTATTTCAAACATCTGTGGTCTCCATATGTAAGTACATAATGACTGACAAAATTAATTATTTATAATACCAGTAGATTCCAAGGTTTTTCAGTTTTTCATACAGATTTCAACAGAGACCGGATGTGTGTTTTAAGTCTGAAGTCATCAGCGCAGTTGGGAAACACTGGTTGAATTTCAACATAACCACTGCCTTAAGCACTTACATGTAAGTTCCAAGTACACAGATTGATTCAAACCCAGGATGAGGCGCATGTCTCTGAAACACACTAGAGACATCTGGTGGCCATAGAAAAGGGACTGAGAGAATCATTTGAAGCGATGATGTAATCTTTTAGATTAAGAAATTATTCCAGACAACAAAACTAAAATGAATGATCAGGTTGACTCAGATTAGTTCTGAGAAAACAGCAGATGGCTCATGTGTGTGCTTATAGGGTGAAAGAACAAACTAATCTAAGGTAACCAGAAAAATGACATTAGTGATGGTTTAATGGCATTTCACTGCTTCGATGGCAGGATGTTCATATTATCTGTGATAATATCAGAATCACTAAATCACAGTTATGAGCCAAAGGGACACCATCACTGTCTGTTTCAAACCAGCTGCTGTTGTGTCAGGCAGAATAAGACTCTTTACCAAATAACACTAATCTTTCGAGTAGACAAGAAAATAACACCATGAAAATTAGAGGGGATCATTTTTTGTCTCTGATATTTCTGGCCCAGTCCATATCAACCTCTCCATTTTGGGACCATTTTCGTGATGAATATGTTGGGAAATTTTGTTGGACATTGCTTTTATTTTACATCTTCCTTAATTTTGACAGTGGAAATAAGTTAATGGAGTTATACGCTGTTTTAAGATTGTGTGTTTATCCATCTTACCTGGTATCTGGATTCCAGTTCCTCACACTGTTCCCCATATCTAAAGAACTATTAGAAAAACCCTCTGTCTAATTTACCCACTCATAAGGGATCAAAAGCTTATAAAGAGCACTGTATTGTGTGTCCATTTGTGCTTTTCTGGATATTGCTCTGGGTTATAATATCCTTTTAGGTAGGCTCAGATAATAATGTAGAACTATCTTTAATGGTGCACATCCTCCTGAAAACCTTTGATAAATTAGGCTGGCTTCCGTGATATTAATCTCCCTTTTTGTCATACTTCTGTCTTCTTGCTACAAAACGGCAAGAGTCTCATAGAGACGTGATCTCTGGTCTCTTCCGAGTCCAGTTTTTATTAGAACACACTGATTAAAAAACCTACAACAGGCCCAGACACCAAATTTAGAGTGTGACTCTCTTGCAGTCTTAATTCTGTGTAAAGGACAAAGGTACCATGTGGAATGGATGGATATTCTCGTACTATAGTGCAATCCATGAAAAATGATATCCAGTTTGGTTTAATGTAATGAGCTTTTATGCAGCCACTCATCAGTATGCTGGGGGCAAGCACCCATCCATTTCTTTAGTGCAAGCAGCCTGGATGAAGTACTTTCCCACACTCAAGCTCACCGCATTAGTATTGATCATTTTTTACTCCACCACTCATTCAGTATCCAGGCTGCGTTTGGAATGTGTCATTAGGACACTTGTATTATCTCTAAATGTCGGTTTGGAGACACCCAGTCGGTCCAAACTACACACGGTCGCAGAATAGCGTGGAACAGCATTTCCCAGAATGCCACGGGGGCCTGACTGGCTGCTGTGTGACTGCCGCCGGACGGCTGTCGGTAGGAGGTGCAGAGAAACGTGCTCGGTTCACACAACCGTGCAGGCAGCCGAGCCCGGACCATCCGCAGCAGCCACAGCCGACATGTAAAAAAAAACAAAAAACAACAACATCCAAGATGGACTAAAAGAATGCCATCATCGGCATTATGTTCCCGGGAGTTTTCTATGCACTGCTGGCGGGTTTCCTCGGAGCCGTGGCCTCGTCGTCGGCCAAACTGTCCCTGGGAGCCGACTACCTGAAGGGAGTCTGTGAAACCGGACTCCGGACGTGGGGGGAGCAGCGGAAATTTCGCCAAGCGGACGAAACTACCGCCTGCGACCGGGTGAGGGCCACGCCGCGGTTAAAGTTGCTCTCAATAATTCACACGGTGACGTGGCCGTGAATAATGCAGCGGCCGTCCTGAGGGGGAAGTTGGGGGGATGCTCTCCTCCCTGACTCCCTCAGCATCAGCACCAGCGGCAGCATCCCGCGGGGGAGCCCCCCCCCCCCTCCCCCCCCTGCCGCTGCCCTCTCGTGCCCTGTCCGCGTGCTGAAGGACACTGCAGCTCGCGCACAGACCGTGGCATCGTGTCCATCTCCGTAAACGTGGCGCTTTTTTTCTCAGGTTCTGGCAGGCTGACGCTAAAAAAAAAGGGGGGTCAGCTTTCTAAAAATGACCTTCACGCTGTGTGTGTGTATCGCCCACGTCAAACGGTGATGCCAAACGCATCTGCGAATGTGTGTATAGATGCCAATTATTCTGAGGACACACTCCACTCTGGATGGTTACAAAATCCGCGTAAAGGCTCTTAAGCAAAATGCACGAGATTCGTATGTCATTTCACCCTTGATATATGGGATTTCAGGCATGCAGGGTTTTAATCCTGTATCATATCCTACTTTAAGAAGCTTAAAATGTTAGATTGATGTTATTTCATAGATATTATTAGTGCACTGATATCTTCTGAGTATCATCCCTCCATAGGCCGTTTTTATCCAATAAAAAGGCTGTGGATCTGTACAATTATTTGCCAGGGTATGCAGTTATGTGAGTTCCTTCAGTTTTATTCAAGTTACTTCTCACGTTCTTATTGACAATATACAGTATGTCATAGAATGATTGGTAGACTCTCCACTGCCAGCTTTAATGCTGCTTTGAGAACAGTTTTTTTCCCCAGAAGATGCTGAATGAATAAAACAAAACACTCAAGAATTAAACAGGTTTAGTGAGCTGGCAGAAACGTATGCTTTAATAAAAGTACCACTAAATGTCACCAATGTACCTTAAAGCAGACCTGCTTGTTTTTTTGTAGATCTGACTTAAATGAATGAATAAGATCATTTAAAACAACAAATTTGGTCACTTATAGGTTCAAAACTGTGAAGGCGAAACGAAAAGAGAAAAAGAAATGCTCAAGAGAGTGTTGATGTCAAGTATGTGTCATGATTCCTGTGGTTTCTGTGTGGTTCCAGCTCCACATCCCTCTGAGGCTGTTGTGTGGCGGGCTGCTCTTCACCTGTAACGCTGTGATGTGGACCTTCCTGGCCAAAGCTCTCAGGTATTCCTCCTCATCCACCCGAACCACTGTGACCACCACTGCCTCCAACTTCATATCTTCCGTAAGTCCAAAGCTTCCCAGTTGCTTCTCTCTCACTTTTGTCACAGCAAAAGGGTGAAATCATTTGAAATGACCTTTTCTTCCTTATGTAACCCGCTCTATATTGGAAGTGGGTTAACCCACATTTAGAAAATGACTTCATTTTTCTGCTCGGATCTTTCGCTTAAAGGCGTCTTTGTTGGCCGTTCGGTCATGGGCTTCCATTTTAAGAGGGCCGTTTAGATTTGTCCTCTTTTGCAGGCTTTCCTGGGGCAGCTGATCTTCGGGGAGCCACAGATCACGCTGTGGTGGGTGGGCATCTCTCTCACCTTCTCGGGTCTGCTGGTCCTGCAGAGGGTCTCGCCACAGGACTCACAACAGCAGCACGCCGTCGCTGCTAAGGACGAATAATGTGTGTTGTCTCCACAATCCGGCCGCGGCGGGCTTTGGCTGACGCCGAGAGAAGGGAGGTTTGGCAAACAACAGCAGCAGCATTAAATCAACTTTCTTCTTCGATCACAGAGAATGAGCTGCTCCTCTGGAGCGAGAGGGCGAGAAGACTGTTGTCTTCCAGTCGTGTAAGCAAATTAGTCTCTGTTTGTGTCAAATCTGCCGGCTCAGCTGCGGTGCAGAATCCTTAATCGGAGGAAATGTTGACTTTCAGCCACTCCAGTCGCAGCACAGCTTGTGGAGACAAACTAATAGATGCCTGGGCAGCTTTGAAATCGTCATTCTGCACAGGCTAGACGAAAAAGCAAAAACTATTCTAGCTTTATGTTACTTTTGGAAAGTCAGGCCACTATATAGCACAACAACTCATGAGTCAAAAGACGTGACAAATGCAAAGAGACTTCAGCTATTCATCTGGTGTTTTTGGAAAAAATGTGCTTCCTTATCGAGAGTTAGATGAGAAGATATAATGGGTCATTCTCATGTCAGCACAGTAAATGTGAAGCATAAAGCATGGAAAGGGAGGAAATAGCAAGCATGCCTTGGTCAAAAAATTCACCTTCAAGCACTTTTTTGTCTTATTTGTGCAATACGTTGAAAGACACATTTTCAAAAAGTATTTACTATTTTATGGCAACAAAAACAATCCGCGAGACTGCATCCTGCCCGAAAGAAGGGACTGCTGTTTCCTAGCTACAGGAATCTATTAACTGTCAATGAAACTTCAAATGATTTGCTTTTGTCACCATAGGGTTTGGAAAATATTCGGTGGGTGTCGCAGAGCTGGTTCCTCCTTTTCACGGCTTTTGACAGCCAGCAACCTTCTACTTTTACATCTTACTCTTTCAGTATGGAAATTGGTACATTTCTGTACATTTCCAAGAGAAGCGCATGTCATCTGTAGGCAATTTGGAAGCAGCCACTGTGATGTAATTCATTGGGTTATCTTTGTCACCCATTTGAGTTAAACAAGCAACTTAAAAATTTACTATGGTCGTAGATAAATGTAACTTAATTTCTCTTTGGAAAAAGTACAGTTTTGTTTTGTTTTTCGGAGCTGGAGGCTATGTCCATCATCGTTTCCCTCCTCACGGCAGGCCACTGCCTCACCACGAAGCAGTCTGCAAATTTTCTTTTTTTTTTTTTTTTTACTCTCACATACTTCTAAAGACACTCACTGTAAACACTGCATTGCGTCTGTGGCGCTGTTTTAACGGAAGCGCTCGGCTAACAAAGTGTACTCATATCGTAACAAGTAATCTGACTAATGTAGCGCTGAAAGGTTTCTTTCTGCTAAAGATTTACTACCTGGGTTTACTTGCCTTTGATTGCGTGAGCCCCCTAGCAGCTCTTTTTACATGTGAGCAGGACATATAGTGTATTTCCATTCTGAGGCAGCTGCTATTCCAGCTCATGTTTGAATAAATCACACCAAAGCATCCCGGAGCATCAGTCAAAAATAGAGTGACATCCCAATGAATGGCTTCGTTAAACCTTTGACTTAAGTCCCCCCCCCCACCCCACGCCCGCCCACGGCCGTTTGATTGCCTGTTGAGCTTTATGTGCTCTGTGTTTGCTCTCTTATATCATTCTGGTACACACCATGAATTATGATCCCTAACAATGTTTTTTGGGGCTCTGTAGATGGCTGACTTCGTAAAACGTCCCACAGTGTCCCAGAAGTTGTCAGCTTGACTCAGTAATGTCTCTTGAAACTGTGAGACAGGCACCTGCAAGCATTTCATAAGCAGGACAAAACATCTAAATATATAAGGAAGGCAGGGATTTTAAACCTGCATGATTTTAAACCTGTTTCGTCAAATGGTGTTTCACATTTTCACTTAATTGTTATATGACCACATAAAATAGAAATGGACACCGGTAGCTATGATTAATGTCCCTTCAGCGGTATTATATTACCAATGTCTTTCATCCCTGTTAATGTGACGAGAGTGACATCATGTCTATGGTATATGGCTCAAATATCAGAGGAGAGTGTTTCACTGCAGAGTTGTGCATGAGGCACGTTGGTCATTTCCTGTGTGCTGCGTTACTTTAAAGGAGATCTGTTCCGCTTATATTTCCAGATCCCTATTTTTATTTTGGTGAAAGCTTTACTTTAAACATTTTATATTTAACTTTTATGCATTCCTTCAATTCCTATCGTCTCAAGGTGAACTTCTGAGCGAGCACCCGTCATTTCAACAGACTGTATCTGAAAATTACAGTCTTCACTTTGCAAAGATGACCTAAATCATGTAGTAGTCATTCGAAACCTTCAAAGGGATAATTTTCATATAAATTCAAACTATTATGACCATGTGTACGTGCTGCATGTGAGAATCTGAATAAACAGAATAGTTCTCCATATAGATCTCCCTATCCTTCATAAGAAGAACAAGCTCATGAGCTATTTCTTGGTTATCTTAGCTCTGCAAAAAAACAAACAGCAAACCTGGCTTAAGATAACTAAATTAGCTGATCATTTACTGTTAGTTTTTCACATGTCTTTCCATTGTTAAACATGTTTGTGAAAAGTCCAAAGCCAACTCTAGCCTTATGTTACTCTGTGATAACAGCAGCACCACATGTGACCTAAGAGAAGCGATGGAAAAGTAATGATTCAACATTTCAGCCAAATCTTACTGAGAGAAAAGTTATTACCAGTCATATCCCATCTGATTTAAAAAAAAAACCTACCTAACTGATTCATTCATTATTTACTGTGTGCCAAGGAAATATAGCTGTTATCTTAACTTAGCACTCACTGGAAAATTAAAAATGAAAATCTCACTGATCATTTCATCACAAGGTAATTTTTTCTAGTTTCACTGGTAGTAGTTGTGACAGTACATGTTTTCTTATTCATTTAAACAGGATTATTTTATGGCTAGTAGCAGTGTCTTAATACTTTGTCTCATTAATAGGATTTAACTCTCAACAAGAACAGGATTATTGATATAATTCTTGTATGTGTACTGTGAATGCTGCGCCTGGCTTTGATCGGCTATGAGGATAAACCATCTGCCTGTGAAGCCCCTCTCACTGTAACCCAAACAGAGCTTCTCCTGCAGTCCAGCGATGGCAGCAGCCCCACTGAGAGAGTGATGTGTGAAAACAAAAGCATAACATTGACTGAAAGGTTTGGATTCTCATCGATAAGTTTATGTGCTGCAGCTGTATTCATTCAAATGAATGCAGTTTGGTTTATTGCTGTGTGGTGTTCAAATGTGAATATTAATTGAAGGAAACTTGCAATAATATAAAAGTTTTGCAAATGTTGTAACTTGGCTCCTACTATGATCTAATACAGCTGCAACAAAGAAATCGAACCCTTAAGTTCAACTTTCAAACATAAGACAGCAGTTTAAGCAGATAGTGAGATTCTCTTTGCTCTGGTATGTGCTAGATAAAATCTCACAGTTTATGTGAAACACACATTTTGTAGAAGTGTATATATAGTGCTGGCGGGAAACAATTAAAGGGATGTGTAAATTGCAATAATTATTTAATAAACATCTCATCTGGCAAACAAGATTCTCATTTCAATTATTTGGGTCCTCATCTGATTACAGTCCAGTTTTTAAAATGCAAATGCACTGTTATGAAGAGCATGGGTACTGAAATTAGTTTGGAGTTAGCTTCGAGCACGTTTAAGTCTAATCGATGAAAACTGCGGAAAGCTTTGCTTTTTGTTTCGGTTCATTCGAACCGAATCAAAATGCAAAACATTAAAACAATAAAAAACACAAGTCTTTGCATGCATGCTGCAGACACAATTTCTTCTTACCGTGTCACTGTTGGAGAAATTCATATCATCTTCTCAAAAGGAGTGTAAGTGTCATCAAGTTTTATTAATCTTCTCCTTCAACAAAGAACACAATAAAAACAGGAAACCAACAGATGCACAACTTTGCTAAATATTATTAAATGCTAATCACAGGCCACATGTTCAACAGTTAGAAAAAGAAAAAAAAGGGGAAGCTGGTGTACTGCATGTGTAAACCTCTGTATCTCCATATCATGGTGACAGTTAGAAAAATATTTGAAAACCTACAAGACAGTATCATTCTTGCCCATGCTCCACTTTTAACACAGTAACATCAGAGCCTTCACTCATCCAGCATTCAGTTTGGCAAAAACACATGTTCAAATAAATCCTTTCGTCACCTTTGAAAGCAAGTTTTTAACTAGGCTACAGTAAGGCCTTCAAACGCATACAGCAAAAGGCATTTTTAGTCTCACAAGCTCTGAAGTGGTTCACGTCCTACAAGCATCAAATTCTCACTACTGGCAGGAAAATCTAAAGCTTTTTACAGCTTTAACAGGCAAAACGCGAATGTCGAGTCTTTGAGGTCAGGAAGAAGGTTCTCTACTGACCCATCGCAACTCAGAATTTTATCCTGTAAAGCTTTAGTTTTTTCTTCCAGCCAGTAACTTCTGATAAACTGGAATATACACAAGCAAGTTCCATCTACTGAGAGCAAGTGAATGACACTTAGGGTCAGTGCATCCAGAGAGCAAAGAGTATTGCTTTAGTCCCTGAATTCCCATCAGAGCTGGTGGTGGTTATCACAGAGTGGAGTCAGAAAGATGCTGGTTTGACTGCTGGGCGGATCCTTTAACTGAAGCACAAAAACACTTTTAGAACCAAAGTCCGGTTCATGTTGACATTGCACCAACTCTTTGTAACTTTGTTTTCTGAAAAGATCTCGATAAATTAAGTTTAACGTCCTTTTTCTATTTTATTTGGAGAAGAATTGTATGAAGTTGTATACATATATCAAAACTTCCAATATGTGATCAAAACTATTGAAAATCAGGGGGCCTGTAGTTGTATTGCTTCTTTATTTATCTTGCGTCAGCCTTTTTGTTTGTAGTTTTTCCTGGTGCAATATTGCTCATTTTCAGGAAATAGAGCCGTTTTTTAATTGAAAGTACCTTTGGCACTTCAACTATGATCTGTGACTAAGAAACTTCATAAATCATTCAACATGTGATTATTTTCAATTAAAAAAACAATAAAAACACTGTCTTAACTTTAAATGACTGACTCAGGAGAATAAGAACATACTCAGTTCCATGAATCTAATATACACAGTAGGCAACATGTTTCCAGTCGGGGGTGAATTATTAAACTCAAACAAAAAGTTGAATCTTTTAACTTTGTGTTCTTTGTCATCAAACCGTCTGATTTGTTCTTTTTTCGTGGAGTACCAAATAAAGGGGGGAGGGGGGTGGATGGGTTACAGGCAATGATGTCAAAGCTTTCTAAAACGGACTTAAAATGTATTCCTTCCATAATCTTTAATCCATTAAAAATCTTTTAAGGCAAAAAAAGGAATACCTTTAAAAGCAATTGGATGCCACTGCTCACTATTGCACTGCTCTAAGGCAAAACACATCTGCAGCATTGAGCAAATAGACACTGATCCAGCAAGTGAAGTGAGAGGATGGTGAGGGCGTCAACAGGAAGACAAAGCCGGGCGTCCGTCTCCTGTGAAAACTTTCAAGACTTCAGTTCACAGGATTTGTCTAAGAAAGAAGGGGATGATCAGACACAAGACACTCATTTACGGAGAGAGTTCAGTCCTCTGTCAGGAGTTTTACTTGTGGTGTTTCTCTCGTCCTCGTACGGCGACACAGCAGAAAGTATTGATCTCAGTCAGCACCAAGTGTAAAATGATAAGATGGAGATCGATTACACTTATAAAAATAAAAAAGGGGGAAAAAAGTGTTCCGAATTCATGACGGGAAAATGTGGAGTTGGTGCCCAGGTGAGGACAGATCAGCGAGTGTGCACAGCAGCTTTCACACTATATACTGGTACATGTTTGCCTTCCCGTGGTCGGGTGTTGCAAAGGGGCTGAGCCAGGCTATAGAGAAAGGGTGGCCAAACACCACCTTCATATTCATCCACTTCGACTTCTTGGCCCATCTTCTCTCCTCTTTCTTTAGCTGTTCGATACCCTGCGTGGGTGAGAGGATGACAGAGATCAGCCGGTCTGAGCAGATGCTGAACATGAGCTGCAAACACAAAATACCTTCAGGTGCCAACACATTAATCCTGTTTAGATTTTCTTTTTTTCCCCCTACTCTCCTCTCACAGGTTATGACTCACTCTAAGCAGTTTGTGATACAACATAAAACACACACACACTCCCAAATGAAGACCTCTGGCCCATTTGGAGTGAAACTAACTGAAACAGATTATCTTTGTGTTGAATATTATGACACTGTGACTCATCTTTGTGGGTAGTTCTGAGCGGGAAAAACGCTCTCAACTCAACCCTGCTGAGGGCTGTAAATGGATTAGCTGATTCCCCTTTCATCTGCATGCTGATTTAATAAACAACAGGACCATTACTCTTCATCTTTTCCGTTTCATTTGGGGAAATCATAACTACACCAAAGATATTGAAGAAGGCAAACTACTCTGTAGCAAGCTCAACTCCACTGCTCCAGCCCCCAGAGTTGTATTACTGATGGGCTCAGTGTTTAGTCTTTAACCATTATTGACATCAGCTCTTTTGGAGTCTCTGAAGCAGAGCTGTGCTGCGTTCACTGCCGCTCCACTCACCGTTTCATCGGAGCAAATGGAGTGGACCTGGGTCCCGAACATGACTGCAGTGAAGATCAGAAAGAGGAGACCCTCAAAGCAGAGGAGGATGAGGAGGATGACTGTTGAGGGAGGAGAGAAGCTGCTGCACTCTGCAGGGGGAGAAAGATTTTCCACATTAAAAAGAAGTCAGATGCATGTTTAAGCAGATGGTTCTACTGCTGCCTTCTGTTCGTTAACTTTGCCTAAATTATTCTCTTTGCATGGACCCATCCCATAACCCCTAAAATATCCTAATAACCATGTATACAGACTGTACAAAAGACTGAGGTACTTTGGTTAGGTTTTGGTTTAATTTTATTCATGTTTCAACCAGGTCTCTATTGCAAAGTCTAATCCTCTGTCCTCTCATATACCGAGCAAACACACAAACCTGCACTTCCACTCGGGCCAATTCTTAGTTCAGTTATTCATGTTCAATTTTAATAACGGGAGCAACAATTGAGCAGCAAAGGGATTCAGCCTCGCTCCAACACTCCGCCGGGTCTTATCCAAAAACAACAAAATGAGCTGAGTGAGCAAGAGGAAAGATGAGGAGCCTCAGCCTCCAATCTGACATGGAACAACTAGAAACTGTTTGTTTGATAAAACTGCTGTTTACATTTGGAGGTTTGCATTGGTTTAGGGGGTGAAAGTTGGCTCTTCCTCTGGGTAGTGGTTAGCTTGGCTCCCCTATGGGAATCCCACCTTACTTCTGCTGCCACTAATCAGAATTCTAAAACACCTGAACTACTTTAAATGCAAAGGTTTTCTCAGTGATTTTCAGATGAGTGCTGCAGCTTCCTTTTTCAGACCCGGCAGCTGAACTCATCTTTTATTAAGTGTCCATATTCTCTATTTACGAGTAATTCAGCCACCTCTGGGCTCTTCTTCACTACCATAAGACAGGAAAATACTTGCTTGTCCAGTCCTCTTCGAAGCAGAAGACAAAGTGGAAGGCCGCCATGATCAGCGCATGGAACGATATTAGTGCAATGTACATCTAAAAGGGGACAGAGACAGATTTACTATCAAATCAATATCCCCGGGGCTTACTGTTACAGACATGCAATGATTCTATCCCATTGATGAACCAGCACTCATCAACTCTCTGGTGAGCTGTAGAGAAGACACTGTTTCATGTACGAGCCTGAGACTACCAGTCATTCTGGTCCCTGCCGTCACTTCAGGACTCACCGTGAAGAGCACAAAGTATTTCTGGTTGTTCTCTCCCACGCAGTTGTTCACCCAGGGACAGTGGTGGTCCATCTTTTTAATACAGCGTTTGCAAACACTGCGGGGACACAGGCACGTAGAGATAACAAATGGTTGTCAGGCACAAGTGATGTCAATACTTTACAGGTAAACCCCCTCGAGCCGTGTAATTCACTCATCCGCTGACTGACGCAGTGTAAGTTGGGGGTTCATTCATTCCCCTGAGCCATTATGACAAAGCAGAAAGTCACACTTTCAAAAGAAGGTCAGTTTCAGGGAGGTCCACCAAGTCAAGCCTCCACAAAAAAGACTTAAAATATCAAAACAACTAGATTCATTTCATTCAAACCCAACTTTGGCTCTGAAGCAGACTGACTCAGTGGCTTCCCAATTCAATTACTCTGTGGTGTTTTTGCACTTTTCACGGCTCGAGAACCCCAGGGGAAGCCACTGAGCAGCCGCGGGGGCATCCCTGTTATCAGCAGAGCCTTCAGGGAGCTGCAGCACTGGCAGACTTCAGGAAGAAAGAAAGGAAAACAGAGAACACACAGAGGGGAAGCAGGAAAGTCTGTGTAGACACAAAGTGGTGGAGACAGGCTCCGAGCGGGAGCACAGCATCAAACTTCGGCGGCTTGCAAACTTCAGCATACCTGCAGTGGTGAGCCCGGTCGGGCTTGATGCTGCAGCACTTGGGACATTTGTACACCACCTGTCCTGGCTTGAGCTGCAGGCTTTCAATAAATTCTTTGGTTGCGTTCCCTTTCGGCACCGCCCCCTGGAAGGAAGAGGAGAAGAAAAAACCCAGTGACACAACAGCAGTGACCGTACCTGCATGACCAACAGAGTGTAAACCTCTGACTTCCCAGCGACAGCGAACGCAGCACAGTTTGAAGTTGACGTTTAGCTGATGTAAGGAAAAATGTGCTGGATAAGCCTGTAGAATGAGGCAAGTTTCCCCTTAAATGTCTAGTTTTTGTGTTGGTGGTGACCTAATGTTAACAAATGCATTCTCTGAAATGGTCAATTATCTCTAATGTGTACCATTTAATGTTGAAACCGCTTAAAGAAACTACAGCCTGACTGAGGCTACATCTGTCTGGTCTGTGGCTCATGCAGGCTGTTTTGCATGCAAACTTTTTTTTTTTTCCCATTTATGTTCTTGGTGCTTTGAACATTAATGTCAGCTAGTTTCTTTATATTTTTGACATCTCTAAGCCCTGGTATACTTAAAACCCTCCATATCAAAGCAAAAACAATCCATGCGGGTAAACAGCCATCAGCGGACAGGCATTTTTAGTTCTAGGGGAAAGTTTCACTTTGAATATAAAATTAAAGTCATTTTTCCAAACAGCGTCAGAAGTCTTTCGGCAGGGGAAAAGGTTTGCACGCTATGGCAGCAAAAAAAAATTTCAATAACGACAAGCACGGATGAAATGAGGCAGACCGGGTCGGTGCACATGGCCCTGGCGTGAGAGGCGAGGGCGAGGAAGGCCAGGCCGTTGAAGATGACCCCGTTGAAGAGGCTGTAGGCCACGTTCTTGGCCGGCAGCAGCATGACGAAGACCACCACGAACTGGGCGTAGAGGACCAGCATCCAGGTGATGACGCCGCACACGATGCCGCAGCCGTCGCGGATGAACCACATGGTGTCCGAGCCGCTGCGCGGCGGGGGAGGGGCGCAGTGCTCGGGCCTCAGGTAGCCAGCTTGCCGCTCGATGTCCCTGGTGCGGTTGGGCGGGCTCTTCATCCTACAGCGCTCGTGGCTCCAGCCGCATACTACCAGGGCACAGATGGAGGGGAGGGGGGAGGGCAGAGGGATGGGAGGAAAATGAAAAATGGAAATTAGAAAATCAGGGTTAAGCTCTGAAGCAAAGACTGTAACCGAGACGAGCCGTGGGAGCTCCTTTGAGCTCATGAGCTGACTAACTACTATGAATAAAAGTCTACAATGTTTCACCATGTAAGAAAGCCGTCCTAGAACAACCAGCAGCTGGATAAAGAGGAGCAAACGAGCAGCCTTCGAGGAGCAGAAAGAAGCACAGAGGCTAATAAGAGACTGAATCAGCAAACAACGCTCAGTCCAATCCTCATGAGGAAGAAAACTCTCCGTCTGGTCTGATCCCATAAGACCAAACCAGTGAGATCCCCCCCAGCACAGAGAGGGGAGGCTTTAACTCAGCATTCGGCCTTTGAATTGAAGCAGCATCACGCTCTGATCGAACAGCCCACACAACTGTCCTCACCCACACTGGGCTTTGGAGTCTGCCTGGAGACCAGGCTCATCAATAAGCAATCTAGCATGTCTGAGCGTGTGCGTGCACAAAAACATGATGGGATTTCAAAAGGGCCAAAATGTCAGGAAACCAAAAATAGGTCTCGGGATTATGTGAAAATAACACGGACGGGAGCTAAATCACTTATTCCAAGAAGACAGCTGTGCCTTTTTCCTCACAAACAACCTGATCTTGAGATGGGAGAAATCAAATTCTTTGGTCATTCCTGGCAGCTGAATTCATCATTTGAGCCTAACTGGCTAACAGGCCTGTCTTTTTCATATTAATTAGACCTTTAACCGAGGATCATGGTATTAATGAAAGCTTCCCAAAGGAAAAGAATCCAATATGAATGTGTTTGCTCCCTGTTCCAAATCTAATCAAAAGTCATCCCTGGATTTAACCACATCTGATCACTGTCCACATCCTTCAGGAGGCCCACATTCCTCTGTGTAGCACCACATGAGTCACCGCTCAGTTTGCCTGCCAGAAAACACCTCAGCGGTGGTGGAACGTGGAGCAAATTTTGAGTGAAAACAAATCAACAAGTATCAGATAAGCCGCCATGAACGGCAGCTTTTTCCGCCACAGTCTGCCGACTCTACGGTCCTCTCTGGTCAGCGCTGCACAGACGGCGGGAAAAGTGGAATCATAACAACAAACGCCACCCGGCCTGGTGCCCGTGGCCACTCCGGAACAATTACCCCATTTGTTTTTAACTCTTATCTCATGACAGAGGGTGACAGAGCCCCGCTGCTCAGGACTTCAAACGAGCTGCGCTTCCCCAACAAAAGGCTAAAAAAACACAACACCACTTCTAAGGTTTTGTTGCACTCATCCTGACTCGGATGAGCTTGGAAAGACTCTGAGTAGTGGTTGTCAGGATTTACAGTTTTGGACAGCAAAGCCAAACATTTGGACCAGAGGAAAAACATGTTTTCTGTCTGCTTTTTCCTGTTCGGGATCGCAAGGCCAACAACCCGATATGCTCACTACCAAACATGCAGTGAATTCGTAATCCTGAGTTAACCTAACTGCGAAAATCCCACACAGGTACGACGAGAACGCGCTCCACGCAGACTCCAGTATCCCCATCAGAATGAATTGTGTCGACCACAAATGCTTTGCATGTTCACCAGGATAATTTCCCTTCACGCCCAATAAACCTCCTCATCTGACTAACAAAACAATTCCTTTTTTTTTAGGAACCAAATGAAAAAAAGAGGATCTCCTAATGTGAAAACACAGCCAATTTAAGAGTTAATCACGAGCCTCCGTTTCTCAGTTATCCGCGGAGTACTAACTGCTGATGGCTGTATTCTGGCAGCAGGAGTGGGGCTCAGTGGGAGGTCATGCTGAAGATCTGCTGTATCCTCTTTCATCAGGCAGCCTGGGCTCCAGACTAAGACACCGCACTGAGCAGTCTTTATGTAGCCATCTTAATTCAGCTTTCCCCACACATTCACTCTAATGTTAATTAAAAAAATAAGGTGGAATGTTGCAGTTTAATGTGGCTCAGATAAGGACATTTAATACCCACGTTTCTAATGAGATCCTCCTCCACAATTAACAACACAAAAATGACTCCCCCATTTGTTTAATCTTCTTTGATCCAAGTGAGAAAAATCTTCCTCATTCAGATCTAAAAATGTTTTTACAAAGCTAGGCGCCTTTGCTTGTGCTGTAACCGACAAAGGGAGTATCATGGAGATTGGTTAGTTTACTCAACAAGTTAAAGATTGTGTTAAAAACTTGTTGAGCAGGTTTAGTTTCATCAGTCGAGCTGCTTGGGTCCTTTTGCCAAGATGGATCCAAACAGAACCCAAATGAGACATCCGGCACATGAACAACACTCAGAAATTAACTTCTCTCTTTGTCTAGTCAACCACAAACAGGAGTGAGCAGATAGACACGAGCCACGCCTCAACACTTCCCACTTTTACAGCGAGTCGTTGAAATCTGCCAGCAATTTGTACAAATTCAACTAAATCAAACATTGATATTCACTGTGAGCACCTCTATTCTTCTATTCAAACACACTTTATTCTCATTTCTCTCCAAGCAATCTCAAGGAATTGTTTTCCAGGCTTCGTTTAGGCTGCCACAAAGCTCTTTTTTGGACGTTTCCTGCCTTTTGTTTTGTTCTTTGTCAGATGATAACATTGAAGTTAGAAGAGGATTCACCCCCCCCCCCCCAATCAGACCTATTTCTGCTGGTTTTCAGACCCTTCTTGTATCTTTGGCATAGCTCAACTTTTTCTCCCCGTTTCCCTCCATTAAAAATGGCTTCTTGACAGCCTCCTTCCATGGAGAGCATTTCTGATGAGGCCTGGGCCAACAGGAGACAGATCACCTGAAGGTCCAGATGTTGTTCTTAGGCCTCCCTTGGATTCACTTGTACTTCTTTAGGGCACCATTTACATACTCCGTTAATGTCCTCCTGACAGCCTAAGTTCAGGTGCGATCTCTTCTTTTATCTAGTTCTTTTTGCTTTTTCTCACTGACTCAACTGAAACCAAAAGAGCAGATCCTGAGCCTTTGAGAGGACTGCTCTTAACATATTGATGGAAAGACCAGCGTTAGGTGACTCAATGAACACAATAGAAAATTCTATGAAAAAGACCAAAGCTGCCAATGTGTAAAGGAATACTTTTCCTCACACACACATATATTTACACATATAAGGAAAGAGGGGTGTCTCGGGAGTTTCGCTCAGTAACACATTGAAACTGAAGTCTCTCTGATGTACTCAAACACTTTCCACTGGAAATATCTTAGAATATGTGTAGTTTCAGTCTAAATAATTAAAACTGTTTTGTTTGTTTTTGTGGCTACAATACAAATATAATTCCACAGTAAACCAGAGCAACTAAAAAAAAGAAAACAGGAAGTTAACTCGGGCAGCTGGAGCTGCATGTCTGGATTTCCAGAGGCTCGTGTGCTGGAAACTATTTTTTCATAAATATTACCAGGGTAAAAACTCCTGCTGGCTAAACAACCCACCTCTCACACCCTTGACCGTGGGGACAAGCTCCTTGAAGTTTTCCCGTTTGGAGCCTCAGAGGCACCGAAACACGCCAAAATGAGACGAACGGTCCGCCCCGCTGGGCTCGTTAGCTCATTCCCAGCTAGCGTCACCGAGCCCGGATAGCTGCTCCCCGCGAACCCGCGAATCCCCGTTTCGACGAGGGCGTAATTTGTTGCCTCAGAAGCGAACCAAAATCGGTTGCCTTAAAAGAGGCCGTGTCTCTGCCCTTTTTCTTCAGTCACATCCAGGAGGCTCTGTTAAAAGGAAGACAACAAAACTGGCTCATCCAACCAGGAAGTCAAATGCCTCATTCTGTTTGCCAGGGAAGGCTTTGCCCTGCGCTTTGACTTGCAGGTACAGGTCAGGGCTGACCGAAACACCTCCTGGTTCTGCTCAGTAGTTTGGATTAACACAACGTATCATAAAGCAAACATATCAATAATGTTTTAGCTGATTGATCAAATAAAATGTTTTACTCATACTGTCAGGGGACATACATCACTGGTCAATCCTTTCCTGTCTACTGTTAAATCTTTGTGGGTCAAAATTTGAAAGAAATCTGCTGAGTTTTATAAATAATTATTTTAAAAGTTTCTACAAGTATTAATTTAGCATGGATCTGTAAAAGTTTTAGAAATTCAAATTCGGCTATTATCTTTTAGTGTTTTTGGTCATCTTTCTAAAAACAGCATTTATTATGTATAGTCTCATTGTAAAGCTTTATACGTAAGGTAATTCCAAATCTGGCAAACGGATTAAAGCAAATCAATGTAAATGAGTCAAGAGTCAAAGCATGCAGAGAACTGTTACACTTTCATGACTGACTGGAAACATGGCTCCAGCAGTCCTGCCAGGGAAAAGAATGAAAGGAATTCTAAAACTCCTTTAAGAAGCTAACTCAATTAAAAGTGTGGTAAAACATGTTGGTTTTTCATTGGTTGTGGTATCTGAGATTAAAACAATGAAACATGTTTGTGAAAAAATGTGACTCAAATTTATAATTTATTCTAAAGTAATTGATTATTTTTTTCCTCCTGAGCCTAATATGTTTTTCTCATATGTACAGTACATTTAGTTTGTTTTAAGACTAATGGACGCCTGTTATGGTTCATGGTTAACAGGATCCCGCGTTACAAACCTCATGGTGGCGGTAGTGCTCCTAAGAGCTGGTTGCTACCCGCAGCAAAACCTAAGACGAAGAAGAAGTCATAGGCGCAGAAGAAGAGTGTGACAACACCAGCGGCAAAATGGCAACGGTACAAGTCAGCGAGGCTGAAAAAGTGTACATCTTACACGGCATAAGGGTGGGAGTTTCTTTTTTATGTAGTTTTCTAAATCTCAGATTAATTTGGCAGCTTCTGCCTCTGTTGACATGGCTTGTCTTCCCCAGGATGATTTACGTGTTGATGGGAGAGGCTGTGAGGACTACAGACACATGGAAATAGAGACTGATGTGGTGTCCAACACAGACGGATCAGCTAAAGTCTCTCTGGTGATGAAAATTTCAAAATTTCAGCTTCGTTTTACTTCAACTTCAGATTGAATGAGGAGATTGTATCCCTTCAATGCTTTCAGTTGTACACATGTGCACAATCCCCCATGTTAGCCACATCTGGGCTCATCTTCTGCTGGCCTATTTTTATGCTGGGTGTGCATTTTTGGAAGTTTTATGTTGTTTTCTACTTTGTCTGTCAGGGTCACACCGCAGTTCTTGTTGGTATTAAGGCTGAAATAGGAAAACCGCGGCCCATGGTGCCAAACGAAGGCTACCTGGAGTTCTTTGTTGACTGGTAGGTGTGACGTTCATTGACATGACAAGAGTAACGAAAAAAAACTTCATGTTTCTGTTTCTGGGACTGTGTTAGAAGTCAAAGCAAAGATGAGAAGTACGGTTCTGTTTTGTTCGTATGCTGCCACAAGGAGGTGTTGTTGGGTCGTCTGTTCCCTCTGGGTCAGCATCTTTGGTCATGGGACAATAAGATCCATCCCATCATCTCAACTCAGACTACATCCCTCACAGTGATGTTCTTTCTCTTAAGTTTATCGTCTTCTTTTCTCCTCCTCCGACTAGTTCAGCGAATGCAACCCCTGAATTTGAGGGCAGAGGGGGTGAGGAGCTGGGGACGGAGCTGAGTAACACCCTCTACAAAGTGTTCAACAACAAACAAAGCCTAGATCTGAGGGCTCTCTGTATCAGCGCTGGAGAGCACTGCTGGGTGCTCTACGTGGACGTGCTGGTGAGCCCTAGCCTCAGATGTCACTTTTTTTTACTTTCATTTAAAAAAACATATGAAAACTCTTCATTAGGTACACAGAGTGTGGAAGACCACCTAACTGACACTGTTGTCCCTCCTCAGCTCCTGCAGTGCGACGGAAACTTGTACGATGCCATTTCCATAGCCATAAAGGCAGCTCTCTTCAACACAAAGTGAGTTTTATGTATCATTAAATCCTTTGACGGGTCAGCCAGATCAGCTCAGTGCTCATAGGTAAACAACTCTCTGGTCATCTCCCTGACAGAATCCCCAGAGTTCACATATCATCCGACGAGGAGGGGGGAAAAGAGATCGAGCTGTCCGACGACCCCTACGACTGCATGAGACTCCAAGTGGAAAGCGTTCCCTGTATAGTGACGCTGTGCAAGGTAGGTTTACTGCCGAGGCTCAGAGGTGAGGACACCGGTCCCTCCGATAACTCGGCTGCTTGTGGTTGTCGTCGGTGAGCAGGTGGGCCACCGGCACGTGGTGGACGCCACCCTGCAGGAGAAGGCCTGCTCTGTGGCCAGCCTCATCATCTCTGTCACACACAAAGGCACGGTCACCTGCACGAGGAAGGTCGGGGGCGGCAGCCTGGACCCTGAGAGCATCTTTGAAATGATAGAGGTGAGAGAGGCCATATGCACAGCAGGGGGGATCAACTGCCAGTTGTCTCTCCATCAGGGAAAAACTTAAAATAAGGATTCATTTTTTATTTAGCATTTTAGAAACCGGTCCATTTGAAATCATAACTCTTTCTATTCTATTTTTAAGTTTTATATGTTTTATACATATATATATTTATATACATATATGTATATTGATATTTCGATTACATAAACTGGTGGATCTGGTGGAGCTTGATTTTCTCACAAAGGAGTTGATTTATGAGAAGGAGTATTGTTTATTTATTATCATTTGGAAGAGCTTGAAAAGAAGAATCTTAGCTTTCAAGCTTTAAAATTATGAATAAATCCCAGTAATACATTTTGACTAAACATCTGTGTGAGTCTGTTAGAGAATGAATACTTTATGGTGATTTTTTATTTCTAAAGAGGGTTTTTTTCCCATAAGCATTGGTTTTGTGTAAGTAAACAAAGCTGCAACACTTCCATTGTTTTTCCATCTGCAGGCAGGCAAACGAGTGGGGAAGGCCCTTCACGCTCCGCTTATGAAGCTCCTGCAGCAGGAGGAGAGTCTGGGGAAGAAGAGGCAGAAAGTCGGCTTTCTTGGTTAAAATCAAGTTTCTTCTGTGTGTTTCTACATGTGTGCATTCATTTTGTATTAAACTTTCTAATTTTCCCAATTTGATTTTGTCAGTTCTTTAATCATTCGGATACGTTTTTCTTTTGTGTTGGTGTGTTTGGTTAAAAAAAAACAACAGTTTTTGCTTTGCACAGCATTATGTAGCATCTGTATCATAATTAAGTATTTAGAAATTACTGTAGTTATATAGTCTAAAATCTCCTGTCAAACTAACAACAGGTCACACACCTTAGATATGATATACAACCAGATAATTCTGTGGAATGATAAATGAGACCATCCAGGCCAAGCATGCAAAGCCAAGATGTCAGAGAAAGGGCTTGTGAGCATCAAACAAAAAGAGTTGTATCTATATACATGATATTACTGTCACCTAAAGGTGGCTGAAAACATCAAGAGTCCAAGCCACCATCTTTACATCGGTTTTCTGACTTGCTGATTCTGAAGAATATATTTCTTTGGCTGCAACATCTGGAATTCTACAAAGAAGTGGAGTTATTTTGAGCTTTTATTACTTGGCTTTAAAGACATTAAAGGTCTTTCCCTGGAACCTTCCTGGGACTAATTATGTGCTGACTGTAGTTTAATTTTTTAGCTCCCTTTGAAAATTGCTCTTTTTTGCACCATCACACAAAGTATGTGTTATATAACAATAGGTTCCTTTTTCAACTCCTGGAAAAATACAAAGATTGAGAGTGATGGAAAAAAATTGAGTCATATATTGAATCACTTGTAGCCTCATTCAGAGACACTCCAAGTAGTTACTGAACATGTTTTCACTAAGAACAATATTTAGCAGATTTGGAGAACTTGCTGTTTCTTAATCCTAACCAGTCATTTAGCAAAGCTGTTACTGTACCCTGATGTCCTCGTTCCACACTCACGCTGCATTGCTTCAGTTGTATTTTGAGGCAAAAAGGAATGCAAAATTTAAAATGCCAGAGTGAGTCTGCAGACCCAAAGTCTGTGCTCTGTCGTGACAGGAGCAATCTGGCCTCTCTGCATCCCTCTGGTGTTTGCCACGTGTCAGCCGGGGCTGCAGCGATGTGCACGGCTCACGCAGCACCAGATGTGACTGGATCTGTTCCACTCGTCCCTCAGACCGTTGCAGGGTGTGTGCAGCAGGCTGAGAGCACACAGGTTCAAAACCCATCAAGGGACACACACACAAAAAAAAAAACCTCTTCCTGTGGCTCATTTAAAGTGCTATTTTCATTCAGGTTTCTCAAAAATACAACCAAAAAAAAAACACCCAGAAATGTGAATATTTTTTTTTCTTTTGACAATTTTATGAGAAAGATCTCTTTTTTCTCTCAATATTTTGAGCCAAGAGACAAACAGTTTATGCAACAGATGAGTCAGTGTTCTCTTCCCCTTTTCTTACACCTTGATGAAAACTGCAGAGGGGTTATGCAATGGCTGGGCCACACTCTCCAGCCTGGTCTGCACCTGCCCTCCAGGCCTGGCTCTGCTCAGCACTCGGCCTCCACGTGAAGAGTCCGGAGCCAAACGAGAGGCAGACAAACCCTCTCTTCAAAGACTCCTGAGGCTGGACTGGTTTTTCTTACAAAGGGCTGTTTTGAATGTCAGTACTTTTCCCTTCCCGCAGTGATGGGAGGGAGGGTGTGACAGAGGCAAATAAATTGCGAGCGTCCACGTCGGAGCAGCTTGATCCAACAGGTTTCACCATGGAGTTGAGAGGAGTGTGCGTGCTGCTGGGAGTGCTGCTGCTCATCGACAGCTCCTGTCTACAGCAGACTACAGCTAAGAAGAGGCCGGTAAAGAAAGGTAGATGGAGAAAATCTAAATTAAACATATTTTTACCTCAAAATCATAGATTTAAGTTTAATTTCATTTAAAGGAAAACGAGGACTGTATGACTTTTGCGCTTAAAATGGTCTTGCTCTTTTTTGTTTTTTTTAAATTACATTGAATTTTATCGTGTGTGGAATCAGATACATCAAAGGATGTTGCCGTTGTGGAGCTGCAGAGACAGATCGACGACATCATACAGGAGCTCAACCTGCTGAAGGAGCAACAGGCCCTGCAAACAGGTAAAAAGTTAAGAAAAAGATAATGTAAATAAAATCATTTCGAAAACACAGAAACCCCAGATCCAGACAAATCCAGGAGTCGTTTGTCTTATTTGCTTCAACCTCGGATTGTAGTGTGTTTTGCCTAAAGATTAATTAGGAACACAGTTCAATAAAGAAGCAAAAAAGGTTGCTCTGCCATGTTGAGGGGCCTTCTGTCCCTACCTCCATCAGAATAATAATGTCTTCAGTGGTAGCTGTGCATCACACTCATGGAGTATATTTAAATAAAAAAGGACATCTACATTTCACAGGTAATTTACTCCAAAGCAACTTTTAAGTTTTGTGTCCTGATGTGCTCTTAATGGGGGAAGCTCATTCCACAAAAATAGTTTGAAAAAAACGGATAACTTATTACTTGTTCACAAGATGTTTAAATTATTCAACCCCCCCCAAAAAAAGAACCCAGAAATAACGTGAAACATTTATGAGTGATGCTGATTACAGCTCAGGAAAGGTACAGCCAACAGTCTTAGGCCTGCTTCCTCTCAGTGTGAGGACAGATGGGTCACACATGCAGTTACCAAATGTAAAACATGAACCAGAACCATGTCTGAGTGGGTGTTCTGATTGAAAAAAAGGTTTAGTTGTTGGAATTTATAACGGAGACAATTGATTCCATGCTGCTAAGTGAGGAGCCGCATTTGTATTAGACACTTCAAAGGAAAGCCTTCAGTTTTTTTTTTTACTGACCATATGGTCCCCTTCTGTTCCTCCACAGTCTGTTTAAAAGGTATAAAGATCCACAGAAAGTGCTTTTTGGCTGACCCTACAAGGAAAAGCTATCACGCTGCCAGTGAGGACTGCAACGCCCTGGGCGGGAACCTCGGCATGCCCACGTCCAGCGAGGAGAACGCTCAGCTCCGGGACTACGTCCGCCAGAGCATCGGGCCAGATGAACAGGTCTGGCTGGGTTTCCACGACATGACCTCCGAGGGCATGTGGATGGATCAGAACGGCCACACCATCACGTACAAAAACTGGGACACCTCCAACTTCAGGTCCCCACAGCCAGATGGAGGCAAGTCTCAAAACTGCGCCGTCCTGTCCGGGGCCTCACAGGGGAAGTGGTCTGATGAGAACTGCCGGGAGGAGAAGCCCTCCATCTGCCAGTTCAACATCATCTGATCCCATTTATATGATAAAGCTGCTTTGTGTACGCGTGTTTATGTATTTTCGTGCAATCCTGCTGCCTGCTACTCTAAACAGTTTAGACCAGTGGTTCTCAATGGTATCAGGACCAGAGGGAAAGCAGAGGTCACAGTTAGTTACATGAGAGGGTTGTTTATGGACAAAAGTGATGTGCTGGTATATCATTTGCAGCATTCTTTGTGGCCACAATAAAGCGGAGAGCAACTCAATTCAGTCTGGAGTAAAGGACTGTGGGAACATTGCAGTCCTCAGCCGTTTCAAGCATTTTTGTCAATAGAAAAAAAAAATCAAAATATTTCAGAGGCCTATTGATACAATAAAATGCCATTTTTATATTAAAAGTCGGTGAGTTGGTGCTGGCACTGATCACAAATGTAAAAAAAGGGGGTGTAACTGGTTGGGAACCACTGATTTAAACTTCACTTTGTGACAAAAGTCACACAAAGCTACAATCATGACCAATATTGCTACTTTTTTTAAAAACATAATCTTCAATTATTCCCATTTGCTGAGTTTCTTGTCTCTTGTAACGTCTAGCCTGACATAATGTAACCTTTAAAATGACTTTCAATAAACTATGAACATCCATGTCTGTATTTTCATTTGCTGTGACTGACTCAGACTCAAACCTAAGCTTACTAAAGCCAAATCTAAACCAAACTTTATTCAAAGTCACAGCTGGTTTCAGAATGATGATAGACATTATATAAACATGGCCTTTGCATCATTTCCAGTACTTCTCCATGGTCAACACTGGCTTCCACTCTGGTGTCTCCACACCCTCTTTCACACTGTTTTTCATGGCTCCAACTCCTGTGGTTCAAATTGTTTCCAGCATAAAGAATGCAAAAGGTCAGCGTCTGGGTTTAAGGTGGAAAATTAAATGTCACTGTCTCTGGGTCTGTTGGCGGCGATCAACTCAAAGAGAAAAGTTTTTCCCTTCCCAACAACATCCCTGAATTTATTTCAAAGAAAACACGCCATTGTATTTACAGAAGAAAAAGATTTCTTTAAAAAAGCAAGTAAACAAAATAAAAACACACTAGAGTCAGAGCTACTTGCTCATTATTCCAAAGCTCCTGCTTAATGAGGCAGGAACTTAATTACAAAGAAAAAAAATTGGCTTTTCAGATGCTTTCTTGGGAGTCTGAAGATTGACACCACTTCTGTTTGTACAATATAAAAACAGATCCATGCTAACTGGCCATTGAGCTGCACCTCCGTTCTAAATCGAGTTTATAAATCAAAACCCGTGCGCTGCTGTGACTGTCCACCCTAAAAATGGTCAAATGCTGCCGCTTCCTGCTTTCTCAGCAGGAGAGGATCATACATGCAAATTAAGAAAAATGTAGTACTCACACATTGCCTTTAAGATATCAGAATGGATATTTCTGGCCACCAATTGACATGTAGCCTTGATGGGCAGATTTTCAGTCACAATTCCAGACAAGTTGGCCAATCTGACCAAAGATTTTGCCTGTATTAACACAAACTTAAACATTTCCATTTTAAATTAGGATGTGTATATGGAGTGCTTCAAGTACATGCAGGAATTATTTAGCCGCTTGATGTGGGTGTCATTTCAGTTTTATACAATTTTGTGAAACCAATTCTGGGTCATTTTATTTTTAGCTTTCATTTAAAGGTGGTACTAAAAAAATAAATTAAAAAAATCTGGAAATAGTAAAGAAAAGCCTTTAGAACTTCAAATGAACCTTATATATCCTAGTTTAATTTTTAAAAACCAGGGCCATTTTTTTTCTTTTTTTACTGGTGGTGCCAGGATGTTTTAAAAAAAAATTTTTTTAAAGGCAAATGGAAAAATGTAGTTTTGAAATTTATAAGTGAGGATGGAAAAATTGTTATTTCTGTAAAAAAATGTGATTGGGCTCCTTTAGGAAAATATATCTTGAGGAATGTGCCACTATGGACTCCAGAAGCAGACCCCTTTTCCTTTCTTTCCATTTATGCCTTTAAATTGATATTTAAAATAATGTTAGGACAGCAGTGTCAATCTTCTAATCCAACTGAGCTAGAAAGCAAATGTTTCCGTAATCTTCCTAGAAAAGACACTCACAGCTTAAACCCCTGAAATGACTGTACACATTAAAAAAAAAACCCTGAATTTCCTGAGTGGGATCCAGACACAGGTGTTCACATCAGTCCACAAAGTCTGTAACCAGAGTTTAGTAACAGCAGCCTGCCGCGCAGATGCTTTCCTTACATTACAAGGAGTCCTCCGTTAGTGGCGGCTCAGGCTCCAGATCGCCAGACAGTTGGATTGTGTTCATCTGCCCTGTGCTTTTGAACGTGTAGAGTTCATTGTCGACCATCCGGCGGTCCTGGAAACCCAGGCTGTCCTGCCGGTCGATGGGGGTGCGTGGACGGGACGGGATGAAAGTCTCAGAGGGGTCCAGGAACGCCTTCTCCCCTGGATCTGGCTCTTTAATTACAGGCAGTGAGCCATCGTTGGGGCCCATAAAGGTTTGATAAGTGTCCACCTGTATCCCTTTATAGGGTTCTTGCACGCTGTCGGAGCGGGCCGAGTCCCCCAGCAGGTGGCCGTAGACCATGCTCTCGTCTATGCAGTCGTAGACGTGGGAGTCGTTGTCAGATCGGGTTTTGGTGAAGTGCCGGTCTCCTGGGCGGAAGATGCTACCTTTGCCAATGTAGATGGATGACTCCTTTTTCATTTGGTCTTTCTTTTTCCTAGAGAAAAATAAGGCGGAGCAAAAACAAACAAAAAAAAAGCTTATTGAAGCAATAAATTCATATGAGAATACACACAAATGTCCGGCAGAAGACCAGTCCAATCAGGGCAGGAAGCCAGTTTTCCCGTTTAGAGTTACACTAATTGCACAAATGATATGAAACTAAAATATAATTGGGTAGGTTGTTCTTCCTTTAACCTGGTACTCATAAGATTACAATTAAACATATATTTTTGCTCCTAAGTGACCATTTCTTTGTAGCTTAAGGTTGAAAAACATAATGACTTCACTTCGAAAGATGAAAGATTTAGTTTTAACATTTCTCCACCACTATTTTACTCACTAAGACTAAAAAAAAACGACTAAATTTACAATGAGAAAAATAGAAGAATTACCGCTGCAATTATGGTTGTAAATTCATTTTTCAAGAGATATGATTTCTTCAAATGTGAAGTTTTCAAATAATAAAAAAAGGTTTGTTTAATATATGTAAGAAGAATAGAAAAATTAGAAAATTGGAATCAAACAGTAAAGAAAAAAAACTGAGGACTTTCTTATGTAATCTAACTATGATTATCATGACTATCATTTGAGAACAAAAAAGTCCTATGCCTAAAAAGGTACATTATTTATGTCTAGAAATAAAATTCACTCTTTACAAGCTCCAGAACCGTAAAGTTAAACTGAACAAGCCTCTGTGGGAAGAATTGTACTGAAAGTGTACTCACTTTGTGACAATGCAGACGACAGCCAGGACTATGAGCAAAACCAAAACTGCTCCTGCTATCCCCAGGACAATAGCCAACAGATCTGCGAAAGGGGGAGTGGGGGAGACAACAAAAATGAAGGAAGTATTTATTTCTCGAGTGAGGATGTTTTGCGTGTATGAACAAACTAAAACCATTTCTTACTGGTCTTCCTCTGAAGAACAATTTTTGTGACGGCCCCAAAGTTTCCAGCCTCTGGTTTGCAATTGGACATGTTGAGATAGAAGTTTTTGGGGACCACCAGCGTCTGCTCCACCGCCTCATCCTCCCGGCGGCTCAGGAGCTCCTCCTCGTACCCCAGTATCTTCACCTTGATGCACGTGTGTCTGTCTGCGCATTTGGGCTGGCTGATGTTGACGAATGAGAGCTGGGCGCGATACTGACTGGGGAAGGAGACGATCCAGGATACGGTGGAGAAAGATTTCATTCCCCTGGGCCAGTTGGGTGTGGCCATCAGGGCGGGAGACGTCTCCTTGGGCATGACATTGTAGATGATGGTCTCTGAAAAAGGAATGGAGACAATATTGAAAGTGTGAACTGGATTCTGATTGAACACTCACAGTGGAGTTTAAATGTAAAAGCAGCTGTGATTAAATAGTGCCCTCATGTGGGAGCTGGTGATAGAAAAATAAATCAGTAATTTATTCAATATCAGCATAAGCAGTAAAAAGTTCATGCTCTTTAAACAACCAAAAAGAAAACACAAACTACATTTACAAAAAAAAGTCACAACAGCTACTTTTAATAAGAATTAAACATCTGATAAAAAAATTCAAAAAGTCATCGTTTTGACTTTAGAGCTTTTTTTGTGGCTCAGGTGGATGACATGCCGCAGAAAATTGTCAAACTGGTTGCATTCATGATTTTTTGTTTTGTTTTTAATATAAAGGAATATTTTTAAGAAATACAGCAAAATTTGTAAATTAAAACAAGATCTGAAACGGGAGAAACTGTAAAGAATGGGCTACTGATCCCATAACTCGAAACAGACAACAACAATTAATTTTCTATTTGGAGTCATCAGTAGATTCGTCAGGCTGGTTTTTATCATATATGATCAGGGTGGGGCCTGGCAGGTTTATCAGCGCAGAGCTGCAGTTGAAAACGCGACTTGGTCTCAGATATTTACCTTAAAAACCAAAAACAAAGCATGACGACTCCAAAAAACAAACTCTATTCAATTTTATATGTCATATATGATGAGACATTCAATATATATCTATTTCAAGTTTTGCTCAAGCTGCTAATAAATATGCATCTGAATATTTCACAAAAATCAATAACTCCTAAAAGTATAATAAAAGTGAAAGAGATATGAATGAGCGTGATCCAAAAAGAATTGATAGTTAACCCACGAGAGACCGTACCCTTGTGTTTTAAAGCAGATAATCATGTTTTACCTGGGATCTCCGGACTGAAGCTGACGTTGAGGAAAGGGCCTTGGGTGGTGCTGAAGTCCTGAGCCGTGGCCGTGACCGAGACGTTGGTGTGCAGTTGAATTCTCTTGATCACACCGTTGAAGCAGAAATCTCCAATAGAAAAGCCATCAGTCTCCTCCACGTGGAGTGAGAAAGACTTATTACACTCCTGGCCCGGTATGGACTGGTGGAAACTCCCCGTGGGAGATATCAGATCCAGCGTGCCGTTCATAGGGATGCTGAGGTGCCACTTGAAGTTCTGCAGTGGCATTGGCAGACAGGAGTCCAGTGTGGGCACGGTGAGGACATGTGGACTGCACGATGCTACGTTCTGGCACCCTGTTTTCAGAAGACAGGGAAAAGGAGAAGCAATGCTCAGTAACAAAAGGAGCTAAAAAGAAGTCTTGAAATGATCATTTACAGTAATACTTAACTTTTCTTGTACAACATTTTGTGTTTGAGAATTCATGGTAATCTAAGAGTTTAAGTAAAGGCAACTGTCCTTCTTTGGACAGGAAACTGTGATGGGAACAAGCAAAGCAGCGATTCGAGAACAAAGTATCTCACCAATAACTCTGCTGGCAGTCAGACGGAGGTCGTCATTTGGACAGTCGAGGAACGAAAGACTTGCTTTTGTGCCAGCGGCCACAATTATCTTCTCTTTAACCTCAGAGTTCATGCTCATTTCACAGTTTGGGTCTGAACCCACTTTCTCGATTTGCAGGGATACTTCTGGATGTTTGGTTAGATCCACCGTGCAAAGAACTAACAAAGAAAAACAGGCATTTGATTTGGTCCAGTCAAATGTATGTTTGTATATTTAATATTATATTTATTTCAGGCTTGTTTAACTTGCAGACTGAAAAACTTTATCATTTCACTCCTGGAAGTACTGTGAACATCATAATTTGCTGATCTGTATCCATCAAAGAAAGGAGCAAACACTGATCTCTTCGATTTAGTCAATAATCTTCAATTTGATCTAAAATGGATTTTTAGAAACTAACCAAACTAAAGCTCTGTTTTTCACCTTAAATTCTAAAGCTGAGCGGGTTTGTAAAACTTTTACGATGGTTCTCATCCATGTGAACCCACATTTACACGACAGGCAAAAGACTTTAGAAATTCACAGCTGGGATTCATTTTCAAATAATTTGAGAAAAGTCTAAATAAACATTCTCTAAAATTACACTTAAAATCATTATTTGACTATTCGTTTAGTGAAAAGTCTCATTCCTGATTATATCTTTTAAAATATATTTTATGATATAAGCCAGCCGTTTTCCTTTTTCGTTTCTTTTGTTTGTTTTTCAAACACCATACCTGGATGACCGCTTCTCACCACAGAGATCCGGTAGTTCAGAGTGAGTCCTTGCAGCGTGGCGTTGGTCTCACAGTTGCTCAGCACCAGGTTGAAACTGCCCTGCTGGTGCTGTGGCTGAGGGTCAGTCAGGGTCAGCTTGGACACCTTATTGTTGCTCTTTTCATACTCCACCACCACGTCCTCTTTGTCATCGAGGCACTCTGGGGCTGTGAGGTCGTCGAAGTGCACGGTGTAGTTGTGCACGTCGGGCACGGTGAAGTCCCACTGCATTTTCTGGTCGCTGGGGAAATCTCTGGGGTAGTTAGCCGTGATGAACTTGGTCTCTGAAACTCCTCGCGGCACGTTGACTTTTACTGTGGCCAGCACTGAGGACGAACAAGGAGAGACACATCGAAATGACGTTTTTTGGGGGGTTTGAAAATATTGAAACAAGGGGCTTTTACATATAACGTCTGCATGACAGTACATGGCATCGCAGTAGTTTGATTTCTAGACATTATAGTGTGGTTTGGTTTAGCAATCATCCAGGTCATTGTAATACAAATATCATAAATAAATTGAACTGGACCTCCCCTGGGTGCTGAAGGCATTTAAAATTTTTAGACATGCCAGCAGCATGACTGTGGATGGCTTTAGTCAGTACATTAGCTTGCTTCAGAATATCAAAAATATACAGTTTGACATTTTGTATTTTTTTACGCGAACGGAAAAAAATTGAATATACCACTAGCATTTAGCTCAAAGATCCATTATCACCAGGTTTAGCCCAAAGACTCAGACATTACATGCTAAAATGTCTTATGTTTCTAACTTTTTTCAGGTCAACAAATGATATCTGCACGTATACAGACTTAAAGATTCCCAAGTTGTTGTTTTGACAGTGTTATACCACAAGATGTTTTGCGGTACAAAACATAAGAGTTTATAGAGATTGGCAAAATTATAGTCTGGCACGAAAACAAATCAATACTGGAAGATACTCACTCTTCGTCTCAGGCCCAACATTGAGTTTGAAGTTGATGGGGTCCACCTTTCCTTCCCCAGGCACCCGCAGGGTCATGCGCCCCTTGTAACGAGCCAAAATTGTGCTCACGGTGCCGCCTTTGCAAAATGTACCAATGTTAGCTGGCCCAGAGCGCAGATAGATAACAAGGTTGTACGTGTGGCCGTCAGGACAGGTCTCTTCATTAGGAATCTGTCGCATTCCTGGTGAAGGGAAGTCTAGCTGGAAAGCCCTAGTTGAGATTACTTTCAAGTCCCAGGTGAAAGTCCGGTTAAATTCTGGGAACAGCGTGGTCTCAGGCTGAACTATGTTGCCAGAGCAGGAGGTTTCTGTGCAGTCTAAGGACAGTATGTGAAAAAAAAATAAAAAATAAATAGAGAGAGTATGTGAGAGACGTCAGAGAGATTTAACATTGTATCATTTTCCACATGCATACTCATATACATTATACACATATATCATCATGTAATGTGCTGGATTTGATTATATAAAACTTACTTTAACAGTTAATCATCAGTAACACTATTCCATACTCAAAACCTAGTTGCTAATTTCCAATTAAATTCATGCAAATAAACATCTAAATATTTCACACTCAGTTTTCTTTAAAACCCACTTTTACAGGAACAGAAAACTTGTCAATCGCTCGTATGAATATTTCAGACTTTCATACCAATTTCTCTGTTGATCTCCACACTGAAAACATCCTGGGGTTCTGGACAGGTAAATTCTACTGATGTGTTGCGCGGATCTGTCAGCCTTAAATTCTGTGGATTGCATCTCCTGTTGGGTTCCTTGTCCACACAAACTCTGCACTCAGGCTCTTCAGACACCCTTCTGATGATGATGATGGTGTCTGGGTCAGGGGTCACAGACATCATTCTGCCACCTGCATATTAAAAAAAAGAAAAAAACACACCGATAGATCAAAAGGAGGCTTTAGGGATATGTGTTAAAAACCGAAAAGTGGGGAAGTTTTACTATATTGTTTGCGAACTGACTGAAGAAAGGTCTGAAACATGCACTCACGTCTTGGTGCTGCTCTGAAACCGAATGCAGTCTGCTTCGTATCGCCTCCTTTGGGTACTTCAACAGTCAAAGTAGTGGATCCAAGCAGATTCAGATCATTAACTGTTCCACCTTTGCAGAAGCTGTTAGTTTTCATTTTTCCATCACTGCTGGTTGTTTTCACTGTGTACAGATAGCCATCCAAACACTTGTCTGTGGTAGAAACTTGCTTCAGTCCATCATCAGGAAAATCCAAAGTTAAAACAGTCCTGTCAGGAACAGTAATGTCCCATGTCAGGGTTCTTTTGAAGTCCTGTAGTAGATTGGCCTCGGTTTGGGTTGCATTAGGGGTACAGGAGCTCATTGTACATTCTGAGAGGAAAAAAAGGTTTGATTACACTTTTACTTCCCTATAAGGTTATTTAATAAGGAGCTCATCCTAAATAATATAAACACACACACAGCTGGTTATAATTCCTACCTGTTGCCTTCTTTATCTTCACACTGAATACGTCTTCGGGTTTCGGGCAGCTGAACTCCACTGAGAGATCTTTAGCTGTGGTCAGCGTCTTTTGTGTTGAGCTACAATCAGGAGTGGAACCATCAGTGGTGCACACTTCACACTCCGACTGCTCCGGGTCTCGGCTCAGGACTACAGTTGTACCGGAGCCAATGTCTAAGACCACTGTTCGTCCCTCTGAGAAAGAAGAGGGGGGAAAATAACATTGATTAAATAAGATTTATCAATTTGGAAGAGCAGAGAAAAGGGAGCAAAAGAGGTAAGATTCCCCAAATCAACTTCTTAGAACCTCTAAAGCTCATTTTTTTAAGTATGTCATTTCTTAATGATGCTTTCTTAGGACGGATGTTGGAAAGTGGAGGTTCAAGTGTCTGTTCTTACTTAAAGGTGCAGCGGAGAGCTGAAACAACACCGACACCTCCTGTGCGTTCGGTTGAACTTGAAGGGAGACGACAGACCCATCCGTCAGGTCCAGCTGGGTCAGAGAGCCACCGTGACAGTATTGAGTCGAGCTCTTGCTACTCGTTTTCGCAGCCACTGAAAACTGATGTCCATCTGGACATGGTTGTGATGTCTCGGTCAGTCCAGTCCCAAGCTTGTTGAGGCTCACGGCAGTCTTTTTTGGCGCCTTCACCTCCCAAATGAAGGTTCTGGCAAACTCTGCCAGGAGGGAGGACTGGGCTTCGACCATATTGGGGTTGCAAGCATCCTGAGAACATTCTGGATCACAATTGAAAATGAGGGGGGGGGAATTGATTGGTTAAAACAAATGACACATTACAGCACATCTCTTTAGGCTAAACATTAATCAAACAAGACCTTCAATCACATGAGCATCAGGGAATGTCCTGAGATCGGAGCAGAATTCGACCTCCGTTTCATGCATGTTTTACAGCACATGGTTCAACTTGCATTGTGTGATTATTTCTGGGCTTCATAAATCAAATTTACATTGACACACCAATACAGTCAATTCTAGTTGTTAAGATGAGCTACAGCTCTTCCTTGACTGGACCCTTTAAGTGGACCGTTTCCTGTACATATAAAAGAGAGGGGGACCCTAGATTCACCAAAATATGTAGCGCTCCATACAACAGCTGGTGAGGTCCAGCCTACCCAAGTCAAATACCAAAAAAACAGAAAATTTCAGCAAATCAATACCAAGCCGAGGTCGGTTCACCTGATACGGTTAATCTTTTTTCCTCTTAAAAGTGCTCAGATGCATTGTGCACTTTAAGGTTATTCTCTGTCGTCATTGGCTTCAGATGATATTCATTGGTCAGAACCATGGATAGGAAATGTAGTGCATTGAACACAAACGCAAGGTGGAGGAAAATAAAATCAACTCTCAGCTGCACGATTGAGTTGCTGTAAGCTCCACTTGGAGAAATTCTGAAAATGCACAAATCTCCACCTGAGAGCTCATTTTTGGCTTTTCAAAAACACACCATCTGGAAACTCACCAATGGATTGAGCAATTGTCACAGTGTAAGACTGTTCGATGGGTTGGGAGCAGTTGAACAGCAGCTGGACTTCTTCCTCAGGTACCAGAATAAGAGATGGGTGGCAGGAAGTCTGCGTGTCGTTCACCCCACTGACCGTGCACACAGCACACCCAACCGAGGACAGCTTAGTGGACACGGTCACAGTGGACCCGCTGTCAGGTCGGACCACTTTCTTCACACATTCTGAGGAAAAAGATTAGACGTCATTAAAAAAGAAAAAGATTTTCTTTCTTTAAACTGATCGACCACTTACAGTGGTAACAGTATTACTTTATTTGTTCCTGCTATGGTTTCAGTCCAGTGTTTCCCCTCCTCCTGGAGAACACTGAGCTAATTCTGGGCTCCATTGGCTGTTTTAACAGATTCGAATCGGTTGACTGGGAGAAGTTACAACACACAGACAGTCGCGTCTGTAAAACCAGTTTGGGGTCACTTTTGGTTGCCGCCTGTGACAGACATTAGCACTGAAACAATGACTCAAAAGATTAAACAGAGCTGAAAGCGTGCCAGGAAAAGGTTCTCACCACCACCGCCAGCAGGGACTGTGGACATAAAGCAGGTTGGGTCCATTTGATTCCTGATTATGCTCTCCTGTCCACTTAAGTAAAAAAGAAACTAAGAACTAATCATGTAGATCCTCCAATTTATCAGTATTAAAGGAAACCTTATCTGATTTTGAAAGACTTGTCTGACAGCATCACAGAAGGGTTTTTGTTTTTTTACTAGAAGTTAAGGTGTTTAGTGACAGTAAACAGTAGAAACGTTCAAAGAACCTTCAATTATACTTTGACAAAGTCTGCAAAGATCTTTTTTTCCCCAATGTGTCCCCTTTCCCCCCAAAAAAGTTAACGTTGTGAGGATAAAACAATCAAGCAAAAAATAAGATAGAAACCCCGCCTGATTCACAGTTGAGCAGCAGATTGTGAGTCAATCATTAATGGAGTTGAGAACAATCCATGCCTCCAGGAAGCTCCATAAACGCCCCACAAAACATTGGAAAAATGGAGGGCAAAAGTCGGGCCTGAGAGCTATTATTTTTCTGATTGAAAATGTGCTTCAGCCCTCATCTGTCGATATACTTGACCACAAGAAGAGCTGTCCCAATGTCGTCTGTTGTTCTCAAGGTGTTCGGGCAGATTCACTCTGTGCTTCCTCCCTTTGAGATGAGCTCATCCTGCTCTTAACCCAAAAGTTTGACTCACATCCTTCAAATACAGTCTCATGTTATCGGGTATAATTAGTTTGTTTTTTAAATACAGCCCACAGAAAATGCTCAAATATGAGTGAATGGTTGTGTACAAAGCCTCACAGACGACACACAAGATATTACAAGCTGAACAATCCCATTTCCTTACCTGAAGTGTCCAAAGCTGCCAACACGGAGAGTAACAGGAGCGCACATGTGGCACAGAGGCGCATTTTCACAACAACAACAAAAATCCCGATTACAAAAAATATATGAAAACAGTTCAAAACGAGAGTCTGTGATTTCAGTTTTTGTTTCAAACACTCGGCTTCATTTTCGAGTGCTGTTGAAAGACGACAGCTTCGGCGTTGACATCCACTTCCTGCTGCACGGTACCTGTGCGCAGCGCAGCGGAGGGCGTGGATCACAGGTAGGCAGCCTACCTGTCCGGACTTGAAGTGCAGAGGCCCTGCCGGTGTGCCTTTGAGCTCAAACGCGAGAGAGGAACTCGTTTGTTGTGACCAGAGTCGTTGTGCGCGACTGCCCTCGCCGTGTGGCACAATGGGCGCCCTATTTATAAGCGGCCGAGCGTGCCAAATATAGTTGGCATCGTGATGTGTATCCCCAAAACGAGGCAGGGGAAGGGTGCGGAGGAAGATTTCATTATGTTGAAACCACTTCGAAGACACAAGTCATGGACACAGAATTGATAAGAACGGCAGCAGACTAAAAAGCAGAAAATGAAGCCATGTTATGCAAATGAGCTGACTGTGTGACCGTTAAAACCGGTGGACAGTGTGAACAATGCCAGCTGCTGTTGGTCAAGTGCGCCCCCCCCCCCCCAACACACACACATTTTATAATGATGATGAGTATGTGAGAGACTGCACTCCCAGAGTTGCAGAAGCTCCCTCCTGCCACCACACGCCTCAGTGAACCATAGACATTCCAGTTCAGAAACATACCTGAGGGCTAGAACACAAACACACACATTGTTGTCAAAAAAACTTCCCTGCTACAAACGCTCCCCCCTACTTAGCTTTTTACTTAAATCCAGTTTTAACAGATCTGAACGCAAAGCCAAAGACCGAGAACCAAACTGGCTCTCAGTCAGTCAGTATGCATCACTTTCACATATAAGGCCCATTTCTACATGACAGTACTGAGTAACAGACACAAGGGACTGACAGTCAGCAAGCGGCAGATGTCTTAGTTTTTCAGAATTTAAGAGCATTTTGGCACCAGGAAAAAAACTCACACACACGCATACAAGCAATGTTGGTGTTTTTGTTGAACCAGTTTGACAGCCTGCAGAATGGGTGGTGAGCAGGAATCCCGCAGTCGTCTGAACAACGGACCTCAGTGAGGGATGAGCAGCTGTCAGACTGCCCCTCCCCTCCCCTGTAACTGTAGATCCATGGAGGCTCAACATTTGCTGCTGGGAGTTTCGGGGCCAAAGTTTGTTCTCTGGATCCTCTGTAAAGAGACTGGTTGATACAGATGATAGACTTCCACTTAGGGCCGAAGCGTTTGGCAGTTTTGGGGTCCAATGATACTCTGACAATGAGTTGCATTTATTTAAAGGCCAAGATTGGGAAACACTTTTTCTTTCGAGAAAAAATGATTTTTTTTAGTTTTGTCATCATCTATTTTCTTTTTTTTATTCCCTTTTCTTCAATCTGCTCCACAAGTATGGAAAGAAAAACAACATGAGAGTGGAAGGCCCACTAAAAAGGATAAATCGTGTGAATGCTGATGGCGAAATGTGACATTCTTAACATGAAAACCAACTGATAAAACACACCGGCACTTTTCAGATTCTGCTGTGTTGAAATATTGCCACACGTGTTCTGTAGCAGCCTGTATTTTTTGGGCGTGTCTGATTTTACCTAATGCTGACAGGTTGAAGTACCTCCACAGGCCACATGGAGACAGTACCTGAGCAGCAGCTCTATGCTCCTGCAGAGTTTCTGCAGGAGAGAGAAAATCTTTGTCACCTACCTTTGTTTCACAAACTATTTTTAATCCACCTCAGAATAGACTCTGTCTGTAATGTATCCCCTTTTCCAGCTTTTCCTTACCCACAAATATGGACCAGTTTAAAGTTGTCATGGCACCAAAAAGATTTAAGTTTTTTATTTAAGTTTCTTTTCAGTCCAGTCATGTTGAATTAATTTGTTTTAAAAATGACTATCAGACTGAGGATGTTTTTTATATATCAGCTGCTCTGTTTTCAACTGTGGAAATTTGATCCCTTAAATGCTGCTGAGGTTAAATGAAAATGCTCCCTGTGGACATTTGATTGTTAGGAATTAGATTATGAACATTTGATACTAATATGATGGAATTTTCTGATAATAGCCAAACGTCTATCACAAGTATCTTAGTACTGTCCTGACCTCTACCCACTTAGCTTTTGCCACCCACATGGCTTCTACGGAGGAGTCGGAAGGGGGTCTTGAAGTCTCACTGCCCTCTAAGAAGTAACACCCATTAACCCAGAGAGCAGCTCGCCTTACAGCTGTCTGCACTGCACGTAAAATTAGACCCTCAGACAGTCGCACTGCTCCAGACAACTGAGGAATCACTGGAGGAGATGGAGCCCCGGCCCAGCCCCGGTCTTTGCTTTGGTAAGGATGGGAACGGCCCACTGTGGGCCAGGGACGGATCTCCCTCCACACCCGTGGGGGAGAGACTGCCGGGTTTCACTGATCTCTGTGTTTTTCTCTCTCTGGTGCATTCAGGAAGCTGCACAAGGTGCAGAAAGCCGGTGTCCGGCCCGGCAGGAGCCTGTCAGGCTATGGGACATTTATTCCACAACAGCTGCTTCACCTGCAGCGTCTGCAGTGAGTCCCTGTGATGTCAGCATGAATCCATGTTTAAAAAAAAAGATCTGTCATCAGTCATTGACTTGTACATGACTGCATGTTCTAAGTATTGTCTTAATTTCTCCTCTTTTTTGTAATTGTTTACACTTCAATATTTTTGCCGTTCGTTCAATATATTCACACGTACAGTTTTACCTGGTCATTATTGTCATAATTTTATCAGTAATGATTAGGCAGAAAGAGATTTGTAACCATAATATTCTGTTCGACATCAACTCAGACTAAACTTACTCCTTTATTGGTTGATCCACCTGTAAGTTGGAAAGAAAATCCATATGAAATTATCTAAATAGGATTTGGCTGTGCCTTAAATATCCATTGTCAGATGTGGATGAAAGGGTAGCAAAATCATTACTGTCAACGTTTAATGTTTATCACCTTTGGATTTGACCAAATAAACAAACATTGTTTTACATAACCACTGTTAGCCTTTATGAACTGCTGCTAAGACACCAGACACTGTGCAGAGAGCTGAACTACACTGCATGCACAAGGAGCTGCGATATAAGACTGAGGATAGTTTCTGCTATAGATAGATCCAGAAGACGGTCTTTTATGACTCTGTGTGCTTGTGAAACTTATCTCATCTCTCTAGAGGATGAAGAGCACATGCCTGTTTTTTGACTGGTCCTCGGATGATATATGTACCCAACTGAAAAAATATATTTTATTCTGTGGCAGGTAAACCGCTCAGTGGGAAGCCCTTTTTTACAGTGTCAGGACTAATCTACTGTGAAGATGACTTTTTGGTCAGTATATCATTTTATAAGTCCCAACAGAACAAGAAGAAGTGATTTACATTTGCATAACTCCCTTTTGCTTTGAATCGTCTTGCAGTTTTCTGGAGTTCATCCTTCTCAAGAAGTGTGTGACAGCTGCGGGTGTTCAGTTGAAGACTTTGTAAGTAATAATTTACACATGTACATATATTGTAAGGACATGGTTGGGAAGTCATGTGAGAGAACAAATGATGCTTGAGCAGGTCCTGCAGGCCTGTGGGAAATCCTACCACCCGTCCTGCTTCCGCTGTGTGGTCTGCCGACAGGAACTGGAAGGTCAGGCCTTCGCCCTGGACTCAGACTCCAGAGTTTACTGTGTCAGCGACTACCACAGGTGAAACTATGACAACAAGCGAAGCCTTTTAGCTCATGCTTGGGATAAAAGACTGGGAGATCTAAGCATGAAAGACAATACGGGTGACAAACCACACCCGGCGTGTGGCTTTATGCCTCAGTTTCATCGAGACTTCTTCACGCTTTCAGGGTCCAGGCTCCTCACTGTGATACCTGTGGGATGCCAATACTGCCAACGGAGGCAAGTTTTGAACCACAACATGAAATATATAACAACTTACTTCCAAAGCTTTAAAAAAATGAACATGTTGTTCTTTTTTTTCTTTTTGTTTCAGGGGTCTACTGAGTCTATCCGAGTTGCATCATCAAACAAATATTACCATATAGAGTGTTATAGTGGGGAGGTTAACCTTATTTGACGAAAGTGGTGGTTTGTTAATATGACCTTTTGTACAGTTCTAAATATCAATAAAGTTGCGGTGGTCCAAAGTGTTAAGTATTTCTGTTTTACTTTGTGGTCTTTATGAAGCCTCCCCCGCATTGCTAAATACAGTCTGTGTGTCTTGGCACTCTAAAAGTCTGTAGTTTTAGATTTAGGTTGCGTGAAAGATACATACATTTGGTGTGACATTAGTGATGAAAAAAACAAAAACAAAAGTCCAAATATGTATGCAGTTTGACCTGCTTTCAAATGTGAACTTGGCTCAAGTACAGGAAATACAAACAAACTCTCGGTCTTCCTCAGAGCATCAGCTGCATTTACATTAGCCAGTGTTTGTGTTTGTGTTATAACGCAAATGTTTCACCATTTTCGTGCACGTTCATAAGAAAATATTTTTGAAATTTAAACAAAATCAGAGGTTTTGATGTCTAATGTATACATAAATTCAATGTTTTGGGGAGATTGGCGAGCATTTGATAAAAAATGCGAATCACATGAATTTCTTAAGGCTCTCTTGTACTTACCTTTTACAATATTTATATATGTGCAATGATTTAATTATTACTATGTAATTACGTAATTATAAACTACTTTTGATCAGGATTGCAATGGATACTGAATAATTACCAAATTGGAAAGTCAGCACAACATGTTCATACATTTGATCATCTCGGTGCATTTGCTGCATTAATGTTGGGGTAAATATGAAATAGGTCAAGAAGGTAAAGAAGATTTCACACATCGTTAACCCTCTACAGCGCCATCAGGCGTCCATGCAGACTTCTACCGCAAAGTGCTTCTCTGAACACCGGAACTGTGGAGGTGAAATGAATATAAACGCCGATTGAAATGGCGTCAGTCACCGTCCGCGGCTGGGCTCTCTGCACCGTGTCTCTCCTTAACTTATTGTTTGTTTTTATATCCGTTGCCGACTTCATTCGCTTTGTGTCTTTTCGAGCCATTTATCATAACATAACAGGAGAAACGACGCTCTGCCAAGGTAAGTTCTCATAAGTTTAGATGGCTGACATCCAGGAGGGGTTGTAGCTAACGTGAGTGGACTGAGTAGAGTTAATAATACATTTATGTAGAAGTCCATACTACATAATAATTCAGTGTAACTCTATAATTCATCCCCCAAAAAAACACTTGCTAAAAGATTTTTACAGAATTTTGGGACTTCCTTTTGCGAAGGTATGTAAAACCCGCATGTGGGTTGGCACGCATAGCCCGGCTAGCTCAGTCGGTAGAGCATGAGACTCTTAATCTCAGGGTCGTGGGTTCGAGCCCCACGTTGGGCGGCAAAACTTTTACTTTTGAAAGATTCGTTCCTTCAAGTTAGAGTTTTTTTTATCACAAAAAGAAAAGCATTCGACTATGTTGACACAGTAGAGGTAGTTTTTGTTGTTGTGCTGTTTTATTATGGCATCTTACTTTCATTCGTGATATTATATATCTAAAGCTGTGCGTTCATTTCAGTTTTAAAAAGTTAAACTTTACACATAACCTTGTTCGTCTTTCTCCACATTTGTCTCTGTTCAGACTCCATACCATGGACGGTGGCCATGAGAGACAGTTCTGTGCTTCGATCCCTGGTGGTTGATCTGTGCCTGTTGGGTCTCTTCACCACACAGCACAGTCTACTGGCCTGGTCACCGGTCAAACAGGCCCTACAGTCTGTGCTGGGGGCCCTCAACAGGACAGCATACTGCTTCACCTCTGCTCTGGCTCTGCAGGTACAGTCACGCTCACTGGATAGTGGCTTAATTAAAAAATTGGCAGTTGTATTTTGACACTTAAGGCTTTTGTTAGTTACTGTAATCCTTTTGAGGTTAATTTAGTATCTGTTTGTGTTGATTCCACATGTTTCCTTTGTTTGCTCATGGTTTGAGTATCTGTGTCTTTGTTGTAGCTTGTTCTTCAGTTTGAAGTCTTGTTGCAGGTGCTTTGAATCTCTTTTTTTTAAATGTTTTGTGTAACTTACTCTGTGATCCTGTTTCATTTTTGGTGCATTAGATCCTGATGTGTTTCTGGGAGCCTGTGACCGGCGCCCCCTGTCTGTGGTCTGTGCGCCATGGCCCCTGGAGTATCTGGTTCCCTCTGCTCTGCTTTACACTGCACTTCCTCTGCTGGACCATCATCTGCAGCATCCTCATCATTTTTGATTACCCAGAACTTCTGGGCATCAAGCAGGTAGGAACAGAAAAAGTGGGGACCAGATTTCAGATGTGGGAAAGCCATAGGAACAATGCTGTTAGCAATAAGCCTGGCCTAAATATCCTCATAACTGTTCTCGGATATAAAGAAAAACATTTTACCTATTTTAGACGAATCTTAAATTATTCTTCACCAATACATCAGCTCATGAAGTAAAAACTACGTCATAAAAACCTCTGAAATCGTCTCCATGGCCTCTTCTTTCTCAGGTGTATTATGAGTGTCTGGGTTTGGGAGACCCCCTCGCTCAGAAGTCCCCACACGCCCAGCGCTTCCTGTCCCACTTCCGCCACCCAGTGTGCCTGGAGCTGGGGGTCATCCTGTGGCTCCTGCCGGCTCTGACCCTGGACCGGCTGCTGCTTGCGGGGACTCTGTCCACCTACCTGGCCCTGGGACACTCCCTGGACCAGCAGGATTTGGCCTATGTCTGCGCGCGACTCAGAAGCAAGATGCAGATGTTTGCAGAGCCACAGCGGGCCGGGGCCATCACTGACAACAGCAACCACAAGGAAAAGTGAGGCCCGCTGTGGCCCTGGCTGTCCTCATATTAACCAGGAAATTAGTTTTAAACCTTTTTTAAACCGGGGCAGCGATGCCCGATGAGCCCGGTCGTTTATGTTTTCCGTCACTGCAAAAACACACCTCGTGTCCATCCATATTTTCGGGATGGGGCTCATGTGAAGTTAAATGATGTCATCAGTTTCAGGATTTTCTTTTTAAGAAAAACAACACTCATCACATCAACATGTGTTCCATAGGTATTCCACAGTATACTGTGGTCAGTTACATTCACACTATTCCTTTGTATGCATATTTCAGATTTAATTATCTTTAAAAAGCCTTCTTACACTGAGTCTTCACACTGGGAAAAGTTTTCATTGTTTGATTTGGAAAATATCAAAGTCTCGGGACATTTCGGATATGAATGTATTTTCCTCCGTTTATTTTCCTTTCATTTTTTTATATTGAGAGCACCTCAGACTAATTACCTGTTACTTGAAGCTTCAAACATTCTGTTGATATTTTGTTCTCCGTCTTCTCCGACCATCTTAGTGACCCATGATGGGTTAGCGGGGTCACCCACATTTCTTTACACGTTGTTTATTTTCGACTTAGAAAACTGTATTATGTGATTCCATGTCCACAGAAAACTCTAATGTTGATTTTTTCATGTCTGCGTTGAGACCTCAGTGTGACTACAGTTATCATTTGTGGATTTCTTGGACCAGTTTTTTTACAATAAATATAATACCACATTTATGTCCCAGATGTTGGTTGTGTCTGAAATGAACAGAGGAGCAGCGGGAAGCTTCACGTTGATACACTCCATGAGAAATCCTTCAGGATGCATTTACAGGCTGGGCTGCGGTGGCTGCGTGGAGGCCTGCAGGCCGGTGCAGCTGCCTCTCAGCGGAGTGCAGCTTCATGTGTCTCTTCAGATGCCCTGTGACGGTTAGCTTTTTCCCCACGCTGAGCAGCTGAAGGGTTTCTCCCCCGTGTGGACTCTCATGTGGATGCGCAGACCCCCCTTTTGGCTGGCGCTTTTGCCACAGATGCTGCAGCTGAACAGCCTCTCTCCCGTGTGGACCCTCATGTGTTTGGTCAGGTCCCCATTCTCAGCACAGCCCTTCCCACAAAGAGGACAGCCATGCGGTTTCTCTCCCGTGTGGACTCTCATGTGTTTCTTCAAGTCGGCTTTCTGGGCGCAGCCTTTGCCGCAGACGGTGATTTTTTTTTAACTTTCATCTTGCTCTTTGATAAAAATACACTTTAGTTAGTTAGAAAAATCCTAACAAAATGTGTGTTGAATGATAAAAAACATCTCAAATATTATAGCGATATGGTCAGTTATTGACCGTTTCCCCATACAGCACACTTACTGTTCATTTTTAAAGCATTTTAGTTAAAGTATATTCTAGTCCCCCTAATGTGATCACCCTGAAGAAAAAAGAGGCCAGTCTTTTATTCTTTTTCTTCCATCAAAGGGGAACAACAACAAAAAACAGTCCCCAATACTTCATAGTCATAGTCAGAAAATACACAAACTGTTTTTGCTATGTTACAATATATAATTTAAATATATATGTTGATAAAGTGAATCAAAGCTTTTCATCTATTAGAATTGTTTGGAGTCATTAGGAATTTAATTTCTGTCTGTCATAAATTTTCATGTTGATAACACCTGTGCTGTAAAATGACCCGTTACTAAGATACCATCGTGCCCACAACGTTGCTAGGATACGACAAACTACGTCGCCATTACTGTTGAGCTTTCTTTGGGGGAAGCGTGGTAGAGACTGTTTTCCCAGGTTGTTTTGAGACAGTTGAAGGAACTTCGGTCACTTCACCGTGAGCATGGAGATCGTCCATGTTTACACGAAGCTCCGCAACGAGTTTGGCCGCCAGTGTCTGTTCACGGACCGGCCGGAGGAGCTGTCCGTGGACATCCTCCCGGACCCGAGCCTGGCCATTCAATTCGTCCAGAAAAGCCACAGAGACCTGGCTGTCCAGACCTACAGGGAGATGTCAGAGCACCAGGTAACTTTAAATATCGCTTTGGCACTCTTGTCATTTACACGAAGAACCAGGAGTATTTTCAGACAGACAGGAACTGTCTGTAACGCTTACTCAGAAAGTGTGTGAGTAAGAATCGTCGAATTTATTTTATTCGCTTCATTTTTTTTATAGATGGCGTTCTTGTGACATATACCCTTTAAAGATCACGGGTTAAAATCACTGATTCAAATGTAGATATACATCAGAATAGACATACTGTGAGACATAGAATGACAAAAAATGTCAATTTCTAAGTATTTTTGTTAGTTTGTTACAGCATTTAGGGATATGACAATGGCCTCATTTCGTTTACGATATTAGTTCTTTATCAGTTCAACCGTGTGGGTTTAAGGGAAATAGCCTGGCCAGAATGGATCAGGTGGAACTCATGAGCTGCTTGTTCATTTCAGATTAACACAGAGCGCTTTGAATCCAGCAGCTGTGGGATAAACCACATGGAAGGCGGGTGGCCCAAAGACATCAACCCTAATGAGATGGAGCAAACTATTCGCTTCAGGAAGAAAGTGGAAAAGGATGAGGGGTACATCAACAGCATCCTGCAGCTGGGCAGCGTAAGATCCACATACCTCAACCCATTAATGGATTAATGGTGTTCTGTTAATGACAGAAGTGACCTGTTCAGAACAGAATAGGTCACTTCACAGCACAGTGAGTGCTGAGCGATGTCATCTTGTGGTTTAGGTCATGGAGCACTGCATCCGGCAGAACAATGCCATAGATATCTACGAGGAGTTCTTTGAGGATGAGGAGGATGTGGAGGAAAGTCAGGAGCCCCCGTCTGCCAAGACCATAAATGTCTTCAGGTCCAGCCCTCACCAAGCTGATCTCTAGTTACTGATCACTGCCTACTGATTATTGACTGACTGTTGGAACCACTCTCCCTTTTTTTTTTTGGGCAGAGATCCCAACGAAGTCAAACGCACTGTCACCTGCCTGTCCTGGCATCCTGATGGAGGCAAGAAGCTGGCCGCTGCTTACTCTTGCCTGGAGTTCCAGAAAACCTCCAAAGAAATGAGCCTGGACTCCTACATCTGGGATGTTGGTGGGTCAGACTGCAGATTTGACTAAAAACACCTCAGAAACTCGGTCTGCTCAGCGGTGAATGTTTTCATTTCTAGAGAACCCAAACCGTCCGGAGATGACTCTGAAACCCGTGTCTCCACTGGTCTGTTTGGACTACAACCCAAAAGACTCCCACACTCTTGTTGGAGGCTGTTACAATGGACAGATTGGTGGGTTCAGGTCCAGGCTTCCTGACACACGGGTGAGGTTCTGTTTGTGACCATGTTTGTTTGTTTAGCATACTGGGACACCCGTAGAGGCAGTCAGCCAGTGGAGTGTTCCTCTGTGGAGCACAGTCACAGAGACCCAGTCTACAAAATCATCTGGCTGCAGTCCAAGACCGGGACGGACGCCTTCTCTGCCTCTACTGACGGACAGGTAGACAAATGAGAGATAGGTTGGCATATAGATCTGTGATTGACAGAACCTCAGTACAGTGCTATACCTTTGTAACGACGACCTCTCCCTCCCCTTTAGGTGCTGTGGTGGGATGTCCGAAAGTTGAGTGAGCCCACAGAGCGCATGGTTGTGGACCCCAGCCGGGAGGGAAGCCTGGACCGAGCTTTAGGAGCCATCTCTCTGGAGTTTGAGGCCACCATGGTGAGTCTTTAGTGATAGATCCGGCTATGATTGCCCCTGAATTCATCTCTCTGCAAAAAAGGTATCCTTTTGATACACTTCTCCAGAAGAGGCATTGAAAATATTGTCAAGACGTAGCTATGCTGAATAAAGCTGCACAGACAGGGTGCATAAGCTACATGGAGACCTCCTCTGCAGTCATAAAAATGTTAAAAACCCAACCATGTTTTTTAGCCTTGTGCTGATTTGACCTGAGCTGAATCTCAAAGGATACGTTGTTTTCTGTCTTGCTTAAATAATCAGATTCCTCAGTTTACACTGTAAGGTTGAAGGCACAGAATCTGTTCTTTTTTTTTTTACCTGAAATGAAAACGCACAGGATAGTAAAACCAGATGGAGCTTCAGTGTTTATCTTGTCTCTTCAGCCCACCAAGTTCATGGTGGGGACAGAGCAGGGCCTGGTTGTGTCCTGTAACCGAAAGGCCAAGACTCCAGCCGAGAAGATTGTTTGTACATATGACGGCCACCACGGGCCCATCTATGCACTGCAGAGGAATCCATTCTTCCCCAAAAACTTCCTCACTGTGGGGGATTGGACAGCTCGCATCTGGTCCGAGGACATCAAGGAGTCATCCATCATGTGGACCAAGTAGGATTCACATCACTTCATTGGTGGAGTGTGTTGCCCTGATGTGATTAATTGATAGAATCCAATCCAGACTAACATCCTCATCAGGTAACCTCACAGCCAGGTTTTATTTACAGGTACCAGATGTCATACCTGATGGATGCCTGCTGGAGTCCAGTCAGACCCTCTGTCTTCTTCACAGTGAAGATGGATGGCGTGCTTGATGTGTGGGACATCCTGTTCAAACAAAGCGACCCCACCCTGAGCCTCAAGGTACTCTGATTTCACATTTAAACCAGATAAAGCCCCGTGGATTCACTCTACTAACCAAAACAATCTGGTTGCCGTCCTCAGGTTTGTGACAAAGCTCTGTACAGCCTCCGTGTTCAGGATAATGGGCGCATGGTGGCATGTGGCTCAGAACAGGGGGAAGCCACTCTGCTGGAGATCTGCTCAGGACTATCAACCTTGCAGAAGAATGAGAAAAGTCTACTGGCTGCTGTAAGAGAGCTGAGACAGGAGCTGATGATAGATCTTGTTTACAGTCGGGAAAAACTTCCTGGCAGCTGCATTTTCTTTTTGCTATAGTTCTGCAGCTGTAGGTAAACTAACTGAGTTCACACAGCTGGACTGAAAAAAGACTTCCTCACCAGAGGAAGCGAGGGCTATAGTTTGTGGGACTGTCATGATACGGATCGTCTAGTGGTTGAGACTATATTTCAGCTTTAGCTGTCATAGGGACAAAGCACAGATCATACAGCAAAGAGAATAAAGCATGTTAGGTTCACCAATGATCAACATGATGCTAAAAAGTTATGTTCAACATACTTGTGGCTCATGTTTATAATGAGCTTAGTGTAGTCATCAATAACATAATATGTTTTTTTAATGGTCTGCAGATGTTCGAGCGAGAGACAAAACGAGAGAAGATCCTGGAGGCCCGGCAGAGAGAGATCCGACTAAAGGAGAGGAGTCGTTCCGAACAGAGCAAAGAGGAGGAGGTCGGGCGGGAAGAGGGAGAGGAAGACCCCGACCAGCTCATCGCCAGAGCTGAGCGCGACTTTTACAACCTGGTGGAAATGGAGCTGAGGAGAAGGGAGAGGAAGGAAGGAGCAGAGCAGGTAAGGGTGGGGTTGAAGAGGGAGTCCCTACAATCGATTAGCTTGGTTCATACTAAAGATGTAATGTCTGTTTTGTTTTATTTGCCTCAATCTTAATTTCTTTTTTTCAGGAAAAAGATGGGTGTGAAGAAAAAGATTTGACAGACTGAACAGAAAATGGTGAAACAGGAGCATCTCATTGAAGGAAATCCCTTTTCAGTCGATTGCCATATTTATTCTTTGTTCCCTGGAGATTTCAGAATGAATGTTAATCAGTTTTCACATGTTTTTGCAGAAACAAGCTTCAGTTAAGTAAACTATCCAAATTCAGTCTGAATCTGTTCTGTTTTTGTTTAATCTGAGATCCGTACACACAAATTGGCTGAGGACATTTGATATGGAAAATCCTACATTTACACTCTGTTACCGTGCTGTGCATGTTACACCTTTGCAGCATCTTTTTCTCAGCATTGAAACAATGAGAAAGTGGTGAGCGACTGCAAGCTTATGTTGTATGTAGATATGTATACATACTACCGTGTAGTTAGGTTTAAGTTCACATGAACATGTGTTTTATATGCTTAAACGAAACCTTATAAAAATAATTACAATATTTGAAGTCTGATTTTTCTAAATTATATGTGGAATTAAGATCTAACAGAATTTCTACCTGAAATAGGTGAATAAAATATAGGAGTTAGATTTTAGACAGTGGTAAACATATTGTGTGCTGATAAAATGCATTCAAATGTTTTTTCTATTTTTGCCGAGGAAAAAAGTCCCTCAGTTGGAGGTTTTTATTTTGAAAGGATCCCGGAAGTACCCCTGTTTATATCAGTCCCCGAACTGACCGCGTTTTAGGCGCTGTTACTCTTTACCTGCCGCAGCTGGATGTTTGAGTATTTTGCTCGCGGTTCTGACAGTTTAGTTGTGCCTCTACGGACACGAACATGTCTCGGGTCCAGAAGATGCGGATGTTCGTCAGCCAGCGCGTGAACGCTGCGGTCGAGGAGATTCTCGCTGCTTTTGAAGAAGTTGTAGAGAAATATGAGGAAGAGGCGGCTCTGAGTCGGGAGGTGATCTCGCGTCAGCACGCGCTGCTGTGCTCGGTCAATAAGTCGGAGATGGTCCCACCTTTAACAGGTGAGCAACATCCGGGTCCCGAAAGTGACAGGCACGTGCAAGTCTGTAGCTTCCAGGTTCAATTTCGAGCAAATGTTTTGTCAGCTAAAATCACACCGAATTCAGGATAAGATTTACGAAATGATTGGTCCTTCAAGCAGTTCCGGTCTTTTGCCACTTGTTGGTGAAAGATTAAAAAAAAAAACATTCGAACTACTTTTTCATCCAAAAAGCTGCATGAATTACTTGTGAGATAGCTGTAGCTTTATGGGTCATCTAAATTACAATGAGCAGTTAAAAGTCAGCCTTGAGAAATTGTTTTCTATGTTAAGAGTAAACGCAGTCCCATTGTATAATGCATTTGTCTGAAGATGCAAGGAGTGAAAATAAGTCTAGTCATGTGATTTGGTTAACTTTTTTACAGAAAGAAAATATCTAAAATGGAGTCTAATCTGTGTGTGGGACTCAATCATAATTCTATGTATTTGTGTATTTGAGCAGACACGTTCACACAGCAGCTTCTGCTGAAAAAAGAACAGGCCACTCTAAGCCAGAAAGACCAGAGTCCGGATCAGAACATGGTTCCAGAGCCTTCGTTTGCTGAAGGAGAGGAGCAGCCCCTGCATCTGGACGAAGCCGAGATCATCGAGTTCACCTACGATTCCAGACTGGCCGCAAAGCCTGGGGAGGGCCTCCCGCTGTCAGCAGAACCAGAAGGTCCACATATAGACGTTTCACTGGTGCTGTCGTCCGAGACTGAAGACAGCGAGGACTACGGCAAAGCCCCCGCCGACCCCCGACCCGCTCCGGCCGGGAGACAGAGCGGCCTCAGGTGCAGGGCATGCAGCCGGACCTTTACGGCTCCCAGGTTTTTGTTCAGGCACGTCACCAGTCACCTGCGGGAGGCCAGGCCGCTCTGCGGTCTGTGCGGGGAGGAGTTCCAGGCCGCCGAGGGCCTGTCGCTCCACCTCCAGACCCACCGCAGCAAGAGGAAGCGGCAGGTGGAGGCCCGCACGCAGAGCAGGGAGAGGAGGCTCCGGCAGCGCCCCCACCTCAACACCAACACCCAGCTCCCCGAGGCGGAGGACCCCGACACCTGCAAAGACTGCGGCAAGACTCCCCTCAAAAGGGGGCACACGTGCCAGGCTGGGGGGATGAACGAGGACAAGAAGAAACCGGGGAGGCCGAGAAAAAAGAAGAGGCAGTCTTGAAGACCAAGTTTGTTTCTGAAACGTTTCACCCACAGTTCGTTTTAAAACAGAATTTTTTAGATGTTTTTTATTTTTATAAAGAAAGTCCTTTTACACCTCTAAGTTTTTTTTATATTTACAGTGGCCTACGCTTGACAATGGTGTTTTTGGCACTTTTGAACTGGGCATGTTACGGTTTACTAGTTACAGTTTTAAAGTGAACTGGACTCTTGTAGCAGAAAGCTGTGGCTCCATAGACAGAAATCATCACACAGCTACTGTAAGTCCGATGACGTTGTTTAGGTATCAAATTAAATGAGGCATCTTTATTTGATTTACCTGAAAACCTGATTTTCAAATTAGATTTGTATTTAATGTGATGTTAAAGTGATAAGATTTACAATTTCTCATTAAAACTTTCTTGACTTAAAGTTTGATACTATTGTTTCTGAATCGGCCATTTGAGTCTGTAAAGGCCCCTTAATCTTCAGCTTGAAGCTCACCAAAGGAAACGAACATCATCACTCTGTATTTAAGAGTAGTTTTAATGTCAGAGCTTCTGATCATATCACATGTTCTGCATCAGGAGGCAGAGCCCGTTTGTCTAAAACCAAACATTCAAAAACTAAGTGATCGAAAAGAAAGACATGCAGTACAATAATCAAAATGTTTTAATCTCCATCAGCGACAGGGGTTTGACTGCCCACTGTGCTGCAAAAACAACCTTACAAAAAAGGAAAATTCTTTAAAAAAACATAATTTAAAAACTAAAAATATCCTTCTAGTGCTAGATGATAAAAAGCCCAGTTTTTTTAAAACGGGTCTTTTACACATAAAGCTGAAGTGTTTTGTTTTTTTCAGGCCAAACCAAATCAGCACACAGACCTGTGGCGGTCAAAACTGCCTCTGTGGTGTTAAAAATGTTTCAAATAATGGGTTCAGTGCTCTTGAACTCATCCAAAAACAGACGTGACTTCCTGCTTCCGTTGCGGGCAATAAATAAAAGAGTGAGTACAACCGTCACAAACTGAATGTAAATCTACTGAAAGTGGGTCTGCCATCTCTGGATAAAGAAAGCCTCTTATCAGTTGTAGAATCTCTTTAAAGACGATAGCAGATTGCCGTTACTCCTGTTTGCCAGTGGTGGTCTGTGAGACTTGCCCCTCCTCTCTCGGCGGGGGTCTCTGGACAGCGAGCCCCCTGATGGCCTCCTCCTTTGACCCGTCCATGCCGACGTTGCTTCTCTTGGGGGCTCTCTGCAGGTCGTCCACGTAGTTCTGCCTCTCAATGCAGTGACCTCTGCAGGAGTTGAAGAGCTCGAGAGCCGCGGGGGGGGCCAGCCCGTCCACGTCAATCAGGTACCTGCAGACCAGGTAACCGGTGCGGTTCAGGCCGTGGGTGCAGTGGACTCCGATCAGCTTGTCATTGTCCTGGTTCTCCTTCAGGAAGCGCCTAACCACACGCTTAAAGCTCAGAATGGCAGCATCAGAGGGAATGTGGTGCCCCTGAATGAAGATCTTGAAGTAAGAGCAGGACTGCGGGACATCTGTCAGCATGTAGTACTTGGTGGTGAAGCTGAGGTCGATGATCAGACCCAACTCCTGGTTCTGACTTTCCACAGAGTCCAGCAGGTCCCAGAGGCCAAAGGAGTGAGCTTTAGGAACGCGACAGTTCAGAGAAGGTTTCAAAGGCACTTTAAAGGCAATGAATCTTGTTCCTGGTATCCTCTGCCCAATAGGACAGTAGTCCAGCCACCGTGCTGGTATTCCATTTTTCCTTTTCCTCCTCTTCTGCTGATTAGGCATCGTAGACACACCAGGTCCACAGAGCGTTTTACTCCCAGCTGAAGCTTTAAGACAGTGGCCTGGAACACCCCAAACAGAAACCTTCAAAGTCAGTAATAAATGTCTGGACAAATTAAATGAAAAAAAATATATAGCTATGTTTTTTTTTAAACTCTACTGATCATCTCTATTCAGGCTTGTATTCAAAGGTTTGGGATGTAAAGACTCTGATTCATAATTCTTCAACGTTGTTTCTCATTACAGACAACTTACAGATGTTACATTTCTGTAAAACTAGATAACAAAACTAGAGTAACTACCTAAAAGAAATTAAAATCCTTGCACATAATGCTTAATAAAAGTACAACAGTTTTGAAGCCTATACTTTGAAGTCTTTACCTTTTATTAGTTAATCATCTAAACCTCAGGACTGTATTTTAAGATATTATAAGAGACTAAACTTTAATATAGTCGTACGGCAGGTATTACTGTAATAATACTAGTTGAGATGAGTCAGCGAGAAGTCACAGAGCTGTGACGATTACAGTTTTGTTATGATAGTGAAGGTTCAAAATGAGGTTGGTGTGTATTACCTGTTATTTTAACACGCTGTATGACCGAAAGCAACAGTGTCTTGTGTTGCCATGTGCCGAAATGTACCAAACCCTTTAAACGTTTTAAAAAGTACATATTTTTCATAAGAACGTATCTAATGAAGCTTTCACGAATGCCGAATAGACCCCGATATATTACTGTATGTAAGCAAATATTAAAATGTGTTCTTAAATATACGCATTTTTGCAGAATAACAAACAAAGCCTAAATAAACATATTTTTAAGCGGAGTTTGGTTGATTCGTACCGAGTGTTGCGCTGTATGAGTCACGCGAGCCTGTCAAAGACAGCCTGTCATTCAGACGATGTGGAGAGTTAAAATCTGAAACAAAACAAAATAACTTACATTTGTCAACTCTAGTTCAATAGAAAATTCAAGTAACAGCGCGTTTGGTCGCTAGCTGGCCGTGGTATCATGGAGCCACGGTGCAACTGGCATAACGTTCACGTTCGTCCGTAGCGTCATGACGTCTTACGTAAAACCGACTGGGATACCGGAAGTGTCCTCGTACTGTTTACATTTTGCTCTTTGTCTAGCGAAAAAAGCTGAAAAATGTCTGAATGGTCCGAGAATTGTAGTCTAAAGGTCATAATCGACCTGCATTTAGCTGCAGCTGCTAAGGAGATCTTGTGGCTCCTGCAGGACCGCCACGAAGTAGAGGTAGGGGAGCTCAGGGAGATGGTGATGGAGCGGATCACCGCAGCCGTGGAGCTCATCCTCACTGCGTTTGAATCGAGCAGAGCAGCCGAGAGAGGACCACAAGAACACGGCAAATGTATTACAGTGGCTTCAGCAGAGGAACGGAAAGGTCAGCTTGACTTGATACTTTGCCTAGGCACCACACAAAACGGGGCTAACGGGGATGCTTTATTCAGAGTAAGGCACACAGAACATAACTGGACAGCCCCCTCGGAATAACTCCCCTAAAGATCCAAATGTACAGACTTTTGTACTTTCTACTTCTGTCATTGTAAACGTCTCTCGTCCATAATACACTTATTTACTAGAAACGCAAACTTCTCCCTCATTATCTCAGGGATCATTGTAACCCTTTTAGCTTTCCCAGAAATAATGTTATTATCTAAGGAATATTATTTTCTTATTAGTAATAGTTTTCTCTGTGGCCATTCTATCACGAGAACTACAGTATCTCTCCCTTTCTGGGGTATTTGGCTACACTTTTCACCATCCATTATTGTGACCGCTTATTCCCAAATGTGGTTGCAGGGGGGACTGGAGCCTATCCCAGTATTCTGTTGGGGAGAGGCAGGGTACACCCTGGATGGTCCGCCCGGTCCATCACAGGGTCACACAGAGACACACAAGGACAAACAACCACTCCCACTCACTCTAAGGGCAATTTGGACTGCCCAATCAACCTAGGGGACAGAGGGTTCCCCTGGGGACTCGAACCCAGAACCCTCTTGCTGTGAGGCGATGGTGCTAACCACCTCACCACATGCCGTACGTTTCACCAAACCAGCATTTTTGCTTGTGGGAAATGCTGCTCTCTAATTCAGAAAAATATTTGTCCCCTAAAACTTTATAAAATTAGAAGTAAAAACTGAAAAGGTGTATTTTGATAGTATTACTCCCCAGTAACAGAATTGTCACCCCACAGGTGTCCACAGATAATAAAAATAAAAAAAATCAAACATGATCACTATTGATTTTAGGAAATGTTGTGTAATCTTCTCTACAGAGTTGCAGCTTTTGGTTGGTGTCAGGAGTCTCCCTTATGCCAAACATCTGAATCAGGAAGCCTCAGTCGAGGGCCGACTGAAAGAGGCTCTTCCCAGTACTTCCTCTCAGCTAGACAAAGTCTCTGAACCGGACCACCATCCAGGCTCTCCAGTGGATCCAACTGCAGAGGAGGAAGAAGATACGACAGAAGAAACATCTCACAGCTGCAAAGTGTGCGGGAAATCCTTCGGCAAAAAGGGTTTTTTATTCAAACACGTGGAGAAACACCAAAAGGAGGCGGAGTGTCGCTGTGGTGTGTGTGGCGTGCTGTTGGAGTCCGGCGACGGTCTGAGACGGCATCTTCAAACCCACCGTGATAGCAGCAGGACCTGCGACGTGTGTGGCAAGAAGTTCCCCTCGATCCGAGCTCAGGAGACGCACCTGAGGCTGCACACGGGTGAGAAGCCTTTCATCTGCTGCTTGTGCGGCAAAGGCTTCGCCCAGAAGGGCAACATGATAACTCACATGAAGATCCACGCGGCGGAGAAGCCCCTCGCGTGCACTATCTGCAGCAAGGAGTTCAGCCAGGCCGACTCTCTCGAGCAACACATGAAGGACCACGAAAGTCCGGCACAATTCAGCTGCAAAGTTTGTGGACAGGGCTTCCCGACCCGCTCGGACCTGAGGCAGCACACCAAAAGCCACGAGGCTGACGAGCCGCCCGTCGAGGGAAGCAAACGTCGGAAACCAAGCCCCACGCCGTCTCACTGCTGCAAAGTCTGCAAGAACACCTTTCACAACCGGGGCAACCTGCTGCGCCACGCGGAAGCCCATCTGAATGATCCGGACTTCCTCTGCGGCGTCTGCGGGGAGTGCTCCGAGTCCCTGGAGAGCATGCAGATCCACATCCAGAGCCACCGAGAGAAGAGCAGGACCTGCGAGATCTGTGGCGCCACCTTCAAGGACATGGAGATCCACATGAGGACGCACACGGGCCAGAAGCCCTTCAGGTGCAGAGACTGTGGCAAGGACTTCCCCAGGAAGGGCTCGCTGGAGCGCCACGTGAAGCTGCACACCAGCGAGAGGCCGTACATCTGCGAGTTCTGCGGGAAGACCTTCATCGAGAGCACGGTCCTGAAGAGGCACATCAAGAGCCACATGGGACGGAGGCCCAAGAAGCACACCTGCGAGGTGTGCGGCAAGAAGTTCATCTTCAGCCAGCACCTGGACGTGCACAAGAGGATCCACACGGGGGAGAAGCCCTACACGTGCAGGGTCTGCAGCAGGAGCTTCAGGCAGATCGGCAACCTGGACTCGCACATGCGCATCCACACCGGCGAGAAGCCCTTCATCTGCAGCCTGTGCGGGAAGAGGTTTCGGCAGAAGATCTCCATGGAGACGCACGAGAGGTTCCACAAGAAGGAGAAGGCCTTCGTCTGCCAGCACTGCGGCAAAGGCTTCGTGCAGAAGATCGACCTGAAGAGACACATGCTGACGCACACGGGCGAGAAGCCCTTCAGCTGCCAGGTCTGCGAGAAGAGGTACCAGGAGAAACGCTCTTTAGATTCCCACATGAAGGTCCACACCCGAGAACAGGCCGCCAAAGATCCGACGGGGACGCAGAGCACAAAGCAACAGGAGGCCGTTCACCCCGAGTTCACCCAGCTGTGACCCAGAGCGACTCGGGGGGGCTCAGCCGAAGGCCCAAGTTCCACCCGTCCTCATTCAGACCTGCAGAGACCTCACAGAAAGAGACGAGGTTCAATATGAGTGGATATTTGAAAAAATATAAATACATATTTGAGGCTTTCTCAGGTTGTAAACTCACCGACTTCTCTGATCTCAGACAGTTTGAAGGAAAAGTAGAAAAACCCACAGGAGTGCTCCTGGCTCTGAAAGATGCCTCTTTTCTTAGATTCAGAATGTCGAACTGTTTACATTTAACTCATTTTATTCAAACAACTTCACATGATCCTAAAGAACAAAACCTAGCTTTGTTTGTCTGTAAATCCTCCTCAGACTGGACTGTTTGAGCAGCTGAGTGCAGGAAAAACTGATGGTGTGAAAACAACCAGGATGGGCGGGTTATGCGAAGAGGATTAAAAAGTTTAGAAAACCAAATAAACTCATAAAAACACCTCTGACCGCAGGACTACTTTAATCTCTTCTTGGTAAAATGTCATCTGCTTTCATTTGAGGTAAAGGGAACATTTAGAAAATTCTGTAAGATTTTTCTTTGAACACCGTGTGTAAATGACTTAATTTTACCAGAAAAGTTAAACACTTTAACATTTTGGAGAATGAACAAATAATGGGTCTAATTGATTTATTCTTGAGGTAAAATTCCTTTAAACAGATCACATCTCTTTCTTTCATTCGTCTAAGAACAGTTCCCTTATCTTATTCTCATTAGAGGCTCATTTGTTGTGGCGCATGCTTAATATAAAGGGGTTTTATTTAAGGACTGTTGTATATCAGTGATGTGTCCACCTGCCAAAAAAAAGGATAATTTGCCTTTCATGAAAGCCACTGAAGGCTGTGCATGTTTCAGAACTTCTGCTTCACTTATTTAAACGTTTTAATTACCACATGAACGATGGATGTAATTGACTTATTCATTCAGTAAACTTAAAAAAAAAAAAAACGGATCACATCTTTTAATACCATTCAGGTAAGAACAGTTCACTTTCCTCCAACTCATTAATGGCTCCATGACATGGGGATTTTTTTGGATATTTTCTGTCTTGATTTTGTTACGCAATTTATGTTATTTATATAATCACTGATCCATGCTTATGTACACCTTTCCAAAAAAATGGCTCAAATGGGCCAAGACAAGTCATACAAGTCAAATATTCCACACTAATGATCCACGTTCAGTTTGTTTTAATCTACGTGTTTTTAAGTGGTTTATATTTATATATTTTTCCGTTTCTCCTCCATCCTGCTCCACACATGAAATAATAAACATAAAGGTAGTGCATTCCAGGGAAATGTGACTTTCTGAAGAAAGACCACTAAAATAGGGAAATATTAGCTCTCCGGTCCAGCAGAGTTCGCTCTTCGGTCTCCTCCCTCCTGATAGTCGGGTGTCGTCGGCTCGGAACTCCCGAGTGTGTTTACTTCCTTGCAGCTTCTCTTTGTACCGGAGGCCCCCAAAGGGGGGGGGGGCTCGAAAAAAGAGGCAGAATGTGTGCCATTCAGCTGCTGAGGGTGTCGGTACGGGAGCGGATCAGCGCGGCCGCCGAGGAGCTCCTGCAGCAGCTGGAAAAGAGAGAGGAGGCGGCCGGGCTCCGGGAGCTCCGGGAGCTGCTCACCGAGAGGCTCACCGCCGAGCTCACCGGGCTGTTCGAGGGAGCCGTGGCCGAGTACGAAGACCGCCTCCGGCGCTCCGAGCAGGAGATACGCCGCCAAGAGAGGCTGCTGGACGCCGTGCTGAAGCCGCAAGTGAGGCTGACGAGAGCGGACGCGACCGGGTCGGTCTCGTTGTCTGCGCTCGCGCCGGCCGCGGGAGGCGCGCGCCGACCTGCCCGCACTTCCGCTCGACGTCAAAATAAAAGCTCAAATAGAGCGGGGACGGAAAAGCAACAGGAGGCAACAGACAAAGGTGGGTCAAGCAGCTAGGTCTGAGTTATTAGGGTTTTTCAGGGGGAACAGAGACACTCAAAACTATTAGTGTTCTTGGAAGTTCCAACGAGAAACAAAACTAAACACCCCCACGGACTTGAAGTGATGAAGAAAAGTAATAATATGATAGGAATTAACGACAGGAAATGCTCTGCAGAGCTACAAGGACAAGTTTTATTGGACTTTTAGCAAGAGTAGTTTTTCAAGAGTAGTTTTTCTCATAAACTAATTGCGAACAAATCTTATACTCTCCTTTCACATCGACCATCACCTATTTTTTGGTTCCTTGTCCTTGTCCATAGTGTATTCAACCTGTGCTAATGTGAATATTTTTGGGGGATTAGCAAGAAATTGTTCGGTGACATAATTAAGTGAATTATGAAGCAGAAATGTACATAAAAAATCATCTTCCTACAGTGTTATAATGTTTTTGACTGCATCAGTCTGTTGCCTCTATCTTCAGAGTCTTTGCAGGTGGTGACCGTGATAGACACAAACCTACAGCCAGCTGTCAAACCAGCAGATTTAAACAAGGACGACCCTGAGATCGATACCAGCGACGCCTCCGGCCTCTCGGCGTATTCCTGGCCCTTGCTCGGCTACCACCGACCTGTCTCCGAGAGTAGCATCGAAGAGCACGATGACGACTGGTCCGGGCCGAGTCCGGTCCTTAGACCTGCGAGGAAAAAGAAGAGGGGCCGGCCCTCTCTGGCGAAACTCGGCGCTGAGACGAAGAGGAAGCGTCCGCCTCCGTCTCAGAGCTTCGACTGCTACGCCTGTGGGCGCTCTCTGCAGGGCAAAGGTTTCCTGCTCAAACACGTCCTGACCGTCTGCGCCAGCAACCGGGACTCCCGCTGCGGCTACTGCGGCGAGCTCCTGAGCTCTGCGGACGGCCTCCGCGCCCACCTGCAGACTCACCAGAAGACCAGCAAAACCTGCTCGTTCTGCGGGAAGAGCTTCCACTCCATCCTCGCGCAGGAGCTGCACGTCCGCCTGCACACGGGCGAGAAGCCGTACAGCTGCCACGTCTGTGGCAAGAAGTTCAGCCAGAAGGGCAATCTGACCTCCCACCTGCACGTCCACGCCGTGGAGAAACCTTTCCAGTGTAAGGAGTGCTCCCGCGCTTTCTGCCACGCCACTTCTCTGGAGCGCCACGTGGAGGAGCACCACGCCGAGGAGCGCCCCGGGGGCGCCGCGCACGCCTGCGGCGTCTGCGGCCAGGAGTTCCGGGCCCGCCAGGGCCTGCGGAAACACATGGCGAGCCACCGGAAGGACGGCTCTCGCGAGCCCAAAGGTTGCGGTGGCGGCAGCGGCCCGCCCGCGCCGCTCCCCTGCAGAGTGTGCGGGGAGGCCTTCGAGCGGAAGCCGGTCCTGGTGAGACACGCCGAGGCCCACCTGAAGGAGCCGGGCTGCCGCTGCGGCGTTTGCGGCCACCAGTACGAGTCGGCGGAGAAGCTGCGGGCCCACCTGCACTCGCACCGCGACGCCAGCAGCACCTGCGACACCTGCGGGAAGAGCTTCCCCGGGCAGTCGGCGCTGCTCATGCACCTGAGGATCCACACCGGGGAGAAGCCCTTTTCCTGCAGCTACTGCGGGAAGGCCTTCAACCAGAGCGGCAACCTGAAGACGCACCTGAAGATCCACACGGGCGAGCGGGCCTTCTCCTGCAGCATCTGCGGGAAGGGCTTCACCCAGAAGCAGACGCTGGACATCCACGTGCGCTTCCACAAGAAGGAGAGGCGCTTCCTGTGCCAGGTCTGCGGAAAGGGCTTCATGCAGGACGTGGACCTGAAGAGGCACATCCTGATCCACACGGGGGAAAAGCCCTACGGCTGCCAGGTGTGCGGGAAGAGCTTCCAGGCGAAGCGATCACTCAACGGACACCTCAAAGCGCACGCAGCCGGAGGGGAGGAGGACCACGAGCCTGAGCTGGACGGCAGCACGGAGCTGGAGAGGATGGACAGCTTCTACTCAGGATACCTCCAGCTGTAGATCAGGGCCAGATATACACTGACTTCAAACCATGCGTCTCTTTTGATTAAACCCATAAGCCATATTTTCGTTAAACGAGCTGCTAAAAGACTTATGGCATGCGTCCTTGTGTCGTTAGTGTAGGAGTAAACACTTGAACACTATGAGCTTTCTCATTATCAGGCCCCACTCTGATTCCCGGAGTTGAAAAAATCGGCTGTTTTTTCTGTTGACACTGCTCACATGGATCAGACATTCCCATTGAGAATTAAAGCAAAAGTTCCTGAATTTTTACAGAACTTAATTTTAGTATCCATTATCTAAAATTGAGTTTGGGAAGGCTATGAAGGAATGTTTTATTACTGCTGTGACAAACGTTAAAATTTCTGAAGTTCACAGGTTTAAATGGAATCCCTGCTTTTTTCCTATGTTGGACCACTGATCTCAGATATCTGCTGGTACCTCTACAGGTATTAGTAGTTTGTGATGTGAAAATGTTTCAGACTATACTGATGATATGTCTGATTTTCTTTTTTTTTTTAGAATTTCTGTTTCCTTTCATTTTCTCTTCGGTTGCCCCATAGCAAATGAGCTAGAAGATTTACATCACTCAGTGTCTTCAATTAAATCAAATGTTCGTGCTTTCAATCTTTTACTCTTTGAGTTTCGGTAACGTCAGCCTTTCAGGGCTTATGATTTTTCTTCAGGTGAAGATCATTTATTGATTTAGAATTGAACACCGTCCTTTTTAAGATAAAACTACTCAATATCAGATTAAATACACATGGATCGAAGGTAAAACCAAAGTCAGTAAAGGAAAAGACCTACACTTTTCTGATTACCTGTATTGGAAACTGCTGTTCCTGAATTGCCATGACAGCGTTACAGTATCCAGGAAAATGTCTAAAAGACATGATCCTCTCAAAATAAGCTTAAGTCCTGCAGTTGCTCCTCTGTTCCGGCAGGGGGCAGAATACTGCCTCTTCCACGTTTCGCGTTGGTTCGTTGTCCCGGATGGACCGGGACTACTGTCCGGGTTGTTTTCCTTCCTGCTGTCCGGAGGATGGACGCCTGTGCCGGGATGTCACCGACAGAAACCCCGCCGCGATGCGGGTTCAGAGCACTGGCGGACTCCGTCTCCGAGCTGCTCACCGGGATGGGAGAGGAAATCCTGGGGCTGCTGCAGAAGCGGGGCGGCTGCTCCGGGTCCTCCGGGGCGTCCGGTCGTCTGTTTCAGCGGCTGCGGCGGCTGCTAGCTGAGCGGACGGCGGCGGCTGCGCAGCGGATAGTAGACATGGTGGAGCGGGAGGCGGAGGGCTACTGGCGGCAGCTGGAGCGGCAGCGGCGGTTACTGGAAGCCCTGCTGAGCCCGGTGGTCCGGCTGAACCGAACGGGTGAGCTTCACCGGCCCTTAACGCCATGTTGGAGCTACATCATCACACAAAGTGTTGCTAGGTGACCGCAGACCAATCAGCATCGACCAATTAGCGTAAAAGCTGCTAATTGACACAGATGAGATAACACTCTGTAAAGAAGTAAAAAATGAATGTTTTTAGGTAGTTAAAGATTATTTTTAGCTGTCATGATTTATTTCTTCTAATCTCTAGACAAATGTAAACAGATTTAAGCAAGTTTAAAGAAACAGATCACTTAATTTTGAACAGAACAGCTTAGGTGATTTAATACAAAATAAGTAATGTATCATTTGTAATGTTCTTAGTCCGTCTATCTATAAAAATCGTTATATTATACCTGTATGTGTTATTCTAAAAGCGAAATAGGTTAACCTTGTTGTTTTAAATAGTCAAACAGGTGTTTTTTTTAAAGAAAAAGCTGCATAACTCCAGCAGTCAAACATGATATTTCTTTATTCGACAATGCTTTTGAAACTTACAAACTTTCACAGGCAGAACAGCGAAAATATGTAGCTAAAAATATGAAGGATCGTTTTCGGAAACACAAACTCATGCCATTCCATGCTTTCAACTGATTTTTTTTTTGTGGTTGTGTCAGACGCCGTCAGATCGCCAGCTCCGAAGATCCCTACGGATGATGACCTCCCCTTGCTGTCGGACCCCACCCACACGCCATCAGGGCCGCCCAGTACCGCTTCCTCAGAGGTGTCAGCCGATGAGAGCGATGGCGACTGGGGTGGCATTGCCGACAGCAAAGACACAGGCACACAGTCACGTCACTTCTGTGTCGTCTGTGGGAAAGCTTTCCGTCAAAAAAAGAACTTGGTAAAACATGCTGGGATGCACTCAGACTCCCCGGAGCACCCCCGCGGCGTCTGCGGACGACGCTTCGAGTCCTCAAGCTCTCTGTCGGGCCACCTGGCATCTCACAGAGAAAACCTGGACGTAGGCGGGACATGTGAGGTGTGCGGGAGGAGGTTTCAGAACATGGAGGCGCACATGAGGAGCCACACTGGAGTCAAACCGTTCAGCTGCGACTTCTGCAGCAAGCGCTTCCCCCGACCCGGAGCCCTGAGCAGACACAAGAAGATCCACGGCAGAAGGAGCCCCGACGCCTGCCAGGTCTGCGGGCTGACCTTTACTGGGGCCGATCCTCTCCGTGAGCACCTGAAGACGCACAACGATGACACTAGTCACACGGCGAGAAAGGACGGCGAATCAACACCGAAGATAAACCCGGACCAGAGCCCTGCTGGGAAGTCGGGCTCGCTCTCCTGCAGGGTCTGCGGGGATTCCTTCCACAGTTCCGGCTTCCTGAGGAAACACGCGGAGACGCACGGCAAAGAGCCTCAGAGCCCCTGCGGCGTCTGCGGGGAGCAGCTGGATTCGCCGGACGGCCTGCGGACGCACCTGCGGTCACACGGAGAGACCGGCGGGACGTGCGTCATCTGCGGGAAGACCTTCCGGAACATGGAGGCGCACATGCGGCGCCACACGGGCGTCAAGCCCTACCGCTGCGGCGTCTGCTGCAAGCGCTTCCCCCGCCCGGGGGCTCTGAGGCGACACAAGAAAATCCACAGCGGAGAGCGGCCGCACGTCTGCGGGCAGTGCGGGAAGGCCTTCGCCGAGAGCTGCGCCCTGAAGTCCCACAGCCGGAGCCACTCCTGCCAGGACCAGGACGCCAGTCCTCCGGGGGACTGTCGAGAGGCCGGGACGCCTCAGTCCAGCTGCAAAGTGTGCGGGGAGCCTTTCCCGAGCGGCGGCCGCCTGAGGAAACACGCCAGGAGTCACTCGGCCGAGTCGGCCTGCGGAGTGTGCGGGGAGAGTCTGCGGCCGTCCGAGACGCTGCCGGAGCACCTGCAGACGCACAGAGAGGCCGGCCAGGTCTGCCACGTCTGCGGCCGGAGCTACCAGAACGTGGAGACGCACATGCGGAGTCACACCGGCGTCAAGCCGTACCGCTGCAGCACCTGCGGGAAGTCCTTCCCCCGGCCCGGCGCCCTGCGGCGCCACGGCAGGATCCACAGCGGCGAGCGGCCGTACATCTGCGAGTTCTGCGGGAAGACCTTCCTGGACAACGGGGCCCTGACGGCGCACATCAGGAACCACACGGGGGACAAACCGGCCAGCCGCGTGTCCTGCGAGACCTGCGGGAAGAGCCTGGCCTCGGCCCACGTCCTGGAGGTCCACAAGAGGATCCACACCGGGGAGAAGCCCTTCCTCTGCCGGATCTGCGGGAAGGCCTTCCGGCAGGTGGGGGGGCTGAACGCTCACACGCTGACGCACACCGGCGAGAAGCCCTTCAGCTGCAGCCTGTGCGGCAAGAGCTTCAGCACAAAGGGCTACCTGGAGACCCACATCCGCTTCCACCGGAAGGAGCGGGCCTTCAGCTGCCAGCTGTGCTGGAAGGCCTTCGTCACCAAGAACGACCTGAAGAAGCACCTGCTGACGCACACCGGCGAGAAGCCGCACAGCTGCCGGGTGTGTGGGAAGAGCTACCAGGAGAAACGCTCCAGAGACGTGCACATGAAGGTCCACCTGGGCGCGCAGGGCGGCAAAGAGCCAATCAGGAGGCAGGATCTCCCACAGCCGGACTTCATCCAGCTGTAGCGGGCCCAGAGCAGCTGGCCCCCGTTTCACAAGCCGGCCAGGATGACTGAAACTGAAACCGAATGACCAGGACACGTCTGGTTTTTATTTCAGAGCCTCAGATATTAAAATAAAAAGTTATCAAACTGAAGACAAATAGTTACAGCTTTTCCTAAATCAGATAAAAGAGTGACAAAATATAAGCTATGAATTCATTTTTGCTACAGTTTTGAAGCAATCCTTGTCTCTGGGTTTTTTTTGCATTTTCATTGCAGGGGCAGCAAACAGGCCAAATAAAACCACAAGAACAAAAGTGTAGGTGAACAGCTTGTTTTAGGTGACTTTTAGGTCATGAAACCTAAATAAGTGGATGTTATATGTAGACATTTCGAGAACTCTCTGGATATTTCCCTATATCTGCATATCTAGAACCTAAAACAGGATTATGGTTGTGTTGATAAATATGTTAATATAACCCCACCCAATGCAAAAGCTCTCTATCGGATCAATTTGTGAACTTGGCAGTTGTTCTGTGAGTGAGTTTTTCCGTCCTCAGGTTTCTCTTTCCCTTCCCTGTGTTTACAGTGCAGCCCTGCCTCTCCTCCCCAGGCCGTTTTACAACCATGGATCCTGAGAGCAGACACACAATTTATAGGTGAAAATGACTGAAAAGGCAGATTTATCAAGTGGGTCAGTGAGATGTGACAGGAAGCTGAGGCTCACTGTCAACCACTTTAGAACTGAAGTGGCATTTCCAGCTATAGGCGAAATATCTTCAGCAGAGGTCCAGCTGCCCACAATCAGGCTCTTAGGATTTATGGCAGCACGCCTGGGTATATTTCTTCGTGCAAGTTTGGAAAAGGTTTTATAATACACTTGATTTAATCAATTTTGTCCATTATTGGGACTTTGTCGTGCGTTTATCCCATTAGTGCTTAATTTCAACAGCTGATAAAGAGCAGATTACAGTTAACGGTCACACATCTGCCGCTGTTGTTGTTTTTTTTTATACAGATGTTGTAGAGTTGCATTAAAGGCCAGATTGGGAATAAACCAATCTAACACCTACACCGCAGCCCTGACTCCTCTCGGGGCAGTTTCACAGAACATTTACTCTGGTTTTGTGACCAGGCAGGTAAGCATCAGACATTTATGATCTCCAACCGATTATTGACAAGAAGTGCATTGGTGAAGGAGCTTGACTTATTTTTCTTTGACCTTTTTAGGAGGTCTGAACATTTGCACAGCAGAGTAAGAGCGGCCAAGTCTGACGCTGCGCAGCAAACATAAGAGTAGGGCTTCAGACAGCAAGTTTTCAACTAGTCTGGAGGAAGAGCTTCAGCCAGGGGACAGCCAATGGAAGAGATGGAAACAGTATGGAAAGATACCAAAGAGGAAGAGGATGAAAGTCACACGATGATGGAGGTTTTAGCTGGAGCAGAAATGAGCTCAGGGCAGACAGGTTGGTTCACAACATATGTCACCAGATGTTTTCTTTGATAAACTCAGAAAGTTTTGATCATCATTGGATTGACAGTGAGTGTCTATATATTGGACATGATGAAAAGGTACAATGCAGCATCTAAAAAGGAAGACGCACTCACCAATGAATGAGTGAGGCGGAAAGTGCATTCTTTGTAATGGCCAACAGGGGGCAACCGCTGTTTGCAGAAAGAGTGGTATGGTGTGCTGACTTTATGAAGTAAAAGTTACCATTTGATTGACTAGTTGCTGCCAAATAAGTTTTTTCTGCTCTCAGTCTAATCCACCAATTTTTATCCTTTTTTAAAATAAAATATAAAACGATGAGATGATAGGTGCTTCTCTTTCATTTACATTTTCTACAGCATCCAAACTGTTTGTCTATTTAGTTTTCTTCACAAAGAGCTAAAAGTACTGACTAAACAGAAAGTCCCTGTTACTGTCACAGCTGTATCTTATGCACACATTCTTATAAAAGCATCATTTTAATGCTTATTGTTGCAGTAAATGGACCTGAAGTACTTCAGAAGATATCAGACTGCTACCTCAGATATTTCTTACCAATTTTTAAAAAGTAACTAGTCGACTGGTAGCTTAATGCTTTTAAGAAAATGGTTTCAGACCTCAGAGGGTTTCTGTCAAACTGGTAGTTTTTATTGCAGTCAAAGCAGCAAACTTTAAATCATAATAATCAGAAGAAAGCTGCAGTTTCAGTTTACATATTTAAGGAAACAAATGAACATCTTGAGTTATTTTTTCTGATGTGCTGACAATTATCCCGATTTAGAGATCAATCTGATGGCGGCTTTTTTCAGTTTTCAAATTGGGATCATCTGTTTAATCTGAAATTAATTAAATAAATAAATAAATAAGAAGTCTTTTGTGGCCATTAATTATTGTAAGCCCTCCAGTGAGCAGCCATTCATACCTGCTTACTGAGCTCCGACTGAGACGTTTTCAATAAGTAAGAAAAACAAAACTTTGACGGGGCCCACAGCATGCATGTCAGCTATTATACTCGGGCCCCAGGGACCGATGACCCTTCCCACATGTCAGTCAGTGTGGATTCCATTGTTGAGGCTCTTATCAGTGACTTCTGTTATGTTTAGGGTCTGACATTTCCCCCCCTTCACCTCAGATGCAGACTGCTTGCTGTTTAGCGAAACTACATCTAAAAATGACACAGCCTTTCAGAGTTTTAATCAGCTTCTTAAAAAAAACATTTGAATCAATTGGTTGTTGTAAGTTTGATGATTCTCTTAACAGAAAACATATTTTTGATAACCCTTGGCTTTGGGTCTCTGTGGTGTTCAGTTTCAGTCTTTGAGCTGCTTTCAAGTGCAACATGTACCATCAGACAAGAGAAACACTCACGTACAAATGAGTGTTTTCATTAACAGAGGAGTAATGGAGGAGGACGAGGAGTGTACTTGTGTTCTTGTGTGTGTGTGTTTGTGTGCATGTGGGTGGTGGTCATTTCCAGGAAGAGGTACAGAGAGGGAGTTTGTGTGTGTGTGTTACTAAGTGGCTTCCTGGTCCACCGGGTGTATCCTGTTAAAACACACACTCAGTAGGCCGTGTGCGTTTGTGTGTGTGTGTTGTTCATTAACTTTATCAACAATAATGCGAACACTCACGCACAAAATGATGTCATAGCTTCTTTTTTTTTAGAACACAGGTTGTGCGTCGTTGCTGGTGACGAACTCGATTGTCGTCGTGCGAAGATTTGCGCATTCAAAACTTCATTGAAAAATCAGACATTTTTACAAGTCCAGTGAGCAGCAGAGGTCAAAGTTTAACAATACACTCTTAAATCATTAAAGGTTATCAGATCAGGAATGTTAACGTGTAACTTCAGTCTGCCAACAAAATTCTTCACTGTTTTCTAGATTACACATAGGATCAAAACATTGAAAATAAAATGAAAATATATTTGCCTCTGTGTTTTTTTATACTTTTTAAAAATACTTTAGAAGCAAACTTTTCATTTCCAAAATGAATTCATGCTGGACTCGACAGATGCTGAAGTTTGTTTGTGTCTTTTTGTTGTATAAGGATTTCACATCTACATAAAACAGTGTTAGCATTAAACCCTAAAAACCAATGGCCAGGGAATCTTGAGTGAATTGAAATTAAGTCTGATGATTCTGGTGGATTTTTTCAAGATGGAATTAATGTTTATGTTTATGCATTTAGCAAAGGACTATAATTATTAATCTGTTTTAATTTCACACAATATATGTTTTTTAGAAGTAGTAAAATAGCTACGAAATGTCAATAGGAAATCTCATCTGAAGCTCTTCACTTCAAATACAGAACTATAAATCAAGAATAACAATCATCTGATTTAATTCTTTAATGCCATACTGACTGAATTAGTTTTTCAGACAGAGGCCTCTCGATTGCCCAAACACAACCTGGCACTTCCACCAATCATGGCCTCTGAGGTTCTGGTTTTGGGTCTTCAGTCTGACTTTTAACCTCAACAAATGCAGTCCCACTGCAGGAGGGCAGCTGGTCACCAGAGGGCTCCAGGGGTTCCTCCTTGGATAAATTCCCACCATTAGACGCAGCGTTTTGGCCCCTCTGGCCCCAAACAGACCCAAACTGTCACCAGAGAACTAAAAAAGGCCTAATGTTTGAATTAAAGAATTGATAACCAATCGGCTTCAGCGGAGGAGCAAGGGTGGCCAGGGCACGCGCACACGCACGGGCCCGAGCACGAGCACGCCCTCCCTCCAGCCTCATCAGTGTAATTGAATTTCCCCTCCGCCGAGCCACGGGTGGGACAGCGACGCGCACGCGGACACGCTTAGTCAGCGTTATCACCACTGCCCCCGTGCCCTCAACATCCCCCTCCAAAAATGTGTGCGCGTGCGCGTGGCCGCTGGGAAGCACAACATTGCCGGGACGTTTCTCAGTTCAGTTCACCGGAAACCTGCCGAGAGAGGCTGGGGGGGGAGAAGAAGAACGGTCCTCCGATGAGTCCCCGGTAAACACCGAGCACCCCTCACCTCACCTCACCTTCCTCCTCTCCATCTACTTTTTCTTCCTCCTCTTCGTCTTTTTTTTTTTTTTAAATAGCCGTGTTGCTGTGGAAACAGCCCCCTTTTTGTGCCGTCCACCGGGAGCATGAAGCCGCAGGAGGCGACGCTCTGAGAAGCCGAGCAGGTGAAGAACCGCCGGGCTTCGCTCAAGTTCACCGCCGCCGACACGACTCCCAGAACCGGGGGTAGAGGTCGAGCTGGACCCCGACGCTTCCGCGGAGAGCTGGTACAGGAGAAATGAGCACACAGACGACTGCTGTTTAACTTATGATACTTTAACTATGCTACGGATCTAATAGAGAATTGCTGAGATATTTTAAAGTTTTTTTTATTTTGATAAAACAGTAAACTAGCAGGTGGACAGTAAGCTAAATGTTATTTTTTTTGCTAGCAATTAGAATAAAGTAGCAAAGTTGTTTATGTTAGTTTTATGAATTTCAAAATTCCCCAACTTTTTCAGATATTCAACCATTTGCCTTTTTTAAAATCTATTTTCCGTCTACAGATCCCAAACAGAATATGTCTGTTGTGTTTTGTACTAAATGTATTTTTCTCACATAGATTTCCTAAACTAAAACTACAGTGAGAATTGTTGGATTTACCTGAGCTCAGTAAATTATTTTTAAAAATATCCAGATGTTATAGCATATGACTTATTGTTTTATTTAAAAAGAAACTAGATATGTGCCGTATCTTCAGCATGTTTCAGGTAAATATATGTTTAATGAGGATAATCCAAGTCAGTATTTACAGAAAATGTGCTGATAACTTAAGATTCTGACTCTCTGCTGTGCAGCAGATTAAAAATCTGCCTGAACGCTTCTCTGCTGATTGGTCTCGGTTCAGAATGAAAGCATTTTTCTGAATGCAAAACAGAGGGTTTTTTCTAAAAAAAAAATGGAGCTTGGTATATCACCCTCCGCCCCAGCAGAGCCTTATGCTGCGAGTGGCTCATTTTCTGTTAGACCCAACTGAAGGCTGGGAAACACCAGATGAATCCCTGCAACCAGCACGACTGTTTGCATCCTGTTTGATCTGCTGCAACTGTGTGAGTCTCTGCTGCCGTTTCGCAACAGCAACACTTATATAAGAGTGAAGGCGGCACGCAAAACAATGGCACACACACACACAACTATACTGCAACGTACGCACACACATCCAGAGGCATGGCGTGCCCCCTGTCACTTCTCAGTTAAATGTTCATTATGTGTTAAATGGGTCTGCACGCAGCAAAACTCCTCAGACATGTGAATAATTAGTTTGATTTATGTGCACTTTGCAAAACTGGGTTACAGATTGCAAAGGGGGACAAATCAGACCATAAATAGCAAAAAAATTGTGTAAAGCATTCCTTTTTTTGTTGTCCTGCTTAGTCAGTCCAAGCAAGAGGAGAACAGGCTTCACTGAAGCAATCTACTGATGTTTTCGAGCAGTATACCATATACTGTATGCACAAGGTGGATGTGTTTATATATATAAGGTATAGATACATTTATAGTTGTTCATGCCATCTTTTTTGGATTAAACCCTATCTAGCGATTTAAGTTCTAATGTCTTTAATGTCTAATGTCGTTATCTATTTAGTATATTAATTGAAAAGCATTATATGGAAGATGTAAATATTAGACTGACTCAACAGGTGGTTCAACATGAGGTTCATATTTTTTAGCTTTGCTCTCTAACTCGTCCTAATGATATCAGAGCCAGAAATGAAACGTGACGGCCCTCAAATGTTTCGTGCTTCCAATCTGTTTCTGGTTTCTGTCCATCTGTCCGCATTGAAGCCATTTCATCCTTCCAAAATCATTTTATTGACCCTCTCTGTCTGCATGAATGCTTCACGGGGCAGCGCATTAGATTTTCATCATCTTGCACATCTCAGTGCATTTTACAACATTTACTCAACCGGTGAATGCGGTCAGACCAGTGTTTAACCAGCAATTATCCACTAACAGCTCCACTGTGGACTTAAGTTCCATATCTGCAGACTCTCAAACACACATGGGGTCCACGTGGAGCTAATGGGTAACAGTTTATGGATCCCACGTGGAAATGCTGCCGAGTTCCCATAATCCCCACCGGTTCCTCGAGCAGATGCGTTAATACTCAAACGTATTCTTTGTTGGTAGAAAGAAAAAGAAGGGGCTGCGGTTTATTGTGAAACTGCAGAAGTTTGTTTCCCTTGTTGTCAGGACAAGTTGTTTTTATCTGAGATAACATCCAGAGCAAAAGCTGTCTAATTCAAAGGATGTAATGTACTTTTTATAAGAACAGGGCAAGACAGTTTAAAAGTCGTTTTAACCACAGGACAAAATGTTTCATCCACGGGAAAGGCTGTTTAAATTGGGATGTCCTGTCCTTTTTCCTTAAGCTTCATTGACGGGCTGTTTCTTGTCAAGCTCTGTTTCATCCACAGAATAGACAGATTTATGTCCAGATCAGGCTGCCTAATTTATACTGAGCTGTATGTTTGCCCGCTGCTGGTCTGAAAGGCTGCTTTACCCCCTTGGCATATTGTTTTATAGACAGGACCAACTGTTTTATCCAGGTTTGGCAGTTTTACACATGTTTAATTGATGCTGTTATTTTCCCTGCTGCTCATCTGACAGGCCGTTCCACGTCCCCTCATCATGCCGTCCCGGCCGTGCCCCGCCGTCCTTCTCGTACTGCTCCTCCTCCGGTGTGCTGAGTCCTTTCCCCCTGCGTACAACACCACGGATGATCTTCAAGACGTCACTCTGGCAGCCATCTTGCCCCTGACGAACACTGAATACGCGTGGGCGTGGCCTCGCGTGGCCCCGGCCCTCTACCAGGCCGTGGAGCGAGTGAACTCTGACCCCTGGATGCTGCCGGGCCTGAAGCTGAGTTTGGTTCACGGTAACTCTGAGAACCACGAGGGCTTCTGCTCGGACTCCATGGCCCCGCTGGTCGCCGTCGACCTGAAAGTGTCCCACGACCCCTGGGCCTTCATCGGACCCGGCTGCGACTACTCTTCCTCCCCGGTGGCCCGCTTCACCACCCACTGGGACGTGCCCATGGTGACGGCCGGGGCTCGGGCCATCGGCTTCAACTTGTACGCGGCGGTCACCAACACCGGCCCAACCCACAAGAAGCTGGGAGAGTTCGGCATGAAGATCCACGAGAGGTTCGGCTGGCAGCGCCAGGTCCTGCTCACCTTCAGCGACAACAAGGACGCCAACGATGACCGGCAGTGCTACTTCGCCGTGGAGGGGCTCTACGACCAGCTGAGGCGGAGCAACATCACCGTCTACGACCGCATCATCGAGGGCGACGTCAACTACAAGCTGGAGGTCCAAAAGATCCGGGAGAGTGGACGAGGTTCGGCTTCCCTTCCCTCCTTTTGCTGGCTTGCTTTCCGTCTACACCCCTCCCTCTCTGCTCCCCTTCATGGAGCAGCTGAGCTCTGAGCTGCTTTGCTCAAACTTCTCATTGTGTCATCAGTTCTTTTCCTTGATGGTGGCAAGGACCAGGGTTCCTTGTTTCCTGGCTTTGGTAACTGTCGGTACGGTCACACTGCAGGTCCTCGAGCTCCATTCCGATTTTTTCGGGGTGGAATTGTTTGCATTATAACTTAAATGTGAGCCCCACCAGACTGGCGTCAGGTAGTGTGTTTCAATTCTGAGCTGGAACAAAAAAGTTCAAAGTTGGACGAAATGGCCAAGAGCGATCAGACTGAGGTTACTTTGAGAAAGATCAGTTACGTTCCTGATTAAGGACCATTTACGAAAGTAACTTGGGTCAGATTTTTTTTTAAAAGAAAAAAGTTCTGACTGTAGTCAAAGGTCAGATATGGGTCACAAGTGAGGAGCAAAAGCAGGATTTGCAGTGTGAACATAACTTTAGACTCAATATGTTCATTCATTTTTGTCTATCTCTCCATTTTTTATTTTCTTCCTGCCGAGGTCTCACATTTAAATTGTGTCCCCCATCTACATCATCTCCTTTACTTTCATCTTCCTCTCTGTTCTTTTTATCCTTTCCAGGAGATATGACATATTAGAGGTATGGCTCTTTTTTCCTGTTCACCTTTCCCATTTTTTCCCCCTTTTTTCCCCGATTATTCACCAGATCTGGTGAAAACCGACCTGACCCGTCTCCTTTGATTTCACGGTTGGCTTTTCTCTCCACTCCTTCCTTTCCTCGTCTTCGCCTCTTTGGTTTCCTCCCTCCCTTTATGTTGCTCTCATCGTTAAATGACGGTTAATTATTGCTTGATCTTTCTCCGTACCGGTTAATGAATTACCTCGGCTCAATGTGTGCGTCTGTGTGAAATGTCTACTGTTGCACATCCATGTTTATGAGGACCGGCTTCAATTTAGGGCGTCAGGAGAGCAAACATTCCTGCATTGTAAGGACATTCCTGCTTGGCGCGGGCACTTTGGTCGGACCTCTGTGAGATGGTTTACATTAGAATAGGATTCGGCGAAGCGTATCATGTCAGTGAAGGTCCTCGCAGGAATAGAGGAGCGACGGGCCTGTGTTTGTTGGACACACCTGTAAATAATCAGGGCTTCGGTGTGGAAGAAGTGACTGTGTCTCTTAATCTTCCTCTGCGTGTTTAATGTGAAACATGCTATTGACGTCATGAAATCAAGTTAGTGTGCACGTTAAGGTGTCTCATTACTCCTCCACAGAAGTTACTACTTATAGCAGCATGAAGCAAACCACTGTTGAGCCTAACTAAGCCAGTAGTGGAGCTGAGATTGGAGCGCTGATTTAATCCTAAATTTCCCTTTTGCTCCTCTTTAACACACATCATCACATACTAACACCAGACAGCACCAAAGAGGGAATATTCTAACTTTTGATTCTGTCCTGATCTCTCACATTAGAGGACTTTACACAAAGAGAAATGAGTTAATATGCTAGTAATAGCATTTTTAGGGCACTGACATTTTACCAAATGCCAAACAGCAACACAGAGGGAGATTGAAATCTTGCTCCTGGCCACTCCTGCCGTCCTCTAACTGACACCAGCTGTTGCCCGCAGCGACGTTGGATGTCCTCAAAGTAATTACCTCTGCGCCTGTGTGTGTAGCAGGTGTAATTCATGTTGTGTGGATGCAGATCTGTTTACACTGTGACATTATGGGGAAGTGTCTTCCACTTCTACATGTCGTAAATATCGAGTGAAGACAGCGGCAAGCTGAGGTGAGATCGAGGTTAAGTTCGGAGTACAGGTTAGGACGAGCGTGAATGCTCAAGAAAATAGCGTGAATCACTCTAATGTCCTCAGAAGAAAATGGAAACACGGCCGAGTGCGTGGGTGTGTGGCAAAGAAAAAAAAAACGGTTCTCAGTCAGTCAAGTCCTTTTTTTCTGGTTCTATTAAAAACAGAAAAACCAACATGAGTTTCTGGTTTTCACATGAAAAACTCTCCCTGTCCACATAATGAAGTCCAGCCTGGGGACTGTGTGGAGTTAAAGTGGGGTGAGGTGGGGAAATTTTTCTTTTCCTGCAGGACTCTGAGTGACACTTCCCTGGGAGGTTATTATTTTCAGTCAGCATCAGAATGTAGAGGACCATGGTGGGGTAGGTTTTAGTGTTTGGGGAGAGTGGAGAAGGTTGTTTTTCTACTTTTTCTCAGGACATGTTAGCCATCTCAGCAATAACATTTCACACACTATGTGAAACAGTCAAATGAGAGGCAACAACTGTAAGACAAAGTCCATCAGCTGCAGGTGATGCCAGCACTTTGAATTGGCATGTTCAGGGAAGTGTGGGCTGTAAAAAACAGCCCACCTAACACACACTTTCCAACTTTTAGGTTTGTTTGTTTTCTGCAAAGGTAAGCGGAGTGGAGTTCACACCTTCACTGATCTGAGGCTCACATCGGCCATTAGCGAGTGTCTCCTGTCTGGCCGCTGAGCTCATTAGAGAAGGATCTGCGATTATCGCCATGGAGACCGGCAAGCTGAGTGCTGAGGTCATGAGCCCCGTTAGACTGAGCCAGAACGGCTCTGTGGGCTGATGTCGTCACACAGGGCTCTGAAGCCATTTAAATGAAAGTTTGCATGCCTTTCTGAGGGACACAGTCCAGCCAGCACAAAGAGGCACGATGCTATAAAAACAGCTTGTTTCTTGTTACAACTATAGGACATATAAGCTTGATTACCTATTAAGTTTATTATTAAGGATGGACCCTTTGAAACAAATGAATGTAGACTGTTTTACTTTTTTACTTCTGTATGACTGTTATGGATCAGGGTCAGGGTTCCTGTAGATTACTAAGAGCCACTTAACCCAAATAACATCTGCAAGGATGTTTCCCTTATAGATGTCAAAGGAAACTGCTATATATCACATCCTGCTGTCCAAGTGTAGGTCAGTGTTTGCCATGTGGTTATTGTTCCAGAAATCTGAAGGCACGTGCACTTAAATCAGCCTCCACGCCTTTTTGGTAACATTTAGAAACAAAGATTTCACATCTATAGGGTTTCTGTTTATCAAAAAAGAAACAACCTAAACTGAATAAAAAATGATGGTGTTGAGTTGTCTCAGGATTTTTTTGCAGTTCATTTTCCTCCCAAAAATTCAGAATGGTTGGCTTAGCACTCAACACTGTCAGATAACATTCTCCTCTGCATTCCATGTAACTTTCATGAATGGAAAATCTCTTGTTTCACACTCTCTGTACTCCAGCCGATGTTGTGCAACACCTATAAATCCTCCTTGCTGCAAACTGTCACAGCCAAGCGCAAAATTTAAAACATGTTTTTTTCTGTTAGATCATAGCAGTGATTGGTGCTTTAGCCACTCTTTGAGAGTCATTGAAAAATGACTTTGGTGTTTCTCTCTTATGGGGAAACTTGTGCAACAGTTCTGTCTTCACTCCATATTTTGGTAATAGATAGCCTTTTAACTAAAAAATGGGGTCTGTATATAGAGGTAAGCAATAAGACTGGATGAATGTCTAAAAGTCACTACAGAAAAGACCCAGGTAACAAGACAATTCTGCCAGTTTAATTGTTGATGAGTAGTTTGACATATGGCTATTTCATGTGAGCTCCACGTAAATCTTATTAACTTTCAACTTGATAATGAGTCAGTTTAACTTCTACTCTACGTCTACTTGTAGTTAGTCAGAAAGCAGGTTTCAGAGAGCATAGACATCAATCAGTAATCGACTGTAAATGAAGGACATTATCCCAACTACAGACATTGAGGGTCTTATTTATGGCAAAATGAGGGAGACTGTTTTCTGGATAGACGCCAATAGTGGGAGAAAATTAGACCTATACATTTTTCATTTGGTTTCAAAATGGGTGTTTTTTGTGTGTTTTGTCTTGTTGAGTCACTGATTAAAGTAATATTTTATTGATTGAATTGTCCCTGTTACATGAGCTTAGTCTAATTAATTTTGTTGATTGGATATTAGCAGGTATGAAAACATATACGTTGCTCTGATTCACAGCCTGAGACAACTGTTCCCATGGAAACGAATGGGCAGGTTGAGTTTGTTATAGAATGGCTTAACATTTTTCTTATATCTGTTTCTAACCTCGTTGTTTCCTGTGTTCCCACAAACAAGTAATTACTTACCTATGCTATGCATATCTAGAGAAGGGAATGAGATTGAAAGTAGAGATAAATACATTAAATTAAAGACACTCAAGTGTGTTTGTTTTTCTCAAGTGTCTTCTTGTTTTTTCTTAAGTGGTGTACCTGTGCTGCCCCTGGGACTTCTTCAGGAACCTGATGGTCCAGTTCAGAAAGGAGGGGGAGAAGCTGGAGAACTATGTCTTCTTCTTTATTGATCTTTTTGCTGAGGGCTTGGAGGGCAGCCGGCCCATCAGGCCCTGGTTTAAAGGCGATACGGATGACCAAGAGGCTCGCCTCGCCTTCAGGGTGAGAATCAGTTCTGTTTTTTCTTCTTCTCTCCCCATACTGGTGTTAAAGAAAGACATGTTTATTTTTAAAAACAGGCTGGGTCCATGAAAGATGTGAAGGGTACTAGTAAGGAACTGAATAAGCGAGGACTGATTGATCTGTCATTCATTTCTGCATATTCCTCTCTATGTGTTTCTCTGTTTTTAGAGTGTGAAGCTGCTGACCTACCGAGAGCCTCAGAACCCAGAATACCACCGGTTTGTGGAGACTCTGAAGAGCGACGCAAAGAAAATGTTCAACTTCACCATAAAAGACTCCATGGTATAAATTCCAATCATGACATGAAGCAGTTTGAGTGATTTTATGTTAATAATGAAGATGACAAAAACAAAATAGGAGATTTATGCTGAGAATCTCTGTGTCTCCGTCAGTACAACCTGATTGCTGGAGGATTCTATGATGGGGTGATGATGTACTCTCAGGCTCTGAACGAGACTCTGAGCCAACAGAAATCCAAACCCGGACCAGTGCAGAGACCCAATGGAGACTTGGTGACCCGCAGGATGTGGAATAGGACCTTTCCAGGTTGGGGTTGATGCTTGTCCTTTTTTATGGGATCAGAAAGAGAAAGCAGAACAACAGAACTAAGAAAAGTCTTGAATCCACCCTTCATTTCTCTACATTCTGTTCAAAGCAGTCAGGGCTTTTAATAATCTTTTAAAGTGGGATTTGAAACTGTTTCTTTAGAAAATGGCTCTTTTGTCTCTCATTTGCAGTTCAATCCTTGAACTTGACTGTTCTCAGAAGGATGTTTTTTTATTTGTTTGTGTGAGTCACACAGTACTCATCCGTGAGGCATTCGAGCATAAAAAGGCATCAAACTAAAACGTTGAGCAACATTATTACTACACTTTACAGAAAGATTTAGAAAGATTAAAAGGTTTCACTTTGTTAGAAGCAAGCTATCGCCAGGACAAATCATTTGGTAATTGTTTCATCTTTGAAAAACGCTACAGATTACTCAGTTTGACAGACATGGAATTGTGTTTCTGCACCAGTAATTCTAAAAGAGCTGTTATGTGCGTGTTAAAACATTGGAGGAAAATGGACAAGAGGAAGGCAAAGTGACAGAGCAAAAATACAGAAATAGTACCTAAAACTGATCCATCCATCTACATTCTACACTTATTATTCCAAATGGGGCGATTGGTGGGCTGAAGCCTATCCCTACTATCATTGGGACAATCACACTTATTGTCCCCAAAAGACTATTTGAAAAGAACAATTGACCACACATGCATGGTTTTGTTCTGTAAGAAGTCAGAACACCTGAGGAGAACCCAGCTCTTGCACTAAGGCGATGATGCTAACCACCACACCACTGCGCAGCTTTGAAAACTGGTGTCCTCGAGAAATGAGAAAAAATAATCCAGCCAAAACCTGACACAGAACTTAAGAAATGCATCTGAGCCGTAATTCAATCCGTCTGCGGTTCCCTGAAGCCTCATCAGAAACGGTCTCCATGGATGACTGGCTGTCAAGAAGCCGCTCTTCAGGGAGAGAAATGGGGAGAAAAAGGCTGAGGTTTTCCAAATGACACAGGAAGTGAACCAGAAAATCAGTGGTACCAGATCTGATGGAAGGGGCAAATCATCCCCAGAGCCCGGCCCTCCACATTATTTAAGCAGCGTGCGATCATCTGATGGAGAACAGAGCAAAAGGCAGCCAACATCCAAAGAAGAGCTTTGGGATGTCCTTCAAGAATCCTGGAGATGAAAGGAAAAGAAAGGAAAGCTCGTCTTGGAGAGTTCAGGCTGTGTACAAACTCTGTTTTAGCATAATATTTAAGGTTCTGTTTGTGTTCACATTTATGTGTGCACACGTTTTACTGCACGTGTTTGCTATTTTCTTGACAATATTTTTTAAAATAAAGGCCACCCGTGACTTTTTGCAGTGTACCACATCTCGGACCCATTAACAGCATCGTGTAAAAGCAACAGTGCAAGTACTGCATTCTGCCAGCGAAACGTTCTTCAAGTATCAGAGTATAAATAAAAAATTGGACGCTTAATCTGTAAGATTGTTGTTGCTGGTGCAACATGTGAGCCAGAGTCTCTGCTTAAGCTTAAAAAAACAACGGACTGCTTCAGCGTTTCTTGATGGAAAGCAGCTTCCCTCCAGAGCCCATCAATCACTCTGTCCATTAACTAACGAGCCCCAATGACCTATCAGGAACCCTGAAACTCTGTGAGGTCACCATGGGAATCAGAGTCTGACACACACACACACACACACACATACACATTCTCATGGCTGTAAAGTGTACCAGCAGGGATTTAGCGTGTTAGCGTAGCCCTGCTGTGTAAATTTGTACCAGCTGGCAGTGACACTGGGAACAGGATGTATGAGACTCAAACCGGCAACCAGCACGGAAAACAACGCCACAAAGGATCTAAAGGGACAGTTCAACTTTTTCTGCTCAGCCTGATCTCAAATTCAACTTTATAAGCAACATGTGGAATTCAGGCAGAGAGAGCAGAGAACTACTTTGTGTGTTTGTTTGTTTTTAAAAAAGAGCTGTTTTTTCCATCTCATGATGTGTCATCAGGCCGGTTCAGGACCAGCTTCAGGACTCTGGACTTGGTCTGAAGTGAAAGAGAGTATGAATGGCCCACATTGTTACTACAGGCAGGAAGACGTCCACCATTTTTCAAAGCAGCCAACAGCTTCAGGAAAATGTTTGTTAGTTTAAAAACAAAGGGAGAAACCTTTAGGAAAATAGCAGCCATAATATCTATCGGCATAACTGCTTGCTACGAGGAAATGAAAACAAAATTTCATACGCTTTCTGTTTATTCAATGTGCACATATGCAAACAAGTGATTCTGCTAATACATTTTCCAGAGCTTCAAATGACTTAAAAACATTCCTTATATTTGATGCAATGTCCAGCATGTTTGTCAGAAAGTAATGGGATAGAAATTTGGTCTAAATGCAGGTAAAGACTTATCTTATTAACCTAGCCATCATGAAGAAATCAGAACTAAGATATTTTCAGAAATATTTACCTGGACCTCCACTTCTCAAGCAGTCTGACTTGATCGTATCTTTCTAGACTTCGAATCCAAATATAACTCTTCAGATGTTTAAAGTGGAATTACTTAGTCTTATTTCACCACAACCCAAACAAAAAAGAGAAACTGCCGAACAAATAATGGGGACAGCGTGCCATCCATCATCTCAGCAATGCAAACTGACCTAAAGTTTGTGGACTATAAAAACGTCTCCGGCCGTCAGCTGCAAATGTTGATTTAAACCCAATGAAAATATCCTCGCTGTTGTTTTAGATTGTGAAACATTTGAAAGACAAACAGATGAGAAATTTCATCACTATGAAAACCAAAAGCAGAGTCTGACTAATGCCGTGTAACTGAAGCACGAACACCGCCGCGGTGAGAGCCGAACACAGGGGGACAAAAACAAAAGTGACATCCTGGGCTAGTGGTGGAATCCGCGGCCCTGAACGACAAGACGAGGGCAGAGGACTTATTCATAGGACTCACAAGAGAGCAGGAAATTCGCCAGGAGATTACAGATCAGGACTGATGGGAGACTAAGGCACCAGACAGAGAATTAAAGTCACAACAAGAAAGCATGAACGAGGACAAAGAGGACATGTCAGGGAAAAATCCTCAGGCAGAACAGGAAAGTACAAATCAGAGGCGCACGACCAGGAAAACAACAACAAAAGCCAGCAGGCACTGCTTTTAAGACGAGGGAAGCCAGGACAGGAAAGTAGAGTACAAGAAAGCAGGGCAGAGTGACACAGAAGGACAGAACGGCATGGAACAAAGTGTAAAAAAAAACAACAATGAACAAGTCGGTGCACACAAATAAACTAAAAAGGATTCAGGGACAAAACAGGACAGCACATAATAAGAGAAGGAAATAGCTCATTTGAAGTGAAGAAGTCCAAAAAAAGAGAGTGAGGAGAACTGGGGCAATGGGACAAGATAGAGCTGATTGATCAGGCCCCAAAGAGAGCGGAGTGGACTAGACAACAGAGACATCACAAGATAAGACAACAAGAACAGACGCTTCCGGAAGTGGACATCTGGGAATTGTCGGGTCTTGTGTTTTTTATTCTATCAAGTAAGGGGGAAAGGTTCCTCAAAAACACAACAAAACCAGGAAGGATGGGACAAGCAATAAGAAGATAACTAGAGCAAAGACACTAATCGACGGCACTCGGCAAGGACAGGACGGCAGGGACAGACCGGAGCGTCCAGACAGATGGTGGCTCTGATGATGCAGGAAGGGCTCCAGGTGTGGGACAACAACGTCCACAGGAAGTGACACGCTGGCAGCAGGACTCAGCTGGGGGATGATCACTAATCTAATCACCGCCGATGAGTTTAACTGATGTTATGGGGACATAAATTTATTTAGGAGATTTAAGTGTGCGGTGACAAAAATAGGAAATGAGCAGAACAGAACAATTGTTTGGTTTGTGGGTGACCCACGATTTTTCTTTAGATCAAGCAAAAGAAAATGAGGTCTTTTTTTTGCTGAGTTGTCACAATTTTGGTTGTCCGACAGCCAGTAATTCAATGTGCATTAATATACAATAGCTAAATTATTGTGTTTCTGGAACAACTTTATAAAGATGGCTGAGTCCATTTAGCTCTAGTAGCATCTCTGTCCCTGGAAAGCAATCAATGATTCTCAGCCATCAAATTCTTTTATGAAGACATTTCCCATAAATGTTTACACTCACACATTCTGTACAGAGGAATTGAGGGTGCAAATGAAGGAGAATATTAGTTTGGATGTGGGTGAAGGTGGATCTTTTTTTTTAAACCAGATCTTTCGGATAAGATTGATGGTTGTCTGTACTTGTCATGTTTAACATTTAACTGGACTGGGCTAGGTCTCCGGCCTTGGTGTTTTTACTACAACACTAAAGATCTCTGAATTCATCGAGATAAAAATTACAAGGTTTCTTTGTTGGTATGACCTGTGACTTTGTACGCATGAGTTTTCTCAGGGTACTTATACTACAGTCCAAAACATGCACGCTAAGTTAATAGGAGACTCTGAATTGCTCATATGAGTGAATGTATGTGTTTTTTTGCCTTGTGCATATTTGTTTGGTCCTGTGATGAACTGGTGACCGGTCCAGGTTGAGCCCTGACTCTCGTCCAGTGACAGCTGGCATAGGCTCCAACCCCCTCTAAAAAACGGATGGATCAATCCATCTATGTGTTTGGAAGGAGCTTATTTGACTTCATTTCACTTTGAAGCATTTTGTTAGAAAAAGGTAGATGGAAAAATGAAGGAAATGGAGACTTTTAGTGACTTCTGTATTGAGTCATCGGTAGTTAACTGGAAACTGCTGCTGTGATTTAAACCTGAAAGAGGAGAATCACTCAGCCCTGCCCCATGTTTACCAAAGCCAAATTGAAGCAAACCAGTTCTGTTCTGCTTGAGTTTACTTGTACAAATATTTGACATTTCTAGCGCTTAACATATTTAAACTAGTCAACAAATGCTATTGTTGACCATGTATGCTGCAGAAACCAGTCACTTAAATTCATCCCACATGCAGGAGCCAAATATAAACCTCAGTCACTCACAGTATAATCAAAACCAGGAACAGACTCAGAACCGAGACAATCAGGTCAATGAAAACACAGTGTGTATTTCAGTGTGTTGATGGTGCTGATAAACAGGCCGCTCTGCCTGCTCTTTATTAGATTGGACTGCTTTTATCCACCAACACACACCGAAACTCAGTCAGCAGCCATCAATCACCGAGCATGTGCGTCAGGGGGGGAGAGATTGATGCTCTTTGAATTTACACAGTCCACAGGAACAACAAAGTCTTTCTAAGAGCTCACCTATTTGCTGGATGGAGGGAGTCTTATCAGTTCAATATCCTAATCAGGTGACATTTGATGTGTTAACATGAATTAGCTCAAGCAGACTCTTTGAAATGTATTTACTAAATTGTGAGATCAGTGATCGGCTGCCAAATGTCTCCTCAAGGCGTAAATGGCGCCATTTTCTTTTCTACATGCAAATATTTATAATAAAAGACAAATGCGTCTGCGATGTTCAATAAGCAGATTATTTAAGGTCCAACCTTAATACTGGGAATTGCTCAAGCATCAGTTTTCACTAGGTCCTCAAATTACTGTGTCTGAATTGATTTATTCTACTCTAAACTAAAGTTGTTATACCAGAGGACTTTGCCAGATTTATTGGAGCTTTTCGCTTTCGGCCACCTCTAGTTTGAGTTACAGTCAAAAATAAAATTTGTATACAGAAAAAAAAAGGATCTTCTTCCAACCTGCGCTCATCAGGCCTGAAATCTCAAGCAGCTTACGCTCACTGAAATCAGACAGAAAAATGGGGCTCTGTATATCTGTCGATTCAGAAGGATTAGAATTGATTCAACTGGAAATGATTCAATAAAAGACTAACTTAATGTGTGTATTCACACCAGTTGATGGAGCGGTGGGGCCTTTTGCAATAATCAGGCTCCTACAAAGTGGGACTGTGGTTTGTGTCCTGACCGATTCTGGCTTGGTCAGAATCCACAAGCTGAAAATCAGTCTTGTTCTAAGAAGAGCTGAATACTAATTACATGGCTTCTTAATGAACTCTCGGAATTGATTGTCCTCAGGAAGAGAACCTGGTGTTTCCATTGACTGACTCCTTAATGAACTTCCTCTCCCACAGACGAAAGGGCTCACAGTGATCCTGAGCTGAAATCTAGCTGGCAGCAGGAGGTCCAACCTCAACCCAGACCTGGAAGTTCATGCAATATTCCTCCATAAAACACATTTTTGAGCAGGGTTTCCTTTATGCTCTAATGTGATATAATGGCCTCTTTCTCAAAGTGAAACCTGGTTTCTGGAAACCATCTGCTGCTGAAGTGCTAATGATAAGCAGCAGATTAAGAAATGGCTTGCTCTGCTACAAAAAAACACCACAACGATCATTTCAGATAAAGAGCATAAAAAATGTATTAGATAAGCATGGAGAGAATACATATAAGCATGTGCCTAAAATAGCTTAATAGAGTTCAGTTCAGAGAAGATTTGAGAAATTAAAGGGAATGAAAAGATGTAATCTTTTATTGCCTGTTTCTGGGAGCTGTGTTTGTTCCCAGCCCCGTAACTGAAATCTGACACCTCCTCCCCCACCCTGTTATATTTTTAGTTATATGCTTGTTTTTTGTCTGTTGGACTTGAATAACCAAAGACAGCAAATCATTCATTCACTCCCTGTCTCTTTTTTTTGTTACTTCTAAACGAAAACAGTTGTTTAATTTTTTTTTTATTACAGATTTTTTTTTAATCTGTAAGAGAAAAGTAAAAGATCCACAGAATAAAACAAAATAAAACAGCCCTGATAGACGCATGTTCACTCAGAGAAATTGCCATCCAGAGAAAGTGTTGTAACCAGTGGCTGTGGCCTCTTTGCAGGAGTGATGGGAATGGTGGAGATGGATGAGTTTGGAGACAGAGAGGTGGACTTTGCAGTGTGGGACATGACCGATCTGGACACCGGAGAGTTTCAGGTAAAACAAATGCCTCATTAAGCATCCTGGCATAACAACTCAGAGACGAGTTAAGAGCCTCGGTCCAGGCAGGTGCTGACTATTCGCTGCAGGGCTGTTTATTTTGGAAACACTTTTGTCTTGTTCCACAAAAAAGATGAATACAAGAAAATAAATGTGAAAGTTTGGAGATGTTTGTTTTTGTATCTGATGTTATTTTGTGCGGGTGCACTATGTGGTGTTTCAGCAGAGAACTGAGCGCACAGCTTCAGGCTTTATAAAAGCAGGAATCTCTTAAGGTTTCACTTATGTGAGAGGCACTTTCCACATCTGTGTGGATCTTTGTTTGTTTCCACCTTAAAAAAGTCTAATTTCAGACGAATTCTGCATCACACAAAAACACGTCTCAAATTTTAACTCAAGCAAATGATTACATTATAAATCAAAGTATATCTGAACCATTGTTATTTGTCTTTTTGTTGACCAAGTGTTCGGCAGAAATAAATGGTTATGTCCACAATCAATCTTTGAAGCCTATACCTATACCTCAAGTCAAATCTCCAAGCCTTTTCCTCAGTTTTAGTCCAGCATTTCCAGCTTCCTAACAAAAACCTGCCTGAAATCGACCTTCAGAAGCAGATGATTTGTTTATATTCAGATCAACTGCATCTGAGCCGATAATACAGATGAAGACAAACAAATAAACACGTGAAGCACGGACCAGTCAAAATGCGTCAGGCAGGGGAGGCATCGCCATGTGTCTGCTATAGATGTGTATGCTTTCAGGTGGTGTGTGTGTACAACAGCAGCACCAAGCAGCTCGTCCTGCAAAAGGGTCTGAACTTCCAGTGGCCCGGAGGCTCCCCACCTCCAGACGTGCCCAAGTGTGGCTTCAAGAACGACAACCCAGCCTGCCTCGCACGTATGAACGCAGTCCGCAGACACACACTGACATTCTCCCGACACAACTAACAGACACACACCCTTTCACCTCAGAGATATCCACAGACCAAAAGTGCAACGATAGACCACAAACACAAGCGCAGACACAAATGTATACAACACACACCTACAAAAACTCTTATTTAAATATATGTGCCCCTACCGACCCCAAACACAACTACACACTTTGGACACACAGACACAACAGACACATTTCCAGATAAGATAACCGTGTGCTGACCCAGCTAGAAACAAAGACTGCAAATGTGCTTACATAAACCCGTGCAAACCACAAAAACACACCGGACACACAGATCGTAACACACCAGCACGCGCAGCCATAAATGCTGTAGACTACACACAAACATAACCAATCACAGATAACACACACACAATTACTCAAATGCCTACTTGTTATAAGTGTCCTCATAGATATGATCAGTTGCTGTGCGTGGTCTGATTAAATCTGAAAAATTATTCAGTTAACCCCCAAATAAGCCAGGGACAACATGCAGAAAATGCTGTGGTTATCACAGGCCATCACAGTAAATTAACAGACTAAAAGAAGTTATATTTGCTAATGAAGTTCTAATTCTTTCTAAAAAGTAATTATTAAATTGAAAATTGCCTTTTTCTTAAAGTTCCCCGCCTTCCTGTTTTTAAAATACAGTTTTATCAGTCAATTAAATAGATTTTAAGCAGGCTGCCCAAATTGCCCAAAGATGGTAATTAAATTATCAAAACTCATGAATTTATTGTTTTTTAATTTTAATTTTAATGCATGTATCATTCATAGATCAGTGTTAAGAAGCTCAAACAGAAACCAAACAGCACATTCCTCTGAAATGGTCTGGTACAAGGACTGGAAATAAAAATTTTAAAAAGCAACTTATGTTCACCGGATATTTGGAAGATCTTCATAAAGTCGAAGGAACAGCTGCTTAAAAGCGCTCAAAAGGGTTATAACAAATCCTGCCTCCGTGGCACAGCCTATGTTTTAGAATACGTTGGGGTTTTTGTGAGTGTCAGGAGTCAGTGTGGGGGATTTCCTCACACTCAAGGTCAGTAGCTGGTTTCCATACACACACACGCTTAAAGCCGGGCGCCCCGGCCCCTCCTGACCGGATCTGTCGCCTCTCGCCCTCACAGGCACGGTCACGATGCATCAGATGGTTGCCATGGTGATCTGCTTTGTTTTTGTCCTCATCGTCACCATCACCATCTTCATCTACAGGTGAGGCACACATAGGTTTTTGCCCTTTGAGACACCCACACGAATGTCCAGTTTGGCCCTCAGATGGGTCCAGACGAAGATACAGAAGCACAGGAGAACACCCTGCTTTGTGGCGGTTCAAGCTCTCACAGCCCCTCTGTCTCTCTCTCTCTCTCTCTTTCTCTCTCTCCATTTTCTTTTTCCTTCCTTTTTTCCTCTATGCCTCCCTTCTTTCACACATCCTCCATTCTTTACCTCTCTCTGTCATAATAGAGAGGTCACAGCGAGGCCCAGAATGAGCGGATGGAGAATTAATGTTTGAAAAAATAAGCATCCAAAAGGACCTGACTCTTAACTTTTCCACACATTAACACGCAGAAATTTGTAACTTTGAAAAACATATTCACTTTCTAAGAGGTTTAGCAGATCTGAGCACAGCCCACTTCCCTCTGCATGTGTTTGTAACAACTATATTATATTTTATGACTAAAAAATGCTGCCGTGTTTGAACACTAAATTAGTTTCCTAGTGTTATTGATGTTAGTATAGTAGAGTATATATTATAGGTTTGGTTAAAGTTGATAAAGGAACCTGTTGTAATCTGTGTGCTGGTATTTTTCATATTTAAACAAAACACAAGTGATTGCAAACAAAGTAAAACATAGAGAGCAGAGAGCTTGAAATAAGTTCAAGGATGACACTTGGCTGGTTTCTAAAAATATGTATATCGAAAAGTTACATTTAGTTATCGTACTTTCCCTTTTTTTATGAAATGATAATAAACTTGTATATGGAGCAAAGACTTCAGGTGTATGTGGGTTCTTTTTTAAAAACACTTTGAATTGCAATATTTAGTGAAATCAATGATAAATGAAAAGGACTACTTGTGTATGTTAAACCTTGTCAGCTTTCATGAGGTGTCCCAGGATGTTTGTGACTGAAAAGTTCCCTCAACATGACAAACTCAGTCTACGGGGAGAGAGAAGCCACCTCTCTCAATCAGAAAGGGACTTTGGCAGGCTGCTCGGCTCGGTCCGCTCAGTGGGTTGACGCGCAGAAAGCTGCTTTTCCAACACTCGTGCTGTTTCTGTCTCTGTTTTGGCTGACGGACTCACTCTCCACCTCCCTTTTCGGCCCTCACATCTCGCATTGTTTTCCCCGTCCTCCTCACTTATTTTTTAACCCCTCTACTCTGCAAACACACGCACACACACCTGTCCTCCTGTCTGTCGAATAGGAAGTTGAAGCTAGAGAGTGAACTGGCAGCTCAGCTGTGGAGAGTCTCCTGGGACGACATCCAGCTGAGCAACTTGGACAAAGTTCTGAGGAGAGCGTGCAGCAGGCTCACCATGTCTCTGGTAACACATGTTGTATTCTGTAATGATAGTCTGCTCACTCATTATTGAGTTGATTTCACCTAATTTATCAAAGACGGTCTCAATATCCACCTCCCAGATATGAAACCTCAGTTAAACAAGCATTTGTTGGCATGTTCAAAATGGTCCAGCCATGATATGTTCACATAAAGTTTTTTTTTTTTTCAATATGCCTTTGGTAGAAAACATTATTTCAGCCTTCTGTCAACATCACAATTTTCCCTGATAAGCGCCAAACTACAAGATGCAAAAACTGATTTATAATTACAAATTATCTAAACTATGTTTGGTTCATGTAGTACATTTTATCCACTGCGCTGTGTAGGAATTTTAATCTTGTGTCTGTCTTGTGTCTCTGCAGAAGGGCTCCAACTATGGCTCCCTGATGACTATGGAGGGAAACTTCCAGATCTACACCAAGACCGGATACTACAAGGTCTGACACAGGCCCACCCTAACAACAGCATTGCATGTCGCATGTCGCATGTCACATGTCACAATCTTTTGGTTTTTTCCAGGGAAATCTGGCAGCAATCAAGTATATCAGCAAGAAACGCATTGAACTAACAAGGAAGGTCCTGTTTGAACTGAAACATGTAAGAATGGCCTCTGACTAGACACGACAGTGACTCTTTTCAGTCATGTCTAACATCTCATTTTAAGGTGCCCGGCTTGTTGGGGGCTAACATGCACCCCTCTGTTTTTCTTTGCAGATGCGAGACGTTCACAATGAACACTTGACACGCTTCATTGGCGCCTGTATTGATTCCCCAAACATGTGCATCATCACGGAGTATTGCCCAAGGGGCAGCCTTCAGGTACATCACGCCCCGAATCAGTACCAAAAAACACCCATTACGCCCGGTATCAGTTGTCAGTATTCTTTTATTAACCATCAGCACCGGTGCATGAGCCATCAGAGCTGCTTTATAAATCATAAGTGCCTCCCTGTCAGGGCAAGTTCTACTGATAACAATAACATCTAACAATAACAACCTCTCTTAACAATCAATACTCTATTAGCAATCAGAACTCACAACCTTCTATCAGCTACATCGTGCTGTCAGGCACAATAACTATCGACCATCAAAACCCATTTTTCATGAAGCAGGAACCCTCCTGAGCACCGGTTCCATCCATCTGTCAAAAGTGTCTGTAGGTAATATCCCTTCATCATCCATCAGTACTGCTCTCTGACCCTGTAGCCAAAAATGCCGCTTCAGTAAGCGCTCTGGAAGTCCTCTAACTCTTCGTCATACTTCTTTAGATGTTCTCCCACCTCTCAGTTATAGTTACAAGTCTGCACTGTAACCTAGCAACCTCCTGCCATGGTAACCTAGCAACGTGAGAGGACATGTCAGCCAGCAGTGGGCTGATGTGGGCTGCGTGGGTTTGGGTTGTTGCCAGATGACCGCTGGATGTGAGAGCGGTGCGAGTTATTTTCTGCCCTGCGAGGAGAGGGATACTTTTAGTGGAGGAACAACTGTCATAGAAACGTCCTCACAAGTGGAAGCAGGCTCACTCCCCAATTGAACAGAATATGTATGTTTGAAGGTTTAAGATAGAATAAAATACATATGGGGACTTAGGTGCTGAGGTTTGTGTGTGTTTACCCACCAGGACCTGATGGAGAGCGAGAGCATCACACTGGACTGGATGTTCAGATACTCTCTTATCCATGACATCGTCAAGGTAACAGCCTGTCATTCAATCTCTCTGGGTGGAGTCTCTGCTTTTGTCCCAGGTTGTGTAGGTTTATGATTTTTAACCATATTAGGTCTGTTATTACTTTGTTTACCTCCACTGCTTAAGCACACGCCCACTCAGCCATTCAACAACAGGGCTGGTTAAAGAAAACTCGCACAAACAACCAGATGGCAGCACTGAGGTCAAAGTGTGCAGAAAAGTCCTTTTAGTGTCCAGACACGAGCTCATTCAAATGATCCCAGATTCAGAACTTCCTTCACAGGCTTTTACCTGTTTTGTTTCTTTTCCGTTTTGTCTCTGCTCAGGGCATGGCGTTCCTCCACAACAGCGTCATCGCCTCCCATGGAAACCTGAAGTCATCCAACTGTGTGGTGGACAGTCGCTTCGTCCTGAAGATCACCGATTATGGTCTGCAGAGTCTCCGGACCAGCAGCTGCCCTGAGGATACGCATGCCTACTACGCACGTATGACACACACACATACACCGAACGCACACTCGGTCTGAATGGGGGATAATTAACGCACAGCTGCTTGAATGCGTGTTCAGCGGGTTTATTCATTCGGGAGCATTATTTTTAATGATTGTTTCTGATTTACTTGGCAGGGAAGCTGTGGACGGCTCCCGAGCTGTTGAGGACAGAGTGTCCACCCCTCTGCGGGAGCCAGAAGGGGGACATCTACAGCTTTGGTGTGATCCTTCAGGAGGTGGCTCTTCTTAGAGGAGTCTTCTACCTCGACACACAGTCTCTCACCCCAAAAGGTCAGTGCGCGGCGTGGACAGCACTCCAGGAGGGAACCCCACACGCGACCTGAATTGTTTGATCTGTGCTGAAGCACAGCTGTGATGGAGGCCTTGTTTTATTTACATTCCCCTGTGGCAGCTGGATGGCAGCTGGATGGCACACTCCTGGCGGGATGCACGTCAACACGTCAGTGATTCTTTCAGGAGCCGTCAGCTCACACTCTCTGCGTGTCACACGCTACCTTAACTTCTAAAGCAAAAAAATCACGGCGGTGACGGCTGACTGTGAACAGCCATCGGCAGGTTTAGTGTAATGCAGAACCAAAATGGACATATAGAAATACAGAATGAAGTGGACAGATGTCAGACAGTTTCCTTCAGATTTGTGAGCACTGTGTAAACATAAAACCTAGACAAGGTGTAAAATGCGAGGGGACACATAACAGTGAAAAATACAAGAGGGCTTGCTTTTAAAAAAAAAATAATTTACTTCTACAAATAATAATAAGTCTTTAACATGATCTTCCTGTTCCCCAGAAATTGTCCGGGCAGTGATTCAGGGCGGCGTGCCCCCCCTCCGCCCCTCCCTCTGCTTCCACAGTCACAGCGAGGAGCTCGGTGTGCTGATGCAGCGCTGCTGGAGCGAAGAGCCAAGCGAGCGGCCTGACTTCAACACCATTAAGATCCTGCTGAGGAAGCAGCACAGGTGTGGAGGCTGCATCCTTTACCTGACCGCAAAGAAATCTGCCCTTTTTAAAACTCAAACTTTGGGTTTTGATTTCTTATCATTTCTATGCATCTATAAATCATTGAATTATTACCAAATAAGTAAACAAGAAATGTTGTGTTTTAATTGATTAGTTAATAGTCAAAGAATACAGAAAGACCAGAAAATATTCCTTAAGTTTATAATGTCATCAACTGATTTTCATGAAGTTTTTTACGAGTTTGAGCTCTATAAAGACCTCACCTCTTTCCTCTGTTTATCCTTTCGTGTGTCCTGTTTTTAGAGGTTATGGTTCCAACATCCTGGACAACTTGCTGTCTCGTATGGAGCAGTACGCTAACAACCTGGAGGAGCTGGTAGAGGAGCGAACTCAAGCTTACAATGAGGAGAAACGGAAAGCGGAGGCCCTGCTGTACCAGATACTGCCACAGTAATAATACCAAGTCAAATGACATTTTGATAAGGCCCTGTGCTGAATATCACATATCACCACAATGCTGGTACATAAAACACCCCTTATTGAGGTTCGTGATGGTATCAGGGTTCTCTTTGTGTGTCAGTTCTGTAGCGGACCAGCTAAAACGGGGTGAGACGGTTCAGGCCGAAGCTTTCGACTCCGTCACCATCTACTTCAGTGACATTATAGGCTTCACCGCTCTGTCTGCCGAGAGCACGCCGTTACAGGTCAGCAGAGTAAAACACATTTCAAAGCAGTTGCTCACTTGAAGTCTCAAATCTGAACATCATGAGGTCAGAAACTGGAACCACCAGGGTGCCACCTGGTGGAGAGAATCCTAACTGCTGCGCTGTCACGTTATGCCTCAGTTTGGGCTTTAATATTGAAAATCTGTTCAGCAGTTCGGATAAAGGCCTTTCTGTAATAAGAAAAATGTTTAACTGAGCTGTTCACATCTGCAGGTGGTGACCTTGTTAAATGACCTTTACACCTGCTTCGATGCCATCATCGACAACTTTGATGTTTACAAGGTAAGAGATACTTAAACTACTCAATTGATCTCTTTCTGCTGAGCTTGGCTAACATCAGAAGCAGATCAGTTTAAAGATCTGCGTGTGTTACCTTCTCAGGTGGAGACCATCGGGGACGCCTACATGGTGGTCTCCGGCCTGCCCGTCAGAAACGGTAAGCTTCACGGTCGGGAGGTGGCCCGGATGTCTCTCGCCCTGCTGGACGCTGTCAAGAGCTTCAAAATCAGACACAGGGCCGACCAGCAGCTGCGGCTCCGGATCGGCATCCACAGCGGTAGGACAAACGCTACCACTGACCTGCAGCGGTCACACTGAACATCGCAGAGCAAAACACAGAAACACTGATAGCCATTATCACATTTGTGCTCAGGTACTGTGTGCGCCGGTGTGGTTGGGTTAAAGATGCCCAGGTACTGTTTGTTTGGAGACACTGTCAACACAGCATCACGCATGGAGTCCACTGGAGAGGGTAAGCCTGCCTCCTGCTGGAGTGCTTCGGGGCCAAATCCAAACTTACACCAGTAGACAATGACATCCAGAATATAGACGCCCACTGCCCTCATAACCCAATACAATAAGGTGGTCATCACATGTTGGCAGTGGAGGTATAAATGTTCAGGCTGTCTTGTTAAAGAACTATGAAAGGCTAACTCTAGTTGTGGGTACCAGGAGCCCTGTAACAGGAGCCCTGTAACAATTGTAAGCCTGCATTTGAGCTGCTCATAAGGATTTAGTCTTAATTTATATCTTCTCTCATGTATCTCATTCTCTCAGCTCTCATATCTTTTATGCTGCATCCACCTGTCTATGCCTGCAAAATAATTGCAAGGAAAGCATTTTGAAGGATGCATCAATTTCTAGAATCTAGAAAAAATAAAGAAATCCTGTTTCCTAAAGGCTTTCTAAGCATCTGTGAACAGTAAAAAGGGTTTCTTCTCATTTGACACAAAGGAATAACAAGCTGTGATGCCGCAGTGTTTATCTTCATATGTGATTAAGTACTTTAAAATGATATCCAAGAAGCTAATGAAATGAAATGAAAGTTACACATTTATTATGTGTGACTTTTGGTACCATGTTTCCCCAGCCTTAAAGATTCATGTGTCGGAGGCAACTCGTCAGGTCCTGCTGGAGTTCAGCTGCTTCCAGCTACAGCTCAGAGGAGAGATCGAGGTTAAGGGGAAAGGGCGTATGAGGACATACTGGCTGCTAGGAGAAAACGATAAAAACTGACAAACTGATGGACACTGACAAAGGACTTGTGAAGGACCAGCTTAAGTGGATGATCGATGAGGGGCAGAATAAAAACAGCTGTAAGACACCGGTTGCATCAAAGCTGCCCTTTTGTCCAATAAGTTACATGTGACATCACCGAAAAGACATCTACCAGAGAGCACCTGTAGAGAAGACACGGATGAATGTTCCACTGTAAAATAAATCAACTGAAAAAGTTGTGTAAATATAAAAATAAAAATGTGTGTTGTTACGTCTGCGTTATTGTCAAATGCAATTCTGTCAGTTTAAATTAATCATAAACGTATCATTTTTAATGTGTCTTGGCTAGTTTAGGTTTGTGCACAACACCTCCCAACCAAAGGTAATCTGGCAATGCTCATTTATTTAGAACCAACTGGTATTTATCAGTCAAATCAGTTAGATTACAGGATTTCAATTATTTATGCTAGCTAGACACTTCGCTTGTAAGCATATACATGAAATATAAAATACTGAGCTGTTGTTAGCCTTGTGTACTGCAAATACCTCCAGTTTCAGAATACCAGCTCTAGAAGTATGAACCATGACAAACGTTGGTGCTATTATCGGCCACAGTCATAAGTACCAGAAGTTTGGATGATTGTAGCTGTATTGCACTGACATTTTTAGCCATGTTGATGAATAAATTCTTTGTAAACAAGGTGAAGTGATGTCCACGCAGGTGGTCTCCAGCCAGCATACCGGGGATTGGCTACTGGTTTTCTGCCCTGTTATTGGTTGAAACTGACGTCATTCAACCATATGAGTAAACTGATTGGTTTCAAGCAGAATGGTTGCCGCCTCGTCCCTCAGCTTGATCGGTGCGGATGTCCGTTATGTTACTGTGGTAGGACGGTGTCACAGAGTAAGATCCACGGTCCTAGCTGTCCCCAAATAAGTTTTAAAAACACACACTAACAGGCCGAAGCGACTCACAGCAAGCTTGCAACCCCGACCGTAGCCCCGGACTATTCGTTTTACCGCCACAAACACAAAATAACACTCCCGCACCGGCAGTCCTAGTCCTTCACAGCTCCGCGGGGCCCGGCGAGGCGCGGCGGGAGCAGATGGAGCCTGCACCGGCGAAAGCGAAGCCACAGGGCCGGCTCCTGGTGTCCACTCAGTTGGACGCCAAAGACGAGTTGGAGGAGGTAGGAGCATCATTTTACCTGGCCGAATTGGAGAAAACCCCAGAAATGAGCCGGGAACTAGTGTGTTTTACTTGTAGATATGATCCATTTTACTTCTGAACAAGGAACGGATACAAAGACGTGATGGAACCATTTTATCAAGTGCAACCTGCTAACAGGCTAGTTAGCATGGATAGCAGAATGCTAACAGCAGTGGCTCCGGAGAGCAGTGCTGTGGGGTGCATGGGCATATTTTTTTAGGTCACAAGCTCAATGTGAGACTATTACACTAAGTGTTCATGTTGTATGTGCTCTCTGGAACGGCACACTGGTGTTTAGAAGTCCCAAAGCTTTGGAATTGTTAGCCTAGCATGCTAATTCTATGTAAACATATGGATGAGACCTGTGACAGTTGCGCATGCGTGCTGTTTCACATGTCAGAACGACGAAACCCTGACAGTTGATCCTTTTAATGTTTTAAAGGGTATTTTCGGACTATTGAGTTTGACTTTTAAATCCAATCATTTACTATTGTTGTTAATTTTGCAGTTTTGTTTGGTGTAGATTTTTTGTATCTTTGTTTATTTTCTTGTGGTTTGTTATTGTTCTGTTAATGATATCATTGCTGTTCATAATTATAAGGATGTCGTGTTAAACTCTCTAAAACATTTGCCATATGCATGCCAATCTGCATTTGAAGGTTTATTGTTGTGGTTTAGTTTGACCTTTGAATTAATTTATGCTTTTTGTTATTTTTATTGGTGTATAGTTTGTTGCCATATTGGTTGCTGTTTGTTGCTGTTTGTGTGTGTTTTTTTAATTGTATTTTTGGTGTTGTGTTTGTTTGCAGAGGTTGGAACGGTGTGTTGGTATTGTCCAGGCCTTGACCAATGGACTGTCAGAGAGAGAAGCCAATGATGCACTTACTGCCAATGTAAGTAGCAGATAGCATTAGAACCAAATCCATGACATGACCAAATCCTAATTCCATCGCTTATTCCATCGCTCCCTGTTTTTAAACACTTAGTTTGAAACGGTCAATATTCTTATTACTTGAAGCTATGATTTCTGCATGTGTTCTCTTGTTGATTTGGCTATGATGCTTAAATTTGCCTTGATTAGAATAAACTACTCTTTTGTTTAATTAATGTATAAAATCCTTCAGGTATGCAAAGGTCAGCAACAGCATGAGGAGGTGTGTTTGGGTCTGTTCACTCTGGCCCTCATTGAGCCAACTCAGGCCCAGAGGGTGAGTTATCTCTTTATCTTCTGTAATTTTTAACATTGTTGCCTTAAACTGTGAAGCCAATGTGTGTGTATGTATGTGTGTTGTAACAGTCTTACAGAGACATGACCCTGCTCAATAGAGATGGGATGAATGTAGTACTGGTAAAAATCAACCAGATATTGATGGAGAAGTTCCTGAAGCTGCAGGACGTCCCAAGAACGCAGGTAAAATTCTGAACTCAACACAAATTCACACAAAAATGAAAGTACTGGCACAGGGCTTGATGGAGTTCAGACTTTCGTAACATGATGCTGACATGTTGGCAGCTGGTTTGGCTGGTCAGAGAGCTGGTGAAAAGCGGAGTGATTGGAGCTGACGGTGTCATCATGACTCTCCTGAAACAGATCGCAGGTCAAACTCTTTGTGATTGCACAGTTTATTCTGAACGTTTAGTGTCATCAGCTCTGCTTTAATGTCGTTTTCCGGTTGGCTGTGTGCAGGTGGAGACATCTCCGCAAAGAACTTATGGCTGGCAGAGAACGTCCTCGATATCCTGCTGGACCAAAAGTAGGCCACACGTCTTTATCCGTGTTCTAAATGTTTTCGCCCATCTTGTGCATTTACTGTGTGAAGTAGCTGATTATTCTGTTCTCTGAAGGGAATGGGTGTTGAAGAGCGGGATGCTAATAGCAATGTCGGTATACACCTACCTTCGCCTGATCGTTGACCACGGAACCCAAAACCTGTTGCCTCTTCGCCAGAAAGAAGTCGACTTCTGCATCAGCATGCTAAGAGATAAGGTAGTGAGGGGGGCAGGAAGGGGACGCGTTGGCTGTTTTTGCTTCCCGATCGTGCTGACAGCTTCACCTCCCTGTTTCTGCAGTTCATGGAGTGCCTGATAATTGGCAGAGATCTCGTTCGTCTGCTGCAGAATGTCGCTCGAATCCCTGAGATGGAGCTTCTCTGGAGAGACTTGCTGCACAACCCACAAGTTCTCAGTCCTCAGTTCACTGGTAATGCTCTGCTGTTACTCATTCTGAGTAAATCACAAGCTACTTAAGGCTCATTAGATTGTATTTCCCTTTGTCGGGAAATGGCATGTGATCTTTGATCCATATTCTGCTTATTGTTACATTTCATGCTGTATCGTTTCCATGCTAAAGGTATCCTTCAGCTTCTGACGGCGCGGACCTCTAGAAAGTTTCTGGCCTGTCGCCTCACACCAGACATGGAGACAAAGCTACTGTTCATGACTTCCAGGGTATAACGCTGCTTCTGTGTTTTCTGTCCGTCACTGCCTTAAGCTGTGCCCCAGATGTCACTCTTCCATCTGGGACTCATTTCTTTGTCTTCTCTCACGCTCAGGTGCGGTTTGGGCAGCAGAAGCGTTATCAGGACTGGTTTCAAAGACAGTACCTGTCCACAGCAGAGAGCCAGTCACTGCGATGCGATCTAATTCGATATATCTGCGGGGTGGTCCATCCGTCCAATGAGGTGCTGAGCTCTGACATCCTACCGCGCTGGGCTATCATTGGTTGGCTTCTTACCACCTGCACGGTAAAAAGATAGGGCCTTAATCTGACAGTCTGGAGGCAGCGATTATCAAAAATCTGTAACTAATTGCAAATGTTTTGTGTCCCTGAAGTCGAATGTGGCTGCCTCCAATGCCAAACTGGCTCTTTTCTACGACTGGCTTTTCTTCAACCCAGAGAAAGACAGCATCATGAACATAGGTAACCCTCACACACCAACCTAATGAAACTCAGCCTCAGCTCTGTGTTGAAACCAGAACTGAGCTTCAGTGGAAATCATCCGGGAATTAAATAGTGAAAGTCACCTGTGTTGGTGATCTTCTTGTTTTAGAGCCAGCCATCCTGGTGATGCATCACTCTATGAAACCCCACCCTGCCATCACAGCCACACTGCTGGACTTCATGTGCAGGGTAACATGCAGGCAGAATCTTTAAACAAGCTGAATGCATTATGTGCTGTTAATAGAAAACACTGAAAATGTTTCTTCAACTCGTCTCTCGTTTCCTCCACCTCTCCTCAGATTATCCCTCACTTCTTTCCTCCGTTGGAGTCTCAGGTTCGTCAGGGTGTCTTCAACTCCCTGAACTTCATCATGGAGAAGAGAGTGCTGGCGTAAGAATTTCACTTGTCACTTGGTCCATCCAATACTCATAATGTCTGTCAAAGATTTGTCAGTCACACACCGGACATATTTAATTTAAGATTGTTGATCTCCCTCTTTCTCTCTCAGTCATCTCGCTCCACTGTTCGATAATCCAAAATTAGACCGAGAGCTTCGCTCAATGCTTAGAGAGAGATTTCCTGAATTCTGTAGCCCGCCATCCCCGCCCACTGAAGGTAACACTGGCACACGAATTTTACACACAGAGCAATCATACCGACTTTAGAAATGTTTTGTAGTCAATAGAAAGATGGAGGGGGGGAAGCAGCTGTAATGTTTAAACTTTTCCATGTCCTTCAGTTAAGTTGGAGGAGGCTGTTTCTTTGGAAATGGACAACCATGTCCTGGACAAGGAGGAGGATTTTAATGAGAACACAGAAGCCACTTTCAGTGATGACGAGGAGGAAGTCAACAACAAAGGTAAAATCTAGTGACCATTAATGGGCAGCAGATCAAAGTGGTTTGTCTTTTAAACTGCAAAACCACAACAACCCCTGTTTAGTCCACTTTAACCCAATAAGAACTGTGTGTTATGTGGGTTAAAGGGGACTCACCGGAGCTGATAGGAGCTCACAGTCGTACCCAGTTGTTTCAGAGCCACTTAATAATTTTGGTGTTCAATTTCCTTACACCACATGACACTACCTGTTTTCCTTTACTCAGCTGGAAAGAAGAGGGAGTTCAGATTCCATCCGATCAAAGAAGCTGTGACTGAGGAACCGGCCGACATCACACCCTGGCTGGACCAGTTAGACGACACCATGAAAGAAAAGGTGCAGCAGCTTCAGAAGACCAGGTGAGGCCAGGTTACAGTGCTCACTCAGATCCTCGGATCCATCCGAGAATCAGAGTTCACTCTGAGAAACATCTGTTTGTTTTCTGGTTTTAACAAAGTTCTCTCTCCCCAGTGACACAGAGACGCAGTGTGAGATGATGCAGGAGATTGTTGATCTGATCTTGGAGGTCCGTTTTCTTTCCTTGTTTCATGTTTCATTATAGACTGATGACATGGGAGAACTATAAACGAACAGTTGATACAGAGTTAACATGTCGAAAATACAGAAAGCGTCCCCCAAACTCATAGACTTAAACTGCAGAGAAACTAACTGGGTCATTTTAAACTGATGAAGCCAAATCACCCGGCTTAAGAAAAGAGCAGTTGTTCCATATTGTTAATTAAGGATCATGAATAGAGGTCTGCAGCTGCCTTCAGGTGGACTACAGACTGAGAAGAAAAATTTACAACTGCAGTGTTGTTAGTTGTTGTATTGTTTCTCCCATTAAAGATAAGAAAGTCTTTTTTTATTTTTCATTCTTTCATGTTGATGAATATTAATGAGGTCCTGATCTATGCTGCATTCGGGGTGCCCTCAATGTATTTTCTTTTTTCACAGTTTTCATTGTGATTTAAAGTCTGTGTTCTACTTTCTTTTGTTTTTTTAACATACAGGAGGACTTTGATTCAGAGCAAATGTCTGCACTGGTGTCCTGTCTGGCTGAACTGTTTAAAGATCATTTTAGGGGGGACGTCCTGCCAGATGAGATCACTGAGGAGTAAGACTGTCCTCTCTGTCTGTGACTCACCTGTCTCTGTTTACCTGCCCGTCTCTGATCACTGCTTGTTCTCTGTCCAGGTCTCTGGAGGAGTCGGTCTGCAAACCCTTCTGTCTCATCTTTAGGAACCTCGTCACCATGCAAGAGGACAACAGCGGCTTCTCTGTGCTGTTGGACATGTTGGCAGAACTTTACCAGAAGCAGCCAAAGATTGGATACCACCTTTTGTATTACCTGAAAGCCAGGTGAGCAGATGACCTCTGACATTAGATACAGCCTCTAGCTTCATACTGCACATGTGAACATTATGATATGAACATTATGAATGAAATCTGTATATGTCTGCCCACAGTAAAGCAGCGAATGGGAAGATGATGCTCTATGAGTCGTTTGCCCAGGCGACGGCTCTCGGGGACCTGCACACTTGTTTGATGATGGACATGAAGGCTTGTCAGGAGGATGATGTCCGGCTGCTCTGCTACCTCACACCCTCCATTTACTCAGAGGTAAGTAGACTCAAAATGTCCTCACTCACGCTCTTTTGTCCTCAAAAATGCAGTGCACACCACACATTCATTAGGTGAAAGTTGTTGTATTTTTGTTTGTTTTTCTCATTCAGTTTCCAGATGAGACGCTTCGAAGCGGCGAGCTGCTAAACATGATTGTCGCGGTTATTGACTCAACGCAGGTAAGACCGAGCCATCCCATCAAGGCGCCTCTGCCACCGGGGGGGGGGCTTCTGTGTCACTAACTAGGATGTCACCTGTCTGTGCAGTTACAGGAGCTGATGTGCCACGTGATGATGGGTAACCTGGTGATGTTCCGGAAAGACTCGGTCCTCAACATCCTCAGTGAGAGACTTAAGATTTAACCACACTTTATGTTTACCTCAAGACTCTAGTTCATCTTCATGTCTTCTTAATTTCCCCTTTGCCTTCACAGTTCAGTCTCTGGACTGGGAGACGTTTGAGCAGTACAGCACCTGGCAGCTGTTCCTTGCCCATAGTATCCCTCTGGAAACCATCATACCCATCCTACAGCATCTCAAATACAAAGGTGACCACTGAAAAATCTTTTACCTCAAAATAATTAACTGTTTTGTTGCTTGTCGACAGCTTTCAACTTAATGTCTTTGTTTCTCAGAGCATCCAGAGGCCTTGTCCTGCCTGCTGTTGCAGCTCCGCAGGGAAAAGTAGGACACGTAGAAACCACGTTTGCTCTTACATGTCTAGTCTTTGATGCCCCATTAATGCCCCGTTTTTTGATTGTGTGGCAGGCCTAGTGAAGAAATGGTGAAGATGGTCTTGAGTCGCCCCTGTCACCCTGAGGACCAGTTCACCACGAGCATTCTGAGGCACTGGGCAGCCAAATATGACGACACACTGGGAGAACACATCAAGGCCCAGCTGATCAAAAACAACAACCAGCCGCGTAAAAGGCAGAGGTGAGCACACGAAACCGGCACCCTTGGTTTAAGGTAATCAGTATGTCGTCAAAAATGAGGGAGAGAGAAGGTCAAACGTCCCGAGTTGAAAGTTTGCTGTCCGTCTCCGTCCCCAGTCTACGTAGCTCCAGCAGTAAACTGGCTCAGCTGACCCTGGAACAGATATTAGAGCACATGGACAACCTGAGACTGAGTCTGAACAACATGAAGAACAACTGTCAGTCCACACACACTCACATGCAGAGTTATTCATTGCTTGTTAGTGACAATATTTCGGTTAGTTATTGTTTGCTTGTCTCTCTTCCAGTCTTTACTCAAACCCCAATCCTTCAGGCCCTGCAGCACGTCCAGGCCAGCTGTGACGAAGCGCATAAGATGAGGTGCTCGCACACAAAAGAACCTGCTGCTGATGACCTCACTCCTACGGTTGTTGACCTCACTCCCTTGCTCCGCAGGTTCAGCGATTTGTTCGCCCTGGCGGAGGAGTACGAGGACTCTCAGTCAAAGCCCCCAAAGTCACGACGAAAAGCCCCGGCCTCATCGCCTCGCTCCAGGAAAGGAGTGGCTCCGCCCACCAACAACGAGGAGGAGAGTGCTTCCACCAGTGCCTCGGTGCGTAAACACCCCGTACCCGGGTACAGAGCCGCCTTGGGGCTGGTTCAGGTTTCACTGTGACGCTGCTCTGTGTGTTGTAGGAGGAAGAAGACTCGAAGCCCAAAGCACCGAAGAGGAAGCGGAAAGGCTCATCAGCCGTGGGCTCTGACAGCGACTGACGGACCCTTCCAACGTGAACAAGCACACTCCAGCCAACCAGCCACATGACCACAGCGAAGAGGCCTGCGATGGGCTCAGGGACGCTGCGGGCTTCATATCCATGTTTTGAACTGATTTTCACCGACGAGACTATTTCTGTTTCCATGGAAACAGGGACAGATTGCTGGACTCCCATATGGCAGGTCAAAGGTCACTGTGTGGCTGATCTCCCATGATGCACCAGGGGGAGTAACCACAAACTCTTGAACCAAATGGACTAATTTTAACCGTGGACACAATGATGATAATGATAATGATGATGAGGATGAGGATGATGATGGTTATGAGTGTGAACCCTGTCTTTTTTTTTTCCTTTTTTTTTTTTTGGCCCAGCTTTTCTGGGGGTGGGGTGGGACCTTGGACTCTTGTTTTTGGAGGATCCTGACTACCTGCTGTTTTTAGCAGCTCCTTCATGTTTGTTTGACTTCAGTAAAAGATGCTCATCTGTTGTTCAATCATCTCAGATGAATTCTGCATATAAAAGCTGATGGTTTCAGGGCGTCATACGTCTGTTACTTGGGGCTGGGAGGGAGGTGTGATGCTACTCAGGGGCACTACGGCAACACAGAAAAGCATCCTGTTGACATTTTACCATTTTGTGCTTAAATATGTCAAATTACATTTGGTTTGGCTCTGAGGCCTCTGAACTTTTCTAACTTTTGATGAAAACTCAGTCATGTTAATCAACACGGAATTAACTATTTCATAGTCCATGCATCTTTTACACAGTTTGGTAATTACATATATATTTTTTTTAAGGTTAAAAGAGTATCTCATCTGCTTTGGATCTAGCTTCTCACTGCAGAGCTGAGGAAAAGCTTTCAAACGCTTATTTTCTGCCATGTTTCATCGTGAAGCCTTCATTGGTTCTGTGTGCTATTTTAGGATCACACAATTAATAACAAGTGAACAGTTTATGTTTGCAAAAAAACAACCCAAAGGCTATAATCAAAATGAAACAAATCAAAGAGTGACTAGATGTGGGTTTATCTTTGTAATTATAAAGATTATCTGAGAAAAACATGAGTTATGGCCCGGTTTTACAAGTGACAACATGAAAAAGTTAGAGTTGTTTTATTTGCAGGCACGTCCTATTCAATGGCTAGCTAACTGTAAAAAAAAGCCCATTTACTACAACACAGGGATACTTCAGCAGTATCTTTATGTGCTGAATTTTTCAGTGGATGCAGGGTTTGGGTAAAAGTTCATCGCCAATTGTACATCTCATGTGTTTCCAATGTTTTCTAAGGGATAAACAGTTTTTTTGTTTTGTTTTTGTTTTTTATAGACATATAAGCGCCTTAAAGGTGTACATTATACTTTTCTGTCAGTGGAGAGACCTTTTTTTCAATTTTTTTTTTATCTTATAGCAACTTTAATTAAGCTGTTAATAAGGATGTAATTAAAATTTTTTGGTGGTATTTTAAGAGTAATACGCTGTAAAAAATAAAAATGTTTTAATAGATTTCAAAGTGGTGAATACAATATTGAATTGTGGGATGATGAAATGATTGTTTGCAGCTATTTACAGTCAAGTTTAAAATTGAACACTGAATTAATTTGCACCAAGTTGACTTAAACTTTTCCTGATGTGTGATCTTTTCTTTTTAATGTGGACCCTGAACTAGATCAGCACAGGTGATCTGAAACTCTGGGTAGTTCCTGATTGGAGTGATTGAATCCACCTGTTGCAACTGTTATAAACCCCCCACTGTTACCGTTGGCAACAGTCACTGTGGGATAGGCTGAGCTGACTTGTCTCTTTAAACTTTGAAGGAATTTGCTGTAAGAAAACCAACTTCCATATCCTGTTGTTTTGTCACAACAAGAAACTTCAGGTAGATTTAAATATTTTCATTATTCAAATCAGTTCGTGACAAAAAGGTGTTTTATGTTCCTCCGGACCCTCTTTATCTGCTGATTCTTTTTATTCGCAGCTTCCAAAATCATGTCGGCCGTGAAATCCGGATCGTCCTTAAGGTCACTTGTTCTGACCCCCGAGCGGATTCCCAGCTTCCTCCATGTCTCACGCAGTCCTCTCCTCGGATCTCCGTGGCCCCAACGGTGCACTGTAGAACGGACCAGGCTGCTGTCGGACCACGACGATGCACCGGGAGAAAGCCCGCCCGTGACCCCATCAAGCAACGCGTCCTCCGGGCGTTTTCCGTTCTGTTTTCCGGCGCAGCGACTCGGACGTCCTCGCCGCGTCGCCGCTATGGCGGCAGAACCCGCGGGCGAGGGGCCGCGAGCAGGCGTCGAAAAGGCGACGACGCCCAGCTTTCTGGGTGCCGCGCTGACCGCGAGCCGGGTGCAGTCCCTGTTCCATAAGAGCAAACCAGTGGCCGTCGGAGAAGCCAGCCCGGGGGACTCTGAGGAAGCTGCTCACCCAGGACGGTCACGGGTCAACCTGCGGCCCGTTAAGGCTTTCGGCCTCCATGTGATGAGGGAGTTGAAGAGGCCCGCAGCTGCTCTGAAAGGCCTGAGCACCTCTCCCCGGATCACTGCCCCCCGTTAACGGCACTACACGGCCCCCTGACCATGGTGGAGAAAGACTGGTTTATTCTATTAACTGTTTTTATGAATTTTAAATAAAGTGGTATTTTTACAGTCCTGTGTATTTTTGTGTAGTCAATCAGGCAAACTTTAACTTTCTTGGAAAGCTACCCAACAGTACCTGATTTCAAACTGGGTTTCGTCCCTGAACTGGCTTTGGTTTTAGCTGGAATTACTTGATTGTATATTTATCTTGGCTAAGCTTGTAAAACCAGTGCTTGAAGACTCCTACACCTTTTGATTAAACCAAATGCCCTCTGGTTTTGCAAAGCCCACCTAATGGCACATTGTCCAACAGTTTTAACTGTGGGACAGTGGCCCATGAGGACTGGAGTTTGATATCCATCTCAAGAGGGGTTTTATTCTTGCAGGTTACTGCATAATCATTAATTGGCAGTGGGACAATATCAATTTCTAACCACAGAGTTGAGGAAACTCAGGGGCTAATCTCACATGTTTGGAGATGTATACCTGCACCGGAGATTCTCCAGAGGGTTTGTGCTATTGGGTGTTCTTTGCCACATTATTTTATATGCAGATCTCTTATAAGACATCTGCAAAGACTAATCAATTATGTGGATTTTTCAGAATTCTGGCTAAATCCATTGTAAATACTGATAGGAACCAGTATCATTTCCCTGAAAATGCATCAATACAATACGGACACTTAATCTTAAACGTTTGGTTTATTTATGCTTTAAAGCTCCACTTCCTGGAACTGTGAGCTTGTGACGACTTCCGCTGTGATTTGTACGTCACGACAGCGACACCGGAAATGTAGTTTTTGGAGGCAGTTTCGTCTGATGGTTGTGGCGGCAAGAGTGCAGTACTTGCAATGCAGCGTTATCCCCGATATTCCTGTTAGCATAAGTGACACCGGACACCTCGGTGCTGCTTGACCGGACACACGCACCGGGAGCCCCTTGCATTTGGAAGGAGCAGGGTTCTGCGCCACCAGTAGCCGCTAGCCGACTGGGGAAGTGTTAGCTTGCTAGCTGATCGATGGAAAACAGTGGATACTTTTAGAGGACCCGACGTGAGTTAACGGTCGGCCACTAAGTGAAGCCAACTGAACGGCCGTCGAGCGTTACTGCCTGCGCGTGTCCGAGGATTGTAGTAGCTGGTTTTGAACCGCTGCATTTTCTAAATGTTTTGATCTTAACAGCACCGGTTTTACAGCTTCACAGTGTGGCTGCAATAAACTGTAAGTAAAACATTCACTTTTCTCTCAGGTTAAACACATTTGAATACTTCAGTCTACTTAAAAGTACACCTATACATTTTGTTCTTTAGTTTAAATGCACGTAACAATATATATATATATATATATATATACTTTTCTAAAGTTGAAATGACTTTTTCCTTCATTTTTTTTTGTCCTTTTCATAGAGGTTAGAGGTCATGTTTCTCCACAATGAACCCGGTCCGCAAACGTCTCAAACTAAGCCCGTCCAAACCAGAACAGTCTCCAAACAGCACCAGCAGCTCCAGGGCTGCTCAGAGCCTTACTCTGCCAGAAAATGATTGCCATGACGCTTCCTTGTTGCTGCCACCAGCCCCCGCCTCTGATGGAGCTAGAGGTGAGGATGAGGAAGAGGGCTACCTTCTGGTGGAGGAGGACACCACAGATTCAAGCCTCATCATCACTATGGGTAACACACACACACAGCCATATATATGCATATCCGTATATATCCATATCACTCACCTGAAATGTCCGCCCACAAACCAATCAGTCATCAGTCCCTGATTGTCCTCACTGGATTTCCACGCACTCCTGTCCTTCTCAACTTAAAGCAGGTTTCGACCTGAAACAAAACCAGATCTAAATCAGCAAACTCAACCTTATTACACAGAAAGGCCCAAACAAACCAGTGTTTGTGTGTACTATAAACTGAGATGTATCTCTGTCTCAGATGACAGTCAGATGGAGGTGAAGGCAGCAAGAAGGAAGACGGTGAAGAAGAGGAGGAGGGCAGAGGATGAGGATGAGAAGTGCAAAACCTCTGAGACAGAGGAGGAGGAGACAGGAGTGGAAGTGGAAATTGACCGACAGTTGGACCAGTCACTAGAGACAAAATCCAGACAACACAATCTGACCACAGTGAATGTCAGGAACATCATCCATGTGAGTTCACTTGCTCGGACACATCTGAGGACATATTTACTGCTGGCCTGTACTTATCTGTTGTGTGTCACACTGTCTTAATATCCATTTCTGTTATTTTCATTAGTCCAAATACAAACACCAGACTTCAAGTTAAATAAAAAAATCTAAGTGCTATGTTTTAGGGATGAGACAGTGTTTAGCCTACTGTTATAAAAAAATCAGTTGTGACACAGCGAGTGCAAATCAGTTATTGTAGTTTAAAGTTTGACATTTGACCTACAGGAAGTGATCACCAACGAGCATGTGGTTGCCATGATGAAAGCTGCTATTAACGAGACGGAGGCAGTCCCACCATTTGTGAGTCACATTCTGATAAGTTCTAAGAGTAAATTTAATTATAAATCAATAATAAAACAATAATGAAATACATTTTTTTTGCCTCCTTTTTACTGTTAACAGCTTTTTTTCTCTTTAGGAACCCAAAATGACTCGATCCAAGTTTAAAGAAGTGGTGGAGAAGGGAGTGGTGAGTTTGCGTGAAAAGTTTGATCAATTTAGGTAAGAAAAACTATTTCTGAAATGTGTGTTTTCCTGTCAGGTTATTCCCACCTGGAACATATCTCCCATCAAGAAAAGCAGTGATCTTAACAAGGTAAAACCAGAATAAAAACTGTAAAAACTGGAATACTTATTTGATTTCACCTTCAATCCCCAAAATATTTAATTCTTTCCCCTTATTTTCTTTTAAATTTGTTTTTTAAAACATACTTTTTTGCTTTGTGCCAACATTTAAAGTTCAAAGGAAAATGAAACATCTCCTCACTGTAAGATTGTGGAAAATTGAATATTCCCTGGACATTCGCTTTCAGGCTCCACAGTTCGTGGACATCCCTCTGGATGAGGAAGACTCTTCTGATGAAGAATATCGTCCTGATGATGAAGAGGAGGATGAGACTACTGAAGATGTGAGGCCCTGGCCAGACTTCAGCAGAGCTTTACGCTGACCATCGGGGATTGATGATTGATGATTGAGTGGTTTGTGTGCAGACGTTCCAGGAGAGCGACATGGAGAGCTCGGCTTCGTCTCCGAGAGGAAGTCGACTAAATCGAGTGGATGAGGACAGCTGCAGCCCCTGGCAGGTACCAGCTGCTGGGTGTCTCAACCTGAGCCCAAGAATTGGGACCAAAACCGTGCTTTCATGACTTTCTTCGACTGACTCTCACCACCCTTCTTTTAGACCTCTCGGGTTCAGTTCAGACGATTCAAGGCGGGATCTATGGGACCTCCACCTCCCCCCAAAGCCCTCCCCCCGAAAGCTGTGACTGACAGCACCTTCCTGGAGAAACTTCATGCTGTTGAAGAGGAGCTGGCCGATTGTTTGGAGCCCTTCCAGGTAACAGCAGTCGTTTGTACCCACCAGGTTTCTTTTTTTTTTTCATGGGGTGCCGGAGTCGTCCAAGTCAATGGAAGCAAAATAGCAACTTCGCTTCTGCTGATTTCATGTGGTAACATCAGTAAAAAAAATTGTAAAAAAAACAGACACTGGGAGGGCTCAGCTGCACAGGGCAGAAAGGAAGCGTCTCCAATACGACACAGAGGAATGAAGAGATTATTAATTCTGTTTCTCTCAGCCTCTGTCGGAGTCAGAAAATGAGGCGGGTGTGATGGCATACCGGACTCGGTCCAAACGTCCTCTCCGGGATGTCCCGTTGGGCCGTCTTGAAGCAGAGCTTCGAGCTCCTGACATCACCCCAGACATGTATGACTCTAGCTCCACCCACGAGGACAGGGAGTGGACTGACTGGCTGCGAGGCTTGATGAGTTCAGATGTGGACAATGAAGGTGAGCGTCTTTTTTAAAAGAAATTTATTATTTTATTTTTTTGGTCGGTTGTTTTTTTCTCATAGTGGCAACCCAGTTTCAGTCTGAAGAAAAAAAAACCTGGTCACCACGGTATAAAATATGCAATGAGAGCCATTCAATTACTCCATTGGGGACCAACCTGAGTGTGACTATTTTATGAAATTTTTTGAGGTGGAATACCTTCTGTGGGCAGAGTACCATCCTATACACATAGTGTGATACTGACTCTATGTCTGTTTTGTTTTTTTACCAGAGGAGTGCGATGATGAAGATGATCCAGAGTACAACTTCCTGGCTGAAATCGATGAACCAGATAAGGAGGATTACCGTGACGACAAGGCTGTGCGCATCACCAGTCAGTACACACAATTAAAACACACAGATGTTAAGGGAAGGGGTTTGTTAATATTGATAGTTAAAGCTGAAAGATTCCACGTCTCACGCGATAGGCTGATTGATTATAGTTCATATTTGCAAACTGTGTTAAAGCATTATTAAAGTTATTTCTTGTATGCAAAGCTTCTCTGTCCCTGGACTCCACGACATTGGGCTGCTGAAACAGCTGAAATGTTCAAATCCATACCTCAACCTTGCTGTCATATTTCAAACTAAGTCTTTTTTAAAGTCTGTGTGAGTTTGTCGTGACCTCTGTTTTGTTCTGCTGAATCTTATTTTTTCATTTGTCTGAGGTTAACATCGGAGAATTACAGATTCCGCCTCTCTGCTTTGTCTTTGTACTCCAGAGAAGGAGGTGAACGAGCTGATGGAAGAGCTGTTTGAAACGGTACGTTTCCAACACCTGCAGTGATCCTGTCACACTTACGGATACACAAACATATTTGTGGATACTCCTACACATCAAACAAGCCAGTGGTGATGAACTGAACATTAGCAGATTGTATTTCCATTTTCAAAAACTTTTACCAGCTAGTTTACCCTTGATATCAATAATTACTTTTAATGAGAATTGATAACGTATATAATTCTTTCATTTCATCAACATTTCTTTTTCACCTGGCTTAGATGTGATTGGCCAGATGTTTCCTCTTTTTTCTTCAAACAGTGAATTCACATATTAAAAGTCTTGCCAGTATTTGATTTATATTCCAGTAATTTCTCTTCAGAATGTCTGCCACAGTTGTTGTTTGCTTTCATTCCTCACCATATTTTTCCCCTGCCCAGGACAATAATTTCTTGTGGGTAAAAAACATTAGTTAGATAACAAACATGCTGTGCTCTGACAACACTACTCAGTCTGGTTTATACCCTCCAAGTTAGTCAGTGAAAGCACTTTTCAATCATGTTTGTCTTCTCGTTCTTTGCTCCTGTTGTGTAACTGTGTCAGTGCTGGTTTGTTTCTGCACATCAGTTGAAAGAGGACCTTGCAGGACAGGAAGTAGATGACGAGGGTCACGATGAAGAGGAGGAGCCATTGGAGGAAACACAGACTGCTCAGGCAAACCCATTTGAGGAGCAGCACAGCGTGTATGTAACACCGCACAACACAGGCACACAAACTTAGACATTTGTGTGTCTGTCCTGGTGACTTTTTTTCCGTCTCTGTCTCAGAGGGCCATCGGACAATGAGCCAGATGAGCCGATCACGGAGCTGCGTACAGTAAGGCAGCATCTGGCTTTGATCAGGAAGAGGCGGCAGACGAACACAATGTGCAAGAAGCTAGCAGAATGTCAGGAACCGTACACACTGAAGCTGAATGCTCAGCAGATGAGAAGACTACAGCAGCAGCTGCAGCAGGTACATGTTTCACGCGAAAGGAAAGGTTCACTTTAGACTATGTCCATCTGTTCGCCGGAAACTAAGTCAGATAATTCTTCTCACTCTGCATGTTTTTGCTGCTCTCAGCATGTCCAGCTGCTGACTCAGATTCATCTGTTAACTTCACCTGTCACCAGGCTGCACAGTGAGGCCGAGACCACCAGACAGTTTCTGGTAACTCACACTGTACAATCTTTTTTTTCTGAAAAGGAACAAGCTGTCCTCAGTAATCAGCTCCAAGTAATCTAAGCTAACTTTCTAATAAACGCAAATAAGATGAATATGTGTGTCTGATTTGAACGTTGGTCTCCTGGAAGTATCGTTTCCTGACAGTTTTATTATCAACAGGATGGGCTAAATGTTGTTTGCTGGTGAAATACAGAATAATTTATCATCCTTTAGTCTGTCATCAGAATAAGTCTTAAAATGTCCTTTTGGTGGTTCATCTTTCAGTTTGAGTTGGACATGCTGGCTCAGAGGGGTGAGCTGATCCGTTCTGCAGGTCATCCCACTTTTTGCAGCGCTTTCAGAGCCTCCAACCTGCAGGGGGCGCTGAACCTGCTGGAGGAGCTGCGGCAGAATCCCATCACCTACCAGCCACAGCCCCGGTTACCCGATGCCAGAGGACACAGTGAGTATGCTGCAAATTTGCCGCAAAACCACCTTTTTTTTAAAAATGTCATTGTTTGTTTTGTTTTTTAACTTGAGGAAGAAATAATTAAATGAAAACAATTTAACTTAATGACCGAACGTTTTGGTTTCGTAAAACATACAAAAGTTGAACACTCCCCCCTCCTCTGCCTCCGTGTTGCCAGTGCGCTGTTTCCCCGTCCTGCCTGCTGAGCTGGCTTGGCTCTTTGCCACTCGTCCAGTGTTCCTCTACCCGGAGCTGCTGCCCTGCGCAAGTCTGGATCCCGCTCTCTACTGCCCCCGCAGGACGGCAGCTTTTACTCCAGCTGAAGACTGGTAAGGCAAAGAGAAAGTCAAACATTCTGGGAAATTTCCTTTTGGAGGAAATGGACAGTCTCGTGTGAAGGAAAAACTAGTCTCATCCATCTAAAGGCGAGTGTTTGTCTTTGTGCTTCATCAGCCTGCTGGTGCTTGGCCTCAGGAACATGGAGGGGTCATGTGATCCGCCAAAGCTAGTGTCGCAGTTTTTGCTGCGGAAAACTTTGGTTCAGGTCCGACGGCGAATCCTGCAGTGCTGTAGACCTGGGTTCCCAAACAACATTGTTAAGGTAACACACACACACACACACACTCAGGTGTTGTGCGCCGACGTATAGATGCGCTCAATTTTGACAGCTGTGTGCCGTCTGCAGGCCTTCAGGTATCAGCAGGTGCTGTGGTCCATGCCGGTGGCCTGCCACCATGTTGACCCAGATGAGCAGCGCCCACCTGTGGAGAGGGAGGAGAGGGTCATGCCTCTCTGGCTCATGGTATGAAAAGATTAGAGAGGAAAGTCAGCCTCTTTCTTTTTCAAAAAACACCTCTTTTTGGGGGGCTGTTTTTCAGCCTGTTGCTGATTCAGCTGTGCACATAACGCCACCAGGTCATTCAACAGCAACTCCCTGTTTTGTGAAGTTTTTTTTAAAAAAAAAAAAAAAAAGTAAACAGTTACCCCATTCAAATTGGATGAACATTAGAAATGTAACCCCTAAACTTAACGTTCTCTTATCATTTGCCCAATAACTGCCTGACTGAAAACTTATTTAATGAACAAGTATAGTGTTTTCAGCACCTTCATCATATCTCTCAAAATCGGGTAGATTTAACTATATATTAAAGTGGTGCAAAGGTAGGAAGTTTGATTTGTGTTTTGGAAGTACTTTTATTGTAAAAACTGTTAGATTTGTTGTAACATAATACCCAAATGGCGTATATGAACTTCATTGTGCTTGTTATCTAGGAGCACCTAGACTGCTCCTCATCACTACTTTGTTTGCACCTAGCGGAGCCTTCCTGTCATCTATCCAACCATCAAACACTTCAACTGCCCGTCTGGTTCCGCCCCCGAGGCCCCGCCGTCCTGCCGGAGGGGGAAGGCCCGTCAGAGCCACCTGGCCTTTCTGCGCTCCTCCAGCACCTCCAGCTTCCCTCCCGGGACCAAATACCCGCCTCGCCTCCCCACCAACCTGGACTTCAGACGAATGGGGTTTGTTGCTCTGCAGCAGCCCCTCCCTGAAGCCTCCTCTGACTCCTGTGCTCTCTCTGACAATCCAGTCAACGTGCCCCCCCCCTCTCCGCCTCACCCGCTCAGTCCTCCTCGGGTCCTCCTCCAGCGCCTCCTCCTGACCAGAACCGACACCCCTGCTGACGGTACAACCGCCTCGGCGGTCTCTATGGAAATCGTAGAGCAAATCAGACGCCACTCTCGTACACTGGCCGGACTGAGAAGGAGAAGGCCATCTGCCCCTCCTCCTGCCGCAGGGAAACCCCGCCTGAACCAAAAAGAAACGAGGAGGAGTCATGATGAAGCCACTGCTCCTCCCCCTGAAATCACTGCTCCCTTCCAAGAGATGGGCAAGGATGTAATCAGCATTAATAACGAGGAAGGAGTGGTACAGGAAGAGGGCGACATACTCTTGGCTCTCTCTGAATCTTCGCCCAGCGCCACAGGAAGTGTAACCAACAACGACGACCCGGCTGATCATAAGGAAACTCAGTCGGAAAGCGAACAGGAAGTAACCGTGCTTCCATCTAAAGGGGATAAAAATGCTGATGACGGAGGAACGTCTTCAGATGAATCTGTTGTCCAGTTACAGGTCAGATTTGCATTTCAGATGATTAATGTTGATTAATGACGCGTTGGTGCTGCTAGGCTCTTCAAAGAACAGACCCAATTTCCGACCCAATGGGGAGTCATGGGTGACAACCATTCATAAATCGTTCATAGAAATTTTAATTTGATGCTTTTGTGCATCTTGTTTGCTAAATGAACAAAGAAATAAATTATAGTTATAAGACTGTAGATGTTTCGTGAGGGAGTCGTTCGTTCTGTAGATTTAAGATTTGATCTCCGTTTGCAGGAGAAACAGTCGTCAGAAGAAACCGAGGAGGATGACGAAGATGATCAACGGCAATCGGAAGATCGGGTGTTTGCTCAGGATTATCTTCAAAGAGTAAGTTGTTTTACATTTTTTACTGCTATTGATGGGGTTGGAGTAGTATCGCGCTAAATCATCTGCGAGTGTTAACGGGCTGGTTTTCCTCTGCAGGTCTGCCAAGCGGTGCAGGTGTGTCCAGGTCTCTCAGAACAGCTGTTGCAGGTTTTGGATGAATATACAGCAGCGGCCCCTCCAAAAGCCCCCGAGCTCTTATACGACACGCTGAGCCGCCTGCTGACACAGTGGCCTCAGCTGCTGAAGGACTTTGCCGCCTTCCTGAACCGCCGACAGGCCCGCAGATGTGGACTGGTAGGTGGCGTCACAGTGACTCAACGCGGTTCAACTTGGATTTGGATACAGCCTCTAAAACGTAACCCCTCTGGCCAGATGTTGGAGCAGCAGCTGTTTGAACGAAGTCGCAGGTTGCTGCGGCACCTTGGACGGAGTCTGGGAGAGAGCTCGTCCCTCTACCAGGAGGTGGTGTCTCTGCTCCAGGGAAGCTCCGCCCCCTCTACTGAGGACATGGCAAAGGTATCTGATGAGCTTCAGCATCCTCAGCTGATCACCACTTTTAAACCTAAATTCTAATTCTAACTCTAAGTTAGAATTTAAGTTAGGTTTGTCACTAAAGAAAATGTGATTATTTATGTTGCAAGTTTAATAAGTCGTGACTGACTAACTTACTACCCAGCACACCTCTTATTTGGACCACACAATTTCAGGAAGATGCATATCACAGGAAACTATTTCATTCAACAATTTCGCTTTCTTCCGCCAGGTCTCGTCTTTGCTCAGAAACCATCCAGACCTGCATGCAGAAGTCCAGGACTTCTTCCAGCGACTCCACACCTCCTCGTCACCCGTAGCAACCTGTTCCAAGACAACAAAGATGGATTCTGCAAAGAGAGTAGACACTCAGGCAGGCAGTGACAAGGAGGCTGAAGAGAAGCGGCGAGCAGTTTGTGCCAAAAACATCACAATGACACCCACTGGGGAGAAGGTGGTGGTCTGGAACCGGTGAGAACAGCACACACAAGAGAGTATAGGAGCTGCATACTGCATCTAGGAGAAGTTGATTTCATCACAGAGATTGAAAAATGTACTGGCTTCTCTGTCCTTTGCAGTAACAAACCCTCAGTTACATGAACACGATGTCCAGTTTCTTAACTCGCCACTGAAAACTGTGTTTGTTTGTTGTTTTTTTATTTGCATTTCTGATCTGGAAACAAAACCTCTAAAAACATACAACATAAAGATAATGTTAATGTCATGTGTCAAAATAGTTTTAAACATATTGTGGAACACAAAAAAATTAGGAATGAATTTTTAATTTATTTGAGGAGCCTTAAAAAAAAGAGTTTAAAAAAAGACTGGTTCTCCGGTTTCAGTGAGGCAGACCGCACCATCCTGACAGCCTGTCAGCAGAGAGGAGCCAATAGAAAAACATTCAGACAGGTGTCCACCCAGTTAGGAAATAAGACCGTCCAACAGGTGAGAAGGGGCCACGTATCTCTGAGGTACCCAAAGATAGACGTCATTTTTAATTTACGTTAGATTCTGTCCCTTCAACAGGTTCAACTTCGTTTTGAGGACCTGATGAAGCTTTTCCACTCGTCGTCCAAAAACTCCACGTTGTCCTCAGTGGGCCAGCCAAACAGAAGAGAGGATGCAGTTCCAGACTGAACAAAGAGTCTGTGATTGGCCAGAAAAAGACAGGCGTCAGTCCTGAAACTGATCCAGATCAGCTGCTGTGGGATCAGAATGAATTTATGTTTGAAGTTCAGTCAAGATGTTGTGCTGTTAGTCATATTTTAAAGCTCATGGAAAACATTATCTATACCTGACCCTCTTTGAGAGATTGGTGTGAAATCTGTTGCTCTGTTTTTTTGGTTTTTTTTTATTCTTTATTACCTTAAAGAGTTGCTGTTTCTTCAGTCTGAATAGATGTGGGAAAATTGAGCTCTTTGAGGATAATGCCAGTTGGGTCCATATGTTAAAACCACTTGTGAGATTTATTTATTATTATCTACTTTATTAACAGACACTTTCAGATCTTTCGAGATCTTTTTTGTCATCAGTAAAATTTTACAAATTAGTTACTCCATAATAGCAGAAATTCGGATTCAAAAATAATTGGTCTTCCCTTGATGTACTCGGGGGAAACTTCTAAATGATTCTCTTGTTTTCTAAAGGCTTTAGTGACACGTTGTTTCTGAGGAGTGGGAAAGTTTTTTTCCAACGTTCTGTGAAGGTTTTGCTGAAATGTTTGTTCATTCATATTGAATAAGGACAAACTTTATTCTAATTAAAAAAAACATTTCTTACATTTGTGTTTTCAGTACTATTTTTTTTAAGATAACAATTTTTCCCTAAACATCAAATTGATGTACGTCTTAAAGAACTTTACAACCTTATGTTCAATAAATTGTCTATTTCCAGTAAGTTTTATAAATGAGAAACTGTTTACCATCAATATAACGGTTTCTCATTATTTTTTTATTTATGCATTTATAATTGGACAGAGAGTGACTACTACATATTAAATTTGAAATAACCTTCCCATTAAATTTTCTTGTGTTCTTCTGTTCATCGGTGTTTATAATTCAAATAATAATTACGGGGGTAAAATTCCCTTCTCATTCAGAAAAATTGGAAGCGGAGGAAATCGTGGGATTGGCAAGATAATTGAACAATCACGCAGTTACATCACATCACTTCAACATGCTTTTGGACCAATAGAAAAGCAGCTTTCCGGTACTCTCTCCATGTGTCCCGCCTTCTTTCTGACAGCTGAGAGAGGTTGGACAAAATTTAAACGAAACTACCGGAAATAAGAGTTATTTCGCAACAAAATAAAAGCAATAACTTTCCTGCTTTGACTCAAAAACGGATTGAACTTGTGAATTTGTGCCTTAATCACAAGTTAAATTATTTAAGTCATTAGAATGATGAGTTCATATTTAAAACCTGGTGCAAGGTTTCTTGTTCTTGGCTTTTAGAAAGGCATTGTTGTTATAATAAAATGTAATATTTTGAAGACTCAAACCGGAAGTCTTTACATGTAGACATATCTTAATGTTTCGTGCTGCAATGATTCTAGCCCTGTGAGATTCCCGTTATTCTTTTTGGATTTTGGATTTACCTGTCTCAGTCAGCTATTTATCAGTTTCTATAATGGTGGGAGCTGTCTGTTTCCTTCCCGCCGTCACGGTGACGCTGTTGTCTTGCTTTCCTGTCGCCATGTCTTCGCGCAGAGACGTGTTGGAGCTCGGAGACTCGGACTTCGACTATCTGGCAGCTGAGCACGAGACCATGCTTGTGAAGTTCTACGCTCCATGGTAACGGAGCAGCTTCTGCTGTTCTGCATCTACCTCTGAAGCTACCAAGAGATACTCTTTTGTGTATATATTGTATTTTTGCTCCTGTGGTAAACTGCTCTGCGTTTTGCCGTTCTCCATCTCACCTCCGGCTCCCTTCTCTGTGATTTCTCCTCCATTCGTCTCCTTCTTCCACTGCACCTGGCCAGCCCTATTTGCACATTCAATCTTTGTGGCTACTTCCTTGTCGTTCATTTTTAAAATAGTTTTATTTTTCTTCTCTCAGGTGTGGTCACTGTAAGAAATTAGCTCCAGAGTTTGAGAAGGCGGCAGCTAAACTGAAGGGAAGTGTTCAGCTAGCAAAGGTAACAGCAGCTCTATTGTTACGGTGTTCGTCGTGGACAAAGAAAGAGAAGATCGTCCTAACTGTTTCTTTGACATTTCCACCAGGTGGACTGTACCGCTCAGTCAGAGACATGCAGTCGTTTCGGAGTTACTGGTTATCCATCTCTGAAGATCTTCCGGTATGGCAAAGACTCCGCCCCCTATGATGGACCCCGCTCAGCAGGTAATAATGGGAAAAGGACCAATTAAGCCAAAAATTGGAAGTAATCTGTGTCTAACTCTGTATGTTTGCAATCAGATGGAATCTACCAGTACATGAAGAAGCAGACTGGACCAGACTCAGTTCACCTGAAGACCAAAGAGGCCTTTCATTCCTTTGTCAACAACTATGATGCAAGCATTGTTGGTATGAGTCTGATGTTACTTTACACAAATCAGACTGATATGATTTTGTCAAGATGTGTCCGTCTGCCTGATTTTGGGTCCAGTATTACTTTTGTGTATTTACAGGTCTAGATGTCACTAGTGTGTGGTGCCATGGCAGTGACGTGGTTTGTTTTTGTCTTTGTCAGGCGTGTTCTCAGGCTCGGACAGTTCTGGTCTGGCGGAGTTTGTAAAAGCTGCGGGTCTGCTTAGAGAACAGTTCAGATTTGCTCACATCACCGATATGCAGATAGCGGAGGGGCACAGCATTGACACTGAGTGAGTTAACAAAGGGGCATCATCACGGAACAGTAACAGAGTGTTGAGTATATTTTTTAAAATCTCTATTAGTTTTATTGATTAATGTGATTTTGTTGATTTTATAAAGCACAAAGTTAACAAAACCACACTATTTAATCAAATAGGATTAAAGATGCTTTCCTTCTGTGTTATTTTTCTGTAACATTTATGTAGTTTGTTATCAATACCTGTCCAGGAGTGTGCTCCTGTTCAGACCTCCCAGGCTCTCCAGTAAATTCGAGGACAGTGTTGTTGTCTTCAAAGATTTTCTGACCATCAGCTCTCTGAGACGCTTCATCAGAGATCACATGTAAGGATCTTTTACTCGTCCCATCACTGTTACATCCTGTGAACATCAGAGAAGCTGCTGCCACATTCTTCCCCCCGTGTGTTTGTGTGTGTAGCTATGGTGTGTGTCCTCACATGACAATGGAGAACAGAGATCGTCTAAGAGTTCGTGACCTGCTGACGGCGTACTATGACTTGGATTACCATCACAATGTCCGAGGGTCTAACTACTGGAGGAATAGGTAACCCACACCTACAGGTGACACATGAATGCAGTTGTCAATGATCGGAGGTTAAAAAATTTATAAATGAATTTCTTGCCAATAAGTCATTTTGGCAATAATTGCTTTTTGGAGGAAAATATGTTGTTTCCACCTTAAAATGTATAAAAGAGTACAGTGACAAGCTTTCCATTAAATAAAGCTATTTCAGTTTTGGACATGTTGGAGATGTTTGCTCTCTTTTTCCTTCAGTCTCGAAAACAAACCTCCTCAACAGACTAGTTTTATGTCACTCATGTTTACTTGACTCAGACTGTTAGCTCCATCTTTAAATGAGGGTTGACTTTGGTTGTCCAGGTCCTCAATGGTTGTAGCATTGAGGAGCGTAAGGCAGAGAAAACTATTATAAGTGACACATATAAACATTCTGTACAGGAAATTATTCAAGGGCAGGGATATTTTAGCCCCTCTTCTATGTGTGTTATTCCCAGGGTGTTGAAGGTGGGATCTAAATACACTGGGCGGGGCCTGATGTTCTCAGTAGCCAATAAAAAAGATTTCCTGGTTGAGCTGGAGGATGAATATGGCCTGGGGATGTCAGACGGAGGAGAGCTTCCCTTTGTCATCATCCGGACCAAACTGGGCCACAAATACATCATGAGGGAGGAGTTCACGTAGGTAACAGGGCTAAACCCAGACACATGTAGGCTAAAGTTGAATTTATTAATTGTTGCTGTCTGTGTTTCAGTGAATTGAAAAGTGAAGCCATCCTGTATCATCATGTGCCATCCTTGCCTGTTTGGCAAGAGAAGTGTCAGATTACTGAAGGTGGTGTTTGTATTTTAGGAGGGATGGACAGTCATTGGAGAGGTTCCTGGAAGATTATTTTGCAGGTAATCTCAAACGCTACATCAAGTCAGAGCCGGTACCAGAGAAGAACACTGCAGCTGTTAAGGTGAGAAGAGATGTGTGCGAATGTTAGCAAATATTTGTGAAGTAAAAAATGCCCTGTGATGAAGACATCGAAAGGGAACAAACTGTTTGTTGTCATAGCGACCTCTGTGTGTTCTGCAGAAAGTTGTTGCCGAGTCCTTTGATGACATCGTTAATGATCCAAGCAAAGATGTCCTGATTCAGTTTTACTCTCCCACCTGTCCACATTGCAAGAAACTGGAGCCTGTCTACAGAGAACTAGCTGAAACGGTACTGAACTTTATATGTATATATATACATACATTTATCTATACAGTACATATTTAAAGGATGTCTATGTGTGTACAAAATACAGTACAAACATATCTTAAACCTTCCAAGTGAGAGTCTTTTCTGCTCACTTTGATTGAGATCTTCAGTAAAATCATACATGAGAGTAAACGATTATTATACTAGAGGAATGATTTTACTTTATGATAGCTTAATTACTTTAGATTAAGCTGTGTGTTTATTAAAGTGTCACAGTTTCCCTGAACTAAAGTCCAAACTTTCTTTCTTTTCTTAGTTGTATGCTGAGAAAAACCTTGTCATTGCCAAGATGAATGCTGTCGATAACGATATTCCGTTGGGTTACGATGTCCAAGGGTGAGGATGGGGACTTCATATGCATACTCCAAACAAAGATACATATTGAGTGCTTATATTGATTTTAATGGTAACTTTCTGCCCCTCTCTTCAGGTATCCAACATTTTATTTTGCTCTAGCAGGTAAAAAGGATGAGCCTATCCGATACCAGGTAACAAACAGCTGAATAAGCTCCTTTCACATTAGCCTGTTGCTAAATCAGTCATTTAATATCTTCTGCATTTTTTTCAGGGCACACGAGAGCTCAAAGACTTCCTGAAGTTCCTGAAACGTGAGGCAAGTCACAGTCTAACGGTTAGTGGGTCGAGGGATGAACTGTGACACGGACATCCACCAATCAGGCCTGACTAACAGAGAAAAAAACCTAATGGTCTGTGTTACCACAAACGGGTGCACTTACTCTGCAAGCAAACCTGTATATGAACCAGAAATGACAAGGAAGGACATCTTCTGGCTGGTGGTTCCTGAAAACAATGTCCAAGATTCCTCAACTATCCCCAGCATCCCTACTCATCATGTAATACAGCCTCTCTGAATTTATTCATCTATGTATTTATTAATATAATGATGGATCCATTGTTATTGACTTTGTTTATTTAATTGTATTTAATGTTAAAATTAATGCAACTTTATTTGGTGCTGTTTTGTATTTATTTATTTATTTATTTATTTTAACCTCAGCAGAGACTGTTTGTATGTTTTGTGATAAACCGGTAGATCTATTCTGAGTCTTTTTTACTGTCAGAGAAACTCTACTGGGACTATTAAATAAAGCAACGGCTGTCTTATAACAGTGTTCACTGACTTGTGACTGTGATTCTTTGAAGATAAACTGTGCCCAAAGACATTTGTGGCACATTAAATTGTTAGCAAAGAAAGCCCTGATGACATAACAAGGTTTACTCCTTGAAAAATATTTCGACTGCATCATTATTGCAATAGAAGAAATTAAGTTTCTTTATCCAGTGTGGTAGACAATTCTATACTCTTTTTAAAATGTTAGGAAATAGTAGCTTCTCAATTCATTTAGATTAATTACACAAGTTTGGGTTAATTTTTTTTTTTATTCACTGCAGTACTCATTCCTCCCAAAAGGAAAGGGAAAGTTTCTGCTTGTGTGTTGGTGATGTTCTTTAAATATAATCTGTGGAGTAACCTACAGTTCATAAAGTTCAGCTACATTGGTGTCTCTTGTATGGCGCCTATGTCTATGTTAGAAGTTACAGCAAATTCATTTGGCTTTTTTAAGTTTGAGTTTAATGCAAGCAGTGTAGATTGCTCAGATCTATCCATAAAGTTTGATTGCAAAATATTATTTGCAGATATAAATTACACGATGGAGACAAAAGCTACGTGAATCAATATAATCTAGGATTTTCCTGACGGACTAATAGCTTTAAAAGGTACCATTTCATAAAGTAAACATATTACAATTTTATTTTCATAAATAGTTTTTATCTCTTGAAAATCGTAAGAAAAAAGTTTTAATGGAGTGTAGTTACATTTCTCCATAAAAGGTAGATCGCAAGAAAATGTTATCTCATTCACTTCATTGGAGAGGACTTATGTCAATCATATTAATACTTTTAGCTGATTGGCCACCTTCAGATGGTCCCCCTTCCCCATCCTGTGAGCCCTCCCTCTCCTCGTGCCACCCAGAACCTTCCAGGCTACTGCTGTCCGGCACGCGCTGTCAAAATGATGGGCCAGCAGGTTTTAGTGCTTAGTAAGTACAAAAATTTGTTCAAATCTAAAGCTTTAACGTGTTTATCAAATGTGGAGGTTGAATGGTGTCGCAGGACTGTCTGAGTCGTTTCTTATTACAGTCAGAGCGGGTCGGCTGCGACACAAAGCCGGGACAAGCTAAACATGTGCTAACCTAGCTACAACTGTTGGTACTAAAACACATAGCCGAGCAGTGGCACCATCCGGCTGGCTTTAGCATCGTTAGCCTTCGCCTTTTTGCTATCGTACTCGTGCGTGCTAGCAGACAGTGAACGAGCAGCTCCACCCAACCGGTTTTTAGCATCTTAAGATCATGCGCATCTTAGCGTGTGGAGATGCTATGCTAACATTAGCTAATAGGTCCCCGTTACTCAGCATAAAACCTCCGCTGGAAGGCTAAAGAGCTTCAAAATGAGTTTTCTATGAGTAGTTTTAAAACTGAAAAACTCCTGAAAAAATTACAAAGCGCAGTTTATATGTTTTGCTAATGTTAGCCTCCAGCTATTATAGTATGTAATGTGCCTGAAACTCAAATAATGTATACTCTATTAAAGGGATTCATGATGAGAGAGGATTATGTTGTAATGCACAACTCGTTATTTCAATAAAAGCTAGACATGTTTACTCTGAAAGATATATATATATAGATATATTTTTGTTAAAGTTATTGATAATTTTAAATTATTTTAGACGTTTGATTTATATTGAAATCATTATTTCAATTTAAATAGTATTCAGTCTAAGGTGTAAAGTTGCACTAGCATATTGGAGAAAGTATTTACTTATTTATTTTTCACTTGTTTGAATGAAGTAAGCTGTATTAAGTGCTTAACAATATGAAATGCCTTTTTCCATGTTTAAATTAACATATGCAAGCTTGAAAATGGTTATGTTTGCTTGTATTCATATGGTTCATATAGCTAACTTTTACCTCTGGCTGTTACTGCTAATAGTTGCTATGATTCAATAGGAACTTCCACCTAACTGTCTGTCTCTGAATAAATTCCCCTTGCATTAAGAGTTGATGTAATCTGTCATTTTCCTGCAGATCAGAATGTGAAGAGAGAGTCTGGACGTAAAGTTCAGACTGGAAACATCAACGCTGCAAAGGTAGGCATCTGCTGAGAGGCTTTGTATTCACTTTTTAAAATAAAGTTTATTTTTCTGTCCCACGCTGTGAGCAGTTTTTAAAGGAGCTTAAAACTTCACGTTTTTCCCCGCCCGTCATTGATTGCAAGCATAGAGGATAAAGTAATATTTTCCCAGAACCATATTTATTGGCCAAGTATGTATTCACATACATGGAATTTGATTCTGGTCACTTTTCTCACCTGGACAGAAAAATGAGAAAATTCTACTCGTATGTTTGCATTGATGAGTGTTACCTCGTGGAAAGATCACAGAAGATGAGCCTAAATCCTTTTTGTGGAAAAGCTGAATGCAGTGGAAAGAAATGGATGCAAGAAATCCAAAGGCATCATCTTTCTGGTGTTGTGGAAACTTTATAATGGTAACAACAATAGGAGGCAAAGAAAGAGCAGAACTATGATGGTTTGTTGATAAATCGTTGTTGGAGCTAGTGAGTTGAACCACTGCTGTAACCACATCTGCTCCAGATGCTCCAGTTTTTAATAAGATCCCACCTGGTCGGGACTTGGAACCAAAGGAACCCTTTTATTTGTTCGGCGGCTGACGTTTCTGTTTATTTCAGACCATTGCAGATGTGATAAGGACCTGCCTCGGCCCACGGGCCATGATGAAGGTGATGTAGAATCAGCATATTTCGCACTTGTTTACTGTAATACCAGGATCCCAACCCGTTGTTTCTGTTTCTTTGTGTAGATGTTACTTGATCCCATGGGAGGAATCGTGATGACCAATGATGGAAACGCCATCCTCAGAGAGGTTTGAGGCGCACTCAGCATGCCCTTTACATAACGTTTAAGTGCATGTTGGCTCGCATCGGGGACATGTGGCTGCTAACCTGCGTTTCTACGGCAACAGATTCAGGTGCAGCACCCAGCAGCCAAATCGATGATCGAGATCAGCCGCACACAGGATGAAGAAGTGGGAGACGGGACCACCTCAGTGATCATACTGGGTGAGATGATTAGAGTTATTTGTACTCATCGGAGGCGGCCTGCGTCAGACAGGGGGCCTCGCTTGACATCCGTCTGTGTGTCTGCGTCTCAGCCGGAGAGATGCTGTCTGTCGCTGAACATTTTCTGGAGCAGCAGATGCACCCAACGGTGGTCATCAGCGCCTACAGACAAGCTCTGGAGGACATGCTGGAAACTCTGAAGGAGATCAGGTACTCTTTAAGGCCTCTCGTTATCTTGCAGACCGCCATCCCAAAATGACAGTTTCAGCGGCCTTAACATGACGTGAAACTCTCGTGAGGGAGGATTATAGGCCGATTTTTATGCCTGCTTCTTCCCCTGCAGCACCCCTGTAGACACGTCAGACCGCTCCATGATGCTGAAAATCGTCCATTCGGCCATCAATACCAAAGCTCTGAACCGCTGGTCAGACCTGGCCTGCGGCATTGCGCTGGACGCTGTTCGAACGGTTGAGCTGGAGGAGAATGGACGCAAAGAGATCGACATCAAGAAGTACGCCAAGGTGGAGAAGGTAGGAATACCAACCGCCTCCAGCCACTTCTGAGAAAACCACGCTGGAGAGGACAAGCATTATCCGTCTTAGAGCTCGCCCTCACTTCTCACGACTCTGTTCAGGTTCCAGGCGGGATCATCGAGGACTCGTGTGTGTTGAAAGGAGTGATGGTGAACAAAGATGTAACACACCCTAGAATGAAACGGATGATCAAAAACCCCCGAATCGTCCTGCTGGACTGTTCTCTTGAGTACAAGAAGGGAGAGAGCCAGGTACGACGTGCCGTTGCTAACTGTGTCATTTGTCCGCAGCGCAGTGTTTAACTCTCACCGTGTGCCTGCAGACCGACATAGAGATCAGTAAGGAGGAGGACTTTGCCAGGATCCTGCAGATGGAGGAGGAATACATCCAGCAGATCTGTGAGGACATCATCCGGCTGAAACCAGACCTGATCTTCACAGAGAAAGGCATCTCAGGTGTGTTGCTATGCCGATGGCCGAACAGCAGCATAATGGCCGCCTCCCTCAGGCCGCCTCTATGTTCAACCCCCCCTTTGTGCGTGCTCAGATCTGGCCCAGCATTACCTGGTGAAGGCAAACATCACCGCCATCCGCCGCGTAAGGAAGACCGACAACAACCGCATCGCCAGGTCCGTTGGTTCTTTTGGCTGGAATCGGGGGTGCAGCGGCCTATCTGTAACCCCACTCTGTTTTTTTTTATTTTTCAGGGCATGTGGGGCTCGCATCGTCAGCCGGACAGACGAGCTTCGCGAGGAAGACATCGGTTTGGGCGCGGGGCTGTTTGAGGTGAAGAAGATCGGAGACGAGTATTTCACCTTTATCACCGAGTGCAAAGACCCCAAAGCCTGCACCATCCTGCTGAGAGGGGCCAGCAAGGAGATCCTGGCGGTGAGAATAATAATAATACATTTTATTTGAAGGCACCTTTCTTGGCACCAAAGGACTCCGTACACGGATACATAAAAATGCATTAAAAGATTAAACTATAAAAATCAATAAAATTGACAGAGGCACTGGCAATATCCTTAGGCCTCAGATAGAAAAGGCAGTCTTAAACAGATGTGTGTTTTGAGTTATTTGAAATGGAGGAGTGAGTCGATGTTTCTGAGAACCGATGCCCCCCCCCTCCCCTCCCCCGGTGAGGCTGTGCGCTCTGACGCTGTCTGCTTCTGCAGGAGGTGGAGAGGAACCTGCAGGACGCCATGCAGGTGTCCCGCAACGTGCTGCTGGACCCCTTCCTGCTGCCAGGTGGTGGCGCCGTGGAAATGGCGGTGTCAAAGAAGCTGACGGAGCGTTCCCGTGCCCTGACCGGCGTGGAGCAGTGGCCGTACCGCTCCGTCGCCCAGGCGCTGGAGGTCATCCCCCGGACGCTGATCCAGAACTGCGGAGCTTCCACCATTCGTGTTCTGACTTCACTGAGGGTACAAAACACTTCGATCACGCTCCCAGAAGCCAGAAGAGCAGCCGGTGAACATGTAGTCAGTGAACATCAGCGGCTTTAATTAATGAGTTTTTGTTTTTTCAGGCCAAACACACTCAGGAAAACAGTGTGTGTTGGGGCGTCAATGGAGAGACCGGATGTCTGTGTGACATGTCGGCTCTGGGAATCTGGGAGCCTCTGGCTGTCAAAGCTCAGACCTACAAGACTGCCGTTGAGGTGAGCCACAGCTCATGCAGCCACAGCTGGATCCGTTCAGAACGGTACCGATGCTTAGAGTACTCTGCTCTGCTGCCTTGTGTTTACAGACGGCCATCTTGTTGCTGCGTATCGACGACATCGTCTCTGGCCACAAGAAGAAGGACAAAGATCAGCAGATGGGAGGTCAGGGAGCCGAGTAGACCCCTTTACATCCAGCCTGACCCAAAACAACTGAAGAGTCACTCCAACAGCGCATGTGTGTGTCTGTATGTTCGTATATGTGTGTGTGTGAATGTTTGGGGACCAGAAGACTCAATGAAACTTAATAAAGATAAAGTTCGGAACCTGATTCCCCTCTGCTTTCTTTTGTTCCGATTCTTTTTTTTCCCCATCTCATTACAGATACAGTTTACAAAGTGTATCGTACACATAGAGATACTACAAGGAGCCCAATGAATTCAAGGTACAATGAAGGTTTTGCCAAATATAGTTGGGGCCATAGGGAGAATATGTAGTGGTGTGGTAGTTGGACGGGGAAGGTTAATCATGGCACAGAGTCCAGCTGGGAAATGGCTGTGGGGAAACGGTTCCTAAACGCTCTGGTTACGGTCTGAAGGCTCCTGGAACACCTTCTGGAGAAAAGAAGACTGAGCAGGATGTGAGTGGTCTAAAAGCTTAAAAACAACCATAACTCCAGAAACCTAAAATAAAAACCTTTTGTTTCACCCCAGAAAATGTTAAATTAGTTTGAAACACAATCTAACCTTGTTTTTGTGTGACTGTGGGGACCAGAAAACTGCTCCTGAGTAAGGCATCCAGCCTTTACATACATCCATTACTGCTTCATCACCCACTTTCATTTCGCTTTCCTTTGTTTACGTATTCGTGATGATTTTTGTTTGTTTTTTTTGATGGAAATCCAATTTCATTAAGGTGTGGTTTTGCAGTTCGCTCGCAAACAATGTGTGACAATTTCTTTTTGAAGAAACAACACAAATAAAACATTTGGCAGTTATTAATGCATGTTTGATAAAAAAAAAAAGTTTTCAGAAATCAATTGAAACTTTTTATGTTAAGTCACTGCTTTACAGAAGTAAAAGAGATAGACTCCGCTCTCTTTGTGTGGGGGGGCGGGGCCTCAGCAGTCAGCTGACTTTTAGCAGGAGGTCATGTGACCCGCGGAGCGACTCGGTCACAACAGAGATGGCGGCGGCTGCGTTGGACAAGCGGAGCGGCGGAGTTTGTGTGTTTTTACTTTCTTTTGTTTTAATTTTGTGTCAAACCTTGGTCCACGGAGCAGAGCCGTACAAGAGACAGGTAAGACAGCGAAGTAAGCCTGTTTAAATGGTTTCAGCTGCTCTCTAAAAGATTTGAAAAAACAAGAAGAGGGAGGAAGTGAAAGTATCGATCAATCTTAACGTCCAACTGGCCTATAAAGATGGAAGTCTTTGTATTCTTTCTTTAATGTTTTGCCTTCCTATTTCACTGTTACAGATAGTTATGTGGGGTACGAATAGTAAGATTATTTTAAAATTAATCTAATGTACCGCACTGTTAAATATGTTTTAAATCTTCAAATATTCGTATTTAATTTCCTACGTATGATAGTTTGGTGTAGTTGACTTTCTGCAAGTTATTTGTTAAGGTATTTACACTACTTATTTTTCAAACAGAGTTGATTAAATTATGCTAAATTTAATTATTTCATTACTGCTTCTTGTTTGACTTGACTGGAACTGAACTGTGGAAGCAGAGTTTAATAAACTTCTAACATTGTGCTTCTCAAAGCTTGAAATCGTTTGAATATGACGTCAAACGGATCTGCCAATTAAGTAATTGATCAGAGATGTTGTTTATTAAAAAAAATCTGTAAATAAAGTATTTAATAAACTGGATTTAATGTTATCTAGGCCGTGTGTTTTTATCTAAGTTTTTCTGGGCTTTCCCCACGGGAGACTTTAAAATGCAACATTCACGTGACCTGTTAGATACTGATAAACACCAATAACTAATCAGTGTAGGTGTCAAAACATTTGAATTTCCTTTAGTTGATAAGACTGTTTCTCATCTTTTAAAGCTTCTTGCACTTGATCAATGAACCGCTCAGTGAACTCCTTTTGATTAGTAAAAAGGCGTTTCCTTTCTTTCCCCCCCAGCTGTCTGTGCAGTTATATCCAAACTATAACTCGACGCCCCCTGGTGGCGACCTGCTGCACGTGAGAGCCGTGGGAGATAACGACACGCTGCACTTCCTGTTCTGCAGCCAGGGGGCGCCAACGCTGCTCATCGTCCACACCAACACGTCCTCATCCACCATGAAGGTCTGGCCGCAGGTTGCTCCGCCGAGCATCTGTTTGGATAGTTGGAATTCTATGTTTTATAGTTTAGGATTCTAATTTCCCTTCGATTTTTCATCACGCAGTCCTCTATACTGAATAACGTATTAGTGTCACAAAAAGTTGGATTTGTTGTCATCTGAGCAATTCAGATCTAAGGCTTCGTTATGCATATTTATCATTTCTATATATTAAGGATATTAAACAGTGCACGTGTTGACGTTGAAGAGACCAACATCTGGCTTATGTAGCATTGACATCTGTGGAGTTGTAGTTCGCATGTACTATGCTGCAATCAGTGTCTCTCAGAAATGGGATTAAGGAGTGCATGTGAAATCAGAACAAGCTTTATTATATATCGGTCATTTCAAATGCTTTGGCTAAACAAAGTGCTTTTAATTGAGACGCTGTAAACAATTTAGAAAAAGGCAAACCTAAAATAACTGAAAGTAATGATGATGTATGGGGTTTTGAACATTCCGACACTCGTGTATCTGAGCAGAGATCTTTGTCTGTACAACTTTTAGGTAAACTGGCCGGAGTTTTGGGCTCGTAACACCAGTGGCAGCCTGACTGTGGAGCCACAGAGCAGCGTCCTGTACAGCAGCGCCATCGTCCTCAGCAGGGTCAGGAACGCCTCCTCGCGCCCGGTCAGGTGTGCTTGTGTGTGCTTTGAATGACTCTTTTTTTGTGTGTGTCTCAGCTCTTGGAGTACGATGACGTAAACGACACGGCCGAGCCGACCTCAGGCTTTTTTCCTCCGTACGAGCTGAAGGACTTCCACTGGCTCCCCCTCAGCCTGAGGAGTCCCACGGCTCTGCTGTGCGGGGCCGACCCCGCCTTTGGGAACGGATCGCTCTGCCTGGAGGTCTGTTTCCATGGTGATCCACATCACAGTGCTTTCAGTCAGCTATTAGATTATACAAACGTTACATGACTTTAGTTTCTGTTCAACCAAGTAACGTTTTTATCATTTCTGGATCGCATCCCGTCGCAGTTGTCAGTGTTTGACTCGGAGGGGCGTGTCCAGACTTTGCCCCGCCTCCTCCATTCTGCCAACTCCTCCCAGCTGGATGTGTGGCTTGATGGCATCTTGCCGCGGTCCTCTAACTCCCGCTTCCTGCTGGAGCTGCAGTCGGTGGGCGGGGCTTACCCTCTGAGCAGAGTGGACATTCGGCAGTCCATCGACGACGAGTTCACGCCTTCGATATTTAAAGTGAGTAGTGGGATTTGTCGGTCAGATCAGAAAACCGAGGCGAACTGTAGGGTGAAAAAACATGGTGTAGCATCTGGAAATGAAAATGAATTGCTTGAGTTACTAGTGTTTCATCACCTCTGTGAAATAACAGTTGGGGTGTTGTGATGCCTGCAGAGCATTAAAAAGGAGGTCAAATTGAGAAACTTTAAAATGAATTCCGAGTTGCATTAATGCACCCTGAAAAACTCATGAATTTCTATTAGATGGGTTTCTGGACTTTGAATTAGTTTTTCTATACATTGTGACCATTTAATCTTGAATAAGAAAAGAATCATTAACTGGATTTGTTTTTTTCTTCTCCAGGTGTCTCAGTGGGTTTCATCAGTGAACGGCAGCTCGGACGTCCTGGGTTTTGTCCAGTGGAAGCCGGTGGCGTACCGCCACACCCAACCTGTTCTGGAGGACGCCACGCCGTGCCGTCACTCTGACCCACAGGCGCAGAGCGGGGAGGCGGCTGCCGCTTCGTCCGGACTCATCCGAGCCTTCTACTCGAATCCAGAAGTCATGGGGCTGAACATGAGCTTTGGCCTCGCCGGGGAGCCGTTCTACAACAGCTCCAGGTTCCTCAGCTGGTCAGTATCTCCTTTGCGGTGTGCTGTTGATCGGTCAGAACCAGCCCATAACCGCTGACCCCCCCCGTGCGTGTCCCTTGTCTGCTGTAGGACCGTTCTGGTGGGTGTCGGCTCTCCTCCCGTCGACTCCTTCTCTCCTATGGTGATCACCATCATGGCGGTGGGTCTGGGGACCCCCATGGTCCTCCTGCTGTTGGGCGGAGTCTGCGTCTGCCTCCACAAAAAGAGGGCGGCAACAGCAGCCACCTACGAGCCAATCAACTGACAGCTGAGTCATGGCCAAGGAGATACCAGACTCTTTAAATGGACAGTTCTTTTTTTTTTTTTTAAACAGCAGATTGGTGATATCGCTGTGACGGACAGCCAATCAGGATGCGCTTTTCTTTTTTAAGGTGCAGGCTTCATCTTGTCAGCATTGTTCTGACTTTTATTTCACCGTCAAAAATGTAGAACAGGATCGGAGAACCCCATGAGATTTACAACTGACGACATTTGAATTTTTGGGGAAGCCTTTGTAGAAATTACTGAATATTCAATTATCCTGTACATTTTTAAAATTGATTGTTTCTATCTCTAGTGTTTAAAGTCAGTCTGCCTCTGTTTTCAAATCCCATCGGAGGCTCTGAGCTCTAATACTGAGGATGCACGCCTCTGGTAAGACTCACATTTATATTTTGACATATAAGGGTATCTTATCCCCAAACGGCTTTGTTTTTATTGTATACATTTTGGGAGTAAATGTTGCATGTTGGAGGACTGTATTGGGACTAGTGTGAGCATAAGCTACAGTCTGTTTGGAGGGTAATGAGGATCGTGACCATCATCTGATGGGACCTGCAGGATTTCACAATGACCCGACAACGGGTGAAAACGACACACCAAGATTATTTCAAACGTCACAACCAAACCGTGTCAAATTTAAAAATAGCTTTTGCCCTTTTAAAAAAAATAAGAGAAAGATTTGACATTTCCTTTCAATAAAAAGTGCAATATGTAAATTGCTGGTTGTCGGCTGTGACTTGAATCATTTTAATGTGTGGAGGATTAGTTCCTCTTAGGCTCCTCCTACGTTAGTGAAGTGTAACAGGACTGTTGTAAAAAGCCACAAGTTTGTGGTCAAATGAAATGGCCAAAAAAGTAGTGATTTGTAGTATCTCAGCTTGTGAGCAACTCCAGCACCAGAAAAGTTAGTAGTTGACAGTGGGTCAAACTTTTTATTTGTGCTTTTGGGTATTTGATCAATTATATGTATAAGACCAGAGTTTGAATGAAAACAGCTACTTTTCAGCTTCTGTTCAGTTTATTTTTGTCGGAGACTTCACAAAGAAACAAAAGCAGAAAATATACCAAACTGTTATGTACAATAAAATCATCTGAACAGAGTCTTCAGATGCAGCCTTTAAAGACTCGAGTGTTTGACATTGAGCTGTTGAATCAAAAACACCTTGAGGAAAAATTCACATCTCAATGAGCCCAAAACCTTTTGACCAATTAGAGAAACTGAAGATTATGACGTCACTGTCAATAGGTTCTCAAAAAACATGTGTGGAAAAAGTTGTTTCACTGCTAAATCTTTGGGTCAGAAGCCAATCAGAACCCATTACGTCCTGAGATTTAAGCCAATCAGGGGAAAGATGGAAAGATTTTCAAATAAAAAAAATGAGACAGATGAAGTTTGGTTCTTTTATGTTCTTTTTCAAAGGAACCAAGCTGCAGAAAAAAAGGTCAAATGAATGCCGCCATTTTGTGTTGTGATGACATTCATACAGGATTCTGCCAGCGGTCACTTCAGCTCACTCTGACTGGACATGGTGCGATCGAGACCAAGGCCTCACGTCGGGAATCTTTCTGTTCAGTTCAGCTCCAGTTCTCTCCTGGGTTTTTGTTTCTGAGGAAAAGTTTGATCCTTCCTGACTGAAGTTTACACATTGAACAAACAGTTTTAGGGTTCGTCGTCCATATTTCACGACCCGAGTTTTAGTGTCTGTTTCCGATTTTAGCTGGGAATGAAAAGTGGCTGGTGAAGATGAGCGTTAATGGATGTCGAACTGAGCTGTAAATCTCAAAGGTCTTTCCGCTTCTCCTCGTCATGTTTATCAACTCATTTTAAATAAAGTTCAGCTTGAAAACATCACCCAGCTCTCTGCAGGTTGTGTCCTCAGTCCAAACTGAGTCTGGCTCAGTTTTCGCGCCACCTGCCGTTAAAATACTGCTGTGGGATAAAAACCGGACGAGGTCCTGGTCCTGGGGCCGGCGGCGTCCTAGATGGACTCTATCTGGCGGCGGACCTTTTCGGAGGCCAGGCGGTCTAGCCAGCGCTGCCGGGCCACCACCAGGACGGCGAACACCGCCATCAGAGCCAACATGGCTGCCTCGAACTTCCAGAAGAGATGCTCCTCCATCAGAGCAGAGCGGCAGCTGGAGGAGGAGGAGGAGGACGGTTAGTACCTTCATCCTATAAAAGCTTTACACCGTTTATATTGTTTGACTTCCTTTGTGCTTTGCTCTGAGGTGTTTGACCCGTTTGTCAGTGAGCTCAAATAAACTTTTAATTTCATGAGTCAGCTCCAAAAAAGCAGGAAACCAGATGGGAAACACCTGTTTGCACACCTAATACGTCTGACTTATTTCAGCCAAACTAAAGATCTGCCTAATAAAGTCCAGAGTTCTCTGAAAGGAAACCTTTTTGGTGATTTTGAGCCCAAACTTGGTTTCACTGATGATCAGCAACTGACCTCTTGTACTCTTCTCTGCTGGACTTGGTGCAGTTGACCTTCTCGGCATATCCCGTCTGCCTGCAGGCCAACTGTGACCTCTGAAACACACACACACACACATCCTTTACATTATGTCTGGCATTAGCAGTCGGTGGGAATGCTTTTGTCATCTGGTGAATTACTCATTCGATTGCAGCCAATCAGAATGTTGAACTAATTAACTCAAACCTGGACAACAGGTATATTTCTACTGTGTTTTAGAACTGAGTAGAACTTTAGAACTTTAGAATTGAGTGCTATGGACATGTCAGTCCAACTTCTGAACATGTTTGCTTAGCATCAGCAGCTAAGATCTGAAATAATTGTCCTTTGTCCTTTAATCTTTAGGAGGCATTAAAGGACAAAACGTGTTAGTATTCCCTATTCAGGATTGATTTTTGTTCTACAAGGACATAAAACTGTGCATTTACTTACAGAGTTGAAGTCGCTGCAGCGGACACACTCGTCCAACACTATGAACTCTTCCAACAGCCAGCAGGGGGTGGCCACGGGCTTCACTGCTGCCACAGAGGAACAACAAAACGCTCAGACAACCAAGTCTACTGGCAAGTGGACTGCAAGTTTTCACACAACATTCGAGCTAGAAGAGCTGAGCGGAGTGCGCTCCTACCTGTTGTTTTCTCTTCACTCAGCAGAGCTGCTCCAAATACTCTGAAACACAACCACACGCACATTCAGTTAGGGCCTTCATCAGCCTAATCCCAGTTACTTTTAGTACAATCAAAACAACGACGACCTGCCAAACTCCAAGTGTGCAAAAGCCTGTTGAAACTAATGCGCGGACTATAAGAGATTCCTACAAAGTGCTGTTCAATTAAAAAAAATAAAACTCCAGCATGATAAATCAGAAGACACACTCAGTCAATTGTAGAACTCAGAGGATTTTAATTGTAAACATAATATAACTTTAATTACAGCAAATTGCAGCCTAATTTATCTTTTTTATTCCCCCAGAGAGAGCACGTATTGTTTTTTTTTTCTTTTAATTAGGATGAACTAACCATTCAAAAGATGAGGCAGACATGAAAACTGAACTCAGAGTTACACACAATTGCTTCCAGGGTGAGACATAAGTACACCAGAAAAAAGTAGTAATTTTAAAGAGTTATTCTTTATCCAGATTTGTTTCACCTTTGGAATTTAGTGACAACGGACTGCCCTCTGACCCCCGGCCAAAGACTAACCTTAAGGAGACGAGGCCCCAGAACAGGGCATGGAGGAGGAGGACTCGGGGTCGACAACAGACAACAGGGATCCGACAGTCACTCTCCATCAGTCTTCCTCTCCAGCAGGATGACACAGCAGCCACCCTGACACTCTGCAGCCGGCTACAGACCGGTTACCGACTGGTTCTGGACCAGTGTACAGCTTCACACTCAGATTGCTTTCTGTCCCTCAGTTTACATGGTGCTCCCTCTGAACAAAGGGCCCTAAGGCGACACCCAGCTAACACCTGAAAGACAAAACAGCAGTCAGTCCAGGATGTCCCAGTTCACCTTTTGTAAAACATTCAGTCTGAGGCCTAATCAAATTGTTTAGTAAGATGTTTAGTTTCCAAACTACTATCAGACCGGCTGACTGTGACAAAGATTGAGTTGATAAATCAAGATTAAGAAAGAAGACAACTGTTTATTAAGAGACCAAGTTCCGTCTTTTTCCTTCTTCTGAATTAAGAATAACTTTCTTGGTTACGGTTACAATATTTCCTCAAACTTCTTCCTTTCAGGTGAGACAGACACTAGATCGAAAATTATCTTGGTGGAAGGATGAAGATTCGTTACAGACCTGATCAGTTAGGAAGTCAGATGAAAAACTGTCTGCAGCTCCCTAACCAACAGGTGACGTGATATTTATGATCAATAATCAGCTGACTGAAGGTCATCTATTGGCTGATGATGCTGAACAAACTCAAAACAAAGACCTCAGGCGCTAGCAGAGGAGCTATCCGGCTAATTTAGCCAATAAAAGGAAACTAGATTTCCTTTTTCTCAGTCTGAGTTATGGCTTGTGGCGAACGCCATGACATTCTAGTTATGCTAACGTCCTGTTAAGATTTACACCCTGTGAACATGGTGTTTACCTACAAACACGGGCTAATATTAGCTGAGCAGAGCTGAACTCCAAATACTGACCGTAATCCGCTGGAACAGTCGCCATTTTGGACTCGACGTTGGGAATGAGAAGAAGGGAGACCGGTTTAAGACGGTCGATGACACAAAGTGGCCGTCAAATTGGCCTTTAAAGAACGAAAACCGGTTTCAATTCAACATTGACTCCCGAATCCGTTCATGGCCTCAAGCCTATACAATGTGGGGCGAAAAGGGAAAGAGAAATAAACCCAAGCACCACTTCCGGTGAGATTTCTTCATAAAAAAAGCCCCTTTCTTTCTGACTGACTGAGCTTCTTGCTTTCTTTTCAGTTAAAACTTATCATTGTTTAAAAAGTTCTGGTCAAACAAGTCTCAGTTGTTCAAATTTGAAACATTAAATTGAATTAAAGTTAGGGAACGTGATTCAACCAGTCTCTGTACACCCAAAAACAGGAGGTGCGTTCACATCCTCTCTAGTCTGTGAACCTGCCAGATGGTCGTTTTGTCTCTAATCCTGTTTTTGGTCTTCCTGGTGAGGATTTTGTGGCTTAGTAGGCAAGACAAGGTTTCTAGTTTAAGGAAGCTTGTCATTTCATCTCTGCTTTTTGTGAGCGGTGCGGTTCTGTTGGTTGGTGTTTGGGCTCATAATAAGGTCAGGGGCTTAAGGAGTCTCGGGGGGCTGAGAGTGGAGTCAGCTGAGGTGGTTCAGCTGGATGCCTGCCACGCACCACCATTAGAGTCCAACTGAGCAGAGAACCTATTTAGAAGCAGTACAGGCGGGGGGGACTCAGCTCGGACAAAATCAGTAGGGAGAGGGAGTTGGGCCTGTTGTCTGGAAGATAATAAATGTGGGTGAGAATTTGACCATTTTGTGCTGTTTGAAAAATTTTTAAAAACACCCACCGAGGCTGTACCCTGGTTGTGACACTGTCTCGATGAAGAAGGTACGTTAAGAGGTGGCGGGATGTTTGTCTAATTCTGTGTGTCACACCAAAAGGTGGCCATGAACATTTACTCTGAAGGTATACGACTGTCACTTCCTTTAGTTTCCACGGCCAGCTGGAATTGGAACTGTTGGCGGAAGTCAGTAAAAACGTCAACACTGTCTCTGTAGCGCCGCCGGTGGCGGTTATGAATATTACAGGTGCGTGTCACAGCTCCATCTGCCAGGAAGGGTTGTCAGCACATCCAGCTGTTTCATCAGCACAGACCTGCACTCATGATAGCTTTTTTACTCAAGACCGCTCTGCATCCACCCAGAGATGTTTCATACTATAAACCATGAACATTTTAATACTAAATCGTTAAGTAGACAGCAGCTATGAAAGAAAAATAACCAGAATTTTTAAATAAACCATTTTCTTACATTTGATGAAGGGAATTTTATTAAAGTACAGAGGACACAGTTTTCATTACAAAAGTAATTCATGTTTACAGAAGTGTCTGTGTTTGTCATTTTTCATTCAGATACTGTGGAGAAAGAAATGTGAACACCTGGAACCCCGAGGGCACGGGCACACCTGACCAGATGAAGTCTTTTGACTTTTCCACCAACTTCGCCCCCAGCAGAACTTCTCCAGGTTACACTGAAAGGAGGGATGATAGTGAGTGCCAATTCAGTTTGTATATGTACATGTTGGCTGTGGTTTAATTTAACAACTCCATTAATTATGATGATTTTTTTGAATGATTCTAAGAAGCAGTGTAGGTCAATCTCTGTGCGAACAGAATAATTACCAGGATTGTGACTCTTCGTCGCTTCAAGCGTCGACAGATTCCCGGAAGCCGCCTTACACCATTTTTCTTTAGAGGGGTAACAGTGTTTGACTTAGAGTTCACAAAAACATTTTCCTGAAATGAGAAAAGAAATTGCATAAATTATTCTGATCTTTGTCTTACCAGCAGATTGTTGCAATTAGCAGAGTGCATTTTGGTAACTAACAACTAACCAACGACATCTACACAATGTACAAAGAGGGGCCAGGGGCCGATTTCCTGAGGTAAATGGAAACCATGGCTGTATCAGAAGGTGTGTATGGATTGTATGTTTAAACCCATTCACACAGTAGTTTTGACAATGTCACACAACTTTGATATTGTCTATAATAAGTACAATCAATAACTTGGTGATGAGGTAAGTGGGATAAACATTATTAAGTTTGTTCAGTGGGAACACGCAAGTTTTAATACGTGACTACAGTGACAAATATGGACAAAATACTAAATTTACCTCAATTACAGTTTAAAAAATATCTTAGCAGGAAGGTACACAAAACAGAAATCAGCAAGTTGTGTCATTTATAGCTTCAGTATGTTTTCCATTACACTGATGGTTCCTGAAAAGCCAGAAGGTTCTTTGTTTTACCCATTGTGCCCTTTTTACATCTTATTCTTCCTTTTTAAAATATATTTTTTTCTTATTTATTATTTTGTGAATTCATGTGGTTTTATGGAAAGATATTGTGTTTTTTATTTAATTACTGTATCTAAGACCTTAAATTATGGCAAGTTTTTAGAGTTCTGAGTTTCTGAAGGACGTCTTTCATTGCCTAAACTTCTACACATGTTCAAGGAAAATATCGGGATCTTGAAATGAATGCTGAGAAAAATGACAGAGGTTCCTAAATAGGACAACTCCTTTTACTTAATGCCAGACATGTGCTGACATGCCTTTGGTGTTTTTGCTATGGTCCTGATTATGTTCTCTGCTCTGAATGATCTGCCAGATAGGGAGGTGAAAATGTTTCTTTGCTGCCTCACATCTCTGTGTATAGGATATCGCCATCGACTCTCTGGTCTGACACCATACCACTGCAATGAGATCCACAGAGCTTGGTTCTGCTCCGTTGCAGTCAACGGGATTGCTTTTAAGAGATTTGACAAATTGCGAGCTTTGCTATGATTTTTAACCTAATTTCGCTATTAAAATGCTGCTTGTTTTTTCCCCCTTTTTTTGTCATTACAGCTTCTCCGTGAGTTCAGACTCAAGAGCAGTTAGATGATGCCCCCTCCCACCAGCCTGCACCTGTCTTACCTGCAGAGGTGGTGATGCTGGGGTGAAGTCTGGCAGGCTGCAGTCGGCCCTCTGCAGAGAGCAGATCAGCAGCAAAACCACTACACACACATTCAGCTTCATCTGCCAATCAATCAGTCAGTCAATGCCGTCCAAAAATTCCAGATTCTTCTTGGACAACAAACAGTGGCTGTGCAAGGAAAAATACAAAAAAAAATGTAACAGAAGGGAAAACGATAATCCTCTTAGTCTGGTTTAAGAGTCACATGACCATGTGATGACATCAGACTGATCCCCTTCAATGAATCACTGACACATCATAGATGTAACATCATTGTCAGCTTGTCCAGCCCTTGTAGTATTAGGCTGCACCGGTTCTGCTGAAGGAAACATCAGAATCCACTCGCTTCCATTCGTTTTCTACACTCAGTGGGGTCTTGAGCCCATTCCAGTGGTCATTTTATTTTACAATCTGCTGGTTTTCTTAAACTAAGAAATGTTTTAAGAGTCTCTGTATGAATTGGATGTCATTTACTTGATGAACCAGAAATGATCAGATTTTGATTGTTTTGTTGTAGTTAATTGGATTTAATGTGATTTGGCACTCTGATCATAAATAACATTGATTTGAAATTGATCATCAGACAGGTCACACCCTGGTGAGGTCACCAGTCTATCCAGGGCGACATCACTCCCACGAAATCAGCGGGTCCACAAAACCCATGAATCAAAAACAAGAAAATGTTAATATTTTCGTGTTTTGCTGGAACATTTGTAGTCACCAAAGACAGATTGAGCTAAACCCACCCAGAACCCCAAAGCCTTTCACAGGGAACAGGTCAGTAATACACCTAACCTAACTCTCATAATTTAATTGTGAATGAATGAGTTCACCTGTAATTTCCTGGTCTGACATGCTCTAGAAAACGTCTACAGGCAGCAGTACTCTGTTTGCAGCTGCTTTGGATCCTCTGCTGAGCGGCAGACGCTGATGGTGTAGTAGTCAATCTTTACTTGTGATCTTTTGGAACAGAAGCTGCAGTTGAAACATTTCTCACTGGGGTGGATTCTCAAATGAGCCTTCAGGCTGGCGTTCCTGGTGAAGTTGCAGTACTGACACCTCATGTCCTCAGACATGTAAGACTTTGAACTAACCACTGATGAAAAGCTGGCAGGTTATTCGCTTTAAATTTCTTAAAGAAAAATATATAAGACCCAAATTAATTTTCATTCAAGGCAATATTCCCAGTGACTTGTTGATTTTAAATTGATTTTGTGCCAATGGGGCAGCAGGATTTTATGTTCACATCTGCATTTCTTTCTTGCATTTGTGGGTGTTATTGTGAACTGTGTTCAGAGAAAGAGATTTCTCTGAGACGTCCTGAGCCCAAGATTTGATTTCCATGACTAAATCAAGTGTGTTTTTAATGCAGTGCTACCTAAATAACTTTCCTCTACAAAGCCAGAATATACAGCACTTACATCAAACAGGTGTTTTATTTCCTGCAGTAATCCTGAAACCTTCTGCAATAATGGCTTGTCAATATTTTCTTGGGATGTTTAAAACACATTTGGCTTTGGTTTAACTACAATTCTCGAGTTGTCCAGCAGAGGATGGTGCTCAATTAAGTTAGTTTGCCTCAGTAAATTCAGCATCCTACAGAAAAATCATTATATCATATTGTATTATATTATCAACCCTAAAGATATTTTTCCGAGGCTTTTTTAGGGTAACTCTTGTGATCTGTTAGTATTTATCTGTATCTTCCAGTTTGACCATAAAGGTATTGATTTTAAATGAGTGGTAAATTAGGCAGATATTTAAATGGCAGCCTTTTTAACTCACTGTGTGATCCAAAAATAGCTCTCAGGTGTGATGAGTCCTCACTAAGCTTATTCATTGACTGACTGATGAGTGCGTTTGGTTGTATTTCTATCTTTGGCTGCAGGTCTATGTTTAGCCTCCCCTGCACCTCCAACCTCCCCCCCCCCCCCCCCCCCCCCCCCCCCCCCCCCCCACCCCACCCCACCCCACCCCGCACCATCACCACCACCACCCCCTCCACCCCACCCCTCCACCCTCCACCCGCCGACGACCAGCTGATCTTTGTTGCACGTAGTTCCGTCGTGTGTCGGTGGCCCCGCCCCCTTTCGATGGAGGATTTATTTATTTTTCTCGCCCGTCTCTTCCACCGTCGCTGCTCCCCGTTAAAACCGACCTAAAAAAATAAGAATAAAAAAACAAAAACCCTCCGGCGGGGAGAAGGCTGCGTCAGCAGGTCGGGCGGGACGGGACGGAGGTTGGGACCGGCGGCCCGGACCGGTAGGAGCGAACGATGAGAGCTCACGTCCGGGCGGAGAGCCGACGGGAGCCGCCGCCGCCACCACCGCCGAAAGCCCGAGGAGGGGACCCGACCGCCGAGTAACAGAGCCGAGAGGACGCCGCTGCAGGAGGAGGAGGAGGAGACGACGAAAGGGGTGGTGGTGATGATGGGTGGATGCCTAGCGGACGGACGGCGGCATGAGCGGATGAACAGGTAGACGGTGCTGATGGCGGGTGACGGCGCGGATGGAGCCCTCTGACCGCTGCCGCCTCACCGCGGTCACAGAGCTGCACGCACAGCCGCCCAACGCTCCCGGAGCCCCGGACACGGAACACGATGAACACTGCGCTGCTCTGCAGTCCTCCATAATCACCCGCGCCACCACCACCATGATTTATTAGCGGTGCTGACGGCCCTCAGCTGCGCCCGACTGGACTGACCGGACCGGCTGGCTGACCGCGTCCTTGTCTCCCCGCGCGGCTCGCTGTCGGGATGTCTGGACCCACCGGACCCGCACCGTCCGCCGGGCCCGGGCCCGTGGCCGGGGCAGGGGCCGGGGCCGGGGCCGGGGCAGAGCCGGACCTACCGGACCTGAGCCACCTGACCGAGGAGGAACGGAGCATCATCCTCTCCGTGATGAAACGACAGAAGAAGGAGGAGGAGAAGGAGCAGAGCATGCTAAAGTAAGTGGAGGCTCAATAGTTAATAAACAGTATGGTGGCCATGGAATAACATGATGTATAACATGATGTATAATCCAAACCAGGGAGTGGTTTTTAAATCTATTTTTTAGCTACAGCAGATTACACAATATATGGAAAATGAAGAGAACATGTCTTGTGGCACAAAAGGAATGTGACCTTTGACCTCCAGTAATATCTCCATCTTGATTAAGATGATCCCATGAACATTTAGAAACTCTGCTCCAGTAAAATAAATGGAGTTCTATCAGCTGAGTCTACAGAGCGAGGGGGAAAATCACATGTGTCCTGACAGCTTGTGGAAATGTGCTGATTAGATGAGCAGAAGTGTGATCTTGAAATTTTCTCAGGACGCTGAATGCTGCAGAGAACAAATGGGTCTGAGCACAGACACAAGTAGACAGAGTTCCTGTGAATCTCGTCTTTGGCGTTGGAGAGGGAAACCATCTCCTGTGAGAGTGGATGAGAAAAAGCAGAATGTGTGTGTGTGTGTGTGTGTTTGTGTGTGTATGTGTGTGTGTTTGTGAGAGCACAAAGCTCAGCAGTCGTCTATCAGTCAAATTTTGTTTGAATGAGTAGGAACCCTAAAACCTGAGAGGTTAGGATCTGTAAACTCTCTTTCTTCCATGAGTTTGGTGCTCCAAGAGGATAAAAGAAGCCAGGATTCTGGGTAATGTAGTTTATTTCTAGGTCTATGCACTTAACCCGTGATGCTTTTCCTGTAATCCATCTGACTTTGCGGCCTGAGTTGTTGGATAGAACAAAGAATTTGGAGTTTTTTTTTTCCCCACGGAAGCTTTGTGCAGACAGCCCTTCTGTTCCTGTTGTTTTAATAGGACTAAACACTAAATCCATTTATCACATTAGTGTGGGTGTTGGCGGATCGTTGCGGAGGTTTCTTGTGTATTTAAGTGCTTCAAGGATTTGGAATTTCTGAAGACCAGAACCATTTATTTTTTAAAGACTTAATTTGGATTAATTTATGGATAAATCTCGATAGGTTATTGTTAAACAATCAATGCTTCACAAATAAATTAGGTGGGAAGTGAGATGTGATCTGAAATGAACTCAGAATTTATGAGATCATGAAAAATGTAATTGACAATCAGAAAATGATATTATAGTGGAAAATTTGTATGTATCTTTTTTATTTAAAAAAGGTCCTCTGAACTATTTATCAGACAACTGTGTCAGTGTTTATGGGAGAGGGGTTTAACAGTGGTTCACATAGCTTATTTTAGGGTGCTCATTAAATTAGAATTATGATTTGGATCATTTACTGAGTTGCTTAGGCCACCTGTGACCACCAGATGTTGCTAAAGACAAAGAACAGTAGAGTTAAATGGCTGCCTCTTCATTGCCTTGCTGCTGTTTAATGATTCGGCTTTTAATTTCTTGAATTACACACCCAAATATAGTACCTTAAGGACAGCTTAGGCAGTTTTGTCAGTTTAGTTACATAGTTTCGGTTTGTTTCCTATGCCAGAAACAAGTGTTGGACTCTGAGAGGCTGTGGTAAACATTGTCCTCCAATCAAGTGTTCAGTTATTAATCAATCAATTTCAACTTGAAATTCAAAAGTAAACTTTTCCAAAGCCTAAAACAAGAGCAATTCCCACGGGGATGTCACTATGAGCGGGGGCGTGGCCAAACAAGCATCCTAACTTGTCTTGCTCAGAAGCAGAGTTTTCACACAATGTCTTTGTCTGCTTTTATTTTTCTGTTTTCTGTTTGTGTTTAATCTTTGTTTATTGCTTATGTTTGTTCTTCATGCAAGAGCTACTGTTTGCTACTATATATGCATGTATACATTTGCTACACATATACTATATATTAATCTAGGAACAAAAAACAAACAAAACAGAATTCTGCCACATGCGGAGGGGGCTAATAATGTGATAAACGACCTCCCTGCTGACCTCTTGGTCCTTCTTACTGACTTCCAGATCTTTCTCATGTGCCTCTTGAAACTTGTCAGTGGCTATGAGAACATCCCAGTTGATCCCATGGCTTCACTGACCTTTTGATGCTGCCACTGATCTCCTGGAAAACCTTCTTAATGATCACTTTTCCCGAAGCAGTTTGGCATCCCTTTTCACAAGATAAACACTTACAACCTAATCAAGATATTTATAACTTACTCCATGTTTTCCCAGAGCTCCTCAGTGACCAGTAAAACTTAGTACCTTCTCCTTACAACCCTCCTCACAACGCTCAACCACCGGTTTATCCTGACCTGTAGTGTCTCTTTAGGACTCCAGCCATCTACAGGAGCTCTCTTCATCACCTTAATAACACTGGGGGCTCTTTTTGACCTCTGAACCTTTTTACTTACCTTTTTCAAAGTTCCCTCCTGACCATTAACCTCTTTTTTTTAGTGACGTCCCCGGCTAACATTTAGTATGTACTATATTGTCTAGAACTTCCCCGCTGGTCACTTGAAGGATGTCATCTATAACTCGAACCTCACTGCTGATCTATAGAAGCTAATGACAAACTACAACAACCTCCTTCATAGCCTCTTGACCATCACATCCCTCTTGAATCTGTCCATTGACCCCTCACTTCAATTAAACCCTCCAGCAAATCCATATCACCTCATCTTGACACCTGAGAGCTTTCTTGATGGTCTCTTGAAGCTCATTACTGACCACCAGATGTTTATAGCAAACCCTCTCAAATAACTAAAGTAATCTGTCTCTGAAAAAATACCCAAAAATTAGACACATGATAAAAAAAATTAAATAAATAAAAAAAGCACTATAAAATCCCGGGAGCAGGTCATTTAAATGTTTCTTCATGTTTTAAAAAAACATTGTTTTGCGTTTCAGTTTTTGTTAGTTTCTGTTATGTTTTCCTATTTAGTTATTTTTTGTTGTCATCGTCATCATCATCATCATCATAATGTTTGTGTCTGCAGGGATCAGGAGGAAGTGAAACCTCCCTCATCCTCGTAAGTACCAGTCAGATCTAAGTCTATCCTGGCCACGCCTCTTTTAGTTGTCAAACCATTTCCTTTTTCCCATATTGCCCTCGTTTAGTGTGTGCTTCCTGTCAGCTGACTGACTCTGTGTTACCTGAACAGGTGGAATCCATTCTCAGGGTTCAGTCAATTGGTCAATAATGTTGCCGCCAATGTGTCCGAAGTTCTGCAGGTTAAAAGTCCGACTGACGGCGAATTGCAGACGTGAGTAAAAACTGGTGGCTGAACTGATCCCAGTTCTGTTTCAAACTTGTAGAGTAGCTAAAAAACCCAAACAGATCCTTTGATTCTGCTTTCTGTTCTCTGACAAACTAATCTATCGGAGTAAAGGTGGAGTGGATCAGAACCAACGCGAATGAGAAAGAGACAAACAGCTGCGTTACCGAATATTATACTAACGCCTCCAAGTTTGATGTGTTTGCTACAGTCTGGTAATGATCTCATAATGCAGTTGCAAAAAATGAATTTCAGGGTCATACAAAGTATTCAGGTTAATTTTTCTCCCTTCCTCACGTGGACCTCTCAACCTGTTTTTTCCAGTTAGACACACTGCCTCCAACAACCCTCTCTCTCTGTCTCATTTTTCTCAAATGCTGTGATATGTTGTTCCTGCAGAGCAATGACAGCTGGCATCTTGAGATCTGAGCTTCTCTGTCTCAGCCTCTTCATGGACTCTGATGTATAAAGCTGACCCAAACAGGAAACTGGCTTTATTCCTTCAGTCGTTCCAGCCTCAGTAGAGCTTGATGAAATATTTGTCATGTGACCTTGAGACCACTGTCTGATCTCCTCTCACGCCCCCACCCCACAGGAAGTTACATCAGCAGTTTGAAATGTATAAAGACCAGGTGAAGAAGCTGGGGGAAGAGCCTCCGGCGGCTCAGACAACCAGGGCCGAGTCTCCTACTTGTGGCGTCTGTCGTAAGACCAAGTTCGCTGATGGCTGCGGCCGAGCCTGCTGCTACTGTCAGAGCCGCTTCTGTGCCCGCTGTGGGGGGCGTGTCCCACTGAGAGCCAATAAGGTCAGTCTTTGAGTTTGTTACCCTACGTGGAACTTTCTGGTGTAAACGGGTCATGATATTCCTAAGAGCTTAATTACAGCAGATTCTGGTTGGTCTCAGATTTTTAGTAACCTAGGTTTAAGTCTAGCGTATATGTTAGAATAACGTATTCAAAAATCAGAGGCAGTTTCTGCATGGGTTGTTTGTCATGTAACTTAAAAGTCTGTACCAAGTCGGTGCCAAGCACTGTTTTAAAATGGTCTTCTAAACCTAAAAATGGTTTCCAGTAGAGCCGCACAGAATTGTTCATTTTTCCAGAAACTGACAAGAATTTAAAAGCAGGTTGAGTTTCATCAGTTAGCGAGACACCCTTCCCCGAATCAGTTATTCCATACTACTTCAATAATTATATACATTCTTTGAGCATTTGACATTTAATTATTACGACATCCAAAGAGACCCCATTTTTGTTTAGCATTCTCTGTTTTGGGGCAACATTATCAGTTTGTGTGAATTGGTACAATGTTTATTATTGAAGTCCTTTATTGCAATGCCAAAACAATCACAATTAAGAATGAGATTGCTAAATTCGGGTGTACGTGGTCCCTTACACCTGCTGTAGTTGTTGTTGTGTTTGGACACCAGATGGAGCCCTGTCTCTTGGAAAAATATGGAAACGGCTACCCAGTCTCTTCATTTTGACTGCAGAATTCTATGAATGACTTTTTCTATACTAACTGTATTCTATTCAGGCTGTATTTAAGCCATTATTGACTCACTAGAATACATTTAAAGTCATCAGTTATCCTACCATGTAAGTTTCTTGACATGGTGATCATGTAGACTCCACAGAGAGATCAGATGTTTAAATCGGGAAGCACCACACCTCTGAATCCATGCTGATGAGAACCTGTGCATTTTGGCCTGTGCTTTAGGTGATGTGGGTGTGCAACGTGTGCAGGAAGCAGCAGGAGATCCTCACTCGGTCGGGGGAGTTTCATTCCAACACGTCGCTGCTGACTGTTGACCACAACTCACATGGGGCTCCACATCCACAAGCACAGGGCCCACCAGGGGCCACGGGGCCCCTGAGTAACGGAGCCGCCGAGCAGTGAGTGCTGTTTTTACCATAATGTAATGATGGATGAGCAATTGGCTCACTGTACGTCCATGAGGTTTTGGTGCAGTTCAAATGGAAAACAGGGCGGGAAGACATCAGGTTTGGATGTGACGTTAAAGTTGTGACTCCTCAGAGCAACGCAAATCTATCTAAACATCCTAGTTCAGAACGAAGTCTGCCCCTTAATCCACCATTCCAGATCCTTCATAACAGAGAGAGGACCGGTTGGTGGTTTAAATCTCAACTGTGCCTGCAGGTTGCTGCTGCTGAATCACGGTAAAAAAAACTTCAGACTGGTCCTTTAAGGTCAGGCTTGGTATCAGTTATATGTCCACTCGCTAACACACACCTACACAGATTGCTCACCCGTCCCATATTACTCCCCTCAACACGCACATGCAGATCATCCATCCATCACACACACACACACAAACACATACCGCAACACACACACTAACCCCACTCCACACAAACACAAATACACACAGTAATCAGATTAACAGATTAATAATCCTGCAGATCACAAGGGATTATTGCTGCGGCTAAATACAGCATGCTAACGCACAGGCTAGCAGAGCCTGAGCGCAGTGATGTAATTTCCTATGTGGGAGGAGTCAAAGATGCGGCGGACGCTGGAGGGGGAGTGTCTTGATGCAGCGTGGGCGGGGCGTCTGCTGTGCTCCAGCTGTCAATTAGAAACCTGCTGACTGTGTGTTAATGTGTGCCAATGTGTCGTGTGCTGAACCGCCATGAAGCTTCAAACATTCGACAGCTTACAGAAAAACAGTAAGAGGCTTTTCTTTTTTTCTTCAATGACAAGTTGAACCTATTTCAGACTTTCTGTTAGGCTCCTCTTCTGGTTTGAGAACCTGTTTGAAGTAAGTGTGTCAGTCTGTCATCCCACGTCCACATGACGTGTTTGTGAATACAATATGATCAGGCACATACAGTCCATGTAAGTATATCTTATGCAGTGAATTATATGTTTATTTAACTTTTGGAAACTTTGCCATTCTGGATAATTTTTACATTTGATGCAGGTTTTTGTTCAACTTTACTTCACGGATTCGGTCGAAGGGATGTGTTAGTAGAATGCGTGACACCTCTACTTAGCCAAAAGTACTAGCAGCCATTTATATTCAAGATTTGTATGTGAATGCGCTCTTCTCTTCACAGCTAGTCAGGCTCCTTAAAAAAAGAAGTTAATGTAGTAGCTTCTGTGTTTGAGAAGTGAGTTGCTGTTGTAGAATGGAATAAAATAATTGTCATAGAAATCTGGTGCACAGATCTGTCCCATTTCTGGCTTTTGCTGTTATCTTGTATTTCTATGGTAATCATCTTTCTCTCAGTAGAATTTTGTACTTCAGATAAATTGAAAATGATGTTGTAACTCTTTCTTTAACAATCTGATTTTGAGCATCAATGCTGATGCATTTCCTCCTTGGTATTAAGTGAACACACAGCTGAGTGCTCCAAACCTCTGAAACTCTGCTTTCATAGACATGCTTACACTTGATGATGATCAGGTATCAAATCCACTGATCTGCAACATGTGGCTTCTACGTGCTCCCTTAAGTCATGTGGATACCGTGAGGGTAGGGTTACTTTTTCAGACTCTGCTTCTACATATCTGCAGATAAGAATATCAACAAAAAGCAGAGCATGAGACTTTAACTCCAGAAGTCAGTATTGTAATTTTATTTAGAATTGTATAAAATTGAAGAATCTGACAGTTTCGTCAGGTCAAAATACAGTTTGTTCCACTGAGCAGATTACTTTATCCTTCTCCTTCTCTGACCTGTCCTTTCTGTGTGTTTTGCAGGAGGCGAAGCCCCTCTGGTTCGTATTACGATGGAGGGGGAGGCAGAATGCATCGCTCGCCATCTGACCACGGTCTGGAACGCCGCACTCGCTCGCCGCACAGCTACCACGGTAATGGCGAGGAGGAGCTGCGGGCCCGAAGGCGACCAATCAGGGATGGAAGAGGCCGTTGGCACTCACAGGTGGGTCTGATTTTAAAACTATTTTATCTCTCTGTGACCTTATTGTGTCTTTTGTTAATTGATTATTATAACAAGTTATTACAATGAGAGCCGTTTAAAATAGTTACCGTAATAATCCTCCATTCAAGTTGAATGCAAAATTGAGATTTTTTTCAGAAGATGTTATATGTAAAAAATGTCTAGCATAAATTATGACTTCTGTCTTTTTTTGTGGATTTTTTAATTTAATATTGCATCTTATTTCTGGTGATGGCCTCTTATTATTATCATTATTACTAATTAGTTATTGTTAATTATTAACAACCGGCACTCACAGGCTGACTTAGCAGATGATGTTAAACTGTGTTCTGGATCAGGACCACCCCTTGGACCAGGTGATGACCGACCATGAGATGCGCCGGCGGCAGGAAGAAGAGTTTCAGGCTCGTTACCGTAGCGACCCTAACCTGGCCCGTTACCCAGTTAAGCCACAGCCAAGCGAAGAAGCCATGAGGATGTTAGCTCAGGTTGGCCGGGTCCGCCACCAACGCCGCCACAGCGACGTTTCCCTGGCAACTGCTGAGCCTGAACACCTGATCCTCCGGCACTCAGGTAGGAGGATGTCCGATGGGTCTTCCAGTGCTTTTGTCATGATGTGAGAGCACTCATTCCAATTTATCGATTCTTTGTCAGGCATTCGTCAGAACAGGCCTCAGGGATTGGTTGGATCTGGAGGTCAGAGGTCGTTCTCTGTGGACAGGACAGCCAATCACATGAGCCCCACATCTCCCCGTCGCAGTCCATTGCCACAGCAACACCTGGACCTGGGCTCTGCCCTTAAGAGGAAGCCTGGCAGTGACGGAATGGCTCACAGGGTGCGGATGATGGGAAAGATGCATGTGATTGGTAGCTTCAGCAGTTCGGAGGAGGACCTTGCAACCACACCCGAATATACAAGCTGTGATGAGCCTGATAGTGAGTTGATCCATCTTTTAGAAATAAAAAAGAAGCATCTTGTCAGATTTTACTCATTCGTTCACCTCATTGCAAAACATCATAAGCTTAAAAGAAAGATGTTAGGAGAAAAATTATAGTAGGTCAAGAACGGAAGATTCCTGAAGCCAGTCGTTGGCTACTGGTTTTCTCTCTTGTGTTAATCCCAGTTTAAAGCAAATTATTTGCTCTAGTATCATCATCGCTGATAAATAGGTAAGCCTGTCTCAAAGGCAGCAAATTATGCTTACAAATAATTAAATAGTAATGATGAGGGCAGCGTTAGGCGAGCCATTATCTATGAGTCTGATCAGAATATAAAGGCCTAAACTTACTTTGCGTGATTTTATAAAATAATTTTTCTTCTTATTTCAGCATCTTTATTAAAACTAAATCAGGTTAATCAGTCATGGGTATTAGAAAACATCAACCATTACATTTAATTTTGATAATCAAAAATAGAAATTTTATAGAAATATTTCATTTGTATTTTTCATTTAACAGATGTGAAAAGTGAAAGGCTTATAAAACATCTGGATGAAATTAGGAACTAAGTAAAAAAAGTCTTAAAGAGATCCTTAAAAATGTTTTCATTAGACCCCAGAAAATGAAACTTCTGAAAATGAACATCAGTTGCCACCGGTGGATCTGTTTTCTTTCCCCGCCCACTGGCTTAGCAGCGTGGTAGTGGAACATGTGACCCTCAGTCTGATATCATGACTTTTCAAGCTTTACATTGAGAGGAGAAACAGGGAAGAGAGAGTTGGACCAGAGATAGTGAGTCTGCGTTCGTTCTCTCTCACTCAAATTAGCTCTGTGTGATAATCTTCTTACGGCTGAATCTGGCTTCACCTCCAACCAGCTTCACCTGCACTTCCTCTGCCTCGCGCCAGAGGGTCCCATCGAGAACACCCACAGCAGGGCTGAGCGGGACCTGTGACCTGTGGTGGTGGAACTCAGTTCACATACTGAAAATAGAGTCCTTCATTCAGAGGAATATTTTCTTTCTCTGGTATAGCTGCTTGCAGTCGGGTTTCAGAGTTTGGGTTTTTCCAGGGGTGTTCAGGACTTGTTCTCATTTAAAGGACATCGTTCTCTGTAAATATTTTTGCACTCTGCTGATGTGCCCTGGTTCTTCTTTTTTTTCATTATATATCTCCACCCTTCACATGTTGCCGCCTCTGTATAGGGTTCTGTTTCTTATCTTATTGGTTTTTCTCTGTGATTCTCCAAATAGATTTAGAAGAGGATTTAGCACCTTTATTTCTGTTTTACAAGCTCCCTTGTAGCGTGAATACTCTGCATTGAGTTTTTTATGCTCATAAAATCCATTTGCTCCTTAACCAGCCTTAACTGTCGGCTGGTTCTGCGGGTTCATCAGTCTTATGAGTTTCCCCCTTAACTCCTTTCTCTACACCTCTCCCAAACTTTAGATCTATTTAGCACAATTTTCCCTAATGAAGTTGCTGTTGTCGAAATGCCTTTAATTTTGGACGTTTTTTATTTCTGTCTTGTTGGACTTTTGAGTCTTGAGAAGTCGACAGAGTTCCACTTTCTGCTGACGTTTGGCTTGTGTTGGGCTCTTACGATCGTGTTGTCTTTGGAAGTTTTGCTGTTGCTGCAGATTGAGCCTGAAGAAATCAGACGTCATGGTGACAGGTTAATCTGGTGTGGCTGTGTCATAGGGCCAAAGTCACCTGGTCAGAGATTAGGAGCGTTGATTGGCTTTGGAGGCTCGTGGCTCCTCCCATCAGGTTCAGAGGTGACAGAGCAGCTCAGAGTCTCCCTTGCCGCCGTCCTGGACATACTGAAACACCACCCACAGAAACCACCAATAAACCCGGTCGCTCAATGCCTGGTGAACCCCAAAGAATTCTGGAGGATCCTCCTGGAGAACCTGTTGGATAATCCAGTGCTGATTAAGGAAGAACACATGGGCCGGGTTGTTCTGGAGCTGCAGGGTCAGAAAATCACCGTCTATGCTGTTGTTCAATTGGATTAAAAGAGAAGAGTGTGGATTATCAGGAGTCACTGCAAAGACACAAGAATAGAAACGCAGAGGAAGCAACACAGCAATGGACAACCAGCCAACTATGTGTGAGCCCTTCTGATGGAGTTGCTGGTTAGTAGGTGGAGAGGATACCCGGTTGATCTGCAGTTTTGCTGATTTCCTGGTGGTGCCAGATTTCTGTGATCTGCTGGAGTTCTTCATCACGTGGCGGAAAGGCGGCAAAAGGGAGAGTGATCGAGTTCTGCAATGTTGCCACAAACCTCCAGCTTTACAGTCAGGCCAACCGGATCACTGCCAGATTTCTAAACTGAGGATAACAAACAGGAGGATAGAAACAGTGATGCTGACAAGCTAACTCTGGCTGAAAGATGGACTGGGTGTTTGGGCTCGGCTAATCTTGTTACAGACAGGTATGAACTGCTCTGCAGCCTGCAGACAGAGCTTGGGCAAAAGTGAAATCTCAGACCCAGAGAGGAGCAGGACAGAGGAGCTGCAGGTTCACCTCCTCCCCTTCTTGTCTTTATCCTCTGCTGAAGCCTCCTCTTCTTTCATGGCATCCACACAGACCTGTGAGTACAGCAGGGGAAAGCTGCTCACTGGGAACAGGCTGAGAGAAATGACGGGTTTGCGAGACCCTGTCTGAGTGCCTTTTAACGTTTTGTTCATCTCGTTTATCGGGATTTAGTTGAACTCTTCTCATTTGTTAGATTGGTTGGAGGACAGACAGATAACTTCAGGGGCATGCTGCACATTATGTGACATAAAAGGCTTCTGTTCAGCCTGAAATGAAACACCAGGTTACTCATCCCATGGTTTATTGTCAATAACAATCAGAAAGTTTTCAATGCTCTGTGTGGAAGTAATGATGTGTCCATGTTGGAGAACCTGGAGAGACTCATCTGGTTTAACTCTCTTACCACCATGTTTGATATTTTTTAAATCCAGTTACTCATCTAACATACTCTAATATTTAAGAGCACTAATTAGAAATCATTAAACTTTGAAACAGAGTTCATGGTGGTTCTTATTTTTCCTTAAAGTTAATGGATGATCTATTCTGTCTGCTAGGAGACATGGAGAGCCAGTGGTGGGATCATGGTGCATGGCACGGCGAGCCTGGGCCCATGTCTATGGTAGGTTGAACCACTGCATTAGTCCTCCGCTCATACCTGTCTGCTTACCCTTCATAGATGTATACACTATGTTTGAATTTTGATCAATATATCCACTGGATATTTTAAAATATTTTTTTTTTCATTAAATTGGTCTGACCAATCAAATTTTTTGCTAAATGAACACGTACAACAGTCTTACCATTAACTGTTTTTGGTTTATTAGCTGTGCTGACTTGATTATTGTGAATCATTAGCAGCCGGTCACCTGGCAACCATCCAAAGATGGGGAGCGCCTGATTGGTCGAATTGTGCTAAACAAAAGGATGAAGGATGGGACAGTTCCCGCGGACACAGGAGCGCTGCTGGGACTCAAAGTAATTTTTCTTCTTTCTCCTCCTCCTGTCATGTCCTCCGGCTCTAAAGTTTAGCACCTTGCTTTACGTTTGTTGTATACTTCCAGGTTGTCGGAGGTAAGATGACGGAGTCCGGCCGCCTCTGTGCTTTCATCACCAAGGTGAAAAGAGGAAGCTTAGCGGACACTGTGGGACACCTGAGACCAGGTAAACTCATACCGTTGTGGTGATAACAGATATGTTTAGTATGCTATATGTTCACTGTAGTTTTATTGTGAGTTTATTGTGAGTTACTCTGAACTGACTAAACACTGATGAGAAATCCCCCCACTGACTTAAACTGCCATTGTTGCTCCCAGCCTCCTTTTTTTAAAAAGCATCTTTGTATGTATCAGATGGAAAATAAGCAGAACTCCACTAGAATAGGGGGGTGCCAACAATGAAATTGTAGCTTATTTTTAGTACCCTGTGCGAATGGGGAAGAAGAGCACTGCAATGACATACACTTTCTCTGTGGAAATATGACTTATAACAATGAAAAGACTAACTAAATCATTTTGACTGTGAAGAATGGGCTGTGTTGAACCAACGTTTTATAACAGGGGCTGGCTCAAATGCGTCGTTGCCAAATGTGTCAGAAATGAATTCAGTTTGAGGTATTTTGCAAGAAAATGACCTTTTGGAATTTATTGTTCCTCGTCAGTCTCTTACTCTTATTGTTCATACTGAATCTGGTTGTCATTCACCAACTACTAACTCTGTAGGCTGTAAAATAAACATATCCACTAAGAACCTTATATTAAAGTCAGCACCTCCTAAACAGATAGGCCTGTTGGATGAGCCTTTGAAAATTAGAATTGTGCTTTTTCTCCTTGTATCATGGGAAACAGAGTTTAGCATTTCATCTTTGGGAGAATTTTCCCTGTTTGACATTGTACGACCTGTGATGTGCTTAATGTGCATTTTGCAATGATGATTCAGAAAAGCTTTTGCTATGTTGGCCCAATTCATGAACTTCCTCTGTTCTGCCCCAGGTGATCAGGTTCTTGAGTGGAACCGTCGGGTTCTTCAGGGTGCCACTTTCAATGAAGTCTATAACATCATCATGGAATCCAAATTAGAGCCACAGGTGGAGTTGGTGGTGTGCAGACCGATTGGGTGGGTCACAGTCAGTGTTTATGATAAAGAAAGTCTCCTGTTTATTCTATTTTTTACCTTCAACCTTTTTTTCTAATAGAATTTAATTCTATTTTGTTGTTTATTGGCCTCTCTTAGAGATGCCTCGAGGGCAGCAGATGCCACCCACGTTCACATGGATTCCAGTGAGTGTCCCACTGCCAAACCAACCTCAAAACTCATATAAATAGGAATAAATCAACCTTGAATTCTTAAAAATGATTTTTGATTATCTTTAATTTATGCAGTGAAATCTCTCAATATCCAAAAATGCCTTAAACCAGGCTCTTTCTCAGGTTTTAAGAGAATCTCTTTGTTTTTTTTCCAGGCTCCAGTTCCTTTGAGTCTCAGAAAATTGGGCCGTCCATCTCTGTCACATCTCCAATGAGCCCCAATGTTCTGTCTGGCCAAGTCTCTGTAAGTTTATCCAGCATGCACTGCAGAGCTACAGGGTGAAACAGGAGTTAGCTAACCCCTGTTTCCATGATGATGTGTATATTTCAGACTTTAAACAAGCGTCCTCTGGTCCCAAGAATTCAGGTAATGTGTAGAGTAGAATAGAGCAGAATAGAGCGAGGTTAGAAACCCGATAGGATGCAGAGAAACTTAGTGCAGTAGTAGCTTTACAATAGAACCAAGTTGTCGTTGCTTTTGTTTTGTCTGCAGTTGTACTGATTAAATCGCAGCCCTGCAGAATTATCCTCATTTCTTCAGGAGCATGGTTCCACCATTCTTTACTAATGTTCTGGGTGGTAATTTTGCAGTTCTGTTCTGTTTTTTCCATAGATAAAGTTGTGGTACGACAAAGTTGGACATCAGGTGATTGTCACCGTTCTCGGAGCCAAAGAACTTCCTGTTCGGGACGATGGCCGACCACGAAACCCATATGTAAAGATCTACTTCCTGCCAGACAGAAGGTAAAGTATTGAATTAACCAGAAGGCAGGTTTACTGAAATTTGAATGAAAATTGAGTAAGTCGTTTTACATAACAATGTTGATTGAATTGCAGAGTGGATATTTAAAGTTAGTTAGTTAGAGCTGTTGTAACTGGGAAAAGCAGGTATGGCTGCTGTAATACCTGATGTAATACTCATTCAAAAAGACTTGACTAACTCCTTCCTATGTGTACAGTGATAAGAGTAAACGTAGGACAAAAACGGTGAAGAAGTCGCTGGAACCTCGGTGGAACCAGACCTTCATGTACTCGCCGGTTCACCGACGGGAGTTCAGAGAACGGATGTTGGAGCTGACGGTGTGGGACCAGGCCAGGGTCAGAGAAGAGGAGAGCCAATTCCTGGGAGAGGTGAACCCAAAACATAGACTCAAAACATAGACCATTATATGCATCAATAATGTCAAATAGATAATTCCCCTGAGAATGATCTCATTGACCTCTGTGTGTTCTTCCCATGTCAGGTTCTGATAGAGCTTGAGTCGGCACTGCTGGATGACCAGCCTCATTGGTACAAACTACAGCTTCATGATGTTTCCTCTGTGCCGCTGCCCAACGCGTCCCCATATCTGCAGAGGCGAGGACTGCAGGCTGAACACACACAAGCCAGCAGGAGGCTTCAGAGTGAGTTCCACACCGACAGGAAACTCCCACAAAACTCACTGATTCTCTCTGATAAATTACCTGTCATATTCTCGCTTTAGTTGCTGTGTCAGTTTTAAAGGTTATTCTTTTTATTTGGTTAACTTATTTGTCCTGAGTTCATGATGATGTTGGTTTTTAATACATTGTTCTTTTGTTTTTGTTTACCTTGTTTCACATCATGGTTTTCCAGACAAAGGTCCTTACTATAACTCAGGTAATAACACGTGTGCCTGTGTGTGAGTTTGTGGGAATGGCTGCAGACCATTTTCTCACTCATGTTAATTCACATGGCTCTTCCCAATGTGGTGTGAAGCTAAAAGCTGACTGTGTGGTCAGATTTGAAAGCTTTTTACTATTTTTACTTGGTGACCTGATGATGTCAGAATGGTGAAGCTTTTGGATTTAAATTAGCGAGAGTTACTCCAAAACTAGCTCACTAGTACCCAGCGGAACCTGTTCAGATTCTTTTAAGGATAGTTAAAATACCTCAATTGTGTACAGAATATATGGACGTTTTTGACAGCGTCACAGGTACTTCAGAGGAAAGGAGGTCTTGCTGTGTTCTGATAAGGGAAGATGTGGTTGATCCAGTGTTTATGGCTGAGGTACATTATGGGAAACTATGGGTCCATGGAGGATGTTAAATACTTGCTCAGTTAATTTTCGCTTGGTATGACCCACGCCTTCACTTTAAGCCATAGGAACCCAGAGTGTGATGTGATCTGTTTGGCCCATTCAGTCGTCGGTTTTCTCAAAAATTATATTATGTTTTGACAAAAATGGGTCTGGGTTCCTATTTGTTAAAGTCTGTGATCTTGTACAACTCTGTTTGTACAGAGATGTATATTTAACGACCCGTTAAATATACCTTGATGAGGTTTCAGTTGTGTTTCAGAGATCATTGTAGTGGTCCATTGGTCTTATAGGTGTGTGGATTATTATAAATTTCCGAAGTGTTTGTTGTTTAACTCTTTAAATCAAGTCTTAATGTTCACAAAAGGTTTTGGAAGAGAGTTAATGGTCAGTTAGCGTCCAAAGGTGTTCATGATCTCTAATAGCTTTCTGGAATTGTGACAGGCCAAAACAAATTTGTCCCTAAATGCTTGTGTGAAAACAAGTCTCTCATCTCACTGCTCAGTCTGACATCTTCAGATTTGTTGACCTTCCTGTAGGATTATAGACGAGCAGCTTAGAGGCTTAACATCCTCTTTCTCTGTGTCTTTACTTTCTCTCGGTAGGGTCCCAGAGGATCAGTGACAGTGAATTTTCAGATTATGACTGTGAAGATGGCATTGGGGTAATATCAGGTAAACTTTTTGTCCCATCAGACATTCATCCACAACAGTCAGTCCAGACCTTCTGGTGACATATGGTGTAAGCCTCTTTAACACAAAGTGTTCAACATGATTTTGTGCGTAATGAAAGAATGCAAACGTCCTTCAAACCTGATTACTTTTTCTAAAAAAAAGTTTTACAAAACTTATTTTAAATTTGATTTAAGCAGCATGACAAAAGCAGGCACATGAAAGAAAGTTAACAATTACATTTATTGAGCTAAACCAAAAGGTCTAGACTAAACTTTTTGTTGTTGTTATTTTTGTCAATGATACTGACTAAGTATCTAAGTATCTAACAAAGTCAAACGGTTTAAGGAGCTCAGAGCGTCACTTAATGACATTAATTGATCACAGGATGAGATCCTGTTCCAGGTCCGTAATGAAACTCAGCTGTATATTCAAGTTCACTTGCGTGACATTTAGAGATTATGTTGGCAGAAAATGCTGTTTCACATTCACGATCATGCTTTATCAAAAGGGAAGAACTTTGTAACTTTTTATTTTAATTAAAGATCTGCTATAAGGATAAAGAAAATATTTACTTAATTGTATTTACTGTAGACATATTAGCTTCACGCAGTGTTCCCCACTGACAGACTGCCATGGATGATATGACTTAATGCCAGTTAATCTACTGAGTTACTTCCTGTTTAAAATGTAGGGTTCTGCCGAGAATGAAAAGATCTTTGCAATGGTAGACAATCAAAATCGGTTTCTGTTTCCCTTTTTGCAGATTACAGACAGAATGGGCGGGACTTCCACAGCTCCACACTCTCCGTGCCAGAGCAGGTTATATCTTCAAATCACTGCTCCCGATCCGACTTGGTCAGGATGAGATCACGGTCACCAAGTCAGCCTCCTCCCCAAAGGTAAGCAGTGCTAATGATGAGATTTAGAGCGGGCGGGCTGAGATAAATGGTGATCAAAGGATGTGAGATGATATGATTGCACAAGCTGCAGACACTAGAGTTAACAAGAGATAAGAACACAAAACACCTGTTAAGATCAAATAGGCCAAAGGAGATGTGAGCTTAAGGTCAGACAGATGAGAGATAAATTTAGGTCAAACAAAAAAGAATACAGTTAGATCACTTCAGACCACATAAAATTGTTCTAAGGCTTGAAGATCAAGTGAGGGGAAATTAGAAAATCTTGAATTTAATAACACAAAATGAGATGGTAGACAAATTAGATGGAATTCAATTATGATCAATTCTACTAACTATGAGATTAGGTAGAATGAGAAGAAACAAGATGTGACAGGAAGCAAAGAAGGTAAATAACTTTGAAGGGATGAGATTATGTGAAATGAGATGAAAGCAGGTGTTACGTGATTTCAGGTGATTAAAATTAGACTTTGAGCATTAGTGAATATTCCCATTCGGAGTTTCAGCACACTTCATTTTCCTTGAAGGCCTCACGCTCTTTTTCCAAAATTCTTCCCCTTTACCCTTTTTGCTGCTTCAAAAATCTTGCGACCCGTGGCCTCTGCTTGCTAGTGGTCAGCCTCTGTACCCGCTGTACCGGGAGGACGCGGTGCGGCTGCTGCGAGGCTCCAAGCTGAGCCGAGCGTTCTCTGACGCCAGTCAGTACAGCAGCTTTGACAGGTAACCACGGCACGGCATGGCGGCGTGCCAGACCGGGGCCACGTGGACAGCACGTAGTCAGCATCCAGTCTGGGTCTTGTCAATTTCGACTAACATTAAAAACATTAGAAACCGGACTATTTTGATAAGAATGTCAATCAAGCAGTTATTAGGGAGTTTTGTCCGGTCAGCAGGAGGTAAACCGGGGTCAGATAAACCTGTCTTGGCAGATAAAGCTTGGCGCTCTGCTGCGGCTGATAAACAGTGCGGTGAAAAGCTGCATTAGATGGTTTGAACCGGGACCAGGTCTGGACTGGATGAGTAGTGGTTGGTAGAGCTGATGTAAGCGAAAGCTGTCACCGTAATTGACTCCCCTCTACAGTCAGTAGCTCTGCCTGGCTGCTGTGTCATGTTGACTGGATAAACTTTACTGGTGCGATCTCGGGTATTTCTAGTTTTAGTCCTGGCTCTGTTCCGGGATACTTTATCAGACATGGTGCCAGTAATAGGTATACCCTTTGGGACTTCCACAAAATGACAAAAAAAAGTTGGGAGGTTGTGTAAAATGTCAACAAAAGGTGACATAAATGAACATAGAAAAACATTAACAAAAGTTAAAGGTGAAACATCTTGAAATGGATGGCAGTTGGGACAATTAGATGATCTACAGGTGGGAATGACTATAGGCTTTAGACTGAAACCACTCTCTACTTGTGAGCTGATACTGCCCACCATGAAGTTTAGAACTGAATAAGCCATTAGGATGAAAACTGAAACATCTTCAGAATCCAATAAGTCCAGTCGACCTGGATGATTTAGGAATGTCTCCATATCCCTGAAGCCTTTGGATGTAGTTTGCACATTTCTGATATTTCCTCTCTGATATGCTCATTTTATGCCCATTTATTTACTGACCTGTTGCCAATTAACCTATTAAATGGCAGCAGGTTCCTTCAGATGTTTAATTCTAGTTAATTACTTTTCTTCCTCAGGATTTCTTCCCCGCACCTTTCTTAAGATGTTGGTTTATTTGATTGTCTCATAACTGGGTCCCGCTTTGTTTAGCTTTTTTACACTTTACACAGCATCCTAACTTTTTTTGTTGTAGGGATTGTCCTTTAATGACAGTATTTCTTCTGCGTTTGAAATAAAGTTGGTAGACCTGTTGTTAATATATGTGCAGTTTGTAGTGACACCCTAGTGTAGTTGTTGTACTGGCTTTAGTGTGGCTGCTCTACAGGTGGAACTGACTGCCTTTCTGTGTATTTAGGCGAAATCTGAGGAGAATGTCTGTGACCAACTCTCTCGATTCCTCGGACAGGTACTGCTAATGTAGTCTAGGAACTATGCAGTTGGCAGTAGTTGTATCACCAGCACTGGCGGTAGTGGTATCTGCAGAGTTAAACTATCCTTATTCTGATGTGTTTTCTTGTGCGTAAGATATTTTAACGGTCCTCACCCCACCTGGACAAACCAAATGATGAATGGGAATTGTGAGGACTACAGGTGAGCCCCGGCAGTTATGGTTAATGCAGTATAATACGAGGGTGAATAATTCATACCCATAGGGTTCTAGAGTTCTTATATATTTCTGCTCCTCAGTCAGGACTTCATCCCCGACTTCCCTTATGAGCCTGAAGCTTACGATGAGGAACTGCTGAGGTAAAGTGACAGACAGTTGGACAGACTAATAGTTTTAGACATAGAGAAGAGATGTAGATGCAGAGATGCAGTTTCCATTCCCATGTCCTCCTTCAGTCCACTGTCCACTCAGAGGTCACAGTACACTCACCTGGAGTCCAGTCATTTGACCTGTTTTGGTAAAGGTTTTCAAACACACTGTTTTCTTTTCTTCCTCTTTATCTGGGTTTTCTCTAACCGAGGCCTTCTGGAAAAATGAAGAGAAAAATTCCAATTCCTTCTTGTTCTTCTTGTTTGGTTTTTAAAGCTACCTGCAGTGCCTTATTCTTATGATTAACAACCCCCCCCTCCCCAGGTGGTGACCAGACAAGAAAATCTGACTAATCTATCCCGCAGGTTCTGTAGTTGTCATGGTATCAGTGGATGACAGTTGTCGTGGTGATATGCAGGTTCAGCCGAGGAATGGACCGGAGGGACTATTACAGTCGCTCTCGCTCAGCTGACCAGCGAGCAATGACTGACCGTCATGTCTACACTCGCTCACACTCGACAGACCGAGCTGACTCCTCCTACCTGAGGTCTGGTCGCTCCGCTCCCCCCTCACCTGCCCAGATCAGGTGACCTGTCGTCAAAAGATCGCAGAGCGGCTCCATCTCTGTGGTGCTTGCTGAGCGTGCTCTCAATCCAGAAGCATGAAGCCTGCCTCATCACTGACTATGAATGTTTTTTAGACAACTTTTTTTATCCTTATCACAGGGACTAACACCTCTGATTTGCTGCTTTTGTAAAATATGTTTCATTTTCAGATTTTTTTCCCTTCTGTTTCATTTCCTTCATGTCTGAGCCTATTTATTTTTTAGCATGTTGGCTGTGGTTTCCTGGTTTGTCTTTGTTTTATGGTCATGCTGCATGCTTTTCAAAACTTGATTGTTCAATGTTCAACTCTCTGAATCAGATACTTTCAAAACTTACAGCTAAGGTATCCTATAAAAGGACAGTATTTTAAAGATTTGAAAACTTTAAATCTTGTTTCTTACCTCAAGGGTTTTAACCTCTTACCAGGCTGCCGAAACGTGGAGTCTAGTTGATGGAAACCGTGCCATATGTACTGTTGTGTAGTAACGTAGTATTTAGCACAGAACGTTGCTTCTCATGTTGGTATCTCATGCATGAGGTGGCAGTTGGTACTCTCAAAAACCTCAAAAGATTAAATCTACAGCAAAGGAAAGACCTCCCTAATTTTATTTTTTTTCTCAACAGGGCAAATGCCAGTCCAACAGGAACGCCAATCAGCAGCCGCAGAGGACGCCAACTTCCAATTGTCCCACCAAAAGGCTCTCTGGACAGAAGTACGTATGCTGGAGAAGTTGGATATCTGTCACATTCTTCTGGATAATAAATCCATAGTTCTACAATGTATCTATTACATCTATGTTCCAAACATAAATCAAATCTGTACCAAAATGTGGCTCCTCATAATGGCACCGTTTCAAACTTTAAACAGTTAATCAGGTAAGTTATAAAGCGCAAGGCCTAAGGGCTCCCAGTCTGCTGAAAGCCGGAGCTGTAATTCAGGGATTCAGTCTGGTGCATTAAGAAGCTTCAAAGCCTATAGCTGGAAATAGAAATCAGTGCTGTAAAGACAGCAACAGGAAACAAGTCTGTTTTAGTTTCTTCATTTCTTTCATTTACACCTATGGCATGAACAAACTTTACTCTTTATTCTAAATGACTCACAAGTTGAATAATAAATAATAAAAAGATACAGGTTTTTAAATGGTGCCCACAGAGAGGTATAGATTCCTTGGGGGTATCAACAACCCTGCTAAGTAGGAGCAAAAGATTGGATAGTGCAGGTCATAGCAGACTAACGCTGAGTTGTGTTTTTCAGATGGAGAACCTCTTGACCCTGTACAGACAGGTACTGCTCCTTACCTGCTTAGAACAGCGTAGAAAAGCTTGTGTTGATGGTACTCACTAAATATATTTAGTGTTTGCTGTAGTATTCATGTACTGATGAAGTATGAAATTACTGATTAGATATAAGTTATTAAGGGTGAATCTCATTTATTACTTTTCTTATGCCACTTTGTGGCTATCTTTATACAAGTGTGTGTATTCCTTACAAAAGCCTCTGAAAGCTTAGTCTCAATTAACTTGGCTCAAATGCTGTCATAACAGAAAATAAGAAAATACTTTGAATCCATTATAACTCAGTAACTGCAGATAAAGTTAACATTCCAAAGATACCGCAACATTGAATCTTTGCAATGATTTAGCATTTAAAAAATCTACTACTGAAAATGGAAACAGCGAGTTCTCCCTTAGCTTGTCTGCCCCGTTTTGATCAACCTCCTCTGTTCAGTTGCCATACTTTAATCAAATAAGCTTGTGATAAGCTTTCATGCCATAAAAATATGAAATCATCCGTTATCAGGTGGGACAATCATCAAAAAACGCCCTCAAAGACACAAGTTGACTTGGAAATACACTCTTGTATTCACTTTATGATATTTAGATTGCAAGCAGTCATTTTGTCTTCTTGTAAAACCTATTTGGTGATTAAAGGTGACTCTCCAGCATGTCTGCATTGGGACACGAGACAGCAGGGTTTTTTACCATCATCGGGGCAGCTTCTGGCTTAACGATTATATTAGTGTTCTGAGGAAAAACAAGTATTCTGTTTAGTCAGTCTGAAGCTGGTCATGTTGACATTCATCCTTTCATTTCATATCTCCATTAGTTCATTTGTCACTTCCATGTGTCTCTTCATCATTTTTATTTCCCCCCTCTCTACACAACCTCCTGCTGTCTGTCAGTGATGGCCATGCCGACGACAGGGCCACCAGCCACACCTGTTCTCCCCCCCGCTCCACATCTTCAGGTCCACGCCCCCATTCCCAAACAAGCCCCTGCTCCAGTAAATCATCACCCCCCTCCTCTGATACGAGTTCAGGGCCCACCTCCTGCTCCACCCACCCTAACCCACCCAGCACCTGTGCCTGCACGCGTACCTCCACCTGCGCCCGCGCCCGTACCCGCACCGCAACCTGCACCTACACCACAACCTGCACCCACGCCTCAACCTGCACCTGCACCTGCACCCGCACCTCAACCCGCACCCACACCTGTGCCTCCACCCGCACCCACACCTGCACCCACACCTACACCCACACCTGTGCCTCCACCTCCAGCCGCACCTGCTCCTGTCGTTCAGCCACAACCGCCTCCCGAACCCGTCTTGCCCCCCGCCCCCGCTCCAACACCCGTCCCAGTCCCTACTCCTGCCCCATCACCAGCCCCCTCACCGGCCCCACCCCCACAGACTCCAGGTGTGTACTCCACTCCATGTTGCGTGTTTGTCTCTTCAGTGTAGGCCAGTAGAACCAGTAGCTGGTTATGAGGTGTATATGTGTGTGTGTGTTACTTTGTGTGTCTCAGACCTTTTGTCATCATCAATATCATTCATTTTTTCATTAGTTAAATCATTTAGATATTTGTGTTTGTTTACAAAATGTTGAAATAATCACTTCATGCCCACATGAATCAGATCCAGAGAGACGCTCTGCGACACCTGGAGGGACTAGAAAAGGCAAGTCTGCTTTCAGGCAGATCTGATGATGAGTTTGGGTGGTCCTCTGTGTGTGTTATTTTTGGTCATGTTGTCTAATTGAGGTTTATAATGAACACAGAGGTGTGTGTCCTACTTGTTAAAATGGATTGATTTTAAAGGGATCACCTGAACAAAGCCTGGGTGTCACTGTAGTCTGACCAATCACCTGTCTCTGTCTGAATGGTGCAGAGGTCACATGGGAGGACCAACAGAGGAAAACACCAAATGGTATGGTACTGGCTGTTCGCCAACCACCTGTGCAGATAGGTAGTGTCTAGATCATGTGACCTAATCATGTGATGCAGCACTGCAATTAGATATCAGTAAATTGTTGTGGGAGTAGGATTTGCAGCCTTCTGGCTAGTTAGTCACTGACTGATCATCAGACTGTGTATTGTACCATACATATTATAAAAGCAGTCGGTCATAACTGTACTTAGCGACCAGTGTTTGTTGCTTCTGCTGTTTTACAAATGCAGGTTTTTTTTAAATAGAATAAAAAGGTTGAGAATTGAACTCTGAGATGTGCTAATTCGATAGTTGGATAGTTGGTAGTTAGAGAAGAAGCTTTACTCTGTAGAACCTGCTGAGTATAGCTTCTCCGCACTATTGCTCGGCAGGAACTCACTGTAGTGGTTTGTGTCAGAATTGTAAGTGATTTCTTTCTGGGATTTTTTTCTTTTGTGTTCATCCATTGTTGTCACTTGAAGGAGAGGTGATATCAGCGGACAGAGAAGGTAGAGACGTTATTTCTTTGCTTTTTGTATTTTCTCTTGAAGCTGCTGTGAATTTAAACGTTATTTTCACCATCTTTCTGTTCCGTTTTCACCACTTGAGGTAGTTAAGTGAAGCACACGTCCGGCTGGAGTTCTGTTCTATTCTTAATTAAAAAAAGAGAATGATCTGATGACGAGTTCCTTATAGAGCCCTGTTGCCCATGTCCCATTCCTTTATCTATGAAATTTAATCACTGGTGACTTTTCTGTGTGTCACAATGATGTGTTCTACTTTTGGTGGCATGTATGATTTCTCTTCTGCAAATAAACACGTAATTAAAACTTCCACTCGACTCTATCCCCAAAGGTTGTAAAAAAACTAATGCTTTTCTCTGTTCTCTGCAGGTGTGATGAAGGATCCTACAAAGGTGAACACACACTAAAGCCTTCCAGCATTCAACATACATTACAAATGAGGTCATTCCCCAGCTCACTATTTACCTGTCTTCTGTGTCCAGTTGAGAGACAGCCTCTCCTTCAAATCATCAGATAGTGACGTCAGTGATGTTTCAGCCATGTCCAACGCCTCTGAAAACCGCTCTGCCCGAAAAATCAGGTGAGCGAAGGAACCGGCCACAGATCAAGCACCAATCACAGACCAGGAAGCAGAAACCAGACATTGGCTAGGTTGAAGAAGAAAATTAATATAGGAATATAACTGATTTGCAGTTGATACAGACAAACCTCATGCAGGACACTCTCTCTCCAGTCTTAATTACGTTTTACCATTAAGTCTCACTTCCATTGATACGTCAGCCATCCATTCATGTTTTTACTGTTCTTTCTTCTTTTAAAGACTGAATGCCTGTGTTTGTTGTTTGAAAGTGTTTTAAAAGCCTTCTGTTCGTTTGCATGATCATGTTCTGTTTTCTGTTGTCATCACTCTGCATGTTTCTGTATGCATGCCGCTGTCCTCCCCTCTGTGGACTGACACAGTCGTATGGAAACTGTGGAGGGCCAGTCAGTGGAGGTGGGGGCAGGATCAGAGGGAGCACAGGAAGAGGTGGGGGCAACAGATAGAGAGGCCACACTACAGAAGAGTGAATCAGTGGAAGAAGGACAGGAGGAAGAAGAGCCCGAGCCTTCAAAGTAAGAAACTGATGAATGTGACGGGAATCGGCTGGCTAACTCCAGCTGCAGTGGGTGATAGTGACCCTTTCCTCCATGTGACAGATTGGTGTTTGCTCCTCTTCCCCCTCAAGTCGTCTTGATTTGATTGTTGTAACCACTCCCAATTAAGTTGTTTAATTAGTTTCTTGCTTTCCCACTCTCTAGCTCCATAATTGATGCAAATTAGATCTGTCAAATTCCCCTATAAAGCTGCTCTCATTCAATCAGACTGACATTGTGACTGAGAGGTGAAGAAACTGACCTCATTTGATATGTGCTTCACGTCTAATGTCAGTAAGCCTAGGTTGACATTTGATTTGCACCGTGATATCACTGCGAGCTATTTCAATGGTTATGATGATTTGAAGAGGCCTTACTAGTGTAATACCTGCTTGGTGGCGTAGCTCCATGATAAGTCCTACCTATTTTCTTTTTAACCTCTCAGGTGGGAATAATAAAGATTTTTACCGGTTTTATTATTTCCATAGATTCCATTAGATATCTGACAGATCTGTCTCTGTACTTCTCTCTCGGGGAACTGGTAGGTGTATTTTTCCCCCTTTCCACTTTGGAGTCTGACATGCATACCTGTACCTCTGTCCTGCTGCAGGGCAACGCCAACCCCTGGAGCTCCTCTTACCAAGTCCTCTAGTGTGGGTGGAGAGATTTGCTCTTTGGGAAGAAACGATGACGATGATGACGACAAGAAGCGTCGCTCAAGCTTTGGAGCAAGGATGATGGGAATGGTTGGATTGGGAAAAAAGAGTCAAAGCGCCTCCCAGCTCAACCCAGAGGGTAAGTCCTAGTTTGACCAATAAATGTCATCAACAAATGCTAAACCCGCCTAGGTCTATATTGGTACTGGTGTCACACAGTTTTAGGTCTGTTTGCGGCAAATAACATCTTAATTTAGATGAAATATACGAAGTGATGATCTTTATTTAAAGAAAACAGTTAAAAGTACCCTGTAGAAATATTTATACTATTCTGTTTTTTGACATAGTTGCACAGAAAGAAAGAAATCTCTCCTGATCTGTTAAATTGATGAGGCAATTTTAAATATTTGTTTCCTGCTGATGCCATTTCTTAAATGACTGAACTATTCATTAACCTTTTTTAAAAAAAAACTGTACCACAGGTAGAAGCTTTCATTGTCATAACACCAGTTCTGAACATGCCTGGTGTTCATTAACCCACCAATACTGAAATGACCTGCAGCACTTTCCACCGTGTTTTCCTTTTTCTTTGAATGTTTTCTGCAACGACAACTGCAAATCCCTGTGGATATTTAGTGTTCAGTGATGAGTGTCTTCTCACTTATTTTACTTCTATCCTTTTCTATTGAACCATACAGAGGAGGAGAAGAAGAAGAAGGTGATACGACTTCCTGTTCAGAGAAGTGTGGAAACGGGTTTGGCCGTCGAGTTTAAAGCTCGATTCACCAGACAACCGAGTCGAGATCCAGATGCTGAAGACCCCAAACCTGGAGCGTAAGCACTATTAGTCTCTGGCACTCATCTTTGTTTAATCACTGCAGTCATTTTCCGCTTTGCTTTCTTACTGTTTGGACCATTTTTAAAACCTTATTTTCATGTAACTATTGAAATTATGACCCCTTTTCCACCTTTACCTAAGTTTTTGCTGATACTCTGCTTTTAAAAAAGTATATTTCCCTTTTCCAAAGGTTAGATTTCTTTAGATTCTCTCCCTCTCATGTCCCTCCAAGTTAACAGTCATGTCCTCTTCAGGCATCTCTCCTTTAATTCCTGTTATTGTTATCTCTTGGCCTGTCTTGCCTGTCTGATATTTTCCATTTTTTGCTGGTTTTATTTAGCTTGGATTTTTTTTTTAAGTTACTTGTTTTTTAAAACTAATTCTTCCCTGTTTTTCTCTGCATTTTTCCAGTCTCATATTCCCAGGAGTGAAGCTGGCATCAGACAAACAGTTTACTGGCTTCCTGGAGGGATTAGGCCCCGCCCAGCTGGCTGGACGGCAAACATTAGCCACGCCCCCCATGGGTAAGAATAATTGTTGATATAATTACATGTATATTTACTGTTTCCTCAAAGTAAATATCCTCAAAAAATGCTGAATGAAATCAAATGTGAAAATTCAATCATCCCAATAACCGCTCTGATTGGTTCTCTGTGGATCAGGGGATATCCAGATTGGGATGGTCTACAGGAAAGAGCGTCTTGACGTGGAAGTGATTCGGGCCCGGGGGCTTGTGGGTAAACAGGGGAACAAGAACACTCCAGGTGAGCATACCTCGAGCATGCTAAACTTTAACTCTATGTAGCTATATTGGTGTAAAACTATTAAAATCTCTGTGCTACCAGCTCTAAAATACTGCTCTGCAGACACTGAAAGATTAAAGATATTAAACTAATTGGATTACAGTGTGTTAGTCATCTGATATGAACAATTTAAATACAATCTAATATGAAACTGCACCAGTTAGCATTATAAGAATGTAAGAACAAACATGAATGAAATGCTCCCGACACAGAAATGATGTCATGTTTGTGTGTATCTTGCAGCTCCTTACGTTAAGGTGTATCTAATGGACAACGGGAAGTGTGTGTTGAAGAGAAGAACTCGTCTGGCAAGAAAAACTCTTGATCCTCTCTATCAGCAACAGCTTCAGTTTGAAGAAAATCCTGAAGGAAAAGTGCTGCAGGTACAAACGTTTATCCGTCTGACCAAGTTCAGTTCAAAATCCCACCCAGCTGTCAGTCAAACACAGGCTGGACATGTCCAGAGGTATCACTTCCATCCATCACCCATCATAAATATATATATATTTTAGAAACCAACCTGAAACAGACAGATCAACAACATGCAAACATGTATGATCAACATTTTTTGTTATGAGATGTTTATTACTGATGGTTAGATTTACCAGTTGCCAGTGAATGCAGCATCAACTCAGGTCTGTGTTGTCTCTCTGCAGATCATCGTCTGGGGCGACTATGGGCGGATGGACCATAAATCCTTCATGGGCGCTGCTCAGATACTCTTAGATGACTTGGACCTGTCCAACATGGTGATTGGCTGGTTTAAACTGTTTCCTGCCACCTCATTGGTGGACCCTGCCTTGGCCCCGCTGACCAATAAGGAGACAGAAGGCAACAAGTCGTAGCATCAGGAGATGGGACTGACTGCATCGTCTTAAGAAACGGGCCATGACCAAACAGGAGGGGACACATAGTTGCTGGGCAGGGTTTTAAAAAAGTCCCATGATCCTCCTGTGCTGCTGCATGCTGCATGATGATGTCACGTCGATGACGTTCCAGTGCCATGATGATGTCACCGGGAGAAGGGAGGCTACATTCCTCAACCCAGTGAGGGCAGGGCCACGCAGCGAAAGATGCTTTACAAAGAAGAGCCTCAAGCTGCCAGCCAATCACAGCAGCTCCTCAGGAGTCATGTGACTATTAGAGGCATGTCCAAGATATAGAAACTCTCTGTCACTCGATAGTTCCCATGGAGACGCAGGAACACGGAGGTCTGCTTCTTTGTTTTTGCATGGAACAATGAAAAGGCTAGACCATAAAAACATGTGAAACATCAACTGAAAAAAGAACATGAGAATGTCGCCTGAAAACTGGAAAAATAAAAGATTCTCAAAGCTTCTCAGCTGTTCTGTTTGATAAGGTACAGGGATTGTTGAAAGGCATCTTCCTGAAGTTCTCCTTAGACATGTCCAATTGTCTTTTATCATCTAAAACAACTTGAACTGTTGTTTCAGCTTTTGCATTACAGACTTTGTTCTTACTAGAACGCTTTTCAACATATCTGATCTAACTCTTGTTTAAAACAGTCAGTCCAACGAGTCTGACACTACTGATGGCTTTGCTGATCAGTGGTGGTGAATATAGTGGTAGAAAACTACATCTGACTACATCTATGTCTAAAAGATCACTTTGTGATATCTGCTCAACAGTGAAGAATGTAAATACTTTTCTAATGATGTTGTCCAAAGGTATGTATAGTAAAAAGAAGTGGTTCGAGTCCATAACCCTGTGGAGTGCCATAAATATTATAGAGGGATGTGATGGATGTTATTTACCTGCACATGTTGTAGCCCTCTAACCATCATCCGCTATTTTTAGATGTATATAAAATGATACATCGCTGAAATTCTGTTCAAAGTTCTAATAGTCTCATTTGGGATGTGATGGGGAAATAACATAAGCTGAAAATACAATGCTTTAAGAGTTATGTAAAAATTTCACTTCACATGACATTCATTTAAAAAAGCCTTTCTGCATAAAGAGTGGTCCTTTTGCATGTTTGCCACTTGCATCGTCTCTTCTTTCACTTTATTTTTTCCCATCTCTAACACTGAATTATGACGTGAAATAGAGAATCTAGGATGCCTGCTGGAAAAAAATCAGGGATTTGTTTCCAAAAAGAATGACTCAAAGTGACTTTCCCTCTGATGAACCTGATCAAGCTGTGATTTAATGAAGCCCAAGACGTTTTGACATGAAGCAAAATATTTTCTGCCATCTTCTTACTTCCAAAAACTAAATGTGAAAAGGTTGATTGAAGACGATATAATGATTTTGAAAATGGATAAATGTCAGACCCCTAAAGAGTTTCTAAGCATTGGGACACGTTGTATAACCTCACCAGCAGAGGGCAGCAGTGCTTTCATATTAAATATGAAACAGGATCCTGACTCAAGCTTTTCTGTCTTAGAATGTGACAAAGAGGAAATCCAAGTGTCTATGGTCAAGTCAACCCACTTAATGTGAACCTTTAATCTTTAGTGCAGTTTACCATATTTAATTTTACAGACCCAAAGAAAAAACACCAAACAAGTTGAATCATGCAGGTAAGAAAAAACAGCTACACAACAGCAAATTAACACAATAATAATCAGAACCATAGTCATAATAATAAATATACACAGTCACACTCACACAAGGTCAAATGAGTACCAAAAACAGTAAACAAAGGTCAGAATTACAGACATTTGAATGGCTTTAGTCAGGGAAGGGAGAGGATGAGTCACAAAATAAAGGTTACTATGTTTATGTTCCAGCTGTATCTGATGCTGCCAGTCTGATTATGGACCCATTTCTGATCTGCACAGGACATTTTTTATCATAAAAACCTTTGAAATACTGTCCTACAGATTTAATCCTAATTCTTTAATCTGACACTTCTGTGTGTGCAGCCTCTTCTTCTTCTGGAACAGGTGAGAACAAAATGGGCAGGGACACCGAAAACCATGAAGGAACCAGACAACTTCAGCTAGAACAAGCAGTATTAACGCGGACTGCATGACCAGGGTCATGTGACCTGGGGACGTAGCCCGGCATTAGTTGAGGGTTCAAGTCAACCTACCAATGATTTAATTTTAAATAATAAACAATACATATATATATATATATATATATATATATATATAGATACTTACGTATAAAACGCCCACTGATATGATGGCTGTAGTGTTGTGCTTGTAAGTGATACACAATCAAAAGTGTAACTGTGTGCCAACACAGGAGATGAGACAAAGTAAACATTTAGTCTCCTGATCAACACGATAATTATTTTCTCCATCAGTGGAATTTTCTTCCTTAATACAGACGTAAATACCACTCTGAACTGGATGTTTTAAAAAACCACGGGGAAATGAGTGTACCTTTAAATTCAGCAACAAGTTAGTCTAATGACCACATCTCCTGGCTGGCAGCTGTTGTCAGTGCAGAGCCCTGAGGTGGCCGGTCCAGTATCGGTACCTGGTATGCGTCAAGTGGCCTCACTGGTTAGCAAAAATCCTTCTGCTCAAAGCCATCTTTGGCTACCTCTCCTGGTCACATGACCCTCATCTTTCCATTACACAAGGGGGGGGGGGGGACCTGATCAGGTGCCTCCACAAATCCAATGGTGAGATGGTTCCCTTTATAGTTTTTACGTTCCATTTACGCAGTGCCATCGGTCCATTTTGTGTGGACTCTGTTTAGAGTCGTACCAATAAGCATAAAATCTGCTTAAGGGGGGGGGGATAAAGGGACGGACCAGTGGAACAACAGACAGTTTTCTTGGTCGTACCGATAATAGCCCAATCGGTGATTATTTCTTTATCACCGACATCATTGAGAAATGGCCTTTACTCCAGCTAACATGCTAACAAATTGTAGACTTTAGTCAATTGTCATGTGGTGTACGTTGTTAAGTTAGCATGTTAAAAAAATGTACGGCAGGTGTTAGTATGTCAGCCACAATGTAACATCTATCTGTTAGCATGATGCTCACATTTCACCAGCAGTTGTAAGTCAAGCAAAAGAAAGCCCAGGGTGCAATTTATCTGGCTAGCTTGTTAGCCAGCAGTGGTTGGCAATAAGGTAGTATTAATCTGTTTGTTAAATAGTGTGTTGGCATGGAGGGTTGTCCTGTTAGCTGGTCAGTTTTGCAGCTACATGAAAAACAAAGTCTCAAAAAGTTAGTGTGTCAGCCTGTAAGTTAGCATGTTAGCTGGCAGGTTAGCTTGTTAGCACAGCAACAACAGCTCATCGTCGCTGCTCTCAGTCTTGCCCGTAGCCTCAAGGCAGGCGTCAGGGATCTGAGCCGTGTGGACCATCCTACAATGTTCACAAGTCCCGTCTCGCCCCCCTCGGCCACTGTGTAAACGGTGATTGTGGGGGACGTGGCCTGTGGTGGAGGAGGGGTGTGGCTCTAGCAGAGGCTGCCGCACATCACTAGCCAATGAGGAGGAAGATGAGGAGGAGTCCGAGTCGGACACAGGGATGAGGAGCTCCACATCTTCCTCTTCCTCTCGGCTCCCTCGCCGCTCGGTTTCCTCGGCGCCACCCCTTCCTGTCTCCAGCTGGCGGAGCGGGCTGTGATTGGTCCAAGTCTGGTTTTGCTGGTTCTGACTGGTTCTGGTCAGGTTCCTGGCGAGGCGGTGCAGATTCTGGGCTAGGCGCTGCAGGGCGGAGGTGGAAGGGGCCTGGAGCTCTGAGGACTCGCTGTGAGACTCGGGATCTTGACTGGAAGTCACCACGGTGACGGGGCTGGAGGGGGGCGGAGCTTCTCTGGGCCGCTCGCGGTCTCTGTCTCGGGTCGGCGCGGGGGTCACGGGGGCAGCAGATGCTGCCACGGATACCACGGCCTCCACGGCAGCAGGCGGGGGTGTTTTATGGGGGAGGGGGGCGACCGGCCCGCCCACTGCCCCCATGCCTCGCTCCCGGCCCCGCTCACTCTCCGTGTCCGTGTCATCCGAGTCTGGAGACAGAAGGTCTGAGCCAGAGCTCCCAGTGCTCCCAGTGCCGGTGCTGTCCTCCAGGTCGGCGGAAACCAGGGCCAAAGAACCGGACCTGCGAGATCGCGAGAAGGTGAAAAGTCTGCGCCACAGGTTGCTATGACGACCAGAAGAGGGGAGCCTGAGGGAGGTGAAGCCGAGCTGAGACCGCACGGCCAGGCGGAGGTTTTCCAGGACAGATGCCTGAAAGCGCAAATTAAATTATTATCATTTTGGTTATCGATACTATTTTGAATAGACATTCTAACGTCTAATTAGGTGTCTGTGGGCAGATCGTACCTGGCTTCCAGAACACACTGGGAAATCCTCCACCGGTGGGATCAGTCCTTGCGCAATCAGCTGCCCGTAGGAAGGGGGGGCCTCCCTTCTCAGTAGCTCTGCCTCCACTCTGGACAGCTGAGTCTCGAACGACCTGTGGCCAACGACATTTCCACCCCATAAAGCCCACCGGCAGATCCCAGCTCGGTTGAAAAGGGAGCTGAACGGAGGCCTGCCGCGGACATGTGTCCGATTTGCTCACCTGCGTTCAAACATGCGCAAAGAGTAGAGTTTGCAGGTGCAGCCGAGAGCGATGACCAGCAGGAGGCCACAGATCAGGCTGCCGATGACGGCGGCCGTGATGACTCTGGTGGGAACGATGACGGGGCAGCTCTCCTCATCGCTGCCGTCGCCGCAGTCGTCCTGCGCGTCACACACCCACGACTCGAACACACAGCGGTTGTTCTACAGAGGTAAAGGGTGTGGGGTTTATTTAACTCGTTCCTTTCAATTACCCATCAGGGATATCGTTACTTTTTTGCTGCCTGTTCCTGGTAACGTGTCACCAAAAAATTATTTTCCCTGGCTCAGTTTCATCCTATTCAAAATGTTTTCAATGTTTTAATAGTTAAGGAGTTCCTCGTGGTTTGGTTACTGGACAGAGCCGATCAGTTTGGAAACAAACAGGAAAACGGACCCATTAGCTAACCCTGCTGTGAACTCCCTTACCTTGCAGTGGAAGTTTCCCGGTTGGCAGAAGAAGCAGTTCTTTTCGTCAGAGCCGTTGGGGCAGCGGTTCTGGTAGTTGCAGCGGTCTGATCGAGGGTAGCAGGCGCCGTTTCTGGAACAGGGGAACTCGTCCTCCTGGCACGAGGAGCAGTTCAGCTCATCCCGACCGTTGGGACAGTGCCAGTAGCCGTCGCAACGCTGCTGCTCGGTGTAACAGCCCCAGTTCCCCCCGCAGGGAACCTCCCAGGGCAGACAGAACCCATCCACCTTTAGAACAAAAGATACAGAAAATAGTTTAAAAAAAACAATTTTTTTGTAACTGTCCCAGACATGTATCCGATTTGCAAAAAAATGCTGTTTTTTAAAACGTTGAGGCACACCTGATAGGTGACGTTAAACCCTCTGGCGGCGTTGATTTTGTCAGCGTAGAAGTGAACTCTGAGCTGACCCGATGATGAAACCACGGCGACCGGCGCTCTGGAGTCGAAGGCAGTCAGCACTCGGAGGAGACGGCGAGGGTTCTCCTCCAGACCGTCGTACACTTTTACATAGTCCCCGTAACCCGTCCCGTCCAGTTTGAAGTCGGTGAACCTCAGGATGACCTGCATGATGAGGACGTGGTAAATGTGTTAGCCGAAAGGGCCACAGAGAAAAGAGAACTCTGCTTTAGCTATCAGGATTAGAGCCGGAAGGTTACCTTCCGGTGGTCACCGGTGTCAATCAGCCAGGTGCAGTTGCTTCCAGGAGGGTAAAAGTCGGGGTAGTTTGGGGAGTTGAAGGAACCATAAAAGTTTCTCAACCGTTCCCCACAGGTGGGAACATCACAGTCGATCTCATCACCAAGGTCCTTAAGAAAATAAAAATAGAATTAAGAAACCTGCTTTGTACTGAAGCAGCTGTCTGCAGGTGACTTCAACCTGACTCAGACTCTCTGGCCCTAATTTAGTGTAGAAACACCCCATAGTAAACTCTTAGGCCTGCTGGTACCTGGCAGTCGATGCTGCCGTCGCAGCGCAGGCTGTGGGGCAGGCAGGTGTAGATCCGGGTGTAACGGGACAAACAGGGGAACTGGTTCAGGCTGCAGGGCTGGAAGGAGAACGGCGAGTCCACACACAGCTCCTCGTCCGAATTGTCCCCACACTCATCCATGGAGTTACACCGCCACCAGTCCGGAATGCACTTCCCATTGGAGCAGTGGAACTGGTCCACATCACAACTGGACGCCTCCGGCTTTCCTACAACAGCAACATTTATTCTTTTATTCATCACTGCGGGCCACCTGGAAGCGGTTTAAGTAAACTGTGCATGCTTTCTGTGCTCTTCTTGGCATCTTCCATTGCAGTCCCTATTCAGAGGATTTACAAAAGCCTCTAATCCAGAATTACATCACTGCTGCCCGCTGGGTAAAAAAAACGGTTACGTAACAGCTGGAGGAGGTGCCAGTCCTTCTGATCAAAGGATGGTCACGGCAGAGGTCATCGGTTCAAATTACTGCTGCGCTGGGAGATCCGTCAATCGGCTAACGCGGCACGGCTTTGTTTAACTGACAGAGCTTTGCTCACCAGTGATGTAGGACAGTCTGAACCCTTTCCCCGTCAGGCTGTCGTCAGAGTGGAAGTGGATCCAGACGTGGTCCTGGGAGGAGATGTAAGGGGGCGGCAGGGAGGACCCACAAACCCGCAGGCCATCCAGGCTCCGGTAGCTGCTGACCGACATCCAGTCTGAGCTGCAACGGTGTGAACCCTGCAGGTCGAAGTCCTGGAAACTGTCGAGGGCCACAAGAAAAAACTGTCATGGTCAATAGCTGCATTTACCCCATTTCCTTATTCAGCTTTTTGCTAGGGATGAATGATTTTAATCGGCTGCTAATAGTCCTGTGAGGAATAAAAAACCCTTAAACCTTCCCTTTACAAAAAATAAAGTAAAATGTCACCATTCGTATCTTCATATCTGGCTTTATAACCATAGAAACCAGGTGCCCTTTACCTGATGGTGATGGAGTCTCCGGGTCGCGCTCTGATGTTCCAGCTGCAGTTCAGTCTGGCCGGGTACTGGAAGGGCCACCCGGGGCTGGTGATGACGCCGCTGGACGCCCGCAGCAGCTCCGCCACATCGCCGCAGGCTGAGCAGAGACACACACAATCTATTAAAGCTGCGCTGCAGACACGTGCTGAAATGTCATCAGCGTGATCGTGTACTCACCATTAGAAAACCCAGACACATAGACGTTGTCGTTCTTCAGAGAGGCAGCAATGCATCCTGCGAGAGAGATGTTGCATAAAGAATTAATCAACGCAAAGAAGACGTGTGTCCTTAAAACAGAGCATTTAAACGACTTTACCTTTGTCCGAAACCATCATATTGTGGTAATCTTTCTACATTTCTTTCTTCCCAGGAAAAATAAATAAATATATTTCATACAGAGCCAAACTCTTAAAGGGCTCTTAACAGAGATTACCTGGTCCAACAGTCATAAAGGGCCTTTTTTCCTTTGTACTTTCCCTCTGAATGAGAGCATACTTATAATAGAAAAGACTTGAAATGACAAAATCTTCCTAGACACTTTCAAAGATCATTTCATACAAGCCTTGATAGATGTTGACAGCAGTGGAAGCATAAATTACTTAAAATCAAAAAGCTTGGAAGAGTAAACTGTCTTAAAATAGCTGGTGCCTTTTTCTTGATGGAAAGATCTCAGTGTGGTGGCTGTTTGTATTCCAATAACCTAACTGAAAGTGTATGATGTATTAATCAATATCCTGTTGTAATGAACAGTGAGATACTTTAATCTAACTAGTAAATGATGGTCCAGTATAGCCACGCAAAAAGAGGTTAAGACAGGAAGAAACTGTCCTTAAGATTGCGATTGAAACAGATCTTATCAAGGCAGCTGTTTAAAATACTTCCTTCTCTCGTCACTCAAAGACGAATTACCTGAAAACTTAATTAAAATTGTGTGGGCTAATCATAGCCCAGTGACCTAAAATGATTAGCAAACAATATCAATCAATCAATTAAATAGTTTGTAAGGATTTAAAAATGAGGACAAAATCAAGTGGAAGACTTCAGATAAACTTGTAAAAAAAACAAAACAAACAAACACCCTTTTTACAAGGAAAAAAAGAAACGTGAATATCAATGAATATGGACGTGTTTATCACTGTATCACATGAAGGGGATGAAAATCCTTTCTGACTAGCACAGTTTTTAATCCAAATCTGGAAATAATGGATGTGAAGTTAAAACCAGCCACGTGGAGGATCAGTGGAATTTTATGAGGACATCCTGCAGATCAGTGACCTGAAAGCGACAGGATAAAATCAGGAGCCACTTCTTCTGATGGTGTGGAACTTCTGTGTTAAAGTCTCACATTGATTTGGGGTCTTTTGTTTAAGGGTCACTGCCTTGAGAAAAAAAACGTGGGCTGAACAAAACATTTTAAATCTGTGATTTGAATCGTTAACTCCTTACTGAAGGATATAATTTCATATAGGATCAAATCACTTTCAAGGCGTTATTACAATGTAAGTATAAATCTAATGGGGACCGTCAGACTGTTGTTTCAATGGGTCAAGAACCATTCAGATCTGAATGGTAACAAATATAATTTTCCTGTAAAACTGGATTTAAAAAATAGACAGCGACGAAAAAAAGAAAACCCGAGCAGGTTTTCACAGGTTTGTAACTGAAGTCGGTCGACTTACCTGATAGGATGAGCAGATAGACGACCCATTGCCTGCAGCCTGCTCTGAGGGCCATAATAACCCTGATGCCTCCACCAGCTGCTGGGCTTATTTCTGAAGAATCTGATGCAGATGATGTGTCCAAGGTCACTGAACTAAACGCAGCATGTCCGCCGACCGTAAAACAATCTGACCAAGACCCCGATTATCTACCAGGTACTCATTTGATACATGGTGTGGGAGTCGTCCTACCTAATTGCTAACCGTGCTAACAGTCGCAGCTAAGTTCTCACATCATAAACTGTTTGCGGATGGAAACAAAGACAGCTGAGCCCCCCTTAGCTTTAGCTAACGGTTATCTCGCTAGCTGTTAGCAGAAAATCGACCAGTTCGCCAAACGCTTCATTACAGGCGCAAGCTCCACCGTCTCCAACACGCACAGGCATGAATTCGGATAAAACACTCGACAAAAAAAGGCCCGCTTTAGTCTGAAACTTCGACACAGCTTTATCGGCAAACTACCAGCCTGAGTGGGGGCTGAGCAGTCTAACGGTAATAACGGTGGCCGATTAGCCGCCACATGCTAACGGAGCTATACGGCCAATCCAGCGGAGCCGTCCTCCAAGACAGTGCCGAGGACGAGAGGCCCGACGGCTGGCAGCTACACCGGGTCGATGCGAGACACTTCACAGAACCGGGACAGTGGTTAGCAGAGCGACTGTAGCTCTGCCTATCGGCCCGGCCGCATCTTCACGTTCCCTGCCAGCTGATGGCTTCGCTGCGGGCTGAACAACAACACAGCCGGGGCTGCAGTGACCAGCGAGAGCTAGCGAGTGAAGCCCCGCCCCCTCCAGGTGACGTCACGACTCAACCCACAGAGCTAAAGAAAAACATTTATTTCCTTGTTTATTGGTTTATTCATTTACTGAAGTGAGCCGTGCGTTTCTAAAAAAAAATCATGTCACATATTCAATTTGTTGATGATATTTACCTGTCAGTGTATCTATTTTTGTATACTATTTGTATACAACATAGTTATTTATTTGTTCATAAGCATTGTGTTTCACATTTTACAGACATTTCCCAGTCCCAAAATACCCAATACTCCCAAAAAATGTTGATTTCCAAAATGAATTTAGCCACTATAATCATGGTGACTCTTATAATTAACAATAGAGAGAAGATGGATTATTTTTATAAAGCATATTTTATATATGTAAATGACTTTACATGTTAGCTGAACACAGGGGAACTGTCTGTTCATACACCACATGTTCCATTTCCACACCAAGAACACAACTGCTGTCTGCTAGCACAGAGCAGCTGGAGATCTCTCAGCTGTCCTTTTGTTACTTTGGTTTTGGGATAACACCCCACATAACCCCCCTTTAAATGTCCATCTGCTGTTGAACCCCCTCCTATCATCTCTGTGAAAGCAATGCAAAAAGAACAGTTGGGGGGGTAGTGAACTTTATATATGCTTTAAGTAAGGGGTGTTGTCGGAGTAGAAAAGACATTTCCTATGTAACTAAATTACTAAATATACTTTGTTGGAGATCATCCTTCTTTATTTTGACACCCTATCAAACAGGAAATTCTCCACATTTACAGCTGATACCTCCAGTTTAGAAACCTTTGAAGGAAAAGAAAAGCAAGAAAATAGAAATTGAATCAACATCTAAAGATAATGGTAATTTTTTTGAAGATGTGAATGTCATTAAACACAACAATAATTGGAAACTAAAAGGGGACAGTGGGATAAAGAAAAAAAACAATTAGGGCATCACACAGAAAAAGATTAGCAAGAAAAAGCATTGAACTGAAATTCTAACTTCATAACTGATACAGTGGTTCCTGAAGGAAATCCTATTGTGCAGATTTGTACCAGAAGGCCATGACCACTCCAGAAAGCTGCAAAACACAAGAATATTAGGTACCTGTGCTCGACAAAAGTTATTTTTGCTGGTTGATACATTAGAATTTGTTGTTCTGTAACAATAAGGTCCAAATGAAGTGATAATTTCAATGAATTACTTATACATTTAATACCTCCATCTTAGATGTTTTTCTTTTCAGCCTCCCTCCAACGATTCAGAATTCCCCACATTATACTGCCATTGTTTGCCTTATTTCTGGTTATCAGATACATCACAGTAGAACCACAGCTTTGATCCTCCTTGAAAATCTTCTCCAGATCTACCTTGACATTAGGCACAGGAAGAAGCTTAGCTTTCTCCATGATTGTATAATTCTTTTGTTCCAGGGTAGATTTTGAGGTCCATGTGCTGCAGAAGAGATGTTGTCTTTCCACCAGCAGTTTCTCCAGCTCATCTACCTTTGAAATTCAATATAGAGCGTCAGGATGTTTCAAACACTTCATTCAAACTGGATAAACCTGATATTTAGAATAACTGACTGTTGTCATGTTCTTCTCTTCCTTGGCTGTAATCCACCGGTCTGAGTCACAGGAAAACACATAAGAAACTTGAACACAATATGCTGACAACCTGATCTGGTCAGCAATAAGCTGCAGGAACAGCTTTCAGGGTTTGCAGATTTATATAATTCTACACTAAATGTAAAGTGGCATTGTTTGTTTTTCATTTATTTCTGCCAGAACCTGTTAATCTGATGAACGAACACCCGTAGACATTTTTAACACTTACCAATACGTCATCATTTTTCTGCTTTTAGCTTTAATTTTTTTTAATCTATGTTTTCATTAGGTCCTTTTAATAGCTGAACTGTTATATTAAGCTTTTTCTATGTCATATTTCTCCATGAGGTGAGTTGTTATATCTTACCTAAAAGAGCCACAGCAGTCATACCACCAAATGCTGCTGCCATGCTGAGAACAGACTTCCATCCTCCACCTGATCCACCTTCACTTTCTTCAGTGTTGCCATTCATGTTTGCCCTGCAGAGAAAGCTTCATGAGCTCAAACATGCAATCAATGACAGAAAAGATGGTCTCTTAAGAACTGTCCAGTTAAGAAATTAATTCTCATATTAATAAGAGACTGGAGAAGGTGAAATACTCCATGTGTCAAATGACAAAATTGTGTTAGAACATGTCGATCATTCATGCTTGAAATGTAAATTTAGTTACCCGTCTCTTCACCTGGTGAAAGTGATTTCAATCACTCAAAGTTCTTTCATCATTGGGCAATTTTGTTGTAAAGTTTTTTTTCATTGACTGCCAAGGCAGATCACAATGATTGCTCATTGGCTTCATTTTTAACATATTCTATTTTTATTCTGTTGCTTGCATTCACAATGAAAGTCTTCAGATGGATTAAAGCATCAGTGGCTTGGAGTTACCTGCCTGTTTGGACTATTTTCTTTCCTGTCTAATAGTTTACGGTCAAATGATCATGTCACCAATGAAAAGGAAACAGTTTAATTTATAAAAAGTGAACCTTACCTCCTTCAGCTGTCTACTGTCCAAATCCGTCTCTACCCGTCCTTTGGGAAAATTGCAATGATAGAACTATGTGAATCAAACTTTTACTTTCAGATTAATTACAAGGAAGCTTTTACAGGTGTGGTTCAGGTTTGTGCTGGACAGGTTGTGTCAGGGATCTAATAATTCATGACCTGTGCTGGAAGCAAAACTTTCATACCAGCGACTACACCCCTCATTAAGAACTCTGAGGAAATCCCACATAGCTAATTCAACCATAAAGAGTTGATAAGAAAAGGAATCTTAAATCCAGATTCACACGTTTTAATGTCTTGTTAAACCTATATCATTTATAAATTTTCTTTTACAAAGCTGAGGGAAGGATTGCAATTACTTGTTAAAAACATTTCTCTGACAGTGACATTCCCAAACTCAAAAATTGACTTTTTATATGAAAAAGAAAGCATGACAGAGGATTAGGGAGGTCGTTCTTGAGTCCAAATTGTAGGCTGAAACCGAAAACTTTCAATCCTAAATATCAAAATATCATAGTTTACTCTTCAGCCTGACTAGTGTCAGGCTAATATTGAAACAGATCTTCAAAGTGATCATGTTGAGTTTCCTTCAGTCACATTGTCTTCAGGCTTTAACAATAAAGTCAAGATGCTCAAAGGTGTTCTGAAAAGTTTGTCTTGTCCAATAAATTGTATTCAAACAACAAATGGGGAAAAAAATGAAGTTTGTATTTCTCATATAACTAATCTCCCTTCAGAAAATGAAGGATAATTCTGTTTATGGCGGTTTTATGCAAGCTGAACACCCAGCATGCTTACATTTCTGCATATCTAAGTCCTAATTGGTGCTATGATGAGATCAAACATTTGGAGGATACCTGTGATGTCACACAGCTTCATCGTCCAATCAAAGTTTATCAACAATTGTCCTTTTTGGGTAACCAAATCTTATTAAATAAATGTGTTTATGCTGAGTGACAGAGGATGCCAACAGATCTGCCCACCGAGCAAGACAAATGAAGACGTCCAACCGAATGGAGCCACAACATTCCAGCTACTGAGATTATTTTGTTCATGACGACGAGGGATTTCCTGTGTATCTCTGTAAGAACTGGTCCAGGCCATAGACTGTCCCCCAGCCGACAGCAGGGTTCATACTGATGAAGTCATCCAGGTTCATCTGACTCTCTGTGGAGGTAGAACATGACTATATAATGACAATAATCTTTTTGTATGTAAAAAAAGAGGCAGACGGGCTGATAACTGGTTACCTGCAGAGTGTATGGGGGGGTACGTCGGAGGGGGCATCTTCCAGCTCCCATCAGGGTTCTTCATGTGAGATCGGTCAGACGCAAAGTTCAATAGGAAGCTGTCAGCGGGGACCACACGCAACTTCCTGTCACAGACAGAGGCAAGGGGTTAATGTGACCTCACCCAGGTGGGACAGTCACTCTCAGGTGTGTCATCTTAGGGGTCCTTACCGGTGATACTCGGGTTTGATGCTGCGGTCTGAGCGCAGGGCCTGCGTGGCGTAGAGCTGCAGGCTGCAGGGAAACGACAGCTCAGAGTCGAGGTCATAAACCAAAGAGTCGGACTGAGGATCAATCTGGATCAGGATCACGTGGTAGTCCTAAAACACCGGGTGATAGAAATAATAGCGGTTTGATGACATCAGCACTGTTATGTCAGTTAGTATCGGATTTGAAGTAAAATGACGGACCCAGATGACTGGCTGGCCCCCACGACCAGACTTCTGTTTCCACAGAGGAACCTGATAACAAAAACAACAACAACAAGACAGCTAAAGATAAGGAATACATTTCTTTAGAAACACGTGTTTAAACATGTTAACAAATTGGCAGATCTTTAATAAAACTTACTGATAATTTTTGTAATCTGACTGATTTCTTTAATTAACTGTAATGTTTTAAGAGTAGCCTACAGAAGATTCAAAAATTCATTATTGGTATGTTTTTCAAACGTCATGACCAAGTAGATTAATATTTTTCCATGTTCTCACCATTCGGTTGTCATTAGAGATGAAAACCACAAAAAGATGCTCCAGAGGAGCCGTTCTCTCCGCTCGAACGTATTCGCAAAGCTTCCAAACATTTTCTTCACTGCAGAGAAAACAAGGACAAAACAAATGACAATCACAATCCAACAGAACAAGCATACTTTGCTACAAATTATTTGATTTCTTTCCTTAAAATGCATCAAATGTAATGTTTTTCAGAGACTGATAATGTATCTAACGCTCCAGACAGAAGATTAACACTTGCGCTGGTGAATTTAAGACTGTTTAAAAATGCTTTCTCCTATCAACTTTCATTTAATTGTAACCACTTGGATTTCTTTATGAATCAACACAGTGAAGTGAACACAGATCATGTACATTTAAACGTTCCTTCGAGCAGATGATAAAGTATGCTACATAAATCTAACATCGATCGGCTGATCACTGATCTGTCAGATGTTCCTGACAACAGCTCAAAATCGCTGAATTTGGTTCCTGCTGCTACATAGTAAACCGCAGCGCTGCAGACCAGTGGACTTTGAAGCCCCACAGCAGAGAGGGTGTGTATGTGGCGCATTTACCAGTAACAGCTGGTATAAACGCAGTTTTCGCGGCTCGGTGTGATTTTATCTCCCCTCCTCATGGTTTGGTGTAACATTGAAAACGCTCCGCCGGAAGTTCGTTTATGACGCCTAAGCCATATGAAAAAAAAGCCATCCAACGACTAGAAAATTGTGAGAAAAACGTTTACATGGTTAATCTGAACGTATTAATGAAATTATGATTTATTTTTTAATATGGGTTCATAAAATTAGTTTATTTTATCCGTCTTCAAAATGTTTTTTTTTTCTTGGGCAGGTTAGAATTGTGAAAAAGGGGCTATTAAAAACAGAATTATGGGTTCAGTTGTTTTCTGATCCACTGCTTACATTTCTGGCAAAAGCATTGACACTGGTTTGGATTGTGTCAGTAATGTCTGCAGAGACCTATTTCCGCTATGAACAATTTACTCATTAATATCTCAAATCCAAAGCTAGTTTCAAGTGTTTCAGGCTACAACAGAGGGAACTTCTAAATCCATCACCCAAACCGTCACAGTTTTTTTCTTGTCCTTTGTCTTAGTTTAAAAAAAATAAATGAGGAACTTATAGTAAGCACATTACAATTTATTGAAAACAAAGAGAAAAATAATGACAGGAAATAAAATTTTCACTTCGGTGAAAAACAACAGTCTGCCACCTCGTCCCCCTGGGGGGGGGGAGGGTGGTCCACCACTACGCACAGAGAGCAGGCTGCTGTTTTCGGTAGAGTTTGCTAGGTGAAAAGTCGGATGGTGGCGTCGGCTCCGGAGGAAAAGATCCATGGCTGAGTGGGATGAAACTTCACATCCAGAACACCGAGGTCATGAGTGATCACATGACCTCTGAGGACTTTTACTGGGACTATCAACGGGTTCTGCAGCAGGTCACTGGTGGGGAGAAGGCAGGTGTTAGCATTTTTCCCTCTCAGAGAAACAGTGTATTAACAAGTGTTTTAGTGTTTATTTGCGGGTATTACTTGTAAACGGTCCCGTGACAGACGATAACCGATCCGTCATCAGATGCTGACGCAAACAGCGGGTAAGCTCTGTGATAGGCCACACTCCTCACCGCCTTCTTATGGTGTCTATTGGCAGGAAGAGATTGATCCTGTCAATTCGATTCACACTTACAGGGATAAACACAGAACAACCTGTTTGTAAATGCTTGCTGGGTGAATACCGTAGCATCTTGTACGGCTTCGTCGACAGATCGAGGTCGAACCAGGCTAGCCGGCAGTCGTAGCTCCCGCAGATCACGTGATCACCTGAAAACAGACAGAGAAGGGATATGGCTGTCTTAAAGGGCTGCACTGTGGGTCAGCAAGTCTTGGAAACTGAGTTTTCCCTGATCACCTTACCTCCAGGGTGGACGGCCATGCTGGAGATCCACTTAGAGTTGGCTTGTAGTTTTTTGGTCATTTCCTGTTTGACTAGATTATAGATTCTGACAGAGCGCTGTGTTGCCACAAAAAAGTAGGGCCTGACAGGGTGGAAGGACACACACTGAACTAGACCTTTGTTTTTCCTGAAGGGGTTCTGGCTCCGCCTCCGGCTCACCTGGTGGATGAACACCTGCAGGTGGCTGGAATGGTCAGGCATCACAGATGCCAGGTAGTCTCCTTTAGCGTGCCAGGTCACCTGCTGAACAGCCTGGGGAGACAGAAAGCAGTTAGCGTATTCCAGGAGGCGATGCCCGTCCAGTATTCAAACGGTCAGATGGGCGATCTCACTTTGGGATGCTGGATTTTAAGTCGGATCCCTTGACCTAACTCTTCCCCCTCAACGTCGGACCAGACAACAGTTACTGATCCTTCTGATGGTCCCTCCTCCAAAGGAGCAGTGAGGAGTCGCTCTGTGGATGATATGACCTGTTTGTCTGCCAGAGAGTGAGTCAGGATCAAGACCACAGATTCCCTGAAAAACAAAACACACATGGGGTGTGAAAAAAAAAAAGGCAGAGACTGATCACCCAGTGTTACAGATATAGAGTGACAGGCAGATCCTTACAGAGCCACAGCCAGGAGGCACACGGATGGGTTTGGGTTCCATGCCACGCTCTTCACAGCTCCGCCCACCTGGACCGTCTTCACACAGCGAGACGTGCACACCTCCCAGAACCTCACAGAACCGTCATCGCTACCTGTGCATTCATGAAATATACAGAGCAGACAAGTTAGCACTGACCTGAAAACCGATTTCTGATGAACTGTGGCATTTGTCATTCGATTCCAGGGATCACATCTTTAACTTTCACGGTTAATATGCATTTGTGTGTGCTAACACTATTTTCTCTTGAGTCTCCTCCTGGAGAGGATGGAATAAAAAAAGATCTAAACATAACTTCCATTTGAGGATGAAGAAAAGCCCTTTCAATCCAATCTTAAGGGCTTTGACGATCACCATGTTTAAAACAGGATCAAACCCCAAAACTGGTGGCTTCTGCTACCAGCACTTAGTTTTTATGGAGTAGTATTTTCAGACTAAACATTCAAACTTCAGCCTTTTTATGTATTTTTTATCATTCATCATTTTGGCTCCGGTTCACTCGGAGATGATTTAGTCGATGTTTTTCATCAAAAAGATTAAAAAAACATTTAGTCTCAGTTGTCGTTGATGCCACTTATTCCTGACAAACTGGATAAAACCGACACAGAATAAGACTGTTACCTGAAGCCAGCCACTGTCCGGATGGAGAAACACTGATGGAACGAACAAGGCCGCTGTGACCTTTATAAACCTGAGCACAGAGGGGAGCAAAGGTTTAAGCAAAACAGCTACATGATGTATATTCATTTAAAATATTATTGTGTGTATATTCTTTCTTTTCTTCTTTTTTTTACCAGTGACTGTGTTGTTGGAAATGGTTGGAGGTCTTTTGGTTTGGGAAGCTTGGGAATTAAATCTTCTGGATTCACGTTCACCTGCAGGCAGACAGAGAGTAAGTGATGACGTGTGACGGCTCCATTTCTCTGGTGGATGACAAACTACTGATGGTTACCCTCATTTTCCTCTGTCGGGGACACAAGTAAAGGTCGAGGCAGCGCTCGAACCTCTCGTGGATAAACCGGGGAAAGGCCGGAACTTGGCGGAGGCTCGAAAACTTCTTGGGAACAAATGGCAACTTCCGGTCGGATGGATCCTGCTGCTCCCACAGAGCCCGCTGCAGAGGGTCAGAAAGAGTGTTAAGTCTCAAGGTTCTGAGTATTCCTTCAACTGACAGAAGGGGAGGCCTCAGGTGACACACCTCTTCGTCTGTGAACAAATATTCAGGAGGGGGGTTGTAGGACTCCTCGTGGCCAGGAAGACGGATTTTGGGGGCGGGCAAGTGCATCTTGTGCCTGGCCAGAATGGAAGAGTCCTCATTGGCCCAAAGGTCGTAGTAACGGGTTTTGCTGTCGTCCTCCACCCGCCGAGGTTTGATCCAACCCATCTTAATAGCATGTACCAGCTTGGAGACCTACAGATGAGACGAAACGAGTAGAGTCAGAACAATAAAGGCAAGACAAAACAGAGATCACATGGAAGCTGCTGTTTTTTTCTTCTTCTTCTTTACCTTCTCCTTTTCAATCAGTGACGGGATGAAGCTGCGCTTGTCTGCAGGTCTGTTGGTGACTGGATGAATCATTACATCATTACTGAAGAAATCCACTGATGGCTGAGGAAGAGGAGGAACACAGGACAGTTTTTGGTAAACAACTCACAAACTAAAGCAGGAGCGTGTGTCTGGTGTACAGGGTGAGGTTCACCTAAAAAAACCACCAGGATCAAGCTGAGAGCCAGGCTCACCTCGTACTCATTGAAGCGGAGGTCTCCAAATTGTCCTCTCTGGAGACGATTCACCAGCTCCACCTGCTCATCTGACAGCACAATGTCACTTCCTGTCTGCTTGTCGTGGACCGTTCTCCTGCAGAAAGAGCGCTATCAGTATTCCCCATTTGACACCACAGGGGACACAGGATCTGTTTAACCAGCTCACCAGTAGTCAGGGTTCTCCATTTTGTCCAAGAAGTCATCGAGCTCATCCTTGTTCCTGATCGGCTTAAAGATCTTCTTCCCATCTAGGTTGTAGCCGATGTGAGGAAAGTCTTTGTACCACTCCATGGGAATGTTACCCACCGTGTTTCGGATGTCCTGAAGAGCATTCATAACCAGAGTGTTGGAGATTTTTATAAACAAAGAAGAAGCAGGAAATGTGAATTAAAAGCAGAGAACCGTGCAGAACCTGTGTCATTACTGAAAATCAGAGAATCTGACAGAAATAAGGGCAACGACATGACCAACTTTCCCTCACCTCTTCATCCGAGGTGTCATGTTCATACTCATCTTCCTTTTTCTCTTCTTTTCCTTCAATCACTCCACCCTCTTTCTTTTTGTTCATCTTTACAAGCGCCTGCAGGTAGAGCAACATACCGGTGACATTCAGGCACAGGCTCAACAGAAAAATCCCATCAAGCCCATCAAAAAAACAGACAGATACAGAAGTTATTTGCTACCTGCTGGTCTGGACTCTTTTTGTCTTCGTCATCATTTGATCCTTCCTCCACATCCTTGTCATCCCCTTCCTCAGAGTCACTCCCAGAATCCTCCAGTCCTGAGTACACACTGTCCTCACTGTCAGATAGGTCCTCATCATCTTCATCCTTCTCGGCAGGTTTGTTGTTGAAGTTGATGAGCTGAGGAAATGACAAATACGTCAGACCAGGAGCAAACGGTTTACTCTGATTTGCAATTCATATATGCATACACAGATTGTAGACACTGAATATATAGCATTAATGGCTTAAGGGCAATGATAAATGTTGTGTACTTTATACAGAACAGCGGTGTGACATACCTTTAGTAACATTAGTGTCTTTATTTATATGGTAACATATTTTGGCCTTCACTGTCACGTCTCCGTTTAGAACTCCATTAGGAATGTATCGATTTTAAAATGCAAGACTTCTGGTTAGCCTTTATCAACACCTACCGTTGTTCTCTGGTCTCATTCTGGTTTAAAACTCAGTTCGCTAGAGTTCGGTCAACACTACCACTAGAATTGCAGAATTTTAAGCTGTTCCTCAATAGATCTCAAACTGTTACGCGGCAGCGTGGTTTACTTTGCCTTCTACCTGTTAGCATGCTAAAAGCTACAATCATTGGCTCCTAACTTAGTTTCGTTAAAAGTCATCCCTGTCGTTATCCTCCATGCTGTCAGCGTGTGCCTCACCTGATCCTGCTCCTCTTCCTTATCATCTTTCTCCCTCTTGTTCGCTGTTTTCTCTCGTCCTTTTCTCATGCCTGCTTTCTGGTCAGTCTTCTGCACGTTTCCTCTACTCCCCTCCATTGAACCACGTGGGGAACTCGCGAGGCCAGAGGCAATACGTCACAACCAGGAGGAAGCGGTTGCTGCTGACGCCCCCCTGTGGCCAAATATACAGGCAGTTTGGCGTCGTAAAACTTTGTTTTTGCACGTGATTTTATTTTAACTTCACACGTGCAGTTTTCATCTCCTCATAGCGGCACTGAAAGTAACTACACGCGCATTGTGGGAACAAAGAAAACAAGGATGTAAACACTTAGTTTAGCTTCTTTAAAAAAAAACCCACAACAAAACATTTGCACTTAGAGGTTAAATCAAATTGGGAGAGTATCTCTATACTGAATAGAGACAATCTTACATTTTGTGGTGAACTTAATCTATAATCACACGTAAAAATGTTGAGTTGTATAATTAGAGTTGCTATAATATTATAGTACATCTATAACATGCAGGTCTTAACACTCTTCATGGACAAGTGATTAATTTTTACATCTGAAGAAATATCTTTGCTCAGTTTTTTTCCTTTTTTTGGGGGGGGGGGGGGGGTTTTAAAAAAAAATCCATAAAACAAAAAACAAAAAAACAAAAGCAAAAAAAAGCAAAAAAGTCAGAGTTGGTCAGAGATTCACATTTTCCACTGGCATAAGAGACCATCCTATTTTCACCTACATCTCACGTCAACTCTGTGTAATTGTAGGACAGGACATTCAGATCAAGAACAACTTTCGTTTTGTTTCAAGAGCCAATTCTAAATAAAGTGATAATGATGGTCAGAGGCTCTTAAAGCTATTTGATACAAAGCCCCACACTGTACAGTGTGATTAATGCTGCCAGATAATCAGGTACTGGCATCATTTGTGAAATGGCACTATCTTGTACATCATGAATTGCATTCACTCTTGCCAACTAAACTAAGCACTCATGTTAATTATATCCTATTGTTTCCTTCTTTGTGTATAAAATGTTTGTGTGTCATCACAAAGATGGCAAGTCATGCTACATTTGTGTAACATATAAACGTTTCAATAAAGCAGTGATCAGATCCTTCATTAAATTTACATCAGTAAAAAATATATCTATGATCCTTGGGCTTTTATCACTTTTTTTCTCGAACTCTGTTGTTAAAATTAGAAATAATCCGGATTGCAAACGTTTACATCACCACGCGACCAAACACTGCCATTACGTTTGTGACGTTGTCAGTGTGCGACGGTCAGCTAGCTACGCAGTTGTGTGTTTTATCGGATTTGTTGGAATTTTCCACTACGGAGTTTGTTTAGACTAAAGTTTGACAAGTCAACTGCTAACCAGTAGCTACTAGCTGAATTCAAGACCATACTCGAGCCTTCTACAAACCCCGTTGAACCCTTATCGAGTTTAGTGTTGCGGTTTATCTGTTTTTCGTCTTTGAGGATGGGGTTAACGGTTGGCTAAGTATTAGCATCGTTAGCTCAGATTAGCTGTTGAAGTCCGGTGTGGGTTTTGTGTTTCATCGTTGCAATGGAGTATCCTGGCGGTGGGGTGGTGCTGAGCGGGGGGAACGTCCCTGCATTCCTAACAAAACTGTGGACCCTGGTAGAGGACCCTGACACCGACCCGCTTATATGCTGGAGCCCGGTACTCACTTTATTCTTCTCAAGATTAGCTAATGGCTAACGGTTAGCAGGCGCAGTCACCCAAAGGAGTTAATTCAAGGAGCACTTTAATCATGAGAGAGATGGTTCTCCAATGTTTATTTGCTTTAAAAGTAAATTATTATTAGTTTAGATAGAAAAGGCCTATATCATTAATATACTATACCAAAATTAGATGGACTGCTTTCAACCTTTATTTACTTCTCTGAGACAATGTTATCATGTCCGATGAACTGGAAACTGACAGAATTTTAGAGCCATCTGGTTTTCATGTAAACTAATTAAATGACTGTTAACATAACAAGATGCTTACAGTCTGACTTAGTTATTTCTATTAATAACACACAACTGACTGATGCTTAAAACAGTTTGAAAGACTGTTAAATGTATTTCCGCCTGCAGATTTGTTCATATTAAGTTATTATCGCATTTACATTGGCCAGAATTGGTTTTACAAGGCCTGTCAAATATTTCTAAAACTGATCATTATCTTCTATCAGATTGAGTTGGTGACGCATAAGGGTGACATTCCACTTAGAGGAGGTTTTGCGTTTGTGCTTGCTGTGTTACCAGCATTCACAAGCACAGACGTAAATCCTCTGTAATGCCTTAAAGTAGCCCCATATATTAAAGTTTTTGTACATTTCTATTAACATTTTGTGCATTTAGTGTTTCTCTTAAAATTATGCCGCTTTACTAAGACTTGCCACTAAAAATTGAGCCTAACTTGAGCTTAACTAAAATGAAATCAAGGGATTTACATGCGAATTACCAATTTAGGGTGTATGTTTTCCTTTATTTAGCTTTTTACAGATCATAATATAGCTAAAAGGTTGAATGAGCAATCTTATAAATGGTTTCTCATAGTCTTTCAAGCAGCACCTTTGTTTTGATATTTTACATTATACTAATTGTGTGTAAATGTGTTGTTGTATATGTTATAACTGGATACGCTTGTAGGGACTCAAGCAATTATAACCATATTACAGCTCTCTCGAGGGACACTGTGTCAGTCACAGCATTACAAAAAGGAGGGATAAAGGCATAATTTGCTAGAATTTGATCCTTCATTGAAAATCATTCAGAAGGATTGTCTGCTGTAGAAACCCGATCCAAAAATGCACCTGTCCATTTGACTTCAGATCAGACTGGTCAATACGGATTGCCTCCTACCAGCCACATGATATGGTTGTAAACTTAGCTGCAGCTTCTCTTTCACCTTCCCGAGTCTGCTGGTTAAACTGGGAGACACTTTTTGTGGAGTATAGTTTGACAAACTAAGTTTATCTGAGGTTTACAGTCTTAATGGCATGGAGGTCAGCCTTTTATTGGGCCCTACTTGGCCTTTATTTCGCCATTCTTTTGGTGATTTTGAGGATTAACTTTTTAAACGCCAACAAATGACATAGAAGAGCACCAGATAGTCACAGACCAGTCTCATAATGTATATGAATTTGGAATTGTTTGATTACTTAAGGAAATTAATATCTGTTTGTCTCGGTGTTTTTGTGTCAGAGTGGAACCAGCTTCCATGTGTTTGATCAGGGCCGCTTCTCCAAAGAGGTTCTGCCAAAATTTTTCAAGCACAACAACATGGCTAGTTTCATCCGACAGCTCAACATGTGTGAGTATCAGCTGTTTTTACTTCTACCAATAACTTATCTATATGAAGTGTGGCAGACCAGCCACTGCTGTCGTAGCAAAGAAGTTACTCAGAACAAGTGGTGATGGTTTATTGGAATACAGAAGCTGACTGAAGGTGATGATATTCTGTACACGTCGGTGTTCAGATGGTTTCCGTAAGGTGGTGCACATTGAGCAAGGTGGTTTGGTGAAACCAGAGAGAGACGACACAGAGTTCCAGCACCCGTTCTTCATCAGAGGACAAGAACATCTACTGGAGAACATCAAGCGCAAAGTTACCAACGTACGTACCTTCACAGACAGGTACCAACGTACCTGACCTGATTCAGGCATTTTACAACTACTTCTAGTTTTGGTTTAAATCTCTGTTATTTAGAGCTCAGGTCTGCACATCAACACCTCTGAGCACCCTCTGTTATGTCTGTGTGCAGCTTTACATAGTCAATTTCATATACCTGGTAATAATACAAAAAAAACAGTAAAAACAAGTATTTTAAAAGCTGATATGTGCTTCATTCATCACTTTTTCCTTACTCTCCATTACAACGGTCTTTTTCCCCATTTGACCGGTGCAGGTGTCGTCAGTCCGTCAGGAGGAAGTAAAAATCTCTACAGAGGAAGTGAACAAGATCTTGGGCGATGTCCAAGTGATGAAGGGAAAACAGGAAACTATCGACTCCAGAATCATTGCCATGAAACAGTAAGGATACCGAGCAGAAAACACAAAAAACACAAACAGTTTTTTCTTTGTGGAGTATATTGAGTTGAGCTTGTACTTACATCATGCCTGCAAGTCAAGCTTCATGAAGATAAATGGAGTTTAAAAAAGGGGGAACATTTTTACCACCAAGTTAATTTCATACAGTACATTTAGCCTTTTTAATAAAAAAAATATATAAATCAAAACTTTGTGACCTGTAAAATGTGAAATCACAATTGGAAATTTGTGACAGGCATAGAAAAAAAACAGGATATTTCATATCTTATTCACACCTAATATTCTTCATGTAACTATTTCTAAAGTTCTGTTGATGTGGTTGGCACCAACACTATCTGGCTGTTGCCCGTTGCCTTGTAATCAAATGAGACACTGGCAGCTGTACTGGCCAACCAAGGTGATAGGAGAAAAATGTCTTACACGTCAGGACAGCTCGTGTTTATGCATACAGAATCTGAGATTTACATATAAAGTAGAGCTGGGCACATTAACACGTTATTATCACGCAACGCCAACATTTGTTTTTAGTATGTTGTGCACTGTCAATGAATACACCCACACACTTTCATACCTGGATAAAAAGAAAACTGGGTGATGATCACTATTGGTTCTTGATGGACATCATCGCACATCTCAACCAATTACAGACTTTATATTAAGACCGCTGACCTTTAACAGAAAACAACTCCTGAGCACAGATGGAGAAAAGTACCAGACTGTTACAGGGACATTTAATTTCAAATCTCTTCCTGATGGTTTACTGGATTAAAATCCAGCGGACTTAAGGTCTCCTGTGTCTCTCTTTCTGTTTCAGTGAGAATGAGGCTCTATGGAGGGAGGTGGCCAGTCTGAGACAGAAACATGCTCAGCAACAGAAAGTCGTCAACAAGGTACGACCATATCAACGCTGACCAAAAACAAAGCTTTTTCACAGTCATTGAACAGGGATTTGTCTTTCAAGATTTAAGTTGGAAAAGTTACTCTTTACATACTGTGAATGTGGTTGCTATAAATAACAGATAAAACAGGAATTATTAGGTAGTTGTTTTTGTCCTGATGTGTTGTGCAAGCTGATGAATGTTGAGCTGGTTGCACAAATTTCTTTTTACCCTGTGCATTTACATAAAGCATCCACATGCATGTCCCCTCCCTCTATGTCTATATATATTGACCATCGCTGAATCGGATGAAAGGGATCTGCTCTCCGCCTGTACGAAACTGTCAGCACAAGCTGGACTAATAATAAACTCTCTCTCTCTTTGCAGTTGATCCAATTTCTGGTGTCTCTCGTCCAAACCAACCGGATCATGGGAGTCAAGCGAAAAATGCAAGTTGATCATTAATGAATCAAATATGACCCACCTCTGCACAGATAATACACAGTTCATTTAAAAAAAACACTAACCATGAACACACAATGTTTATTTATCTAGGGGTAGGATAGATATATAGGTTTAATTATGAATATTACTATGTTATTATGTAACAACATATTATGTAAACTCTGGCCGTCTACTTCCTTCCTTTCTGAGGTGTGTGTTCCGTTGACAATGAGTGTTCATTTGTGAATTAATGCATTACTTTTTTTTCTTTTGTAGTCCTCTGATGCTCAATGACTCGAACTCTGCCCACTCCATGCCTAAATACAGCCGGCCTTTCACATTGGAGAACTTGCAGGTATTTTTTTTTTTTCCTCTGCTTCAGGATTTAGATTTTATTGCAAATTCAGGTCAGTACAAATCAGAGACACGCCTCCTGATACAAGGAAAGAAAAGGTGGCGGCAGATGACAGTACAGGAAACAGACCGAGCAAAGTGGTACTTATAGGGACAGACTGTTGTCTTAGATGGATTTGATGCAGCTTTTCCTCTTATTGGTTGCTAAAAATGATTTTGATCAACTGAGTTTGTCACAGCATGTCTAGGGATTCTTAAAACAACAGGCAACAGTGTTTGGTCATTTCCATTCCTCAGTGAGTCCCTTTAACATCTGCGCGCTCTCCTCAGGCTGCAGCCAGTCTCTTCTCAGCTGACAGCCCAGTGACTTCTGGACCAATCATCTCCGACATCACAGAGGTAGCCACGTCCACCCAAGATGATGTAGTCAATGAATGGATTGGGTGAGGACCAGTAAAACAGTTCTCCATTAGTTCGTAAACGATAGATCAGAATTTTCTAACGGTGCCGAATCGACCTGCAGGGAGAGTCAGTCGGTTGATATCAAAGAGGAACCATCAAGCCCTGAGGTGGAAGTGTGTCCTGTCCTCGAAGTAGAGGCTACAAATGTGGACACACCTCTCTCCCCAACAACCTTGATCAACTCCTTCCTTCAGGATGAGATACAACACACATCTGTCACTTCCACCTGCACCACCACCACCACAACCACTACCACCTCTACCCCAACAGGTATTTATTTTACTTTGAGTTTCTACTTCATTTTTGCACAGCGCTGTGTTGATTGACTTTCAGTAAATACTTTCCCTCAGTTTAACATCAGCGTTTTTCCTCTATAGTCAGTTCTATTGTTGTGATGAAACCTTCCTCCACTGAGTCCATCCCATCAACCCAGACCAGCCAATCACCTTCCCCTGCTGCCGCCGTCCCACACTCTGCCTGTGACCCCAGCCTCGCAGGTCCGACAACACCTCAACAGAAATGTCAGACCATCGCCTGCATTGACAGGTAAGGGTGACAGCAGCATGTGCGGATGCCTACGTGCTTCAGTGCTACTCTTGGCAGCCGCTCATCGACCAACTGAAATTGCCAAATAATCTCCAAATTATCCGCCAACAAAGAACTGTCTAAACAACTACTCCAACCCAGCCCTGCAATAGCTGTCGTCTACCTGCCAATCGGCTACCCAGCAAGTGCTCTGTCATTTCTCCTGTCAATTATCAAAGATATTCTAGGCCCCATACGAAGCATCACATCACATCCGATTTTGCACATCTACCAACAAACGCACTGCTGCGCCCTGGTGCTCTGTGTGATAGGAGAACTGCGGTGTGATTAAACATTACAAGGTGTCAGTACTTGCAAATCTAAGTCTGTTAAAGGTCATGTTTGTCATTAAAACCCTGTGTGCTTCCTTCAGATTCCCCCTCCCTCCCTCTGCAGGTGGACTCCCACCTGAAGTTTGGCGCATCAAAGCAGCACAGCCAGACAAGTGAATCTTTGAATAATTATCTCAGATTGTATATAAAAGATGAACGTATCCTGTCAGTTTAGAATATGCGTTTAAATTGAATTATTTCTGATTGGAAATGGAAGGCAACTCGGGCTATTAGACAGTTTGTACCGAGGAGAAACATTTGCCAACCAGTTTGCATTCTATGAGTTACAATCTTTTTTCACCAAATTGGACCGGACAACTGGGTTGTTTATTTATTTTTTTACATCAGTGCTGCTCTGGTCACCAAGAATGATCAGTTGTTGAAATACAAATACAGGCTTCAAAAACGTGGCTACGTCATTTTTTATATATAACCTGTGATAATTCCAGATATTTCTGAAAATGATCTGTTCATTCTTCTGGTGCCATTCTATATTTTTCTTCTTGTCATCATGTGACAAGGCCAGACCAACAGAGGTTTGGTTTTTGAAGGACTTTTTAAGTGCTGTATGTCTGTCTGATGCCTTGTCCAAATTTGGAATAGTCAAATAAAAGTCCAAAAGTCCCCCTTAGCTTCACCCTTTCTCTTAATGATGCTTCACCTAAAAATGCTGTGTTGGAAATGGCTGGACTGTATGATTTAAACGTGAAAAGAGCTTTCCCCTTAGAGATTTAGTCCTGCTTCATTCCCTCTATAGCCCACCACCCTCTTGGAAGAGAAAGTTAAGACATGCTTATAGGCAGAAACAGATGTAGAGTAGAAAGGAAGTTCTGCTGAGACACAGAGTTGGTTTGGGTCCATGTGGACAAAAGAAAAATGTAGAATAACACCAGGCTGATGGCATGAACTCACAGACATCTCTCCTCTTGGTTGTGTGTTTTTCTGTGTCAGGTCGGAACTCTCTGATCACGTTGACAGCATAGATGGCGGCTTGGAGAACCTGCAAACCATTTTGAACTCACAGACCTTCACCTTTGACACAAGTCCGCTGATGGATGTCAGTTTGACTGCATCTTGTTATGTTGTCATCCATTGATTCTGATTATTGTTATGTCAGAGTTGATCTTATTCTCTGTATCTTTAGTTCTTCAGTTCATCCAACCCTTCCGGTGACTTTGACCTGGACAGTTTGGACACTGTGAGTTAAACTGTGCCTATTTATTATGTGCGGTTTCCTATTCAAAATATTTGTGTCGTTGATGTCAGGCCTGTCTGACCAATGAAGCTTTTTCCTTTCAGCTCCTCTCTGACGAACCCCCGAAGGAAAGTGAAGGTAAGTGCTCAGCTTTATTTGGACGATGCAGGACCCCCCCCCCAAACATTGACATCACGGTCTCATGCTTCTGTCCATGGTGTCTGCAGGAAAGCAGCTGGTGCAGTACACAGCCACACCCATCCAAATCCCTGAACCGCTCAGCCTGGAGGGGGATGGAACGGACCTGCCGTCCCTGCTGGAGCTGGAGTCTCAGCCTTTTTTTGGCTCCGACGTGCCATCAGATGACGCCACTGACGAGCTGCTGAGGCAGACCCAACTTGACTCAAACCTTTGACATCACCAAGAATGTGATGACCTCTGAGTAACCATAGAAACAGGACACTGGGCAGCAATAGATGATGATGGCATCAGTTGTAAATCATCAGAGGTCATGTTTTAATTATGCAGATATTATTGATCAATATTAATGCATTTCTATACTTTCTTTTAGTGTTTTTATTTAGATTTATTATTTTGATCTTCACTGCTTAGATCAAATCCTTTGCGTTTTGGTGTTTAAAAAAAAAAAGACAAAAAAGGAGAGAAAAACTATCTCTGCGGTTGCTGGAGAACCAGGGCCACATGTATACCTGCTGATGTTTTCAGGGACAGATGTGAGGTCAAACCGAGTGGGTGACGTCATAGTTCAGGAGAGTCAGGATCATGTGACCCCTGTGCTTTCTGCTTTGCATGTTGAAGTCAGAGTTTATGGTTGTTTTTGTTCTCGTGTAGACTTTCAATATAACAAAAAGAATCTAAATATTTTTGGAAGAGTTTATTACAAATTGTTTATTGTCCTCCTGTCTCCTCTGTTACCTTGGAAGCCGCAGACAAAGACACAATGATTCAGTCTGGGTTTTTTTTTTTTTTTTTTTTTTTTTTTTTTCTCATGGACTGGGGTCAGTCCAGTTCATGGAAACGTTTCCTCTACGGCTTCGCCAACTCTTGACCTTGTCCTGCTGGGCTGCCGTGACGCCGGAGACCAGAGACTGTGTTCCCCTCTGAGGCTGCTCAGAGCTCTTCCACAACACAGCTGACCTAACGCGCCGAACTGCAGCCAAACGCCTCGTGTGAGGCACGGACGGAACTGCGGCTCCCAGAACGAGCTGTGTTTGTTGACTCTTTCCAACAGCACCTCTCGCAGTCGGCCTTCTCGGCTCCACTCAGCTTTCCTCCCTCACAGCGCAAAAGCAGGATCGCCTCTGTAGGATAGTGGGACTAATCTAGAGTTTTTCTGTCTCCATTTATTCACGTAAATTTGATCTCTGATCTGTTTCACAGTGAGTTTTCATTTAGTGACTCAGCACTGACTTTGGGTCTTTGTTAAATGTTAGAAGCTTCTAGTGGTTCAGGAATCAGATCGGCGGGTCTGAGACCAGAGTGGGTCTGCGGCGCATATCGCTTCAGGACATCAACGAGGTCTCTGGAGACGGCTCATTGAGAAAAGTTTTTGTTTCAATCTGTGACTGAGATGAAAATAACTTGAGATTTAGAGCTTCTCAGAGGAGTTTCCATCTGTAGATCCTGAAAACGGGGAGCACTAAAAGTAGTGTTGAGATTTTTATGGACGAGGTTTAAAAAAACCGTGTCAAGCTACCAAATGTTTCTTTTTGCTGGTGTGGATTCACAGTCATCCAGACAATTGTAACCCTTACAGCTTAAATAAAATCAACCATCTTCATTGGTGGATCTTGCGCTGTTCTAAAGAAACTGTCTGTAAATTACAGCCCGAGTGTCATATAAAGGACTGTATCCCTGAACGCATGTGAACAGCACCTCCAAACTGTTAGACTTTTTGTTTTTTGGAGTTTTACACATCAAACTATTCATCTGAATGTTGAAAATCTTGTGAAGAGACTCCTGATGTCCTGAAGTACAAAGAAAAGCCACCACTCTGTCAGCTGTTATATCTTCTATGATTGAATATATTATTTTGTTTGAAGCTGCTTTTTATTCAAACAAATTATTCGAGTATAAGCCATTTTTTAAAATCTATCCGAGCTTGCCTGACAGCTGTCCACGTGTCAGAAAGAGGACTGTGGTAAACAGAGATGGGGTCAAAGGTTGGAACCTTTTCACAGTATTCTGATTGCGAAACCTTTGGTTCAATAAAATGTTTCAAACTCACCTGAATGTGAACGTTTAATTCAAATCCAGCACAATTACAGCCTTTTGATTGACGAGTAGAACTACCTATCATTTAAGACTCAGCTCGGACAAAAGACAATAAATCAGTTTGATGTTCAAAATAGACAAAGGAAAAAACCCAAAAACATTTATTGTAGAAGTTCAAAACCACATTTTACAATGATGTCATCAAAACAGAATCACCAAATGGTCGAGATTCAGCTGGAACTTTCTTTTGTTTGGTCCCCCTCTCAGTGATTCTCTAAAACAAAGTGAACATCTATAAACAACATTTTAAATACTTAGAAACAGCAATGACCCTTGCCATTTTACGGGTAGGGCCTACAACTAGTGGGAGGGTTCGGAATCCCTAGGCCATGCTGATTGGTCAGTACACTGTAACTGGAAGCGCAGGAGTCGCACTCGCGGTTTGATGTGGAAGTCAACAGGTATCCTCCGCTTCCACATTTTCTGCACCTGAGACATAAAATAAAGCTTTACTTCGCACGCCTCTTTTGTTGACCAGGCTTTTTTTGTCTTTCATTTAACCTAAGACCCAAAGGTTTCCAAGTCTAATATCTAATATGTGAAATGTAGATGGATTTAACTTGCATTACACAGGAATCAGCTCATCTTGATTTGGCTGAAATTCTATATCTTTACATTAGAAAATGTAATTGAATGAATGAAAGCTGAAAAATTAACTATCGTGTCAAAACTATGTTTCATAGCTTTGAATGCAGGAACTGCATTTTTTTAGCAAACCGAAATATTCCACAATTGCATGGGAAATGACACGTCTGTTCTTGAATTTGAAATCATATAAGGATGATGTGTTTTCATTGACTATTAAAAATAAAAGTGTCTTTGGATACATCATTTATGTGTCATATTATCTTTAAATTGTTTGAAAAACATGTAATGGGACAGGTTCATTGGTAGGAGATGAGTCTGAATTTAATGTTTAAGAATGAGTGCAGCTCGTTGTTCATATCATCCATCTATACAGTGGAAGAGCTAACAATTACAGGAACAAATCCTCTCCTTTTATGATATGATATCCTTGATCAGTGTGTAAGATAACTGGACGTTGAGTCAACTTTCTCCTCCAGAATTCTGTTTTGGCACATGGGAGAATGAAACCTGAGGGGACACTGAGGAATCAAACTTCAGACTTAAAGAAATATTTAGAAAATGATCTGCAGGAAAAAACACATGAAAATCTTTTCCAAGGAGTTTCTTTAAACAGTGACTGAAATGACACCTGATTAAAATTTTGCCGACCAGATTTAGGACTAATTTTGCCCAGGATAGAAAAGTGATGTCAGAAAACAAAAATATAGTGCTAGTTTTCTGAAGAACCATACAGTCATTAGGAGAATCAACAAAAGCGGATGGAATGGCTGTAGCAGGCTACATTAGGATTATAAGAGAGGTCAAAGGTGAGCGCAAGCTGATACGAACCTTCAGGACCCTGACCGAAAGGGTTGTACTGTTCAGTGACTGAACCTGCGGAGGACAAGCAGAACCAAGAAAAGAGAAAGAACAAACCTTCAGCACCTGATCTGAGCGGAGATAAAATAATATTTCAGACACCGTCAATTATCTGTTCATCCTTTAAGTCCAGATCACAAACCAGATCCTCAGGGATTCTGCAGTCTGATTTTTTTTTTTTGCCTTTTTTGACGAGCTGTTTTTTAAAGCTGTGTTTAGACTGGGTTTCTGATTGGTTTTGCTAACCAATTTAAAGTGTTGATACTAACTTATTTGTAGATAGTTGACTGCCCTCAGTTTAGTTTAAAACTGGTTTGTAAAGGGATTTATAGTTCAATCATATGAGTGTAAAGGCAATTTTTGTACCTTTTAAATGCAAATTCCAGACTGATTATTTTGTGTGACTTGTTGTAAGACTACTTATATTGTGCAATTGGTTTTATTCTTAGGTGGGACCTTCTCCTAATGTGAACAAATGTAAAACTTACCAGCAATCTGTGTGTGATCTGTCACAGATGGATGACCTGTAAACAAACACACTTGTGAAAACACACACACCTTTTATTACAAAAGTATGAACACACAGGTGCATGTGTATCCGGCAGAAGAACTGGAGTCTGTACTCTAGGCCGTGCTACCTCTTCTTCTTCGAAAACATTTAAGACTTACTTGAGTCGAATGGAGTTCCTGTTGCATCTGCTGTAACTAAGAAAAAATAAAAGCATTAACATGCCTGACCTTTAACCTTCCTCTAAACTCTGGCTACTCCTGCAGAGGCCATGCAGGAGGGCGTCTCACCTGTTCCTGTCCCTGTAGAGTCTGCTGTTACAGTAACCAGGTCTGTGTGGGAGTAAACACCTGAAACTTAATAAACCAAGACAACAGAGCAAGAGTTAGATAGGGTTACCTGGGACACACAGAGGGGAGTCAGACCGCCCGACCGGTGTGTGTCAGACCTACCTGGGCTTAGTGTGTGTGTGACACCGTCCACAGAGTCTGTGTGAAGAAGAACGGGTGCCGACTCTGTGACACATCAGCAGGTGACATCAGATGAATCGAAAACAAACTACAAGACTGTCAGAAAATGCCCCAGCAATGCGTCCTACCTGTGACGTCTCTGCCGAGCGCCAGACCTGAAGCTGGACCCAATCAGAGAACAGAGAGTTAAATCAGTGAATCCCGGTTTACCATTGTGCTGGTTTACAGATCTACTGGTTCATCTCACCTGTGAGGTCAAGGTGAAGACTGGTCACTGACTCTGCTCCACCTGCAGACATGACCATTATGTTTTCCACATATCTTATCTGTCTACATCTAAGTTATCCAGAAGTCCAGATTTACATGATGATTCACTTCATGTTATGCATGCAAGTATTATCTCCTATGAACATAAGCAGGCACCAGGGCTCATGTGATCCAGTATAGGGATTACCTGTATGAACTTGTTAATGACAGAAAACCAAAGCTGTACCTGTGAGATCAGTCTGCAGGCTCTGAGTGTGAAGATCACTGTAGGAAACCAGTCCGTCTGTAACTGCTGCATGAAAACAAGCAACAGGGTTCAACTGCACAATCTAATCTGATATTAAAGTGTTGAGCGGTGGGCACAATAAAAGAGACAGGTAACCCATGATAGCTGAGAAATCACACACACACACACATCATAAGCTTCACAAACACATCACAGTAAAGGGGTCCAGGTTCATGTTTACATCTGTTCTCTTTTCAAATCAATGAGGATAAACCAAATGTAGGAGAACGTTTACCTCCGTTCATGTCAGTCAACAGTGTCTGTCGACCATTTCCTAAAAAGCACCAAAAAAAAAAAAAGATGATGCAAAAATGGGAAAGAGTGAATTAATTCTCTAGAATAAAGATT